GTTATGCGGAGTGCGACAGCGCGTATGCGGGAGGGCTGTGGGTTGGCCATTGAGAGCCCAGTGTCGGTGTATGGATGCCAATTGTCTGAATCTTCGCTGGGGAAAACATCAGGTTTCGGGACCGTCACCATTGAGGAAGGCAGCTGTGGCATCCGGCCCATGTAATTACTCCAGCACCTGTGATTGTTAGTGAATTGGTAAACATTCGGATGAAAGGTCCCCCTTACTTGTCGAATAGATAGCATCCCCAGAATGTCACTCGCCGAGCGTCCACTTCTTCATCGGTAATTCCGCTGGAGCCAGTGCCCACACCTTCTTTTAGAGAGCTAGGATCCAGATGCAGTCCTAGGTCCATGGCCATCCTGAAGCTCATGCCGGAATACACCCATCCCTTTGACTCCCGTCCACAGCCAGCTTCCCGAACACTCATCAATGCGAGTGCTTGTACCGTTGTCAATCGTGGGTTTTCATGTTCATCGTTCTCGAGAATTAGTCGCTTTGCCTCCTTAAAGAAATGGTCGCCGGCTGTTGACGAATCGTTCGGATTTGCTCGTGAGCCTGGTACAGAAGTAAAGTGACATCCAAGGGTTAGCATGGCATTAACGAGCAACGGCGTACAATAGACCGTCCCCGACTGTGAAGACCCCCGCATCCCGTGCACAAACTCTTTATAAAACAAGTCCTTGCTGAGTGTCGTGAAATATGGATAGTGCCAAGCAAAATACATGGTGACCAGGTGGTTGATAAGCTCTGGATCGTCTGTAACCTCTGTCCACGTCGTGATGGGGTTCTTCTCGTAGATGTCCAGGCCGTTCTTCTTTCTATCTTCCTCTTCGTCATCATCCTCATCGCGCCCTGTCGGCACAAACATCAAGTTACTCGTAGCCCCAATGAACCTGACCTGACCATCCTCGATACGCAATTGCCCCAGCTTGCCACTCAGCTCCGCCTCCAGACTCGCCGGATTTTCCCCTTCACCACTCGCACCCGCAGCATCAAAGCCCGCGCTTTCCGGCGACTCCCCCTCCGCATCGTTTGCAGCATCCGCGACAATTGCCTCGGCGAGGTCCTCGAGTGAGTCACAGGTCCGAATCTGCCGCACAAGCTCATACACGCGGTCCTCGGGGTAGTTTAGTATTGCTTCAATCAGCGTTTGCAAAGTGCTGTTCTGGTTCTTGAGATTGTCGATGTCGGCCTTGTAGACGCCCTTGCGGCGGTGGTCTGAATTGGGATCGTACACGCACTCGGTATGGTAGACGGAGGCGCACGCGGCGCAGGCCGGGGTGTTTCCATCGCACTGTATATCCACTTATTAGGGCTAGAAGGGTGAGAAGAGGGGAGGAGTGGAGAGGGGAGATGTAGCTTGTTTAAATAGTGATAAGGTAAGGGGCGTACCTTGGACTTCCTTCTCCGACACGCGATGCAGGCGTTACTGACGCAGCGGCGTTTCAACGGCCGATTCGAGCTGCTATCACCTGCAAGCTTCTTATCGCGGCGGGCATTGGTGGCCCCAGTACTGCCAGTGCCGGCGACGGTTCCAGTGCCAGTGCTCGTACCCGTGCTGCCCGTTCCCGTCGCATTCCCGGCGACATGAACCATTCTATAACGGTCTCGCTCTCCCTACCTCTCTCTGGCTCTATCTGTCGTTAACCCTTTCACTTTCTCTTTCTCTCTTGCCTATTCCTGATAACTGCGCTATCAGCTGTTGGGGGGGGGGGGGTGTGGTGAGGCCTAACGAGGATCTCCGGATACTCCGGGGAGTTTTGTTCGTAGTTCGTGGTTGGTGGTTGTTGTTGTGGTGGGGCGACGGCGGCGGCGGGGGGGGGGGGGGTTGTTGGAGGGAAGGGATGTTGTGTTATCGCGGAATTCTGTGACGTTTTGTTACTTGATCTCACTCGCGTGGCTATCGCGTGCCCCTGCTGCTGCTGCTGCTGTCGCTGTTGCTGTGTGCGTTTCTCTTTCTCGCTGATCTCGAACCTCTCTCTCTTTTTTTCTCTTTCTTTGTCTCTCTATCACTCTGATATTTCTTTCTCTCTTTTTCTCTCACTGGCCAGCTGGTCTATCACCTTCACTCACTCTCTCTCTCTCTCACGCTCTCACACTCACTTTTTTTTTCTGCCCTTGCACACACTTCTGGGAAAGAATTAAGGATGCAACAGAGCACAACAGAGCACAACGTATAGCACAGGCAGAAAGTCAGATTGGTAAAAATATCTAGATCGGCCCGCCTTAAGATTCAAGGAGAATAATTCCCCGGAGAAGTCGACATGGAATCGCCCGGCAAGAAAAATAAATACAGGTGGAGATGAAGAAGAATATAAGGATCACGAAGAGGGGAGCGGACGACAGAGCTAGAAAAGAAAGAAAAAAAAGGGGGAAAGAAAAATATGAGAGAGAGAGAGAGAGAGAGAGAGAGAAAGAGAGACGACTGGTCCCAGCCAGACGGAATGATACATAGATTTTTTTTTTTTTTTCCCTTGCTTTTCTTTTCTTTTGACCCATCAACCAGAAAGGAAAATGGGAACATTACAAATTTCGTCGCCTCTCGACCCTCTCCTCCTCTTTCTTTGCCGTCCTCTCAGTGCACCAAGTCAAACCTCTCACCTCTCACCAGATCTCCTGCAGCAGAAAAAGAAAAGGCCCCGAACACCAGGATTGGCTTTCTGCACAGCTGTTTACAAACTCTTCACTGCTACCGTACACACGTGAGCACGAGGCTGGCATTGCAAGGGCGGACAGCATCTAGAGCAAAGCACCACCATCATCACCACCTACACCACCAACAGCACCCCCTCCTCTCCCCCCCCCCCCCCCCCCCAAGGTATTACATTCCTACCCACATCCACATGCAAATCTTCCAGCTTCCAAGCTTTGCACCCCCATGCGGTAACCCCCCCCCCCCCACAAGATCACGGTTCGTCCCTCATCGGTCGTCTATTCGGCCAATCACAGCCAGCATACAAAAGTGGGGGTCTACGCCGTCGTCATCGCAAAACAATACCTTTGTTGCACCACCCTTGGGCCCCTGCTTATCAGCCGATTGCTCAATACCTGCCTACATATCTAGCGACAGAGGAAAAAAGAGCCTCCGAGGCCAGCATCTAACAAGTAGCGATCCCCCACAAACTTAAAAATGAAATAAATAAAAAAAGAAGAAGCTTTTAACTGTGTGGGGTATAACTATACTTTACATATAACAATTAAGCAAATCTTGGAATAACCCGGTTACTGATATTTATCGCAGTCGGATAATTGGAAACGACCCGGTTAGTTGTTGCAGGGCACGGATATTAAGGTGGGGCTTATCTCGATGCTCTTTGAATATCAGAAAAGTGGAAGATATCGCAGTTGGTGGGACAGGATAGGTGCACACCACATCTACCAATCCTCTCCCCGCATCTGCCGGCAATGGAATAGTTACAGATAAGCCCTGGTATTGTACGGAAACTGTAGCCAGTGCCTTACCGTGATAACAAGAGCTGGCGAGAGACACAGCACATATCAATCAGTATCTAGGGAAACATCGGCGCAAGTGCAACGCTAGCTCCGAAATGATCTGAACAAAGGACGGAAATAGCAATTCCAACATAAACTCCAATCTATCGCCGTTACTCCCCGTTAGGCCCACACCGCAACCTCACTCAGTGAAAATGGCTACAAGTGAATTGTTACGAGGGCCACAAACCCTTGTCGAAACAAAGGCATACTTTCAGTCGAGTGGTTCACTGAGGCTGACTTAAACATCCTTGGCATTTGCAGCTGATATTATCCGTTGAATGACAGCGCTTCTTTACTTACCTTATGGCACGCGAGCACTCAGCAGTCCCGTAATAGGACAGAGGACTCCCGTCTCCAGAGTTGCACTGCTGTCCAAAATACTGCCTTGACGTCGGTAACAGGGCTGGCCACCTAGGTAGCTAGCTGGCCAGGCATATGAGTCAGGGTTAGGGTTGGCGTCAGTTAAGGTTTCAGCTCAATACTCCCGCGGCCACCCCACACGAGGCCAATTGGAACTGCCGGCAAATAACACTAAGGCACGTAGGGTAGGAACGTACGTGAAATTTTCGAAGATTGAGCACAAAAGACCGAAGAAGGGGGAGGGAAAAAACGAAATATTGACTTTGCATATCAATCAAGCCCGGTTTTGCGCAAGGCGGGTGTGGGGGGGGGGGAAGGTCCGGTAAAGAGTCGAGTTTTGACCAAGAAAAACTTTAAACGGGGAAGGACTGTGCTTGACGTGATCATACGATGGACTAACATGAGTGTCGGCGCGGTATTGTGTGTTGGAGGTCGGTGGGGGTTGTCTGCCTACTCCGAGGCCGTGCTACACGGATCATGGGTTATCACTCGGTTTGGACGTTTCTCCCTTTGTTGTTTTTGTTTAATTCATGACGTTTCTCCCTTATGTTGTGTCTGGCTGTTGCCTAGTTGAAAATATATATATCCTGAGACATAACTATCGCTGGAAGGGGAGATGGCCGAGAGATTTGGTGCGGATCAGTTAGGTGCGAGCCATGGTTCTTGCCTACGCCACAAAAAGAAATAGGAAGCTTGGACCTTCAATTGAACCGGATGTAGATTCAATTTCAGACATGATTCAATCTGTCTCGTGCTTTGGTCGTAAATCTCAAGGGTGTCTTACATTTGGGAAGGTCGCACAGTTGATCAAGTGGTTGTATGAACTCAGCGCATTATATATAACATGGGTATCATTATTGAAACTAGACTCCAGAAAATCAAAAGGAAGACTTTTAATGAAATAGCGTGGGAAACAAATGAACTATGAGATAGCCGTCAGGGCTATATAGAACGAACCCATCCCTTAAAAACCTTAATCTCCCAAAAGCAGCCCAAAACAAAAACAAATAAAAAATAACAGAAACCATAGTAGTGAAGATCCTCCAAGGCAATCAAAGAAAAATAAGGAAAAAAGGAAAAAGAAATTCTCCCACAAAGCACACAAAAACACACCGCCTTGCGTCCTAACGTTCTTCACCGCCTTACGTCCTAATATCCTTCACCGCATCACGTGGATACCACTCCGACCTCTCCTTGATGCCAGCATTACACAACGCCTCGGCGCACCTCTCTAATCTATCCACTACCTGCGGGTTTTGAATCCACTTCTCAAACACCCCAAATACCCTATCCGGCTCATCCATGAGTTCGGCCTCATATTGGACTTCCGGGAGCGGTATCTGGAAGACCATCTCCATATTAGGCATCTTCTCCAAGAATCCATCATGCTCCTTCTCTCCCGTCCTGCCCAGGCTCGGTGTGTCGAGAGAGTGTATAAACTCACCGCCAATGCGGACAACGACACCGAGCGGGCGCGTGGAGAAGAGGGCGTTGGATTCGTCGATAATGTCGAGGATAGCGTTGGTGCTAGGGTAGGCGGAACCGTAGCTGCGTCCATTGATGATTTTGGGAGCTACAAGGTTGTCATGTGTAAAGGTTGCTTGTGCAACGTCTGAGATATAGACGTTGGCGCGGGAGAGCGTCCGGTCGTAGGTACGGAAGCGCTCTTTGAGGGTGTAGGAGCTAGGGCCCGTGGTGATGGTGGGATCAGTGATCTTCTCGGTAGAGAAAATCATGGTTGAGTAGACTTTTCCTGCTTTGAGGCGTGAATAAAGTCTAAATATCTCAGCGTTGGTTGTTAGAACTGTATCGGGAAGAATGAAGGAGGTTATATCATACTTCATGGGAATGACCTTGATAGCTACCCTCACGCTCTCAGCCCAATCCTTGATTTTCTTTGAAAGTCTTTTCCCCTGTGGAGCTTGCTCCAACGATGCAAGAATGCAAGTCCGCACACTATCCTTGTTGTAGTAAACCTTTGACTCGTCCTCCTCATCCAACCTCTCAAAAGCTGGTTGTACACATTTCGACACAAATGGCTTATTCCGGTGAACCCCCAAGGCATTGCGTTTAGTTCCACCCCATGGACAAAACTTGGACATCATATCACGAAGTATACCCGGTGCTGAAGCTGTGCTGAGACCGAGGCGGCCGACGAGAAGTGCAACGATTCCGCCACTGCCTTCACCACCGACCAGGTCGAAAACATGTCTGATTGGGGTCCGCCGAGAGGTTTCCATACGCCGGGTGACTCGGGTCATAAGATCATCCACGAGAAGGAAGGAGAGGAGACAGCGGAAACCGGAGTCTGGCTCGATGCAAAGAACGTTGACCGGGACTTCCGAGGATTTTGTCATGGTCCAAAGTATACGTAAATGCGTATTAGGCTTATGCTGAGTTGATCTGTTGAGTCTCTTTATTGAGTAGATTGTGTTTTCCACCAGACTGTCAGTAGTTGCACCCAGCCCGTGATATATATCAAATCCACCACACCCCCTGTGTAGTGCGCGTTGAGCGTGAATTTACAAGCTAGGTGCGCAAAGCCATATATATGAGCTACTCCCAGCTATAAGGAGAGCTTTTTTCAGGTTAGTGTTTTTCCTGAGTACTCAAGCGTACCCGAGATTGGGGCTTGACGGTGGCGAATCTCGCATTGCATATTGCATTGCATGACATTATGACATCTGCAGTTGAAGTGTCCAAGCTTAGGACTCTCTATGTAGGTAAAAAAACTCAATGTGGATGATGGATTTGAGAACACAGCCTTGGGGCTTAGAGGACGCCTTGGGGAACGTTTTATTGTCGTTGCGAGGTTTCGGAAAGGTGGGTACAACAGCCAATGAAAAAATGTTTTCTCAGCCGCTTGCAGTCTGGTTTAGAACGATTGGATATATGCACAGGTGCGAAATGGTGCGCAGTGCATGATGGCCGCTGAGAACAGGCCTGTATGTGAACATTGCGAACAGTGGGCCGCCGTCGTGATAAAATCGCCTAGGTACATACTTCAATTCCCAAGTAAAACACGGACAGCAAAGAATGCTTCTGGAAGCTCATCCCAATAAAGCAGATGAAACGGCAAGTTGAGAAGAGAAGATGGCTGCCTAGAAAACCAGAGCAAAAAACCGTTGGTAGTTTTTTTATTCATCCCCCATTTCTCCTACACGTGGTGGTTGGAATTTCTCCGACCAGGAGTGAAACAAATAAAAAAATATGTATGTATGCATGGCGAACCACGCTGGGAAGCCGAGTGACGATCGGTGATTTGATGCTGTCCCGGAACCCAGTACCAAATGTTGAAAATGTAAATCGGAGATAGAGTATGTCCAGGATATTTTGTTTGGAATTGTTTGCACAGCCTCAGCTTCCCGAATATGCAAAGCTTCCTAGAGTATTCTGCAGGGCCAGCCATACATACGAAACGGGTTCGGCATGCCAGCGGTGCAAGAAAAAGCAATCATGACCCAAAATCATAGCGTCGATACGAGATTCGCTTATTTCTTTCTAAACCGATTAGAGTAATGTTTGAGGCTCGGCTGTGAGGTGATTGGTGAGGTGCGCAGGCCACTAGTGTACAAAACAAGCCACACTGACTGAGCTATGAGACTCGAAGACACTTTCGCACTGCAGAAAAGTGCAAACTTCAGATTCTAGTGACGTGTTGATGCTGAGTGGACCTTAAGCATGGCACCCTCCGAAATATGAATGTTGTACACAGATCTAGAGCGCAGGGGCCAGTAGCTGCGCATTTTTGTTCCTGCGCATATAAGTGTGTGAGTAGATGCTCATCATATCTCAATTAACTTAATAGGAGACAACATGTAATATCATTGTGTTGTAGAATATCAGTTTAACAACGGAGAGGATATGTGCTTACTCAGGTAGTTTCTGCCTTGATAATCTCCGTGCAATTGCCGGCCGTTGACCAAAGGGGTAATCTCAATGGATGGAGTTTGTATCCTAAACTGTTGTTTGAGATGAGTGTTATGGTGCCAAACATCCGTGAGAGCGCCAACAGCGAGAAATGTCCCTCAATACACATCGTCTGAGACATTGAATCACAACAATCAGGAGTGCCGAGCCTATGGCTGATTTCAATTCAATGAACTGTGACGATGTCGTCGAATTATTATATCTCTCTTATCCGATAGGTTTTTGTAGCCAGCTAGGATAACCCGATGTGAGCCAATTGTGTACACTCACGGTCTATAGAATATGAAAGTGTTAAACGTACATAAAGTCGCTCGTCCAGGAACGGCTAGATATAGCATTGTAGCATGCCTAGTCCGGGATAAGGACATATATGAGTACCGGGTCGGGAGACTGAGTGATTGTTTATGATTTGCTTTCATTTTTCGGTACCGCACTGTCGGGACCAGTTCACGCGCATGCAACCAGCCAATAGAGGTGTTCCCGGTCATCTGCATATATTGGTTAAAATCCACCCATAAACTCCTTGAATCTGAATCCCCATTGCCCGTATATCTGGTGATATAATCCTTCTGTGTCCTATTCTCACTACCGCCCTATTCTCGCTTGCCACACTTGCCGTCATGGCTTTGGTGCGCACCCATTTGAAATCCCGCAGCTTTTCTCATTCCTAGCGAGCCCACTAGAAATCTCATCCATATAATACCCCCACCTCCGCCAATTTGCATGATTTTTCGCTATCTCTCTTAAACTATCACAGTTAATGGATTTTTACCCATGCCTCCTCGCCATAGGGCCACTGAGCCAAGAGTTAGTTGGCTAGAAAGCCGAGCAATGGGTGATGGGGTCTAGGATCCGGGTTAGGGCTTTCAACGTAGCCGAGAGGAGACATATAAGCCTCTATCCATTACCTCTGACCAGCTCGCACAGCCGAGAGACATCATCATGGATCTCAGCTGCATTTAAAGACCTCGTTCAGGAATAGACGAGGAAGTCGAGGGAGGAGGGATCTGAGATGAGAGCGCTAACGGGCCCGAGCGGATCTGCGTTTTCCAAGTAGGTGGAAGGAATGCCGGGAGAAAGATCATGATAGTGTGGGGGCTTGCGGAGAGGTATGGTCGTCTAGATATAGGTTACCATATATGTGAAGCCTTGCGGGATGAACTGAGTGTGTGAGTCTTTATTTTCTGTCAGGTGCTACTACCTAAGTGTCTATTAATTTTATGCAGCAAGAGTCGAAACATACAGACGGAGCCTTGTGTGGGTCGGAAACTGAGGCGTTACAGATTGGAACCTTGGCATGAATCTGTTTGGCCAACCTTCTTGAGTGCAACTATTATGTGTGCTAATCTGCCTCTTTTACGCTCTTCGTAGGGGCTAGAAAGTGTGGTTTAGATAATAATCTTTAGATCTCATCACCTCATCGCCCGAGATTAGTTTTTTGATCATTGCTACCCCCGCAAACAGTAGTGATAGGACCCGAACACAGTAACGGATTATGCCAAAAAGAGAAATAAATCTTTTAATTAATTTTCATTGGCCCGAACCCCTGTCTATCAACAGTAGTCCATAGGTCGAGAGTACTGTACCAAGGCAGGGGCTGGGTCCACAATATTCAAGATCGATCTGGCAATCGAATTTTATTCACGCAATCCTCGTATTTTCGAGCTCCTCGTTATGTTGAATGCATTATTCTGTCTCAGCATCTACTCGCGGCAGGCAAAAAGTACCGGACAATGCAGGTTTTTGGTTCACCAATGGGTGCGCGTGCTAGGCGTGAACTACTGCAAAAAAAGCCCAGAGACAAAACTTGCATTGTCCGGTACTTTTTGCCTGCCGCGAGTAGAGTATATGCAATATATACGTGGTTTGGGAGCCTAGGTTCTGAATTCGCCAGAGTGCGCACAGTAAAGGGCGGAATACTACGCACAGTCTGCATCGAGGGAGGGGTAATACGCGCAGGTGATTAAACAATTTGACTATATGATTATTACAGGTGGATGAAGGACTCCAGTTTGGTACTCTCGGTCGATTTTGAAATCATTTAACCCCAGAAATCTTTACCACATCTCTTTCACTACGGAAACGTGCCTGAATCTATGTAATATCTGCCCCTATAATTAGAGTCTTTTAGCCAACGACTACAAGAGTCGTTAACACTAAATTGAAATACCCAAGACTTTTGTACAGTACGATGCCAGTCGTGAGGGTCAGGCGCAACCAGATTTCCACAACCTTTTCACGGCGGGTTGGTACACAAGATATTAAATGTCAAATCATTGTTATTTATCTCATATTTAACAACTATACAAAAATTCAGCTCTCCAAAGGATCAATTGTGGTTGCTGTGCTGGTACCCGTGATGGTTCGGGGGGCGTTGCGACGCCGCGCCTGACCCTCACGGCTGGCATCGTACTGTACATACAGGATGCGTATCATATATCGCTTTTTGAATGCCGTGCTTAAGAATACGCCGTTAAATATATATTTAGAATACCAATCCCTAAAATTTTCCTTTGAGAGTATTCCTCATACCATGCAAGCCAAAGTCCCCCTAATGCATGCACCAAAGTCTTGGGTATTTCAATTTAGTGATAACGACTCTTGTGGTCGTTGGCTAAAAGACTCTATTGAGCTCTATCATCATATAGCCCTACCCTCATCTCACGACCGAGATAACATTTTAGATCTCAACTCACTGACCCCGCCAATAACCAAAAGGTTTTTAATACTCTAATGATATATGGCTCGCGAGACTTGATTCAAGCGCGGCCCGTGGTGGACCTTTTTCAAAGGGCTACGTTGAGAGAGGGAACTACTTCGTCTCAAATACACATTCGCATTTTCTTTTGACTCACTCATGGGGTCGAATGGCCTGGGAGAAAGACTACGCCTCCCACCACGTCTGAAAATCATCCAATGAAAAAATTGTATATTGTTTCTCACGGCTTTTGAGTACCACAAACGTACACACATTGAAGCATAGTCTGGACCAGTGAGATATATACTTTATTCATGTGCGGTTGTACTACATGTACATACGTACCGCTGCATAGCCGGCCACTTGATGCTCTACTCGTATTTTTCTAACGTTTGTGGACGTGACTGATATTGCATGCCATACAAAAATACGCCAAGCTCATGATTTTGGGTGTATGCAATAATGGCCCAGTTCAAAAACGTCAGCGAAATACTAGTACTCAAGAATGAAGCCCCTGCAGCTGCACGACCTCCACACCATGACAACTTTTTGCATGGTGCCTGCACAACCAATGGGCGATATTTACATAGACACCTCGGAGATCATTTGTTCTGTACCTACAGAACTTGTATCCCTAAGGCAATTGTCTTTCTTTTTGCAGGTGATAACAATAATTGAGCCAATCAAAAACCAGCTATAGTTACCATGTAAGGCTAGTGGTATGGTGCGCCCACGCTTAAAGGTAGCGGATCGCGACGAAATGTCAATGGCTTATAACTTTGTGACGAAAAATCGTAAAAAAAAAGCATAATGGTAGAACTCTAGTACTAGTGATGAAATTTAGTCCTATCATTGTAGAATTTTAATATCTGTCTGGGTTGTAAAGCCTTAGGAAGTTGAAATTGTGTATTTTTGTATGTAAAATGCGCCAAGACTGAACAAAGTGGAACAGTATTATACCCATTTATACCTATTTATACCCCCTAGAAAAGCAAACCTGACTGATCCGTGGCAGTAATGCAGCAGAATGGCTAGATATGGGCCCTCTTATTGGCCCATGAGGCCCTATTGCAGCCACAATTGTTCCACTTCCGTATGCCGCCATATCACCTTTAAGAGTGTGCGCACCATAGGGAAGTCCCGAATTTGCAGGTTTCATCTGTCCAAGGGATAACCCATGGCAGGTATCGAAACACGCTGTGTCTCAGATACTGTTCGCCCGGTATACAATATGCAGGTACGAATATCCCATTTTTATTCTGAAGTCATCAACGTACTGTACAGGGTGTGCACGTTAAATACCGAGAACATCGATTCAAGTTGATATATTGGTTTGAAATTCTATGGGTGCCACGTGTGGCAGCCAAAATTGACCAATAATTTTCAGAGTTACAACGCATTACAATGGGCTTAGCCACACAATTAGTATGTTGGAAAAAAGTCTGAAGAACTTTCACATATCTTTATTTAAAAACTTTAAATATTTAACTAAAAATACAAAAAAATAACTATAGGATAGAGCTGGCTCCCTGCTTGATGTGAGTAGTACTGTGAATTTTTCAAAGGGGTTTTTGGGTGAGTTCCAAAGGATCGGGAGTGAAAAAGAATCAAATTGCGGTGGTGGAGGAGTTGCAAAAGCTGGGGCACACACCCCTCAAATACTTGCTTGGCCGCCAAGTTGCCCCTTTCTTAAAATTCGACCAATGGCAGGCCCTCGCAGACTGGTCAAAAATAAAATTTCCTAAAAGAGGGTTCTTCACACATACCGTGAATACCCTGTACTATATGATTTATTGATTTTTAAATTGACTTCTTGTCACCCTAGTTCGCCTGGGTTGGGGTGTGGTGGCCCCAAAGTCATCAATATGTCTCCATTGCCGCCCCATGCATACTCCTCACCAGACCCCCCACCCTCCTCCTTCAACCATTCTTCTTCATCACTCTGGTGATCTATTCTATGTACAATAACCTCATTAGATAAATTCACCGTTTTTTGCCTTTCCCTTTACCTTTCTCTTTAGGTAGTTTTTCACCAAGACCCTAGCTTTGTCTTTTCTTTTTCTTCCTTGATAGGGGCTTTGGCTGTTTTTGCTGCATCTGCAGTCTCCCTAATTTCTCTAAGCCTAATTACCTCTTCAGTAGTAATCACCCTAGATTTAGAAAGCCGCTTCCTATCTGTAAAATTATTCTTGGACTTCTTGGCAGCGGCTTCTCTAATTTTCTGGTGAATATGATCATTGATCTCTTTCGGTAATTGCCTGCTGTAAACCTTTATCCAACTGTTTGACTATGGTGCGCAGCTTGCATGCACTGTCAATGTGCCCTTGAATATCCCTTAAGCCGTCAGGACCGATTTAAATCTCGTTACTCAAACCCAATACGGAAGTTGCTCTCTCTAGTTCTTATGAAACCGTGATCATCTCAGCATGATCACTTCTCTGCGATGTTTATATCACGACTTCCGTATTGGGTTTGAGTAACGAGATTTAAATCGGTCCTGACGGCTTAAGGGATAGGATAAGGCTACATTGGTAGTTGCTCTGACTACTCCTTCCTCGCGCTGGGAACGCTGGGAACGCTTGGCTTGAATTTTGCGGAGTGTAACGCGAAACTTTCCATACCGCCTATGTATCTTTGAGAACTAGGAACGTTCCCAACTTACCCAATTAGGAAGGTTAGGACCACTTGTGCATATAAGTAGAGGGGCATCCCCCCGTTGGTAGGAGGTTTCCTCAGTCTTTCATTGTTTTATGCGACAACAACGGTATAACTCCTCGAAGCTCACAACGCCCTAGCACAATAAGATGACAGACGATAACACGAACGTGAAGAAGCGGAAGTCGAAGTGGATTACTAACATGACCGCGGCACAAGCAGACAAAAGACTAGGATTTCGAACGGAAGAACTCAAAGCGATTTCGACTGCGAGAATGTTGGCAGAAGCCAAGTATAAGCCTGGAGGGATGGCATCTCGAAGGCCAAGGAAAAGGTGTATGGCGACATAGTGCAATATCTTGATATCGAAGGTTATCCTACGGAGGGGAATTCAGACTTCAACGAGGCCAATGTTAGCGACTTTGTTCTCTACATTATTGGTCCTATACTCTCGGGTTTCAGACGCAAGACGGGATGGAATGTACGTTTACGGAGGGAGAAAGAGATCATTTCCATGGACGGTGAGGAATTTGTCGTTGTGGACCTGGTTTCTGTGGCAGAGGAGCAGTTTGTCCTCATGGTTGAGGGAAAGAGATCTTCTCTAGGACAGGCTGAGAGACAGCGTTTGCTATCGTTGAAGGATATGGGAGATAAAAATGGCGGAGGTGAGGTGTATGGTTTCACTACAACAGGAGAGAGTTGGCGGATGTTTAAATACGATGGTGTATCGTTTTGGAAGACAGAGAAGATGGATGTAGTATTCGATACAATGGACGATGATAAGGAGAGATGGATGAAGGACTATTCAATCCTGGTGGATTGCATTTATGTCGCGTTGAGCAACGGAGGCATTGTGAAGAAGGATGTGGTCGTCAGAGGATAATCAAGCTCATGCCGAAGGCCGAGCTTCTAACTGTTTTAGTTTTAATAGTTCGTCAATAAATTGTTGCTATTTTACTGTCGGATTCTTTATAAGTTATCCTATCTTATTATTGTTTTCATGGGGGGTCTGGGGGGGGCGTAGCCCCGCCTAGGTATAGAGGAGCGAAGCGACGTCGCAGTTGAAGTATTTAGAAGAGTTGACATGGTGAGGAGCGATAGCGACGACGATGATTGTTATCTAATCGATCTGATCGGTTTTATTATTAAGGCTAGTCGGACCCTAGGACGGATTGGGGGAACGAGCCACACGTATATAGGTGGGCCATTCCCACCCATGGTAGGTGTTTGTTCTTAGTCCTTACATCCTTCGGTCGGTCAGTATACCACCATGCTCTATCAGACTATTAAACAAGGAGTTGCTCTTGCCCCTAGGATTCGAGTTCATCCAGGCTTTCTTCATTTTGTCAATAAAACACAAGTAAGTTTATGAGATTATCTTTTAACATTCACTCTGCTAATATGGGGCACCGGCTTAGATGAAAAATTTCAGTAGCGAGGTCGGAGCAGGTGGTGAGCAATCAAGCGAGATGACTGGGTCGAACGTGATGGGTGAAAGAGTTGCCAAACTAGAGGGAGTACGTATTCAAAATATACATTTATCTGGATATAAACTCACTGGTTATCAGAAATGTTCTAGTTTACATGGGGAAACTGTTCGTCTTGACGGCTGGAATAAGTATGTCATCGCTTTTGGCGTCGGAACTGTCCTTCTCGGAATTGGAGGAGTATGTTTTTCGCCCCCTCTAATGTCGGTGTAGTTCCTACTGACGTAACTACTACCAGGCTTTCTTCAAAATACTCGACTACGACGCAAAACAAAATGGGGAGATGAAGGCCTACGTGAAGACGACAGTGGAGACTAGTGAGAAGGTGTTGCAAAGCAAGTTGGATGTGATGGAAAGCAAGTTGCTGGCAGAGATCAGGCTCATGCAGAATAGGAGGGGATGGTGGTAGCCACATTCATTTCATGAAAAGGGTTGGGACATTGCTTTTAGGCGTTGCTAGATTGTTGGCGTTGTCCAAGGTGAATAATCAAAGGCTTTTACTTTTACGTCCCATTAGGAAGGTTTACGACAATTATAGGGAGCATTGTTCTGTTCAGTAGTCATTCGGATACGGTCAGCAATTAAGATGTGTAGGTATAACCCTAACCCTGGCTACAAATATCATGGCTCGATTCGGACGCTAATTATAATAAAAGCCCGCCCAAGCAACTGCATATATAGCCAAAACATTTAGGGCCCGTTCGGTTGCAACGCAATATCATGATATTCGACCCTTTATCACGATATTTATCTTGTGGTAGTGTTCTAGCAACCACTTCAAAGCCCCAATATCACATTTGGGTCAGACCCAAATTTTTGAACTGCGATAATGATACACCTGTTGCAACCATTGCACCCAATGTAAAAAGTGACCATCACCCTGACCTCTAGGTTTACCGAACATGACACAATATTCTCAAAATCACGATATTTTAATTATGATAGATTCGGTTGCAATCTTGCCATGTTGCAACATTGTGATTTCCAAACATCATATACACCGAACGGGCCCTTAAAACACCCAAATAATTCGAAAATGGCTTAATATTCAATTCCAGCTACGTATTAACAACAACAGTACAACCCTTCCCTTCCACTTTACTCCCTTGACGGATATTCCCGCCCCTTCGCCTCCAGCATCCTCCGGAACAGCGCCGTATCGATCGGTACCTCTCGCCCCAGCCACGTCGCACGCTGGGTATGGTCGCGCAGCGGGTTGTCTGTGTTGGGGTGCAGAAGCACCGATAACGGTCCACGGTGGATCACGAGCCAGGGTACGAACGCGCCGAATTGCGCGGGCGTGAAGATGTTGACTTCGAACATGGCGAGCGTGTGCGGCCCGATGGGCTTGTCCCAGATCTTGTAGATGCGTAGTTCGGGGACTGGGGAGGTGTTAGTACGGGGTCTGTGGGCGGGGGAGGGAGGAGGGGAGGTGTGGAGGCATACATTCACGCCGGATACGTGTCCAGAGTTCAGTGGCATAGGTGACTTGTGCGGGGTTGTTCTAGAGGGTCTTGGTTAGTTTGTTTGGAAGCATGGTATGAGGAAAGTGGGCGTACTTGGTAGAAGTAGATGTGGGCGTCGAAGCCGCCGGGGGAGACGGTGTTGTCGATAGGAGCAGTGAACTTCTCGTATGCGTCGCTTAGCTTCTCGGCGGGAGGGTTGTAGAAGGACTTTCCGTCGGCATTGATGGTTCTGGTAGAGTGGGCGTGTTAGTTATGATATTTACAATTTAAGTAGTTGAGTGGAGGAGGGGATGTACGTGGGGAGAGGAGGTAGGTTCTCGTAGCCAGCGAGTGGAGAGGGGAAGGTGTAGAGCTCGGGGTCTGCCATTATAATTGATTAATTAATTATAGAGCTGTGGTTCAGGTTTCTGTATTATTATAGGCGTGGGCTGTCCACTTGTCTTTATATGTCGCGGGGGAATATTCATTCGGCCGATATAATCATTAGAGCTGTCGTGTGCTTTGAGTTACCTAGCTTCATGGAGTTGTTGCTTACAAAGTCACGTCATTGGTGCTGGGTTATTAGCAATGGTAGCGTAATAATGTGGCGGAGATTGCCGGCTGGTTTGATAAGCGAGTGAGACCTCTGTTTAAATTGTAAGGCTTCAGAGGTATCGGGGATCACCTTTCTTCCCGCTATTGTACCGAGTTTTTGAAATCCCCTCCAAGTTTTACGTTGCAACCACGTTACACAGGCAGAAAAGTCTTTAACCATTAGGCCTCACAGCCCAGAATACCCCCCTGCAGCCATGAGCACCAACCCCCCCCCCCATCTGGCAGGCCACCCCCTCCCAGAATACCTCCAAGCAAAGGCAGCCTTCGCCGCCCCCCTGCTCCACCTAGTGGACAAGCATAAGCTCCTCAGCAAAATGGGCCTAGAGGATAAGTCCCCTGCCACAGACGACCTCCTACAACACATCGCCTCCACCTTCCACACCCAAGACCCCGGTTTGAACCCGGCCAAAGCCATCATCTCCCTCCTCCTCGGCCTCTCAACCCAAATCGAGAAACTCACTACAGAGGTTCACACCCTATCCGCGAGACACACCGCCGACGTTACCCTCCTCAACTCACGCATCAACAACTGCACCCCTCAGCACTCCCCAGCACCCGCCCCCCATGCCCGTCCTCCCCCTCAACGGCAACCTAGTACCCACCAATCCCGCCAGCCCTCACGCCCCGCCCCGGTCATTCCTCCCCCCCAAGGCGCTGCAACCGAAGGAGCAGAGCCCTACCTCAACGACCCCATCGAAACCATAGACCAAAACGGCAATAGACGCCTCCTTACCTATGCCGAGAAACTCAAACAACACCAGAACAACTCCCGTCCCGCCGCCCCCTCCCCCGCCACTCGGAATGCAGGCCCCCGCAAACCCACAGCTCCTCAACCAGCAACAAACCTCCCCACCGCCCAACGCCGGTTCTTCGCAACCAGATCCAACCCCGCCCCCTTCCCGAACCACCAACAACTCGAAGCGAGACTCCCCTCCGACCTCGGAAGGGTCCTAGCCAACGCAGGCCTCACCCACCCACACACCGCCCTAAAAGTCCAGGTCAACCGTAACGGCACAATTACCTGCACCGCCTCCCCCTCCACCCCCGCCAAAGACATCGCTCCCTAATTCCCCGGTCTCCTAGCAGTCCTGAACCTCGCCTGCAGCGCCACCGATAACCCGCTCAACGATTTCCAACTCGCACCAACTAACGTCGACTACGCCATCCACAACGTTCCCATCTTCGCCCTCGACGTCCCAGAATCCCTCTTCACTCCCCACCTCGCTGAAGCCGTTGCCCTCACCACTGGAGCATCTCTCTCCAGAGCCCGATACCTCTCCAAGCCCGAAAATAGAATCGGGAAGACCACCACCTCAATCGTCATCTCCGTCCCTGCCAACGACACTGACAAGATCGGAGACCAAATCCGCCTATTCGGACGCTCCCGCTGATGCAATAAACTTTGGCCAGCATCCCCCAATACCCTCTGCCGCAAGTGTGCCCGCCTAGGGCACGCCACAGAAGGATGCCAATCATCCTCACCAACATGCCCACTCTGCGCAGGCAATCACCTCCGCAAAGACCACCGCTGCCCCAACCAAACCTGACCCAACAACGGCCACCTCAAACCGGTCATTGATTGCTGCGCCACCTGGAAAGCCAAATGCATTAACTGCTCTGGCAACCACATCGCCTCCCACAGAGAGTGCCCTGCCAGGCGTACCCGCACATCGCCTGCCCCCCAGGGCTCCGCTCCCGCCCCCCAAACCTCCCCAGACAGCCCCCCACCGGCCACCCACCTCCAACCCGCCACCCCCCAGTCCACATCAGTACCCGCACCTCAACAAGAAGAGCCTGCGGAAGAGGACTTAACCATGTCGCAGTAATGCCAGCACGATCCCCCTCCCTCCCCTCCTCCCCCCCCCCCTCAATCACCCATCGTTCAGACATATCCAGCGGAGATCCTTCCAGCAATCTCTTTACAATAATCCAACTGAATTGCGCAAGAAGCAATGCAGTCTTTCTTTCACTCTTTTCTTCCTTCTCTAAACAACGCCCCCCTCAAATTGTCGCAATACAAGAACCCTTCACCCTCCTCAACCACCCCCTTAACGCACCAGGATACGAATGCGTTTACCCCCCAACAGCAGAAGACGAGCCCGTATCAGTCCCCTTCTACATACACCTCGACTTCCTACAGCACACCTCCTACTTCCCCATCAACTTTGATAGAGGCGACGTCTTCGGAATAGCCATCTACTGGAGAAACCCCGATACCCCCCTCCTCCCTGCACAACTTGAAATAGTGAACGCCTATAACCGACACATCTCACACAGCAGAAGATCAATCCTCCCGGAGACGATATTCCGCAACACCAGAAACCCCTCCATCATCTGCGGTGACCTTAATATACACAACATCCGCACCGACCCTCAGCGAACCATAAACAGAAGAGAGGAGTCACTCTCCTCCCCCTACTTCTCCACAGCCGCAGCTAATGGCTACTCCCTGCTCAACATCCCCGGCAGGATCCTCCGAATCTCTCCCAACCCTCTTCAAAGACACGGAGTCATTGACCTAGCCTTCGCAAACCCCCCTGCCCTCAACCTCTTCCACTCATGGTCCAACAGACTTCCCAACGCAGGCTCCGACCACACACCAATCAAACTACAGTTCACTCTCTCCCCCAGCATGACCTCCCTCCCCACACACACCCCCGACTGGAAAAAGGCCCCCTGGCCCGCAATCCAGGAATCACTCCGGAAAACCTCCCTTCCCCCGATCTCATATCCTATCGACCACTGGTTTGGAAGCGCCTTAGCCGCCATCACCGAACCAGTCCTCGCTGCCACCCCGTCCAAAAGGCCGTCTTCATGGTCGAAGGCATGGTGGTCCCCATACCTCTCAACACTCAGACGGATCTTCAACTCCGTCACCAGAGCATACAGGAAAGGACTATCACCCCCTTTCGAATATAAAGCCGCCCGCAACGCATACTTCTCCGCCATCCAGGAAGCCAAAAAAAGACACTGGAACGACTTTATAGCCCAAGCCGACTCACAACAGGTATGGGCCCTCAGGAAAACCGCGACCCGGAACAAGGAGACTAAACTCCCCAAATTCCCAAATGCCTCCTCCCCAGCCGAGGTTAATCAAGCCCTCATATCACACTTCTTCCCCCCCCAACCGAACCCCACCCCAGCTCCCCAACCGGGCTTCTTCCCTGATACCCCAGAAGTAACAGCTGACGAAGTAGCCAAAGCACTAGCCGCCTCCTCAAACAACTCAGCACCAGGACCGGACACTTTTCCTCCCGTAGCCTGGAAACGAATCCACCAAGGAAACCCATCCCTCATCCCCCAACTTCTCACCCCCCTCCTCAGAAGCAGATATCACCCGATAGCGCTTAAGAGCGCCCTCGGTGTCATTCTCCCTAAGCCCAACAAGCCAGACTACAACTCCCCTGCCGCCTCCCGGATCATAGTCCTCCTTGAGACGGTTTCAAAAATCCTCGAACGGATAGTGACGTATCGCCTCCACGCTTTCGCCTCCTCATCACGCCTAATACACCCCCATCAATGCGGCTCAATCAAAGGACTGTCCACAGCCGACGCCGCAACAACTCTCCTTCACGAAGTCAGGCTCCTCCAACGCGGAGGACTGAAGGTCTCCTCCCTCTTTCTGGATGTCAAAGGGGGCTTTGATCACGTCATCCCCTCAGTCCTAGCAGACACCCTCCGCAGCAAAAACACCCCCCCATACATGGTCCAATGGGTCCTCTCATTTCTATCGGACCGCAAATGTACCCTCCTATTCCCAGGCGGCCCACGCGCCTCCCTTCCAGTAGCCGTCGGAGTGCCTCAAGGCTCCCCCATCTCTCCTCTCCTATTCTGCATATATGTGGCGCCACTTCACACGGACCCAACCCCCGGCATCACCATCTCATATGTCGACGACTTCGCTTTCACAGTCGCCTCCTCATCCCACCAACAGAACATCGCACTGCTAGAAAATGTCTTCCACAAGGCAACAGACGCAGGCACCCCACGCAACATTCACTTCTCCCTCCCCAAAACAGACCTCATCCACTGGCGCACCAGCGCTGATAGGAGTGCACCCTCCACGCTCCCCATTACACTCAACCGGACCCCCCTCAACCCCAAAAGAGAAATCCGCTGGCTGGGCCTTCAGCTCACCGACAACCTCAACACCTTCAACCACTTCTCTAAAAGGTGTGCCTCAGCACAAGCCTCCTTCGCCATTATAAGAGGATTCGCCTCAGCAGGCAAAGGCCTCACCCCCCTCAATTGCCATCGACTAGCAGTCATGGCAATCCTCCCCATGCTCACATACGGAGCCTCCGTCCTCGTCCCAACAGCACGAGCACTCAAGAGACTCGAGACCACCTGGCACTCAGTCCTCAGATGGGTCACCAACTGCTTCAGATCAACCCCCCTCTCAATACTACAAGCCGAAACATCCTTCCCACCACTCGCCCTATACATCCCCTCCCTACGCATCAGATACGCTGCGAGAATCCAAGCCGCATCCCCCGCATACAACCCAGTCACCGCACGCACCCCAGACTCCTTCCACACACTCTCCACCTACAGAGAGACATCTCACCGACACCTACTAAGAGGCCGCCCAAACCCCCCCGTCAATTGGAACTCGACCAGGAAAGGGGTAGCCCGCCTCCCCATAGACGACCTCTGCCACGCACTGCTCACCAACTCACCAACTTTCGCCCAGAACCCCAACACCATCCACCCAGGCCTGGCACTCTCTATCAAAAGAGACACCATGCAAATCTAGAAGAATAACCCCCTACCAGACTACTACAAATTCCCAATCAGCACTCGTCCACACCCCCACCTCAAGCTCGACCGCTTCATCGCAGGACGCATATGCCAAATGCGGGCTCATAAAAGCTACCTAGCGGCCCACCCAACATGGATGTCCCAGGACCTCCCCCCAACATGCCCCAGATGTTTACTCGAAGACGAAGACCTCGAACACGCCATACTACGCTGCCCCACGCGCAGCCCCCAGAGGGCAACCCACATACTCTTTGCTAAAATCCTCGACGACCTTTGGTCACCCCCCGCCTCACTCGCAGCTCTCTCCTCCTACATAAGGACAACCAAAACCGGGTTCCCCCCACAAATGGGCCCTCCAAAATCTCCACCTTATGACCTATCCTCAGACTCCGATCTCACCTCCCTTTCATCAAGCTCGGCCTAGGCCACCTCCACCCACAACAGGCCCAAAAGCCAACTGTACGCACAACAACCTCAAAACCGAAAGTGTCCTCTCGTCGCTCTCCTTATTCTCTCTTCTCCTATGTCCTGTCATATCACGCGTAGCTAGTACGAAAGTATACTGCCCCTGAGGGGGACGTCCGAATTTCTTTGTTTGCTGGCCGGTAGGAGGAATGTCAGGGTCTCTCCATTGCGTCTGCTTCATGTACACACGTTCATATTTGTTTTGTTCCGCTTTTCCCTTTGTCTTGTTTTCTTCGGCGGTTTGGTAGGGGAGGGGTGTTGTTCACGCCATAGCTTAGGCTCCATGCGATATTCTTGTACCCAGAAATAAATGAAACTATGATTTAAAAAAAAAAAAGAGGTATCGGGGATTCTGCGGGCACTGAAGCAGCTTAGACGAAAGGCTTTATCAGCTTAACAATAAGATCTACAGATTTGTTCGAAGAAGGACTTCCGAGATGCAGGTGTTGGTAGCGAGTGAGTGAGTCATGTAGTGTCACTCGGGTTCGGCTGTCTTGGCAAGTGCTGAAATCCAGGCCGACTACGGTTTATTTCACGAAAAATCTGTTTTTACAACAAAGAAAGACTGTTTACCTGAACTCGCATACAAATCGAATATGCAGAGTGGAATCAGCCAAGCCAATTGCATTTAAAGAATTCTAATTGAGGATTCTCACAGACTTGATGGGGGAAGATTCGGAAAACGAGCTATGGGTGCGGTATACAGTGATTCGGTGTGGGCAGGTGGCTGGAGCTACACACTACATGTAGCGAGGAGTATATCTAAAAGGGCCACCTTAGCTTCCCCGTGCCACCGTACCTTGTCTACCTACTGCTGCGGGTTTCATTAAGGGGAGCACAGGGCGGGCAAAGTCCTTTTTGACCTCTTGCGTTATCTTCAGCAGCTCGTCAACGGTCTCGGATTGTTCAAACGCAGACCGGCCTTGCCAAGCTTGGTGCCAGCACCACAACCTCTCCTAGTGGGCCAGTAGAACTTGCAGCATATCAAACACTCGGTTGCCTTGGTGATAGTTAAGTCTTTTCCAAACAGCCATCGACACGAAGCTATATTATGGCCACTTCCCGTGGAAGAAATCAAACTCCTAATTTATCGTGGGAGGCTTATCAGATAAGACTAGACTATCACAGGATGCTAATGATTACCTTGGCGGTTACAGCGACGTGATACAGATCAACATTCGTGTGTCTAGCCTACTACCAGAGTCATTAATCTCTGGGTACAACTCATTTATGATAGAGGAGACTACCTAGTTTTGTTCAGCTCTACATAGGTTCTCAAGGTATATGCAACCTCCTAGAAAATATATTTTCATCTCCGACTTTCCACAATAGGATGGCTGACGAACCTGCATGACATGTGGGAAATCCATCACTCAATAGTACCGAAACTCTCCTTGGACGGAATACTCACATAGGTATGTCCTTCTTCATGTGTCACAAGGAAAGCGGGGCGATGAATACTCATAGCGGAAGCGCCGATCAAGAAAGCATGAACCAAACTGGTTTCATGTAGGTGCGTATACCTACCAGACGAACTACCAGATTTCCATTCCCAAGGAATGGGAAATTACCCTTCGATCTTCGTGTTTCGTGACACACGTGTATACGCGCCATGGGTTCGTCGTTTCTTTTTCTCCTCCTTGCGACACAAGAACGATGAGCCACTTCCGTTTGTTGAGGAGCACGAGTTCCTCTAGTCATGCATAATAGGAAAGCCTTTTCTCCTATTAATCCTTCTCGACACCTTCCTTCTCCAACTGTTCTTAAGTGCAAAGCAAGCGAAAGAAAAAAAAAGGGCAGTTAATCCTATGGATCCGCTTTCAGTCTCAGCTTCAATTGTCGGACTGGCGACAACAGCCGCTCATATTACCACTACCCTCTTTCACCTGACTATGGATTTGGAGGATTCCCCGAGTCTCATCGGTCACATAATCGCCGAGATAGCTTTAATCAACCCAGCTATGTGTAACCTTCAGATGTTTCTTGTTGGTGATAGGCGGGCAATAAAATCACAGGAGTCAATGATACTTGTTGAAGATTTGGTTGCTATTTTAGCAGGATGTGTGTGTACATTCTCGGAACTAGAGGCTGAAGTTAACGGACTACGATCTGGTCCTGATTTGAAAACCTTAAACCGATCGAGATGGATATCGCGAGAGAATATAATCAAGCTGCTTCTTGAACGATTGAAGGATCATAAATCGTCGATTGTGTTGATGCTCGGTATACTTGGCTGGTAAATAATTCCTTAAATCGTCACTCTTCGGAGTTTTCTAACAACCAAAATAGTAAGTCGGCTAAAGAGGCCGAAAGAAGCATGCAAATGCTATCTGGCCTTATTTCGAAGTTGATGGAGAGCCAGAGCACGTTACTAGAGTTGATGCAAAGAGTAGAAGAAATGCTTTCCCCTTCATTATCAATGGCAAGCACATTGGCAGCTTCTATTAGCACACTGAACAGTGAACATAGCAAAATATCAAGGGGAAGCTAGACAATACGGAAATTAAGATATTCGACACATCTTTCACTATCCGGCCATTTAAATCGTCGGTCTTTCACATCATTTTTAAGTAAGAAATGCGCCTTCAATTCTGATTTGAAGGTCTCTCGGGCTTATCAAAGCTCGGTAGACCAGGGTGGTGATCGATTCGGGCCCTTGCGCTCTGCGGCAAGCCAGCTTGATAGGTCTTCATCCGCACAACTGAGCCTGGCGGATATTACAAATCCAACGTTTCTAAGTTTACCGTTGTTTGCATCGGAGATATCAAATAGTCAATGGTATGATTTTGGACCTGGAGGCTTAGTTTTAGATTGGCGGAAATGGGGGATTATAAGTAGTTGTCTGCCTTGCTTAAGAATTAAAAGTAAGGAAAATATAACTACGGTAAGCACCTCTGAAGAAGTGAACTGGTGTTAGTATTATTTCTTGGCTAACATATTCATCTCAGAGAGTTGAAAAGGCAAAACCAATATCTGCCTGTGTTGAATCTTTCTTGCTCAGTAACGAACTAATTTACTACTGGCTAAATGTGATTACGGAAAATAGTACGAATTTACGTTTTTGCCGTCTTTATCAAGACTTTTACCAACTCCATCTGGGATTACTCGACTTGTTTCCAACTGAGGTTGGCCGGTCAATTCCGTGGTTACCTTATCCAACACTCTGGTCAGTGAGGCCAGAAGAAGCTTCTTCATCCGTTCAAGCATCGGAGGACTGCCCTGACCATTTACGACTGCAGTTGGATAAATATATCAAGACAATTCTCTCGATATCAACAAAGGTCAGGATGTCTCCACCGGTCAAGTCGTTCGTTTGGATGAGAAACGAGGCACACGATAGATATAAAGAGTATATGATGGCGCAGAAGTTTGCCGAAGAGTTAGCGCATAACGGTGGGGTAGAGCTTGGAGCCCCCGTAGTCTCTAGGTTAAAATGGGAAGCACCACCTGAATTGATGGATGAGAATGCGGTCCCATGCAGAGACCTGGGCGTTGTTTTTAAAAGAGTACCACCAAGAGCGCCGGGAACTGAATCTAGCATACAGTATATGAGGAATAGACTCTCCCACAAGCCTTCAGTCGACTTAGCGCACCTTTTCGATAATCCCTGTTGAACCTAATCCTGATAGGATCAAGAATGTTCAGGGAAAGCTTTGGATACTTCATGCTAGCGAGTTAAGAGGACATCCCTTTTCGGTAGCTCATTTTAACCTTCGAAGGCTACAAACGTTCTCTTTTTGGCTATAGGGGGGAGTTTAGCGAGGAAAGACTGCTGGTTTATTGGGATAGTACTTCTTGGTCTCTTTTAGGCAGGTTCCGGAATCAGTTGATCTGTATGGTACTCTACCCACTGGTGCTGTCCCTGAGTAGTATTATGCATATAAAATCGTATAGATCCCAAGCAAGTACGAGCTTATGAGGAAAAAAGTTGTTATAGTCGGGCACTGACCGTCCGAGGTCCTTCATTTCCGTTGTTCCGGCTCCTTGGGCGGCCCGCAGTACCGTTTCAACCCTAACCCTACAGCCGTCAGGAGTTACCCCGCCAGCCGAAGGTTCGGTTGTTTCGAATATCGACCGAACGTGGTATCGCGGGTAGGGTGATAATATACTTGAAGATTCAAGCTACAGACGAAACCATGGCTCGGTTCTGGTGTGTTCTTGGCTTTTCATGTATAGTGGATGGCGTTATGGGTAAAGGTTGTATTGGCAAGACGAGAGCTCGAGCAGAGGTTCGCACTATTAGTAGTAACAACTGGCTGGCCTTGCCAAGGCATTCCACTATAACTATTGCATATTGGGCGATACGGTAAACCTGATGTGTCTTGTATGTCTTTGAAAATATGATCTGTTGAAACACCAACACTAATACCTAATAGATTGAATTACTCGTATTTAAACCACCACCGTCTATTGTACCTTATTGATTTGTCGTTGGGACTGCTGGGTTCGTCCGCCGGCCAACGTTAGGGGAGAAGTCCGAGAAGCCTTTCCATCTACACAGAACATGTAGCTAGCTGCACATCTAGCAGCCTGTCAACCCCCTTGTTCCTTTAATCTGGCAGCATTCAGCCCCACACATGTACAGTTCCTCCGGTACAGCCCTGGGGAATCCATGTCGGGTATATAGAGTTACATAGAGCACCTACATGTGTATATTGGGGAAACGCCTAGATGTGGAAATGTTTACAGTTTTCCCACCCTTGTCAGCACCAACGTCGCGGAGGATCCTCCTGCACTTTCCGGACCGTAACCAGCACCATACATGTTCCTGGCCATTCAGAGTATGATTGACGCCCTGAAATTCCGCTGAAGAAGAATGGGAGACTCGCGATGAATTGTGCCAAAAGTCCGACTCAGCAGAAATATTGCTCTACAATATCAGGGATCCAGGGAGGATCCTTTTTTTATATAAGAACCCTTCAATCCACCACACAAGAGTCCTAAGCATTCTCTTTGCAACCAGCACATCTGCACATCTCCAAGCCATCCCGATATATCGAAAATGAAGGTCTCCTCAGTCGTCCTCAAAATGTCCGCCGCTGTTGCGGCCATCGCGGCAGCACCCGCAGCAGCAAAGATTCTCATGGCTGGTGACTCGACAATGGCACAGTCCTCTACGAACATTCAGGGGTACGATATACCCCAATTACCCCATTTATTTTCCTGAATTCTGTGACTGACTTGTCCGTCTAGATGGGGTACTCCATTCGCAAACTACATGTCTCTCACCGTTGTCAACCTCGCCCGTGGCGGCCGTTCCGCACGTTCCTACACCCGCGAAGGCCTCTGGGACACTCTCGTCTCCCAGATCGAGCCCGGCGACTACGTGATCATTGAGTTCGGCCACAACGACGGCAGCAGCCCAGCAAGCTCTGACCGTGCCGCCACCTTCGGATCCGGCACTGAAACCACCACTGTCACCCTCGCCGACGGCACCGTTGAGGTCGTGCAGACCTTCGTCACCTACGAGAAGTGGATGGTGCAGGATGTCCTTGCGGCGGGTGGCATTCCCGTTGTCAGCTCGACCACACCAAACGGTGATGCGTGGAACGATGCACACACGGAGGTCAGTGAGGGGAACAGGTTCGTTCCGTACTCGATGTATGCCGCAGGCAACTATACGAGCCAGGGCGCTACTTGGATCGACCACTATGGCTGGGTGGCGGTTGCGTATGAGGATTTGGGTTACGATAATGTATACCCGGCATTGTTCCCCAACGACCACACGCACACCAGCCCTGAGGGAGCGGATGTGGTTGCGAAGGCGTTTGTCAATGGGTTGAAGTGCAAAGGCCATGCGTTGGCAAATTACTTGACGGCTGCGGGAACTGCGATTCCGAAGGTTTGCAGGTTGGTGTCCTCTTCTAGCACGAGCACTGTTGCTTCTTTGCCTTCCACTACCACGAGGGCTACTTCTACTACTGTGACACCTGCTGAATCTACGGGAACTGCTGTAGCTAAATATGGACAATGCGGCGGTGTCAACTATTCTGGATCAACTACGTGCGTGGCGGGATCTACTTGCACTTTTTCGAACACTTACTACTCGCAGTGTCTGTGAGCGTGGGGTTGAGGGGTGAGAGTATTGTTATCGGTTGGTTGAAAAGTTGATTAGCGTCATTTGTAATTTTATTTGTAATCTTAGGGGTGCTGTGTGCCGTATATATATACACATATTAAGTGTTTTCGCCGTCCATTTGTTTGAATGCTAGAAGCATGCGAAAGTACGTGACTTTGAGCGGAGAATCGATAGCTATGTATAAGAAAATGCACCTGATTCAATCTTGCTATTATATAATTCTCTCGTCTTTTGCTGTAGCCGGAATTCGAAGAACTTTTGGCTGGATAATCTAATCAATGAGTTAGATGAGTCCCCACCTGAAGTTCTTGAGATAACAAGATCTTACCTTTGTGGGCTCTTATGGCTGAACCACATTAAATCTAATATCCAACTTATTAAGTTTAGCTAACTACATGTAGTCGGTATAACACTGAAGGCTTTGAGGTAAGAGGATATGTTTAGTGCTCGTGCGGTACGTGTCCTATCCCGGAGGTCAGGCTAGGTGGTATTCGTTTGCATTAGCTCGCTATCTAGTATAGTGAACTTTGGAGACCTCATAATCATCAGAGCCATTGAGGGGGTTACCGATTAAAGAATAGATTTATTCACTTATCAATTCTTCTATGCTAATGGATCAACAATAGTCGCAGTAGGTTAATCACAGGCACGTACCTAATGAATCAATTAATTAATGAGGAAGGAAAGAAGGGCATGAATCATAAATCATCACTCGACCGTCTTGGTCATGTACGAGAGAGAATCACAGGGTATCACTCGCGGAGACACTCTATTTCTATTTTTATTTTTTTCGTTAATTCATTACTTAGTTGTATTACTCTGTTTCTGTGGCATAATGGGTTGTTGGTAATTTGCTAATGCTACATGTACTTTCTAACATGGCCTTAGATACGTATGGTATAACTCTGACAAAAATATCTCAAGTTCGAAGTTACCATACCTCCCATCTGGAGGGCATGGTACCTTCAGTTACAGCTAGAGTGTATCTTCCGTTTAATACATGCGTGTTCTAAACTGAATTCATGAAATGGCCACTTGTACAAAAACTCAATACACGTCTTCAAAAGTTATTTATTTGCTTCTGCATTACTGCCGCCTTTCTTTTCGCCTTCATCAAATCATTCAGCCTCCTATTTTTAGAATCGTCTGGGATTTGACACTATCAACTAAATATAATCGACAACCAGCGTCATAGAACTACGGAGGTCATGTTTAACCCACCGCCCTATCCACATAAATTATCCGGGAAACGATACTGGGTAGAAATCGATAAAGAGGATGACCTATCTGGGCTTCACCGGGCTTATCTGTCTGGTAAGATTCTAGTCCGTACGAATGCGTTTTCGTCATTAAAAATTGACCTGGCCGCCATCATTTTAGATCCTTCATTCTTTAAGCCAGAGGTGAACAAACAGACAGGACGGTTCGAAACGTGGGGTATCAATCAATTGAAAGCGGGAGAGGCAGGGAATAAAGATGATCCTCCCCAGTATCTCAAGAGGGAGGCCCGAGTTGCCCACCTCTATAAAGATAAGGAAACACCACAAACTCAATTTATTACTTATCTCGCCATGAAAAAGGTAGCTCCAGAAGTACAGCGGTGGGTAATAAGTCATCGGACGACCTAGCCACAATTTTGCCTGCAAACGCGTGTTTTGGTGGCGTTCCGTCTAATGACTTATTACCCATCGCTGTACATGTTATGCTCTTCTGGAGGAAGCTAATCCCATATAGATGAAGGAACTTAAAGAGGCGAGGATTACCCATCAGCGAAACCGACGTGATTATATGTTGGAAATTACTATGCCGGAAATCAAGGACGGTCAAGGAAAGCATTATATCTCGCGTAGTATCAAGGTCTCCGGGGGCTTAAGGTTAAATGTGTTTCAGGATCGAATATTACAAGCGACTATGGGATGGTAATTACTGAACCCTCGTATAAGAGTATTTCAAGCTAAAGTCTGAGGAAGGTCGCGTAATTATCACGGATATCTGTTTACAGACCACAAAGATGGTTCTCTGTTCGGACCTAGGGATTCTAATGTATGTTTTCATTTCTAATTTTCTGTAACTACATAACTGATTTCTTAGCATGTCGATATGGTAAACATGTACAAACATGGTCATGAGTATATTCCGGATGACCTGTTTACTATTGGAGATATCTTGGAAAATTCAAAATCGACTCTTGGCTATCTGTACGATTTGGTAGGTGAAGACAACGCCGCTTGGCTGAGAGACTTGCTGAAAGCTGTAATTTGTAGGGTGATGACTGGGTGCACCACATTGCTGTTGAAGCAATCTTCCCGGAAGCTGACTCTGACGGTTCTTTTGTTTTTCTCGACGGTAAAGGTGCTTGCCCGGCTGAGGATATGGGCGGCGGAGATTGGAAGCACACCCTCGAGGCCCTAGAAAGAGCCCCCGAAGACCGCTTTCTCAACCGTCAGATTGGCGGCGCTCTGAACTATCGGGGTACCGAAGGTACGAAGAGTCCTGACTGGTTCTTTGACCCGCATAGGTTTGATATGGACGAAGCCGCATTACGCGTTAAAGACTCAATATCCTCACGTACATCGATGCCAGCAGGTGCCAAGATTAATGTTCTCCTACCGACAACTGCAGAAGGACATTTCAGAGGAACTGGAGATTGTCGTGGAAACTATCCACGAAAGTCAAGGGCTATCTACACCGAACATACACTCCACGGGTATGTAGGGTATATTATGGAGGTTATCCGTGACGGACCAGAGCCAAGGAACAGCGCTATCTGTGACGAATGTGGGAGGCCAAATACCCTAAAGCGTTGCAAGATATGTAACAGTGCGTGGTATTGTTCAGCAAGGTATGTATAAATTGACCTCTGTGATAAAAAGTGGAGCTAACATCTTCCGATAGATGTCAAAGGAGGCGTTGGCCAAATCATAAGATCCAGTGCAGGCCGCGGAACGAAGCACATATATCATCACTATTGAAAGCGCTTACATTGGGCTCTGATTCTGGGACCTCTGCATCCGTGGTCTCTACGTCCATGGTCTCTGCGTCCCCGGCAGCTGCGGCCACTGCGGCCTCTCTAGGATCTCTGGGATCCATGGCCTCTCTGGACTCTCTGGGCTCTATGGGATCTATGGACCAGATTGATTCATTGGCTTCGAATTCCACATTTGACGAATAAAGCTTGTGAAGTTCATGCGATGATGGAGCTAGAGCAAGAGATATTTGATTGACATGAGGCGCCAATGATTGTAGAAAAATAGGACTGGCATACAGCTAAGTAAACAGATCAATACAGCGTTAACACTAAAGTTAGGCCAATGTCATGACCTACTACGTTACAGTATTCATTTTCAGGTTTTGTTTGAATTGGCCTCTAGCTCTTTTAATGTAGGCTAAAATGAAATAAATGTATTAAGCTCTGTTTATGAAACGCAGAGTGATCAACAAATATTCATTGCTGTCGGGCAATGCCTATTAACGTAAAACATCGAATGTATAAAATTAAATTCAACTATTAAAGCAGATTTAGGTATATACATGTAGATTCAAACAGATTATCTATGTGAAATGAAGATTAATAACGGTGAAAAAGATATAAATAATTTAAACGCCACAAAAGACCAAGCTGTAGTATAAAGCAAAGAAAATATGCGACCAAACTCCCAAAAGCAAAAGCAAAAAGCAATAGAAAACCCGTAAAGCAATCATTAACCTACGCCCTCCCAGCCGCTACCGCCGCGGACACCTTTGTCCACCTCCTCCAGTTGCCCCACAGACCCCACGAAGCCGCAACTGGGAGCATCAGTACTGCGACAGTCAGGTTTACTTTCAACTCATTCGCGGCGCCATTCCCAAAGATCGTCATGAGGATCCCCCAGATGTGGTGACTCGGCAGCAAATACTCAATCCTATAAAAGTTGCTCGCCAGCTCCATAGGCGACAACACAGCCGAAACCTGTGTAATGATAGCCGTGATAACAAAGAACGGCATCCACCGCATTTCCAGCACCGCGCACGTGCCATCAATAACCCAGAAGTTGATAGAGGCATACAGCCATATCGTCAGCCAGCTCAAAAAGTACTGGCCGGCACCCAAGTCCGCGCCGTCCTTCCAGGTATACACCCAGCCGGCCCACGACAGGCCAATCAGGCACGGATACGCGGTTCCGAGGACAGCGCGGATGAGGAGGTTCGACTTGAGCGACCAGTGCGCGTATGCGCCGGCGCCGGCGAGGATGCCGTTTGTGGCCATGACGATGAAGAACTGGCTTAGCGGCGGGAAGACGAACATGACGGTGTTGAGGAGGACGCTGCTGGAGAAGCCGAAGGGGTTGATGTTGGAGACGGTGTAGGAGACTGGTTGCAGGGCTGCGGCGATGCTGGTGGCGCTGGTGTTGGTGTTGGCGGCCAGGGAGGAGATGGTGGCGACGCCGTGGGTGCGCTGGTAGGCTGCGCCTGTTGCGCCGGCGGCGGAGAGGAGGTTGGAGTAGATTAGGGAGATCTCGACGGTGCGGAAGCGGGCTTCGTTGTAGATGATTGTGAGCGCTGATGTCGGGTCGTAGGTTGTGGCGTTTGAGGAGAGGGCGGCGGAGAGGTTGTTTGAAGCGGAGGGGTTTGCGATGATGGCGCCCCAGATGGAGCCGCCGGTACGGACGCGCTTGTAGATGGAGTCGTAGGTCTCATCGGAGCTGGAGTCGTAGGGTGTATTTACGTATGTGGGCTGGCCGTGGGTGCCGCTGAGGAGGGCGGTGGTGGAGAGGAGGGAGGAGCCGATGGGGCCGCCGTCGAGGTCGATGGCGAGGATGTGTAGGCGGTGGGCATGGTCCGCTTGTTTGTACTGTAGGTTTTTTAGGTTAGTGGATTGATCATTTCTGCACGTGGTGGTGGGAGGTTGGTGATGCATACCATCTTCCCCATGATCCAGGAGGTATTTGCCCAGAATAGAACGAGCAGTGTAACGGCAGCGCCAATGAGCTGTTTCAAGGCCAGCGACTTTGGCAGTACGACTGGTGCGGCGGCGGATTGAGGGCCGGCTTCGAGGGTTGCTCCGGCGATCCCGTCGAGGTCTTGCTTCTGGGGCGTTGTTAATGTGACATTATCGCTACTTATACCGGGCCTGTGACTGTTGAGGTCTTGTGTTGATTTCATGCTTTGGAGGGAGATTGTTTCTGCCATTGTAATTGTTACTGCTCAGCCAGGTACTGCTGCTGCTGCTGAATTAATGGCCTTTTGATATCGTAGGGTAGTCGTGAGGCTTAATGATTTGCAGTGGGGTGAGCATGAGGGGGAGTAACGCTGCTATTTGTAGGGTCGCCCTTTTCGGCCGACAGCTGCTAGTGCTTGCTAATTTCCGGTACCATGGAGTTTGGGACCCATCCATCCCATCCATGTCAGGTTGCGTGTGTGTGTGTGTGTGAGCTTCTCGAACCCGCCTGTTACGGCCGTCGGCCGAGACAACCCTGGATATAGTTGTGTGTGTGGTGTGCTTGAATTTATCCACGAGTGCCTCGAGGAAAGCATCGTTTCTTGTGCGAGCAACAGAAACGGTTGGTAGGCACGTAGGTACATACATGTAGATGAGATTAGGCGCCATTTCACAAAAATCCATATCACAAAAGCCCATAAAGGAGCTAGCTGGTAGAGTAGTTGTGATGCTGGATACCATCGACTATTGCTCTTGGAGGCAAGACTTGTTCTAGCTTTCGAGATTGTCAAAATCTGATTTCGAGTATGTAAATATTCATTCCTAAGTTTATGGGTGACATGGGATTCAGGGACTTGCATAGATACATGTACATGTAATGTTTCCCTAATCTCGTACTAATGATGATCGATCGCGAAGGTCAGGTACGGCCCTCTGTTTCCTCGAGAAATCTATCGCTCGAGTTGAAAAAAGTTGCAGACAGCTGCTACACAGCGAAGAGATTATCTAATTCGATCAGAAGTCCAGACCCGATTGGTAAGAAGCAGTTGCGAGAAGTTCGTACTGGTATTCCTATTTTGGTGTGGGTGGCTATTGCGGGCAGTGCCCCTGATTAGTTAGCGTTTTTCAGGGTTTTTCTACCGGCCGTTAAAACTCCGGTTGGGTTTAAGCTTGTTGTGCCGATATCCGTGGCGTCATTGGGCGACTGGGCCGAGTGATGTCTGATGAACATTGTACATACGCTTTTCCGCAAGGTAAGAGGTTTAGACGATTATTCCATCTCGGGGGTTTTGGTTTTCCATAACTCGGAAAATCAAGAACGTTTGACATTTGGAATATCGAAATTTGACCCGGGTCTAAATCCCGGAAGGGTGTTGACTCTCTATTAGATGAAATGTGGCATGTCCTTGCGTTTCGGTGATCTGATTTTTGTCGAGTTTCAGACGGTCGACCCGAAAATTAAGTCCGCCAATTGAAGCGGGCAAAAATAAACCCAATATGTATGTGTATGCACATATACCATATTCGAGGAAAATCATCTATATAGCCTTTTGTCAGTGGTGTCTGGCACATCACAGTTTGTTTTTAGAAGAAACTTGTGCCACGAATCGGTACTGGTTGTTGTCTCTATCGTTCGAAAACTGGAAGTTTTCGAACGACATTTAGAGTAATATAATACTCAAAAGACTACGTGTCCCGAATATATACGGATATCTGCCCTCCTCAATTTCTCAGAAACTCTTAACGAAAACGCCAGCGAGTACTATCAAATGGGCCGTCCTACTTCATTGTCATGACTCACTCATGAAACAACTTCTGGATCTCTATCTGGATATAGCAGGAAATTCTCCCACTACGCGATCTGGGGATCAATACAGTTTTCACAAATTCACCAGCATGCAAACGGGCAAGCACCGGGGCTTTACCCCGGGCACTCTTCGATACAGCCCAAGGTGCAACCCCACACGATCAGATGTCGCCCCATTTTAACCACTGATGCACTACTACTGCAAAACTCAGAGAATATGCACCCCAAATAACTACTCCCACAATGTCCGGTTGGCTTGACATAGTACTGACTCTGCTGCTCGTTAGATTCATGGGCTAGGCTATATCATCGTCACCGTCGTAGCCTTTACTAGCCCTGGCGTTTTATCTCCACCACTTATCGGACAGAGGGGCTGCTTGTGGACTATCTTTTGATATGGGCTAGCGAGTTAAGTAGGAAATCAATTACAACCCAAAAGGAAGATGCTAACGCATGCCGGTATCCTGGTAATCATCCGTACTACTATAGATATAGGCTTACCTATCTCACTCGTTTGCAATATTGCTTCAGGTCGTATGTGTACATGTACAGAGCAACATAAACGTTGGAACAGTGACTCAGATCCCACTCTCGATGCCCCGAAGCATGAGCTGTCTGGGCCCGATTACAAAGTTATCTTGGCACCTGTTTTAAACACCTAGGTACTCTGATCACCGCACCTTCAAAACCGAGTGATATTCCATGCTCAATCTCAACTACGTATTATAAATAAACGGAATGACTACATGTTTTAAACAAAAACCACCAAAAGAACAAATAAAATAACAACTAAAATGCCAATTGTATACTTTTCCTTTCTCAAATTTGCAGCTCACGCACCACCACTGACTCACTTTCTCACAGGCTGATACTGCGCCTTGACGTATGTTTGTGAAATTCTCCGATTTTGGCCCGGAGCCTGGCCCTGGCCCTGTCCCTGACCTTGGCCCTGAGGTTGACCTTGGCCCTGGCCTTGAGGAGGCGGGCCCTGCTGCCCCCACGTTGATGATGCGGACATCCTCCGCGCCGGGTCTTCATGGGGCGATGTAGTACCTGAGGATTGTGTCGACCATGTATTGCTGTGAATCGGGTATCCGGGCTGTGGATAGTGCTGTTGCTGGGGGTTCTGTGGACTTTGCGGGGTCGGCGTGGAGCGTGGTGGTTGTGGGGCTAGGGGGTTATGAGAGAACTGGGGTGCTTGGGTGTTTGGCGGGTATGGAGGATTCTGTGGGTTTTGGGGGTATTGGGGCGCTTGGGATGGAGGCCCCTGGTATGGCGCGTATGATGGCGTACCTGGGTGTGGAATACCTGGGTTTGGCCGCTGCTGGTACTGCTGCTGCTGCTGTTGCTGTTGCTGTTGCTGCTGCTGCTGCTGCTGCTGCTGCTGTTGCTGCTGCTGCTGTTGCTGCTGTTGCTGCTGCTGCTGTTGCTGCTGTTGCTGCTGCTGCTGTTGTGCGCTCATAAAGCCCGCCAACTTAGACACTGCATCATCGGCCCTCTTTACGCTCTCTGCTAGCGCTGCCTTCATGCTTTCGAGCTCTGCACTACGTTTTTTCAGCTCCTCCTGGGTTTTCTCCAGCTCCCCACGACATCCCTTCAATTCCTCCTGGGCACCTTCTAACTCCTCTTTACACTCCTCTAACTCCTCATCCTTCTCCTCGAGCTCTTTCTGGCTTTCTTCCAACTCCCCTTTACCCTCCCACACCTTCTTCCTCCATGCCTCCATCTCCGCCCTCCATCCCTCCTCCTCTGATACTTCATCCCCGGCGCTTTTACTGCCAAACGCCGTCTCCAAAGGACCTCTGTACTTTCCTACAATCCACGCATCGGGGCCCCCCGGCAGCGCCTGCCGCGGAAACCCACTCGCAGGCACGGTCCTTCCTTCATCATCAACGATGACCCTACCAGGCTTTGAAAGAAAGGCAGAAATGCGCGCGTGCTCCGCATCCGGGTTGATCAGCGCATTAAGGAGCAGCCAATGCTCGAAGCCGGCAATGGTCAGTGCGGGAGTGTGGGGTTTCAGGCGTCCGTCGCCAGGCGGCGCAGGGATGAGGAGGTACTCTGTTGAGAGGGCGTTATAAAGAGTTACGAGTGCCTTGGGGGCGCGTTGTGAGCGGGCGAAAAACTCTAGAAGACTTTATATCAGTAACTGCAAGCCTCGGGTTCGTAGGGGTCAAATGGTAAGCTGATACTTACGGGACTCGCGGGAGCTGTAAGAGGGGCTGATTCCATAGTACATGCTCATCTTTGCGGGGAGAGGACGCATGTTGGTGTGGAGTCTATACTGCATTCTTTGTTCTGTGGGCGGTTTTAAATCATGAGTTCTCACGTTGCTGGTAGGCTTATCATATCACACAAAGGGAGATACTAACTATGCAACGTGCAATACCCCTGAACAGGCCTCGCAGTTCTGGCTTGGGCGCAAGTGGCACCTTACCCTGCGATACTAATGTAGCCCAATAGGCGCTACTATCTGGCGCATTTTGGTGCGCAAGAGGGGGGTACGCTTGACTAGGTTTTGTGGCAGCGGCAGGTGGTGGCTTAGTATGCGAGGGAGACGAATTTATGTTATTTGCACCGTGGACTGGGCTTGCACTGTGATTATATGCGGTTTGTTGGTTGGAGGGCGAAGCTGCGTTGTTTGCATGTGCGGGATGTTGGCCCGGATTGTTTGGATTTTGATTGTGCGGACTCTGAGTCTGCCCCATATTCGGATTATTATTGACCTGATTATAGTTGTTCCCTTGTGTTTGTGGCTTCTCCGAGGGCCATGTCTGCGGATGTTGCAATGGTATTTTTTCAGGGCCCGCTCCATTATTGGCTCCCGGGTTATAGATCTTTCCTCCAACCATATATGATTGCTGCGGCTGCTGCGGTTTCTCAGCCCAGGCGGGTGAATAGGCCGGCGGAGACACCACCCCATTGTTGTTATTTTGTGGGTCATTGTATTGCTGTTGAGGCTGCTGTTGCTGGGATTGGGGTTGATATAGTGGCACTTGGTTTTGCTGCTGCTGCGGGAACGATGTTGCAGGCTGAGTATATACTGGCGACACAGGCACTGTTCCTTGTCCGCTATGATAGGTCCCGACTATCTGCGGCTGCGGTTGAGGTTGAGTTTGCAGTTGCGGCTGCGGCGGATTATAAACCTGTTGCTGTGGTACCACCGTTGCACCACCGCCATAGTTCTGCCCCTCGGTAACACCATAAGTTGTCCCCGTAGTCTGTGTCCGCACAGGCGGATAAAACGTGGGACTGGTTGGATTCGACAGACATCCCTCGCCTGTATGGGTGGATTGCTGATAGCTCGGCTTGCTGCTGAAGAAGTTCAACGTCTTCAAGACCCCTCCGCTCTGCTTCGGCGGCGGGGGTGGAGGCGGCGCAAACTGTGGTGCCTGGTACGCGGGCTGGTTCTGAGCGGTTAGGGCCGCTGCGTCGACGGCTGGCGTCGGATGAGCGATAGGCGGAGAGAATGGTGGGGTGGGTGGGATCTGCGTGTTTGCACCCCAGCTGGGAGGGGCACCGGCGTGTGGGTAGGTGTATGCCATCTCTTTCTCTTGGGGGGCGAGGTTTTGGGTTGTATATTTGATCTTTCCCTTCTTCTTCTACCTTTTCTTTTCACTCGGGTCCTGGTGATATATAGGAACAAGAACGAGAACAACAAGAGAGAAAGAGGGGGTGAGTCGCCTTTTTAGAAGTCGCCTTTTTTTCCCTTTCATGCATTTCATTGTTGTTACTGTTACACAGCTTTTTCGCTTGTGCGACGCCGCTCAGCCGCAGATGGGTCCAAAATAAACTATCAGTCTGGGGATCTTACTCTCTGGGGACAGGGGACTCGAAGACTTCGCTGGTGAGAATGCATGCATGCATATGTCTGTCAGGATCAGATGTTCTAGAGGAGCGAGTGATGCCCTATGATGTTGTTCACCTACCTAGCTGCAGTGTTCAAAAACCCTCCAAATCCCCTTAGCAGCTTAACAAGGGGAAGTTCATACTTGTCTCCGCTCCGCGGCATTCGCCGGTGTGGAATCTTTCAAAGCCTCAAGTTTTACATCAACAGCAATGATCCTGGATCCTGTTAATAATCCTAGACATCCATCCTTGACTAACTTCCAAGCCATGTCGCACCCAACAAACCCTAACCCTGCTCTAGCCCATCCTACTCACTGGCTGGCTTAGCCTGGCTACATATGCCAACTTAAGCAATATCATGCTAATTGGAGTTTCAAATCTTTGAGCGTAGGGTTACTAGCGTGCTGGGAATATTATCAGTTTCGTGTTTGAGTCCATTTCCCTAGTGATCAAAGCGTTGTGAACTCAACCTGTTGTTTCCCTCTTAACACATGTCGCCTGGTTTCTTCTGCACATGTTACAGTAGAGCACTCCTATCTCGAAAAGTCACGCTTCTTCAACTCTCAAAACAAATTTCTATATATATCCCACCGTTGTGGCTCCTCAAACCATGCTGCATACATAAAGTACTTAGTGACCCCTGTCCTCTACAAAATCGGCAATCCCTATTCCCGAGCTTTCGCACCTCGCTAAAACTGTTAAGCCTTCTCGCTGTGCATAAGTGGCGTGCAGCAAGCACACAGCCGGTGTTCTTGGGTGACACATGCGCCAAGGCTGGACGGAATGGTTGTAGCACAGGCCATATGGTGTTGATTGGTATGCTGTTGGGTTAAAGGCTCGCACTGCCACTGGTCGACTTTAATTTGGTACTATTTTGAGGGCGATTTTGCAGAGTCGATCGTTTCATCAGAGCGATAAGGATAGCTGGATGTTAAACGTGTGAGGTATAGATATTATACAAGAGTAATAACATTCCCCTCGTGACGCCTCAACACAATAGGAGCTAGTTTTGTATACTATCATCCTTATCGCTAGCTTATTTGAATAACTCAGGCCCATACCCCTCGGACTACCCCCATACTTCCATAAAAGCCACGGTAAACTTGGCATTTGCGCTTTTCATAGGATCTTCCGATGTATATCCATCCATGGTTAAAAGCGCCATATGATTGGCAGGATTTATTAATAATCCGAATGTGTACCAGTTAATAATGTCTCTTGCTGGCTTGCTTTGATATAGGGATTTCTAGAACGGTATTAAGCCCCAGAAGGCCTCTCAAAGTTCCACGGTCCTCTCATAACAAGGGCCCTGTGTACCGTTCGATTTAGATATTCGGAAAAACGATTCAATAATCTTTGGGACCGAGACCATGAAGGGATGGCGATAATAGATTTCCCAATCTAAAATTGCAACAATTCTGGTTGGTGTGTCCTTGGATAAAAGGATGTTTTGTGGCCCCAAATTAGAATGCATTATGACTTGTGGCACGGCTTCGATAGTATGTGAAATCTTCATCCCGCGTTCAATAAAGTCTTTTATTCGAGGGAGATACGCCGTCTTATATTCCTTGAGCGTACTTAAATTTGAAGCCTCTAAGCTTCTCAGGTTCATTTGTATCCATTCTCGCAAATACTCAACAACCGATGAAAAATTACCACCCATGCCAAAATTACTATAAGGATAGTTAGAATACCTGGGTAAATCAGCGGTGAAATTGTTTTTCGGAAACTGCACAGAATCACCGAGTCGGGGTTCCATGTCCCATATAGCGCCGTAGGCTCTTCCAAGTGCTTTGAGGATCCGAACCTTTTCTTTAAAAGGGAGTTTAGGATAGTGTATGCTCCCTAATATTCCGGGAACCATTTTGTATATCTGAATGCATTGGCCCTGCTTAGACCTCCTCGTACTAGTATAGGTTTCAAGGACTGGAAAGACATCCGAATATTCGGCCCTAAGGAATTTCATAAAAGGGGCTGTTGATTCGATGTAGCCGTGGCTTCTGGTTTGTACCACGTATTTTTCATCGAAATGATCCTCTATTCTGATCTTGTAGGACTGATTGAGCGATCCATTCAGGATAGGCCAGGACCTACTTATGATCCCAATACCCGCATCCTTTATATGTTAGCCATGTCCTTATTTCCGATTGTAATCCGTACAATCGATTTTAACCATCCGGCCTCGCGATCAAGAAGATACAGAACACGTCTCATGGTCAATGCACGAGAGTGGATCTGGTATGTCACCATGATGGCAACCTCATTGATTGAAGGATCATCTTTGTATAAGGTGTAGGTAACGTGAAGATCGCGTCGAGCGCAGAAAGAACCATCCGCTTCGTATTTCGTAACTTTCTGGTACAAGAACTCATAGTTATCACGGTTCGTTGGATCACTGTTCGACTTTGGGTCACGGTTCGATGTAGGGTACGTTGTGTTTTTCGAGGAATTTAATGTCAATCTTATCACTAAGTCCGAGATAGCAATATTAGCTTGCGGCCTGACATAGAGCTTCCTGGTGGAGGATAATCTACCTTCCGGGTATTTTTTATGCCTGATGATGCCATACTTTCAGGTACGTTTATAAGACGTAATGATGGATGCCTTTGTATGGGCGATGTGATTGAGACTCGAGGGATATAAGGTAAAGTCGCATCGTCGAAGAAGATTGAAGCCTTGATTAGAGAAAAAAAGTAGAAATCGTGGAAACTTGAACATACCAGCGTGCCAAAACCTGGGCTTAACATATATATAACTACATGATATATATGTCAATTAATTATAGGATCAAGCGTTGGGAAAGTATCAGGATACTAGCCAGGTAAGAGTACGGAAATTGCCACATATATACGTATCATCTGGCCGGGGAAATCTGCTGAGCTTCTAGTTGTTGGGTGAGGGATTTTTTCGTCAAGAACAGCAAAATATAGATTTGCCGTGATATATCAGCCTTGGTAGGTGTTTTTGTAGTCTCGCTCCTAGACCCATATGGCCTTACGGGACGTTAAAGTCAGGGATGGGTAATAGTGATGTGAGTGGGATCGCAAACGTTTGAGAAACCGGAGCGGCGCAGCACTAAGGATACGTAAACACTCTAGGCAGAAAATATATTAACAGGCAACAGCGCTGGATGGTCCAGGGACGAACATCGCAACGCGTGTATAGTTTCGATCACGACCAATCACTCGTTCCACTAAAAGCCTCCGTGGGCAGCTCAACAAGCCATCCCTCAAACTCAACAGCCATTTATATTGAAGCATTACGCGGCTGTCGTACCGCATAGCCAAGAATCAAATCTTATGATCTCTCTATTCACTGTGGATAAAACCCTAACCCTGGCTAAGCCCCCACCAACCTATGAAATTTACACAGCCTGAAGTGCCAAGAAGGTTGCCAAGTCCTCGCATCAACGTCATCGAGACAGGCATCAATTCAGTTTAACCAGGACCCGTGGCTTAGGGAACAGAAGATACTCAAAGCTTATAATTTACGCAGGAGGAGCCTTCCTATGCTACAGATTTTATATCTACCTGCCGGGGTCTGTTCTTCACACCTCTTGTGCCAGTCAGCCAGTTTGTAAATCACCGTAAAAAATGGATCCTCCCCCACCGTACACACCGCTTCTTGGAGACGCTGAAGCTAGCCCTGACCCACAGCATCTACAACACCCGCCGCCACCCCCTCCCGCATCTCTCCGCCCAATACCCCCACAGTTGCCACCTAGGCCGCCGTCAAATCAGTTGTCAGCATGGGCACAGGACAGTAAGACTGGTCATGGTCGGTCGGCGTCACAGGCATCGCTTGTGCCAGTCAGTGATGGAAGCGATGGAAGCAAACGGAAGCTACTGGTGATTTACATCCATGGCTTCATGGGGAATGAGACAAGCTTCCAGAGCTTTCCTGCGCATTTACATAATCTTCTTTGTGTAACACTGGATCCGTTGGGGTATCTGGTGCATACGAAAGTTTACCCAAAGTTCAAGACACGATATAATATTCTTGTTGCTACCGAAAACTTCTCTCAATGGTATTCTCCCTGCTGTTGGTTCATCAAAAATGGGATATTATCTTAACAGCTACCAATAGGCTATCGAAATTCGAGAATGAAAACACAGATGTGATTCTATTGGGACACTCAATGGGAGGTCTTCTTGCTGCCGATGTTGCCTTACTTCGAGATTACACTGGAAAGAAGCGGCATCGAATTCTAGGAATCATTGCTTTCGACACCCCGTTCCTCGGTATGCACCCGGGTGTCATCTCAGCTGGCCTCGGTAGCATTTTCCGTCCTGCCCCCAGTAGTCCGGGAGAGGATGCACATGGGGTATATGCCAATGGCGCAGAAGGCTCGAGCCAGAGTAATATGTCTCTTCACACCATGAACTCTGGTGGCTCCCAGGTAGACGAGTTTTACTCCAAACCGCCAGCGAGAAATTACACCGTTGTTGTACCAAAAAAAGGTCAGTTGAACCCATTCTGGTGATTCGATTGTTGCGGGCCTAAGACTAACGGAAACAGAGGGAACTTGGGATTCTACGCTTCATTTTATAAACAAATACCACTCGCGCCTTACACAAGCGACAGGTCAATATCTCATGTCTCATCTTGAGTTTGGTGGGTGTCTCGCAGACATCATAGGACTCAAGAATCGATATAGTGCCATTCGCGCTCTCGAGGATGGTGTTATATGTGTCAACGGCAATACTGAGCGCATGAGATTTGTTAACTATTATACCTCTTCAACAGGGAGAATCAAAGGAACCGCTGAGAGAGTAGTTTCGCCTGATTCTGGACGAGTGAGGGCTTTTGATGGCGAACATGGCGTTCCGGGAGTGGAGCTGGATCACGATCTCATTGGGCACGAAAGATCAAGTCAATACGTCGAGGTTGGTGTTGTGGAAGTGGGTGAGCCTAGTAGCAGCTCTATGAAACATCAAAGAAATGCCAGTGTGAGCTCTTATAATACAGCAAGTTCAATGGACGACATGAAGCATATTACTGCTGACCCAATAACGGATGATGAGTTTGGAGGTGAACCGGTTGCACTTCATATTGTGGATGCAGATGAGTTCTCGGTTGTAGATGGGAGATCACCAACTGAGCTGTCCGTCCACGAGAGTGTTCAATATTCAAAAGATGACAAAGAATGCTACAGCGGGAACGGGAAGTATAATGAGAAATCCGGATACCATGATAATGGGGAGTCCTCGTCCATGTATCCACTCAACGATATATCCCGCCAGATCACCACAGACACCATGGAAACACTGGAAAATCAATTATCCATAGATCTCGCTCTCTCAGACTTTCAATTGCCGCCTATACCGCCACCACCAGAGGAGCCACCCTCATTCGATTATTCTCAAATACCCGATGCAATGGTCCGTAAAGTGGCTGAAAAAGAAGCAGCAAGGGTACGGAAAGCTTGGGAGAAGGCAGTAAAAGACTATGAGAAAGCTATTAACAACCGTGAAAAAGAGTTAGAAAAGCTGAAAAAGAATAAGGGTAAAGGGGTTGATCGTTGTACCAAAGAAGAAGATAAAAGAAAGGAGCGTCAGCTGAAGGATAAGGCAAAGGAGATTGAACGTCAAGAGCGTGAGCGGAGAAGAGAACTCAAAGAATGGGATAAGGAGAAGGACCGAGAAGAGAAAGAAATCCAAAAGAAGTTAAAGGAAGAGGATAAAGAAAGAGAAGTCAAGGACAGTGATAGATTGAAGTTAATGCGGGGATGGGAGCGGGAGAAGGAAAGGGAAGAGAGAGAGATCCAAAGGGAGTTGGAAAAGAAGGAACGTGAGATTGTGAGGGAACTAGAAAGAATGGAGAAAGAGGTACAATTGGGAAGGAGGGGGAAGCAAGGTGAAATTGAGAACGCGAGGGAGAAGCAAGAGATCATGGTGGAAAGCGAAAAAGATGAAAAGGAGGAACTTAAATTAACGTCACAAGGAATCGAAGAATACACACATGAAAAGCAAGAACTTGAACGTCTTCGCAAGGAACAAGAACGTATGGATGCCGAGTATCGACGTATGAACGGCATTCCCGAGCCTCCAGTACAGCCACTTTCGCCGAGGTCCGCGCCTCCATCGACAGCCACAATATCAGCTTCTTCTTCACGTTCGAATCTACCGATCTCGTCCCCGGCTTTACGTCCCGAAACGCCCAAGAGTAATTCTACATCCCCAAAGCCTAAGGGAAAGGATAAGAAGAAGAGGGATCGCAGATTCTGCTGTTTGCCTAGCGATAAGAATGACAAGTGTTGGGTAAAAGTAGAGATGGTGGGTGTCGATGAGGTGGGAGCCCATTGCGGCTTGTTCTTTGTTGGGGAAGCTTATGAAAGACTGGTTGGGGATGTTGCAGCGAGGATGGAAGAATGGGTAGGGGAGGAGAGAACTAGGAGTATTCTGGAGAGTCTGTAGCTCAAGTAAGGAAATAATGCTAGTGGATGGCATGTTCTGACTTAGTCTCGCTCCCAGTTGCGCAGGGAATGAACACATTCTGCGCTTGAAGCTAATCCTCACTTCCTGCACACGTTAACTCAGACTTTTAATTATAGTCTTTCAATTACATGTATGTACAATTACATTTAGATGCAGTTACCTTAGTTCAAAATCTTCGAGAGAGTTTTCAGAATGTTTAAATTGTGTCTATCGGCCTATACGTATTGTGGGGTGACAAAAGTTCTCGTGATTTTCGCATAGCAACCAGCAGGGGAATTTCCAAAAGACCGATCCACAAAGTCGCTTTTATCACCCCATAATGTTTATACGGCGTTGATAGCGCTCTATCGCACTATATATATTACACAGTAATCAACACTGCGGCGACTACTACTTGTAGTCTCTATTGACATGTTATGAGAGCACAATAATTTTCACATGATATGAGCATACTGAGGTATGTATTTGTATTTTCCTCTTGAATGTTAGTAGCCTCAGTAAATGTACCTAGGTGAGTTGTGCATATTAGAATGGTGAGACGGGGCCACATAGAGTGGTGTTCGTAAACTTTAATTTCGGTAACACTCTAGTCTTTTCTCCCACCTTCCTGCCTTTTCTCCCAACGTTTATCAATCCCACCATAATTCCCAGAATTCTCACTGTCATTATCTTCATTATCGTTTCATCATCGCAATTCTCGTCCGGAGGAGGTCTGTCATCAAACAAATAACTCGAGACAAACCTCTTTGTTTGTTTGTCCATTGCTCGAATTACGGTCAAGAAATTATACCAAGCATCCGCTAGCTACCATCACTCTTCTTCGGCTCGTCATAAGCTCTAGCCTAACCTATCAAATCTCTCGGGACCCCACAATCCTCTAGTCTTATGTCTAGTAGTGATGAGCTTTTGGCAGGGTTTCTGCCCGGTCGTGCCTACATCAGATTGTACAAACGGACGCAGAATGGGAGCAGTGATCCGTATGTCCTTCCTGTAACTGAAGTGAATACTTGGGAGGTAGTTACCTTATACTCTACCCACCATCCAGGGAGCCACATACCTCTAAGTTAACGCATTTTGGTAGAAACTTCTCAAATTTTCAAAAAGGATCTTCGACATTGATAGTCCGCCGAGAGTATTTACCGGAGATAACTGCCCTGTACCACCTGGCTTCTGGGCTGACATACTTCTTGGAGCTGGTCGATCTGGTCAATGTTTTTATCTTGAAATTCATCCGGAGCGGTACACTGGATGCAAAAGACAGCCACCCGCGGCAAAGAGAAATCCTTCGTCCGGAAAAACCCCCCCTCCCGAAGAAATAAACCTTGTAATTCTTCTCGAATATCCGGCAGGCCTATTTTCTAAACCTCCTGACGATTTAATAGTCGAACCTATATCCCCATATCTATGTTTTGAAAAACTGGCTCAAAATATGAAGTTTTCACTCTTTCGAGATTTCGCTCCGACCACCGACTTCTCGATTCTTTTTGAAAATGCGGCAGGCAAACATCTTAGTCCTGAACGAACTATTGCAGAGTGCGGGCTCTCTCATGGACAATTGGTCCACTGTAGACTGGGGGATCCTTCTCCAACTGATCTGGCTGGGGCCGATCGCGAATCTTCATCTCCAGAACTTTGATCAACATTATCTACTTTGAGCTGATAATAACATGGAGCAGTGGAAGCCACGGAAGCTATTATAAACTGGAATGAAGCGAGGTGAATTACTGAGTGAATTGAAATGAAGTTGCGCTGCTTTGATTGTTTGATTTGGGCTGACCGTCGTCAGCACCTTAGGATAGGAGCAGTAATTTGATATCAGGCGGCTAGAAACAACACTTGTTACAATCGAATAATATTTCTTTTGGCAATAAACAAGCATTCGGGGGACTTATGTATATCAAGGTTTTTTCAAAGCGCTAGTTCTCAAAAAATTGAAGTGATATCAGTGTGAACTTTCCAAGGTTTCAGTAAATTCACTGGCTCGGGACTTGGTAAAGCAGGTCTCATAAGGCTGAGACAATTCACTCCGTGAAGAAACCAAAGGTAAACCCGGTATACCTGACCGTGTTACTGACTTGCACGAACCTGGGTGAGATAGCTCTAGTGCCAAACCCCTGTTTTCCGCATCAGCACGGTAGAACTCCACCGTGATTATTTGTTTATGAAAAGCAAAGTTCTTAGTCTAAATTGATGTTAGTTAGCTGAGCTAAAAAGCGATTTCTCGTCTAAACTAATTGATTACCAGGAGAGTTAAACTTTAGTTGAAACAATTTTGGCCTAGGCTATAGTGGGAGTGTGGGGGTGACGGGTGAAACATTCGGCTTCAGAAATAACCCAAATATCTAGAATCATCTGCTAATTAAGATGAGCTATGGCTCCATGTCTTCTGTGGCAAAAATAATTGTGAGTTTTATGAATTTCAGATCTCGCTACCGGATATGCAATGGCCCATGCCATGTGGTTACTATACTTGGTTTATACAAACCCTAACCCTGCGTATAATCTGTGATAGTACGGCCCAGTACGGCTGAGTCGGTCACCACGAGGCTGGGACGTACAACATTTTCGGGCCGCAACATTTACCGGCTCGTGCTTATAATTATCATTATTATTCTTACCACAGGGCAGCGTTATATCTTTGGTTTCCCCTTGAGCTCACCAGGTCCCGCGCGACATGTAGAATGTCAAAAGTAAAGATTAACACAGCAAGGTGATTCCGATACACTTCTCATTGGATCAACTCCTATATAAATAAGGAAGGTGGACGTTTCTTATTTATGGGAACCTCGAGGTAATCCAAACACCGAAAATGGTCGAGGTAGGAATAGGGAATAAGGCCCATGAAAAGTAGATACTTACAGGCCTCCTAACACTACTAATTATGACTCGCCTAATAGAAAACAAAGTTCAATATACCATATTATTTGTGAGCTGCATGGCTAAACAGTCTGCGGGGAGACTGATAAGCCTTTCGGGTGATTTGATGGTGGGTCAATAATATCATACTAGAATAAATTCGGAGTTCTTGCATTTATGGCTGTCTGAGCGCAGCCATACATACACCAAAAATAGATCACAGAATGGCGTTGGCCAATCAAGCAGCCATAACCCTCAGGCACCTGTCCAAAGAGGAAACAGTATCGCCTAATTAGGCCGCCCGGTAATATAGGTGCAGGTATGTGGTCAATCTGGTCAGCTGTAGATTCTGTCCCACCGACCGCGCCGATGAACTATGTTGCTCTCCGAGAAACTGTTTCGCGATGGTGTGACCATGTTTATTGTAGCGTTCGGTTACCGAGCTCTTTAGAATGTCTTCTTATGGCCTAAGCCTTACGGCGCAGAGGAATTACATCAATTGCGGGGAGCATAGAATATTCTTTTCTTCACCCAACCCATCCTTCTTATCTACCCGCATTGGCTTCATAAATTCCATGATCCCTCTCTACCGACAAGACATCCATCCCAGGTTTGGATATTTCAAAGCGAAGCCCTTTTGACTCTCTAGCTGGCTAGCACATGTTCATATACCACATTAGCTCCTTTAAGCTGGTACGTACATTCTCTGATATTGAAATACACCATTGATCATAGGAAAATGCTCATGATATACTGGTAGCTATAGGATATATATGCCAATCTCCACATACTAAAGCCTCTGTGAAAGCAGAAAAGACCTGAATTCATACGATCGTTTTGGATATTTCGCAAGAATATCAAACAACATGTACGCTGACGGATATTATCAAAGCCCATTGGGCACGCCTCCTACGACATCAGACTCATCCAAGTTACACTATCACAAGGTGGGGCGGAATAATACCCCTCCATTAGTCAATGGATATTTCACTCCTCCGCAGAGTCGTGAGAACTCCCCATCATTGCGTGCAATTTCTCCGAACCCTCAGAGCCGGAATCATTCACCTCTCCCATCTGTGCGAGATGGTTCACCAACCCCATCACATCACAACGTGCGGAGATCCAGAACAAATTCCGGATCAAGATTTTCTAGGGCACCATCGCCGATGCAGAGGGAGAACTCTTTTGAAAGTAGACGATTTACACCCGAGCCAATTGAGATTGCAATTCCTCCTCCTATTCAGTTTGGTGGAGAGCAGGGAACATTCGGACGTGCAGACAGCCGCAAATATCAAAAGCCTCTTACTCTCCCCACACCACCCGAGTCTGTAAAGGATACCAACTCCCAAAAAAGCCGTTATCGAAGATCAGATGAATCCATAATAATCCCGCTAGAGCCTACGGTCTATGTGCCCGGAGTGGGCGATACAGTGAGTAGTGTAGGGTCTCTTGCGCTTGAGCGGGATGAGGATTACTTCGCTCTTCAGCGGGAACGCTCGATAGCAGATCGTGTTGCGCAATTTGCGGCATATCCTACACCACCCGAGTCACTAGATTCGCCCACAATCAGGTCACCATTTTTGCCAGTAGAACCAGAAGTGGAGAATAACGATGCGCAACCGCGCTTTCCAACTCCTTACCAAAGGTGCGGAATGGCTTCAACACAAGAAGAGCTTGTAGGATTGTGGAAATCAGCTCAAGGTATTAGAAGAGGTGCGGTAAAGCCAACCGGCAAAAACTACATCTTGAATATGTACCGGTTAGTTTCTTCCAAGTCCTTCGTGCATACCGATGCCTACTAACACGATAACCAGTCAAGCATCACTCCCAGATCCTCACCAGGCAGAACACCCTCTCGCATTCCCAGAGCATTTCACTTTTGGTGAAAATGCCTATACACCTTTCTACAGCATCCATGCAATGCGTGAGAATCCAAGTGATGATACCTTTAGCGAACTGAGTCTTCTTCGCCGAGATCCAGTGACCGGCCTGGATACCTCAGTTATAACACTGGGACTTGAGCCTCCTTCCCGCCGCATTTCTCCGGCAGGAGATGGATTGATCACTCTCATCTACCCTAAGGAAGCAGTTCTCTCTGCAATGTCCCCTAAAACCCCAACAGTTCCGGCTAAAGCCGACCAGCTTCTCGGCCCTCGTAGGAAGAGAGGCGACGAAGAAAGAGCCAGGGAAGCCATTCAAAAGGCCTACGCAACTGAGTGCTGCAGACTTAGCTGGAATGCAGCACGGAGAAGATATTACTTATATCACCCTGGTATTGGCAACGGCGGGGATGCCTATCTCGTTCAGATTGAAGGCGAAGTTGGATTCGACAACTTGGGCGCCAAGGGCTGCATCAAGTTAATTAACGTTGATACAAACGAAACTCTTGTGGAATTGGACTTTACACGCAAGATGCTGTTCATTGATACCAATGCGACCAACAAGATCCCCTCGGACCACATTGTTGATGTGGCCGTGTCTACCGTCCTCACTGTTGCAACGGTCGAGGGTAGACGCATGAGGATGGTACGCCAGAGTCAGTCATATTACTCGAATACTGTGTCTGCACCATTATCATCGCGACACATTAGCAACCAATACAGCGAAAAACGAAGCCGCAAGCAACGCGGCTTCTCAAACTTTCTTAGAAAACTCTGCTTCTGAAGGAATATACCTTCCAAAAACCCTTCTATTCTCCCATCTTCCTTTTCCGGACTTCTTTTTTCTTTCTTTTGACTACATGAATTTCTTTTGTTCTTATACAAGTTGGGATAAACCGGTCGGTGTTTTATTTCTACTACAAATGGGTTATACGGTGTTTGGGGGATTTTTTTTTTCCTTCTTTTGAACGACACCTCTACGGGTCATATTTTTTCTTCATGTGAATATAACTAGATAGCGTATGGGCCCAGGTGGTCAAGGGTTTGATTCTTTGTGTCTATGTTTTAGGGGATGTGGCAAGTCGAGCTTGCAGAGCAGAGCGAGCAATATAGAAATGCAGATACATGTATATTTTCTATGCATTATGTGTTATACATTTGAGCGTTTACCAATACTTTCTCAACCCACTACAAGTATCTTTGATCTCCCGTGAGAAACTACATGCAAGCTCACCTTTACCGCTTCGGAAATCACCCCTGAAAAAATGGAACCCTAGTGGCGCATTAGCCAGCCAGTTCCACGCAAAAACCTTCATAGTCTTTAAAAAAGCTTCATTAAACTTTCTTTAGACCCATGATCGAACGTCTTCACCCCTTTGTTTTTTTGTGGTTTTATTCGCTCGGGGTCAGTGCATTTGAGAACCCCGCTTCGTAAATAGACCCCAGCCCTACAACCCGCAAATAGCATTTTTCTTCGTCTGCAAACCCTTCTGTATCTACTCGGATGCGCACCCATTATACGAAGACTCGCCTCAATTCAAGGCAAATAATGCGTTTCATGAAATATCACTCGGTCATAACGAAAAGCATTTTTTCTGTGTAGCATCCTGAGACATGCGTGTTCCTCCCATGACTCAAAGATTGATTGATCCTAGCACTAAAGGCGCAGAATTAGTATAAACCACCTTCCGAACCAAAAATTCACCGCTCCATGGAGTAGTTATTCTCTGTATCCCTCCAGTCAAATGCAAAATACCTCCATGTAATTCTCTATCAATACCTCATACCTTATAAGCCCTCTCTAAATCAAGAAACTCGATCCTAAAGCCCTATCAGTACCTTCAAAGCTTCCTCTCAGAATGCTGTAATCTCGCTGCAGGGATCTTACCTTCCCCACGCAGAGCGTTAAATATATCTGTCTTGGCGCCATAAAAGCGGTACGAGGGCGGAGATGACCGTAGTTGGCTGTGACTCAAGATTTGGCACCTGCCATAACGGGCCAGAAGTATGGGAGTTGGTTGTTCAATTCGTCCGGCCAATCTTTGAAGCATGAAGTGGTTACAGGGTATGACTCAACGTTAATTAGCTGTAGTATAAAAGACACTTGAGTGTACCTCTAGCTAGACATAGGCTCCAGTAAATAAAATACTCAAATCAAACCCCTCCTGACCACAGTTACGAAATTTCATAACATCCAAGTTCACTCGCAGAATCAATCGATCCAAACATATACTCTCAAGAAATGCCAAAAATGTCTTCCACTGGCCCCCGTCCATCCACTGACACCTCTTCCACGTCTAAACCTCTCATCTCCGAACCGTCAACCTCCTCGTCCAGCTCATCTATCTCCTCAGTGCTCAAATCTCTCTTCAAGAAATCTGGCGGCACTGCCGAGCAGAAGAAAAAGCCAGTTCCCAAGAGTACCACCCAGGGCAACTTTGGCGGCGAATTCAGGATCCAATAGAGGCGCAAAAGAACCCAAACCGATAAAATAACCTAGTTAAAGCGGGTAAAAACCGCTTACACCATCCAAAGTATGGCAACCCCGAAGAAACCAGTGTTACGCTCCTGGGAAAAGAGTGTGCGCCGGGAATTGTGGCGTCGCCGGCTAGGCGGGGGACACCTGGGCTTGACTGCCGAATGGTCATTGCTCGATGAGGGATAGGTGGAGGAACTCTCTTTCTTCTATATGACCTTATGGGACTGGTGGTATTTAGCGTGGAGCTCTTTTTGATTTTCTTTATATGGAGTTTTACGACTCATTAGTGGCTGTGGATCGAATGTGCGCGGGACTGGATTTGTGGTTGTCGATCATGGTTTATCACTCGTTACTTTATTAAACAAAAATTCTCTATTCAGAAAATGAAACTTTTATCTGAGGCTCAATATCCGGGTGATACGCATCGGATATGAATGAAGCAAGCACGCCTAGGCCATTGAAGCACGTCAAACCCATACATGTCGCGCTCCGTTCCCAGAATTACATTACCAAACCGTCCACGCGTCAGCACAGTAACTTACATAACCACCTTACTGACCTCCCAAGCTCAAATTCCCCGCGTCGAGCACCTCACTACAACCATCTATTTTCAGGATTCACATTGGCTGGTCACCAATCCACTCTACCAGATTCGAATCAACTTCATATCCAGCTCTACGCTTCTATAATTAAAATATCTATGAACGCAAAGTACACCATTACCTATCACATTGAAGTGCAAAACGAAAATGGCTATCCAGAACGGAAGAGCTCCACTTTCATTGAACAGAACAAACTTGCTGATGTATGGAAGGTAGGAAGCACAGCAATACTGGCAGATCTATAAATGGTCTAATAGATCTAATATACCACTAGAAAGAATTAGATAAAATGAGGATAGTATTTACTGTCCCTAATATGAGTACTACTTTCGGGTAAAATAAATAATCGAAATTCTAACGACGACGAGCATTCCCGAAAACGCCAACTCCACAAATCGGTATCCAACTAGGGGGCTACATCCTTCAATGCCGCTTCGGACAACTCAAGCAATCCTTGCTGCATCTGCGAAAAGATATCAATTGCCTACACAACCAGGTAATTAGCATAAAACTCCCTATTGATTCTACAGTCAATCGATTCACAAACCTGCTTCAATTTTCCATCATCATCGGCCTCAACTAATTTGGTAAACTTCTCCTCATCGTCTAGCACATTCGCATAATCCTTTACATCGGGTACTGAAACATCAGTCAAAACATCATATAAACTAGTGTTTATAAAGCTCCCTGCATTGTACGGTTCGGCTGCCAGGGCCTTCAGAAGCGTCGGCGGTACCGTGATATGATGTGCTCCAGCCAACTGCAATATTTCCGAGACAGATGTCAAACTAGCCATCATTCATCAGCACACGGCTAACACTGCCCTTGATTAAAGGAGGAAAGACCTAGCAGGTAAGACCTGTGTCGAATATCCCTGTTGCTCGAAAAACTTCTGTGAGACTACACACAGCTTCAATCCCTTGGCCTTTGTATGGTCTTCGAATCCGGGCGTGAAATGCACTTTTAATGCATTCACATATGGCGCTATATAGGAGCATCCTACTGCACCCGAAGCAGCCGCCTGTACCATGGTGAACAGGGTTGTCGCCAAAGTCCTAATTCCTTCCTTTTCCAGCACCTCACATGCTTTCAATCCGGCATATGTAGTTGGAATCTTAATGCAGATCCGATCCTGAGAGGTTCCCGGAGCAAGATGCTGCACCAGCGCTATATACCGATGGGCATTTGCAATGGTGTCGGTGGTTGAGTAGGCGTACTTCGGATTTGCCTGAATATGAACGCGGGATGTAGTGTAGGCGAGATACCGGAGAGAGAGCTTGGTACCGATGATTTCGGCGGTCAGTTCGGGGGCGGTGAGAGCACCCGCGTAGGGAGATTTCTTGATCAGGGTTGAAGCGAGTTGGGCGGATTCGGTAATTATGTGGGCATTTTCAGGCTTCTGAATCTCAAAATATGAGATTGCCTATGGTTTCCCTTAGCTCTTGCCATTGAGCGATGGAATTAAATAGGAGCTGTGAGATTAGTTTACCTGGTTAGACGTGCAGTCTACGAATGGGCCCAGGTCTTTCCCTATCGATATATCGAGAGTGTCGCAATCTACAAAGGATCTTGTGCGAAGATAATCTAAGAGGGTTTGAGTGGCCATGACTGTCCAAAAATTAACACTTAAGAATAATAAGAAGAGGAATTATCAAGTGATAGAGAAAAACAAATGGGATTTGGGAGAATAGATATAATATAGAGCGGGGCACATCTTGCGGGGAAAAGCTGTTTGAGCCGCGGGACTTGCCGTTTCCCCGATCTGCACATGCGGACTGATGCAATCCGGTGGGTGGGATTGGATGGGGTGTTTCACAGGGTGTCACTCGGTATGCGAGAACACCGATTCTTAACAATCGGGACAATCAATTGCTCGAGAACAGGTGAGATATGGTTGATCTCGATTACTGATCTCCGTTTTACTCAGATTACTCAGCCCTTTTCTACCTTTGATAAATGTCCAACGACCGAGATTCATGAAAACGCACTCGAAATAATCTCTGATAACCCACTGCCCGCCGCTACTGGTGCAATTCAGGGATATCAAGATCTCTGCGGGCTATTGTGCATTCTTTTTCCCGCAACGCGCGAGATTATGTGCACTTTTATACGATTGGCTTCTGTTGTGGTTTGCATCTTACAACATGTATCTTATCCCTGGAGCCTTTTGTCAGAAGGAAGTATGCAGACCACAGACGGGCGGAATCATGGTCGGCATAAGCCAGGCCGAGATAATTGTGAGTTCAAATCCCCACTTCATCGTGTCTACCTATTTCTCCACATCAAACCTTGATTGCACAATATGATGTGAGACTGATGGATGTGATTGGGTATAAAATAAAATTTAAAACCTGGTCCAGCACAACGGCGATACATAAGAGAGTCCCAATATATCTCTGTTCAGTATCCCTGATTCGAAGCAGGGGAGCCTTCCTCACGGGCGACTCCGAGAGTCTTGGCGTTATAGGATTAAGCGATTAACCTTCACTGATCTTGATGTTAAAAGAACCAGGTTTTCTTCAGCGTAATTGATTCTTAACCATATCGCTGCTCCATGAAGACTTCAATACTGTATCTATGATTAGTACATGTAGTTAATCGTGCTGTGCCTTGGTAACATAACAAACAAATTATCCATCTGGGCGATAATACGCTTGGTTAGATGGTCACACACCCGGGGCATGTAGAGTAAATTGGTAAGTCTCATATAATTGATTGCAACGTTAAGGCTACGAGTGTCCTGGCACAAAACCCGTAGCATAGCTGATGGCAATCTTCCCAAGAGATATCGGAGAACCGCCTGTGATCGACAATTATTGTTTCCCGCTCTATAACTGATGGAATGAGTAACATGTTACCAGGGCTTTGCAAATTTTACTAGAAAATGAACTCAAACGACACACAAGACGGTCCTATCGTACTCCTCTCTAAAAATTTAAAAGCTTATATTTTTAGGTGAGATAGAACGAACTACCTTCTACTATGATGCACTGATTCCGTTATTTCCCGGGCTCTTCTAGAAAGGTACTCTCATATTCCCGCTTGGATGGGCCCAAAACGTCTTCGCGAGGCTACTCTATAGCAAAGCATCGTCAATTTTCCTTGCTCATGCGGTCTCGAAACCTGGGGTAGATTACAGGTTGAGGTTGGTGTACGGACTGGCCCAAGCCCACTATGGTGGTGATGGAGGTAAGTACATAGAGTTAGCTTTATTCACTTTATCACTCGACTTAAGTGCAGCGAGCGCTAACCAATACGATCTCAGATAGTAATCCGCTATGTAGCTGTTCTTCACTGAATATTCAGTGGGTTAGGGTTATGTTGATAACGTATCACAACCAGAATCTCGGCTGCCACTTCAAGCTCTCGAACTTACACTTCATGTCTCACACAGACACTGGCAGGTTACACATAATATCCAAACATAAAAACAGCATTTACTACATGTACTCGCACGTCAATTATGTATTTGCCCAACCAGCAAAACACAGCAAAAATCGAGGTTTTCAACAACTCATAAAAAGCCCCACACCTAAACCAAAATATCAACGACCAAGTATAGTATAATTTTGATAAAGGAGGTCCATGCTTCAAATCCTTGGCCCAATTGAGATACTGGTAAAGGTGCCATAAAAGGACCCTTTTAGACACATTTCACCTTCAGGGCTTGTTCTTTGTAGATATGGCCTAAAAGTGGCCTGTAGAGTCTTTCAGGTGTCTAGATAGAAGACATAATTTCAGGGGAGATGGGAAAGCTCTCTGGATTCTGTGTGTGTTTTGCTGGTTGCGCAAATACATACTTGATATGCGAGTACAGCCGCATTCGAAAAGTACTGGCACCCTACTACATTGAGTCGTTCATGGATTGTAGTCCACCAAAATCCATGGCACTCGCGCATACTCAACTTATTGATAGGTATGACCGCAATAGAGACATGGCAGCTCTCTCTGGCAATTGTCTTGAATATGGGGGTTGAAAAGCAGAAAGGACTGCCTCGTGAGTTTGGCTCGAAGGTGCCAATACTTTTCAAATGCGGCTGTACATGTATGTAGTATATACATACTTCCTATACATCCATAAAATACTCTACTCCCGTGTTCACCAAATCGTCGAATCAGGCAAGTTCTTGGGATTCTACCACATTTCTTCCACATTAAATCTGACCTTTACAGTGGAATGTTCGAGTTATGACTACATGTAATTCATATCCGGGACGCGGATATTGAAGAAAACACAATCAAAAACTGGCCACGACACATGGTCCCATGGTCCGTAACCTAATCTGGAGACTTGTACCACCTTTAAGATGCCGATAAACCGCTTGTGCTACAAGGGACAGGCATCACGAATGACACCCAGCCACAAATCCCATGTATCTGTGCCCCACCGCAACCGCTGAGCTTTCTCGGATATTAAACTGAGTATCATACACAGCCCTTCTTAAGCAACAGGATTCCTCTGGAGATTGGCCATTCCTTCTGGCGAAAAACCAACTTACACAATGCATACTATGCAATACTCCAGCGAACAGCATAGGCCCCCTCTATGGGGCTTGGGGCTACCAAACACTCAGAATATTGCGTATCAACCCATACCATTACAGCAACTACCGCCGGGACAAGGCGAAAAATATGATCCGCATTTAGGGTGAGCAGAATTCAGAAAATGGTCAGGAACATCCTATGCTAACATTGCGCAGCCCACCGGGCTACTACAATCCCCCCCAGCCCATCACCGCAACTCCATTCCCCCACCACCACCTACACCACCTCCAGAGCCAGAGGTCAAGTCTCATGGTTTCTTTTCCGGGGGCTGGAGAAGTGGGGTCACATATGCCGCGATCGCAACATTCGTGGTGTTCCTCATTAACCTCTCGGTGACGTTGTGGGCGAATAATAAGTACGGAAATGTGGATGGTTTGGGAGTATTGCAGCATGGTGGATGTGCGAAAATTAAGAGATCGAGTTTGTGGATCCATTTGGCTATCAACGCCTTGAGTACGGCGTTACTGAGTGCAAGTAATTATACGTCGCAGACCTTGAGCGCACCTACGAGGAAGGAGATAGATAGAGCTCACGCGAGACGGAGATGGTTAGATATTGGAGTTTCAAGCTTAAGGAACTTAGGAAAGATTAGCTGGACTAGATTTCTGCTCTGGTTATTTCTGATGCTTAGTTCTGTGCCGTTGCATTTCCTGTGCGTGGATATCTTGTTTCAGAATTTCCCGGTGCTTGCTGGAACGGTGCTAACATAATATTCTCAAACAATAGTTACAATTCTGCTGTTTTTACAACGCTGGAAACGAATTCCTACAGCACCACGACCGTCTCCGAGGGTGCCCTGAACAGATACCTCTCAAACACTACAAGCAGTGATCTCTACTATTTCACCGACCCGCGCACTTTTAACCACACCGATAAACTAGCCTGCATGAAAGCCTATGGGAAACAAATGATCTCAGATCGTCGAGACGTCATCATCGTGACCGACGGAAGCGCAGGCGCAAAGTTCACCGGTAGTCATGGCTTTCAGGAAGCTGGCACAAACACTGGACGCCAGCCCTTCGATTGGCTATGTGACAGCACCGGTGTTACAACACTCAGCTGCAATATTGACGATGCGATCGCTCGAATCGATAATTGGAAAATGAATGGGGGCAATGTTCAGTATTGTCTGAGTGAATACATGGAGGAAAACTGTAGTCTGGGTTATAGTCTCCAGATAATGACTATTGTCATTGTGTGTAATGTTATCAAATGCATCTGCATGCTGTTGGCAGTGTTCCTCTCGAGGAATTTGGATGATACATTGGTGACAATTGGGGATGCTATAGAGTCGTTTTTGAATAAGAAAGATTTAACGACAACTGGCATGTGTACAGCAAGTAAAAAGGATATCAAAGATGGTGTTTGGGGACCGGTGATGGCTCAAGGGCTGAGTAGACCACTGCAGGCACGTATTTGGACGCCTCAAAGGAAGGCCTGGTTTCGAGCGGCGGGTATCTGGCAGTGGGTTCTATGCATAGGACTGTAAGTTTTTCTTATGAGTTCCTGCTAGCTCATATTCACAACTTCTAATACTATTCCCAGGGCCTTGGTTGGTATAGTGACCGTACTCGGCTTCCTCTTTGTCGGTATTGCCAACTGGAACGAGTATGGTGTCTCCCGCACTCCCGCCTCCATGTGGAAATTGGGTTTTGGTTCTGTCAACACCCTCGCTCTAGCCGAAACTCCCACCAATGCCTCTAGCACCAGCTACCGTGCTCTTGTCTCAGCCGTTCTTCTTTCCAATTTGCCCCAGGTTATCTTCTCGTTCCTCTATCTGCTCTACAACTCACTCTTCACCTGCATGCTGCTAGCCTCTGAGTGGGAGCGCTTCGCTACAGACCGGCGCCCACTCCGCACAACTACCCCCAAGGGGGAGCAGAGAAGCACCTACTTCCTGCATCTGCCCTATCGGTACAGCATTCCACTCATGATTGGGTCCCTTGTGATGCACTGGTTCATCTCGCAGAGCATCTTCCTTGCGCGGATCCTCGAGTTCAAAGGTGGGACGTTGACGGATTACTCAATAACGACCACCGGATACTCTCCGATCGCGATTCTCTTCGCGGTAGTCCTGGGGCTTCTGATGTTGCTAATAGTGTCGGCGATGGGGTTGCGGCGGTATTCGGGACATATGCCGCTGGCGGGGAGTTGCAGTGCGGCAATCAGTGCGGCGTGTCATACACAGGAATGGGGTGTGGCGCAGATGCCGGTGATGTGGGGTGTTACTGAGGTTAATGGTGGAGTGGGGCATTGTGCGTTCAGTGGAGCAGAGGTTGGGAAGCCTGTTGCGGGGGCGTGGTATGCGGGGGAGAAGTGAGAGCGCAATTGGCTTGACGATGGTATCTATTTACATGTTGTGGGAAATGGAGTTGGGTTTGCTTGGTTTTTTATACCCATTCCTGTATGGAATTTATGAAATTGTTAACGTGTTGGGTTCTGGGTTCTGAGGCGCATATTGGGCCCACTGCCCCCCGTTTCAATACCTATATGCATAGATATGTCTTGTAATTAATGAACGAGCAAATAAATAAGTGAAAAAAGGCGAGACATCCACCACCCCATAGGGTTCCCACGGCTTCTTGTGGTAGCTCCAAGAAATGAGGAAAAGCAATCAAATTAGGTGTAGTCAGAAAGATTTGTATAAAGAGAACCGGCCCACATAAGTATATTGTTTGGCGATTGAAATAAATCCTGTTGATGGAGACGAGTGATGGCCCATGATTAATCTTCAATACACGCATGTACTTATTTTGAGGATTTGGAGTTTTTTCTTTCTTTTTTCTTTTTTTTTTTTTTTTTTGGGGGGGGGTCCTTGGAAGTTGGTAAAATATTGTTATAGAAAAGGATATTTCCACCAATATATTTGTAGCTACGGACTGTTAATTGTGTTCTATAGTGAGAGGGTCTTAAGTCGGTACAAGATCGGTTGCCTTAACATGACTTACAAGTAGCCGAAGATGATAATGAAACGACATGTATAGTACGGGTGATTGAGTGCTCGCCAGTCTTTTATATACGGAAGGGACGGAATATCCTAAGATTAGTTACTGTGGAGTTCTTCCGGTGCAATCTAGGCTCCGGAATACATTCATGGGTCCTAAAAACGAGTAGCTATGGACGACTGGGGTTATCACCATCCGCATATTTCGTTTTCTGAGTGTATATATAACAATGTACATATTGGTTCTGATCATTCAAGTTTGATGTTTCTTTTTTGTTGTCAGGCATTACCTTTCTATTTGAGGTCTATACAATTTTTGATTCTAGTGTCTTGCTGATAAATCTTTTTCGCAAATTTATTATCGACTCGAGCTATAGCTAGCTACCTTAGCGTCGAACCGCATACAATTATAAGCCTTATTCAGTCGGCTTATCCAGAACGTAGGCTCACAATAGCCTTATCAGTACAAAAACCCTTTTTTAAGCCTTATTTCACCCTTATTTCATCCTTAAAACATGCTTAAATAGCACTTACCTGAACCTTTTTGTACTGATAAGGCTATTGTGAGCCTACGTTCTGGATAAGCCGACTGAATAAGGCTTATAATTGTATGCGGTTCGACGCTAAGGTATATATGTGCTCTTGTAATCACCCTCTAAAAGTTAAGTTACGGTGGCTGTGAATTCTAGTCGGACGCTTTCGATTAGATGATCTTCATGCCATCATGATAATGAGTTTGTTTTTGTGTAAAAGACCGGGACCGTCCGTATATATATATTGTGGGTTGATTATATATTATATCTCTCGATTCTCTGACGATAAACGGGTGATTCTCCATGATTGAAGAACCTGAGCTTATCACGGGTTAATCTCATCCGCTGAAGAAGGTTCCTCTATTTATAATAAGAGCCGTAGATTATAAGATGTAGTTGTGCTGGTATGAAAGAACGGAAGTCTTGCTGACTTCACCTGTGAACAATTATATTTAGACTGCCAATCTAAAACTGTTACCTAAGCAGCTAGCAAGGTATTAATCCATGCTTCCCGAACTCCTAGTACCGAGCACAGAGTCTGAAGATCATACCCAGGGTACTCGGTCATTCTTATCTGTAGACAGATATGTTAAGCACCAGGATGTAATCACATCATAGGTTTATAGATTTCGTGATCGATTTATTAGATTGCGTCAATAATCTCGAACTAAACACTTCATGGACATCAATTGTTTGTCTCTATTTAAGTGATTGGGTTTGAATAAACATAGTTTTCTCAGTTTTAGGCCTTCCCGATTAAGTGAGAACATACATCTCATGGTCAAAATTCAACCGGAACCAATATGTTCGACATAGACAGCAGTCCCTTGCATATAGATATACAATTGACACCACCTGCACATGCAATTAATAGACACTACCGAGTTCCGATATCGATATTCGCTTGGTTCAATCACGCAAGAAACGCTCAATATCACTCGAAGAAAGACCGCTACCTATCATATATAAAGGACCTTTTTACCAAAGCTATATGGCAACTCCAATTCACTACGATCTTCCAGGTAAACCTATAAAATGTCAGCGACTACCACTACTACTACCACTCTCCCGTCCCCTACCCTTCACCTCACCTCACATCCCCAGAACAAGAACCTTACGCCCCTAGTCTCCACCAACTCTCTTGCCTCGTACCCGCACATCTCGTCCACACCAATAATCGGGACAGAGTTTCCCTCCTCAGTACAGCTGACATCCTTACTTGCCTCCGATGCTTTCATCCGTGATCTCGCGATCCTGGTATCCCAACGCGGCGTCGTGTTCTTCCGTGCGCAAGTTATTACAATTGAACAGCAAACAGAGCTTGCAGCGCGCCTTGGCGAGTTGAGTGGGAAGCCAGATACAAGTGGGCTGCATGTACACCCGCTTACCAAAGAATTCTCGGAGTTGGGCGACAGAGTGTCGGTTATCAGCTCTGAGGGTAAGAAAGTAGTTGCGAGCGGAGAAAGCGAGGAGAGGAGTGCGAGAGCGAGTAATGGATGGGTATGTATTTCCATTAACATTGGCTTGCGAAAAAGGCTGATTAGTGGCATTGTGTAGCATGCGGATATCACTTTTGAGAAGATCCCTAGTGATTGTAAGTTCCCAGTTTCAATTTTAGTACTGCAGATTAACGGAAGTTAATGGATGGGTAGATGCAATTCTGAAGGTCCACACCCTGCCCGAAACGGGCGGAGAGTGAGTTTCGACACTTCTTCAAACGTAGCCAATTACTGAATTTTCCCCTTAGCACACTTTGGGCTTCTGCATATGAAGCCTATGATCGTCTCTCCCCTGCCTACCAACGATTCCTCGAGGGCCTGACCGCAACTCACAACGCCACTCGTTTCAACGAAGCAGCAGCTCGTGCCGGGTATAAGATCCGCGAGAGCCGTGGTGCTCCAGAGAACCAGGGGACAGACCTAACAGCTGTGCACCCGGTTATAAGGACTAATCCTGTTACTCGGTGGAAAGGTGTGTATCTTTTAAATAAAGAGTGTAAGACGATAGGAGCACTAACGGACGTCAGGTTTATTTGTCAATAAGGGCTTCACTAAAAGGATCAATGAGCTTACTAAAGACGAGTCCGACAATGTATTGGATTATCTTTTCAGACATATCAGTGAGAATCATGATCTGCAGGTCCGGTAAGTTTATTCTACTTCCCCTTCTTGCGCCCAAATCACTGAGGTTTTAAGATTCAAATGGGGCCATTATCAAGATGGCGCTGCCGACGTAGCAATTTGGGATAATAGAAGTGTTTTTCACACTGCTACTGACGATTATCTTGAGTTGGGTGGGATTAGAGCAGGGGATAGAGTCGTAAGTTTGGGGGAGAAGCCGACTTTGGTATCGGGGTCGAAAAGTAGAAGGGAGGTGTTGGGGTTGCCGAGATTTGGTGGACAGCAGTTCTGATATTAGAATGGGGTATATCTGATATATTCTCGGGTTTTAATATGCACCTAAAACAAATAGGTGTGTTCGAGTATGAGTTTTTATTCAATCAATGGTGAATGAGAGGTTCAGAGTCTGTACTTGTTATTGGATAAATGAGTACGTACTCGCATATCAAGTATGTATTTGCGCAACCAGCAAAACACACACAGAATCCAGAGAGCTTTCCCATCTCCCCTGAAATTATGTGTCTTCTACCTAGACACCTGAAAGACTCTACAGGCCACTTTTAGGCCATATCTACAAAGAACAAGCCCTAAAGGTGAAATGTGTCTAAAAGGGTCCTTTTATGGCACCTTTACCAGTATCTCAATTGGGCCAAGAATTTGAAGCATGGACCTCCTTTATCAAAATTATACTATACTTGGTCGTTGATATTTTGGTTTAGGTGTGGGGCTTTTTATGAGTTGTTGAAGGCCTCGATTTTTGCTGTGTTTTGCTGGTTGGGCAAATACATAATTGACGTGCGAGTACTCGCGCGTTAATTAAATGGTCGGATATCGTTGCAACCAAATGCTTACTAAAATTTCCGACCTTTTAATTAACGACCGAGTATAGTTATGGTGTAGGGGACCTGTCAAGAGCGGTGTTTGTCTAAGATACCAAGATGACGGCCTATATTAATATTGGTTACCTATATGTATAGCCAACTACATCACGGTCAGCCCTCGTAAGAAAAAAATGATCTTATTCTGTAGAATATAGAGTAAGATAAACGAACCAAGCTTTCTAGGTGACGATTCAGGCAACGACTCAAGGAAACTTTAGGTAAGTGTCTAGAACACAGACAACTAATATTCAACACCTCGTATCCGTACGGAGGGCCATGATACGTGAATGAGGTCATTGATTCAAGGAAATCCTCGATGGTAGGTTGAGAATAATGGAAGACATGCGCATAGGGTGGACATGTGACTCGGCAACATACTAAATGAATTTGCGACATTTGATAGGACATACTAAATTTGACCCACTGGCTTATGGCCGTGTTGTAGCAAATGAAAGAGACGAACGTTTCCGAGATGAATGGTATTGCACTATCTACTGTTGTTATAATTAAGTTTTATGCTGCATGTCGTACCTGAGAATTGTCCGATTTTAGCACTCACCTATTCAATCCACATAATCCCCGCAAACAGCTCAAGCTCATATGATCTAACGCTATTGAGGGGGAATTTACATACAATAAACGAATTATCAACAATAACAAGGAGGCGAAATTTAGAGAATTGCAAATCGAGTGATTTAATATGATATTAGTAAGACGCTGTGTATCAGAACTAGGTTATCAAAATTATCTGGACGCTCGCGCGCGTCGCAACCACACACAAATTGGCTAGAATAACCAAATTTTGAAACTACTTTAATTGAGCTTATATTGAACCTTAAAGTAATAGAGGCACAAGAAATCACAGTAATCAAATCTCTTGTACTCCCTCCTTATGGTTGTGGAGAAAGGCGACGTTGAAGTTAAAAATTTGGTTGCAACAATGTTCGGATAATTTTGATACTCGCAATACATACCATACAAGTATATGTATCGTGCACAATAACTTATGAGAATGCTACTACATGTACTAGGGTATAGCGAAAAGTGATCAGAATCTGATAAGAAAAATACACGTATTACCGCAGCATTCACTTATCAGATTCTGATCACTTACCCTCAACACCCGGTACATGTAGTTCCTCAATACAGCACGAGCCCCCACAGAACGCGTACTGTACTCTATGTATAGTTATTGAAAAGTTTATATAAATATTGGGAGGCTAATTTGTCCTTAAGAATACCGCTAAAATTTCCGTTTTGACATAGTATCAGATCATCCACAATATCCGGACCTCACCACCTTACTGGCCACTTTAAAGTTGCGTATATATTTTCTGCCGTGAATCTACCAGTTCTTAATCAGTATCACTATCATGCTTACCATCAATCAAGGTCCAAGAAGCGCAGCTATCGCTCTTTATAACTAAAGGTTTTGAGTGAATTGATGTTTATCGTTTGGCTGATCAATCATGGTGATATATCTCATATTCATTTCCGTTCATTATAATTCACCGCGGTAATTACAAAAAGAAATAGGCCTGCAAACAAATGGGAGTAACGATGACATGCACAAATCCTCCAAATTAAGTCTCCTTCTCAGGTTTGACCTCCTCGGTTTTGTGACCAATATTGACCTTAAGGTTTCCTTGCTCAATATCCTTCTGGATAGCATCGAGTCGAGAGCCTGTAGTAGGTTGTTGACGCCAAACTGGAATACCGGACTGCGAAATACATTAGTTTCTACTTATCAAAGCCAGGAGTATTACAACTTACATCAAAGACATCATCCATCTCTTCCAATGTCTTGCCCTTAGTCTCTGGTGCGGTAAGGAACATGTGTACAAGTGCACACCCATTGAAGGCGCCGAAGATCATGTACATCTTCCAGTTGATAGCTCTAAGTAGTGGAGGGACTGCAAAGGCAAGACCACAGTTCCATGCCCAATTTGACGCGGTTGACAAAGATACAGCCTTTGAACGGACCTTATTCGGGAAGATTTCTGCAGGCATTGTCCATGAGACAGGACCCCATGTAATTGCGAATGTCGCAACAAAGAGGTAAGAGCATGCAACAACAGCACGAGACTGAGTTTCTTTATCAACCATTTTCCAGGTAACGGCCTTTGAAGGGTCGTTTTCGGGCTCCCCAAAGGCACCCTGGATTGAGCCAGAGATGAACAACCAAGTCATCATCCCGAAAGATCCCAGGAGAAGTGTGGGGCGACGACCCCAGCGGTCCATCCACATGATTGCAGGAATGGTCATGACAACGTTGATGATGTACTGAATTGATGAAGTGAGGAGGGGGTCTTTGATACCGGCTCCCTCCATAACGTATACGATGTAGTACATCATGATGTTCATTCCGCAAAGCTGGGACCACATCTGGATCGACATGCCGAGAACAACACGCTTGAGGATACGGGGCTTGGTGAGCTCCGCATATGATGAGATTGCTTCTTCACGCTCGAAACGGATGACTTCTTCAATCTCCTGGTATTCAGCGAGCACCTTGGGATGGTTAAGATCACCACCTCCGTGAACGTCGGCGAGAACGCGAAGTGAATCCTCCCACCTATCCTTGTCGGCCAACCATCGCGGAGATTCTGGGAAGAAGAAGAGACCGGCAACAAGGAGCGCTCCTGGGATAGCCTGGATACCCCATGGGATACGGAAAGCCGCGCTAGGTTGATGAGGGTCCTCGGGGCCGCCACCATAGAAGGAAGCACCGTACTGGATAAAGTATTGAATCAAGATACCCTAAATCATTGTTAGAATGCCGGCCAAAGATAAGTCATCAATAGTATCAACTCACCCATGTGATAGCCCATTGCTGGAGAGAAACCATGCGACCACGGATCTCCTTGGGGGCGATTTCGGCTTGATAGACTGGGACAAGAGAAGAAGTGATACCGACGCAAAGACCAGCGATGACACGCCCGACGACGAGCATGCCGATATTCTGAGAAGCAGCTTGAATACTAAACTATCGTTAATATCCTTCCCAAAGATAATTCAACGATATTACCTACATTGATCCAATGATCCAGATAATACCGCCGATTTGGATGGCCCATTTTCGGCCAACTTTGTCACCTAGAAAACCCGATGCAAGAGCACCAACTAAAGACCCAGCTGGCATAGCACAGGTAATTCCACCTTGCTATAATTCATATTAATATCATATTCGACCTCTTCCTCATTGTTAGAATATTGATAACGTACCCTAGTATCCTGAGGATTGTCAAAGTAGTTTTTGTATGCATTTGTTCCGAGCACACCGGACATACTACTAATATCGAAACCGAAAAGCCCACCACCAATGGCCGCGAAGGCGCAAATGGCGTAAACGTTGTTCACCTTTGCAGAAACCATGGTGAATGTTGTCTCTCTGGCTGAGAAAAAACATCCTGCCATTTTGCTTGGGGGGTCAAGCTTTTATACCACATGGTTGGACACCCAGCTTGGCTTTGGAGCCAGAGAATGGGTGTGGAAACGTCTCTCTTTCAAAATATCGCTCACATCCACCCCAGGATACTCACCCCCATGAAACCGTCCAATAATCATAGTACATTGGATTCGCCCCCGTTTCTACCAGAGCTACATACGGAGAGGCAGGCAGTCTATGATACACCCACGTAACATGGTCTAAAATAACGGCACACCGCTGGATAGGTAGTGTGATTGACGTCCCCATACCCATGCTTGCTATCGCCGGTGTGTATTATACCGCGCTCTACATATAGTATCATGTATTATCTGGGGCATTTTAAAACGATCAAGGTTTTTAGCCGCATCTTACCACAAACCTCAAACGAGAAAGCGGGGTGGTCATGGTGCTTAAAATTGAAAGATGGCTTGGGAATGAGTGGCCTATTGCCTGGTGACCTCCCTTTTGTCACCTTCCCAAAGGAATGGATACATATTTGCTGTGCTCTATGAAAGTCAGTTTTATAGCTAATCAATCGCTAGATATCTCAAATAGCAAAGATTACAGTTATTTCTAATAGACTAATCCAAAATGCGTATTAGCTCTCGAATTTTATTCTAATACATCGAAGTACCTACGCCATTCGATTCTTTCTCATGGCTTCAGCAAGTACGTTACAACAAGCTTCTAGAGCCGCGTTACCAAAACGGCAATGCGGGCCGGTACATTAGGTGTTTGCTCGGAGGAACGTACTGGAACGGGGCAAGCCTCACCATGCGACTGTCCCAGCACAAATAATCTTAAAGCCCAGGCACCCATCCCTGGCAGTGTGGGAAAATAATCACGGATTTGATTTGGTACTAGGTGCTCTATTTATTACCTCTCTACATGTTGAAGGCATTGTGTGATTGGGTTTTAGGGTTTTGTATCCCCGATGATCAGATTCAGGTATTGTTAGCAATCATTTAATAGCTGCTCGTATTCCATCCATTGTAACGCATGTGACTGAGCTGATGCGAATAATTTCACGCATGAATAACTTTTTCAGGTGTTGGCTGATTGGGCTGTTAACCTGGCTGGTCGACTTGTTGGGCGTAATATACCTAGCACCAGCAAAGCTTTGGTAACTGGGAGAATAAAGACCTGGTTGATTCGCCGATACCAATCAGAGTAATTAAGTACGTGCCTTGCTCTAGGCGCCAAAAAAAAAACTCTACGTTCCCTGCCCGGGCTGTCCCATGAGTGACTTTTCACTTGACTTCCTGCAGCTGGTGAGCGCCACTCACAGGCTTTGACTCGATTAAGGCCGATCTGAAGCATAGGATACCCTTTCTTTTTCTTCACCTACTCTAGGATTTTAATGAGGTACTGGGTACTCGCAGGATTTGCTGGCTATATATACTAAAGGGTACGTAGCCAGGGTATATGACTGACGGAAGCTAAGGAAAGTCACACGGATTGAAATGCTTGGCTCAACGAACCTCTCATCCATTCCACCGGCTGCTATGGCTAGGCTTTTGTCCATGCACGAGAGATATAACTCCGATCTGGCGAGTCGAACCACAATTCCTGCGAGTAGCCACCACGAGATCGAGTCCTGATTTTTTCATTAAGTGCTACTCTAGAGTAGGAGGTAGGGCAACAGCCGTGATATCGGGTGAAATGAAGACACAGGCTGATATCGATCAAGCTGCATGCACCACTATAACTTTACTTCAACGTATAAGGTATGGATGGCTCTACTCTAATTTATGGTGGTAACTAGCATTAGTTTGGTTGGGTTTGGTTAATCCCAACCCCGCTCATGCCGGATAAGTATTACTGATAACTCTAAACTTTGAAATAGGTAGTCCCATCGATCCTGTCACTCGCGTACAGATTACAGGGATGAGCAGGGATGCGGGTGAAGTGGAGAATATAAGCGAGGACTCTATTGCAGAGAGACTTCAGACATCACGACTCTTAAGCATTATTCTCATGATGAAGGAGCTGTCGTGGTGAAATAATAAGTCTTGGTATGCCGATGTCTACATAGTGCCAATACCTACGCCGTAGCCGCAGCCAAGAAGGAAAAAAGCAAGAAAAACGGTCGCGCACGCACAGACTGCATGGTATCCTGCCTGAGGGTGTGTGAGATCTCATACAAACCTCAGACGCGAGTAAATGGAGGCGTTCGCTTGCCGGAAGATGTTTAGCGGGTGACACAGAACGTGATGATTAGCCTTTATCTGCTTTTACTGTTGTGGAAGGCACCGCAGCTGTGGTGGTGCTGTGCAGAGTGGGGGCTGGCTATCCAAGTCACACTCGAGATTTAGGGGAGTTTCGGCCTAGGAAGACAGAGTTAGATGATAACTACAGTACCCTATGTGGTATGGAGGTATGCGCCTTCCTTCAACAACTCATCGAAAGGGTTTGATTAACGTTTATGTAGCGGGTTGACGTGGAGGCGTATGATAGTCAACCATTAACTGAGCTACCATGATAGTAATATGGTAGTAACAAGTTCAATAGAAGCCGACGACACACCCAAGTGTAAAGTCATGCCAATAGATGCCATTTGATCACCAAACCTGGTTTACTGATCACTTGCTGGTTGGCAGATTTGTGTCACGATTATCCGACATCCGACACCTTGCACATGTTCTCTATTCATGGTTGGGTTCGCCAAGTTGTGGCTTTTCCGAATCGCCAAGTTGTGATGAGAGGGATGCATTTGCGGGTTTGTTATCGCCGAGACAATGACTGCAGGAACGACTTGGAAGTAGTGATGGTATGGGGTGGGAGTTCTATATCCATGTGGGATTTCCTTTCTACATTTCCTTGTGAGAGCGAGTGATTTCCAGTGATTCCTGGTGACTCCAGTCAACCAGGAGACTATCCATTATACAATATTACACTGAAAAGACTAGATACTAGCCTCCACGCGGAAAGTAGCTCTATCCATTGTGATGCAAATGCTTGGTCTCTAATATAGGGGCAAGGCCTCTGCCAGAACGTATGTATGTACCTGTGGGAAATCACTGGAAGATGAGATGAGACTAATTATTGAGACCGTGCCATATCCACATCACCCAATTCTGGATTAATAGCATAAGAATACAAGACTATTACTATATAACGAGGCAAAACCTTGCATCAACTGGTCTACAGGGAAGTATGCGGACGCACGCTCTATACCAGGAAAACCTGGCAAATGCATAATAAGGATCCTATAATACAAGCTCGGAAAGCTTTAACACCAAGCAAATCTCAGGGGGCAAAGATTAAAACACACATATCTGTGCCCGTGCCCCAACTCGAGGATTTTATTCTGGGCGGTGTTTTATAAAAACGCGGGGACTGACCGGCCGGCTGGCATTTTGTTACATCTCAATTCAAGCAATGTCAAGATCAATGACTATCTTTGTTTAACTGATGGCCAATCCAGCACCACGCCATTCTCTTTTACTATGCAGTCATGGAGTCTGGGGAACCGCCGATGCATTACCATTTGAGATGGAGAGCTCGCTTCGAGTGAACATTCAAGTTCCATTTTAGACCCGTCATTCCCTCGAACAAACTATCATTTTCGCTAGTTAATTTTGCGCTGGAGATTAAGAGTTAAAACAATCATTGACATCTTCCGGTTTAGCGCTCGTTGACTAGCCTCAACCACAGTTGACATTTGTTCCAACCACTACTACAACCACAGCAAGATCATCCTCTTCTTTCCCTCTTACGGTTTAAAGGCTATACTCGTTTACTACAAAAAGAACCAGAAAATGCAAGTGACGGAAACAGGGATAGTTTGTATGAGAGATCACCGCCACTCCATACAAATAATCCTTGCCCTGAGCAACTGCATTTCTGGTTCTTTTCGTGGTAAACAAGTATATTTACGATCTATCACAAGAACCTTCGTCTGGGGAAGTGGGGACTATATCCGGGGCGCATGCGCTAGGCCCTTTTAAGAAACCTGGAGATTAGCGCCGAATAGTTGGGGGCCAGATGGGGGCCGTTTCAACATAACGTATATGAAGACTGCTGATCGGTTATGATAGCGAGGCAGAGGTAGGTAGCCTCCTAGCTAGGTAGGTGCTCTGACTGCTACATAGCTACCTTGGTTTAACTACGTAATGGAAATATATGGGCTACTTACGGTCAACCTTGAGATTGGCTTATTACTGCTAAATTCTACTTCAGGCGCTGGATATCAAGGCCTTTAATTTTACCACGAATGTATTTGGGTATAGGGATATACAGGCCTGCCACGTACTCTATACCAGTGCCCATTTCGGCCGACTCCTACTTTTCTTCTCAGTTGATCTACGCACTGGGAGAAAATTTTGCTTTAATTTGCCTCTCTACTTTTTCTTTTACATACAAGGATCAAAGCTGTGGCCTTATCAAAAGGCCCCCACCCCAATCACAGGATGAGTTGCCACGACTACAGTGGCATGATTACTAACGTAATATTCGATATTCTCGTCCACGTGTGATGATGTATAATGGTGCCAGACCCGCATCCTAGTAGGAACAGGCAGAAAGGGACACAGGTCGTGTCTAAACAAGAGAAAACCCTTGCTTGTGCCGTATGCGTGGTCTTGCCTGTCAGATTAGGCATGGCAGGGGGATAGTACCAGCTGCAGTGAGTAGAGTATGGGGAACTATCTTACCTTACTCACCTCCACAAAAACTGGCCTGCTTTGCCAGATCTCTGGGTTCGCGTTGTCTAATCATAAAGCTGAGGGAACCGAACCCCGCACTGGACATGATTCTGGGGGTTTAAACTTTGGAGGTGGCGATGGTGGATGCCTTTGGATTAGTTATGGAATGGCTCAGTAAAAGCTATGCCTTCAAGGCCTTCTTAGGGTTCCGGTTACTGCCTGGAGAATTGGATTAAGCTGTTTGAGAGTTATTTTCATACTTTTTGAATGAAGACACCAGCACAAGTTGCGCAGAATAGTCCAGCGCTACTTAAACTTACAAATATTTCTACTTTTTGCCCCGGCTTTCATTGATGCTTCCTGTGCCTTGCTTGATAAAACTCCGACCTGATCCCACCATCGGGGATCCTCCGCCGCTTGTCCGGTCCCGGATCTGCAAAGCCACAAGTGTCACCTTCAAGCTGAGGCCCTGCCAAGGTTAGCCGACTGGACACCATTCGGCGCACAGGAAGAATAGGTGTGTGTGGTGTGTTACCCCCATAGCTCTTCGCGGGGGCGCATACTACGGACATTCGCTACTGAGCCCGAATTTCGGGGGTTCTGGAGCATGAAACATCACTCACTGCGCACGTGCCGATGTTTAGTCTGGGGAATATGTTTGGTTTTTACATACTACTGAGTTATGTGATGGGTTGCTGAACGTATCGATGGATTGAAAATAACACCCGAAAGAGTTCTCAGGCTAGATCTATAGGCTCGCTCTGATGTGCTTCCGTATTCTCGCGCCGAACGGCTACAGCGACCATGGGAGAATAATTAATGAATTAAACAAAAAAAAAAAAAAAAAAAAAAAAAGACCATGGGAGAATAGCGAACACCTCCTTTTTTTCCTTTCGCTTTACCAGGCCGCGGGTCGCCGGACAGCGGAGCTACACCAGATGCCCGGAGGAAATTCCGCTGCAACTGGAGAGCTAAGGTATACATACCCTATTACAGCTCGGGAACAGAACTTGTGATAGTGACACTGGGTCCGCCGGCCTCGGCGTGTCGATCGCAGGGTTAGGTTTGGAGGTTAAAGACCGAGTGAGCGGCGGTGAATCGTGATCGGAAGAGGAAGTAATTACTCCCTAAGAATTTCTTTAAGGAGCTTAGGGCCCGGGGTTGGTTTTGGTCTTACTTTGCTGCGTGAATGAGAGCGTATAATGTTAAAGACTCGGTGTTGCTTGCTGGTTTCCTCGAGTCGTGCACGGCGTAGGAACGGGTTGTCTATCGCAAAAACTGAACCTTTACTGCTGGGATTGTATGTCGATATATATACTTGTGATGTTGATGCTTTTGAAGCGTTACCGCAAGTACGGTTTCAAATAATGAGTGTTGGAAGAAGGCATTCTTTCGCCCCGTTACATGAAGTATTATCAGTCGACTCCAAAACTTCCTTTTTACTGCTTACCTTCTAATTGTTTTAATTTACTGCCTATGAAAGCCACTGTCTGTTCCTTCAAAAATAAAATCATTTCGTAATCGGGGAGCTCCCAATAAAAGACATTGGGCCCCTTGGAAATGGACCAAGGAAGCTTCTAGGCTTGATAATGTTTACTATTTATCGGTGCACCATTGGGCCTAGGAGCGGTAGGTGATACATAACTATATTTACAATTTCTTAAATCTTACTCACCACCTCTCTCTTCACCTCCGCCTGGCTCACTCCATAGATCTTGACAGAGTTTCTCCACCACACATCCTCCATATCATCCTCGCTCATCTTCATCGACGTAAACACTCTCTCCGTGATCTCAACCCACAGAGCCCACGCTCTTTCCTTGCCTCCATTGATGGTACACACTGGCCAATCGCTTCCCCAAAGTACCAGCTTGGCGCCGAAAATCTCCAATGCGGCTTCGATCCACGGTTGCACGTATTCCTGGATGGAAAGCAAGTATTGCTCCCTGTCTTGGCCGGCTTGCTGTATCAGCACCTCTGGAGGTAGCTCTGAGAAGCATCCAGAGAGCTTGATATAGGTTTGCTCATTACGGATCGATAGGAGGTGAGATTTCCATTCGAGGAAGAATTGGTTGGTAGGAATATCCTTGGGGGCCACTCTGAGGTCAGGCTTGGCTAGGTGATCTTGAAGCTCTTTGTTAGCGCTATAACTAAAAAGACCCCTTTCTTCGTTTTCGGACAGTGTGACTAAAAGCATGATTGTGAAATAGCACCTCTGGCTATTCATAAGTTCTCCTGAGTCCTGTGGCGAGCACCTTCACAGGTAATTAGGTGCCCCCCCTTTCTTTTTTTCTCTTTGAGCAGTGTTCGCACTACCAATGAGTGGAACTCGGGACCGACTAATGGATCGTGTAGAAAAGAGCTTACCAATGATTATTCTAACTTTCTTCTCCTCAGGAACGTCTTTATGTGCCTTTTTAACCATCTCCGCCGCCTCCTCGAGCTGCCACAACCCAACACTCCGGCAGTCCACCGTTAACTCAAACACATAAGACTGCTGCCCCATCCACCTCAGCGAATCCACAAATGCATCATCTAGCATGACCCCCCGCGGGCAGAACTGAACCAAGTACCTAAACCCCTTCAACAAATCTATCCTCTCTGTACCCGCAATTTCTCGCAACCGCCTTATATAATTATACATTGCTGTGCTCCCCCCCGGGACCGGTCCCCAAGGTACAATCCCTAAGACCTTATCTGCCACGGCTTTGTAGGCTGGATCTCGCCCTGCTCCGGCGTTGTAGACAAAGGCAAATTCAGCGAGGGGCCCGTCCCACCCGGGGGATGTTGTGGAGGAAACATTTGTTTTGCGGTCGGTCTCGAGGAATATGAATCCGAGGGGCTTGCGCGCTGTCGGGTTGTGGACATGCGTGGAGAGGTACTCGTTGATTGAGTGCTGGCTATTGAGAGGGTTTTCGGGGGTCATCCATGCCAGGTTTGAGAGGTCTTCCGTGCGGAAGAGGTGGATGTGTGAGTCAAGGAGGTATTTCTGTGAAGACATTGCTGCGATTGCTGGTATACTATCTGGACAACTTGTGAACTGATGACTCGATGTGGTGTAGGTGTAGCTTCTCCAGGAGGCCTCAATTGATCAAGTTGTTCAAGAACTCTTCTAATCGTCTCTATTCCGTCATATATCTAGAGTATTTGAACCCCCCACCTTTCTCCCACACAGGGTATTTAGGGCTGGTTTTATCCCTGTGGTTGTCCAAGATCTCCGCGGTTTGACGGGTGGATGTGCTTGCTGATTGGACAGACGGTTAATTTGGAAGCTTGGTTTGCCGAGATCCCAAAAGCTCGATATGTAGCAGAGTTCTTTGATGTCTTGGACTCGGCCAGGCCGGAAGTTCAAAATTCTCATCTCAGACTCCAAGTCTTATTATCACTAATCCTTAATACTTAATCTCAATCGGTACCTACCTGAGAGCTCTCTCTACTACGATTAGTAGGTTGCCAAGCCGAACGAATACCGGGATACAAGTACTTTACTCCACATACTTTACATGTATCAATTGTTACATCCACTCGAGCGGTGCAGAGGGCTGAAAAACTAGCGCTATATCTACCCAACCGATTGGCTAAGGATTCAGGACATGCGATAATCATATTTGTTCGAGAAGCACACTAGAAAGAGGCGCGATAGGTCGGTGGAACATAACGACCAGGCGTGGTGGTATATATAATGTGTGTGGCTTGAAGCCATTATATGTATGTGTATAAGATCATATCAGGAGAGCTGTTTGACAAGCATTTTTGAAATATTGCTTGATAATGAGCTGACCGTGATAACATACATGTATGAATAAGAAAGGAAAGGTTTCAGGTGTCTCTCCTGATCCAGAATTAGGAGTTTCTGGCTTTTATTGCCACGTCCATACGTGTCTTGCAGACTACAGCTTGTCACATATATGTATAATTCTAGCAACAAGAAGCCTCCTTATAATTTTCTTTGCTTATTTACAATACATACATGTAGGAGCATGTAATTCCTCTAGTGACAATATCTATACGTTCACTGTAGTGCTGTCCTAGTGTTAATTGTTTTGATACTGAGTGATTAAGACAACACATGTCATAATCAAGATGTATAAATTTGCGTAGTTTTGTTGACCTCTGAGCCAGCGAGCGTCCGTTCAACCTCTTACTGCATGACCAGAGGCATGCGCAACTCCTAAGATCATAGGAGATATCCTTAATCGAATCAATGAATCGAACACCCTTATATTAATATCGATATCTTTCGATTAGCCACATCTATGGCTTACTGGCCATATTAAGAACCAAATAGCATAACCGAATTGGTTTGTGAGCCGAAACTAATCGCCGTCAAAGCAAGATTCTAGGCCTACGTAGATTGTGGGGAATTTGAGATTACTCTCCGGCCTAGAGGAAACAAATAAAAGACTACAAGGATAGTCCCAGATAAGGCCCATCCTTAGTTTCCTTTAGTTTGGCCGACCTCTACTGGAATTTTGAGCCCGTCTTCTGGGTTTGACGTATGTAGGTACGTATTACAGGTACCCTTATGTTTGCGCGGTAATTTAAAATACATATATGTATCTTATGGCCAAAACCGATACTCCGCTAATAACATTATGATCAACTTCACGTCTACCAGATTTTCATTCCTTTTATATCTCGGACGTCGTCATACCAGATAATCCACTCAGCTTCCCCGCTATCGCTCTGTCAATTGCAGGCACCCCTCCTCTTTTTCAAACTCCGATGAGCAAATAAATATCATGAACCCCAACCGCTCGCTTACTACCCACCACTCCTCGATGAGCCAAAAAAAAATATCAGGATACTCCTTGCAATTGGAATACAGCTTCAGTGTAATAGGTTGAGCAAGCTTTGCCCACTCGTGACAGGCCATCTTCCAAGCCATCTTCCATAGTTACGTGCAATAATCTTCGCACACCGGGCTAATAACCACCGAATACTTCTCCCCGCATTGAGACTGTGGGGAAGCCGGTCACCGGGCCGTTTGCAGGACAAAGGGGCGGGGGAGCGTCCGGGGTATATCCTAGAGTACCTTGTGTGCTTCTACTTACCAGTAGGGGGGGGGGGGTGTGTGTGTGAGTGTCTCACAATCGGGGAATGTTTAGCCAAAGAGCGAGTATGCAAGACAGATACGATTGGCGAAAAGTGGGGAGAAGTAGTTAGAGTGCTACTTTGTTTGCACTCAGTAAGTGATACGCGCGGGTGGCGGGTGTTTGAGTGGTGAGTGCGTTATGATGCAGATACACTGATTTGAACGACGTTACGTTACATGTGCACGGCTTTTGATACCTGATCGCAACTCCATGTGTAGAGTATTCCCTAGGATTGCGTCTTGCCTACCGGTTGCGGGTATGGTATGTACATCTAGATAAATTACTTTTTTTTTATCCTTAAACAAAAACTGGGAATTAGGCACCTAGATCTCTCGGACCCAAGCGTTCCCGTGTTGGTAAATATTGCCGCGAAGGTTTGATAAGTTGACGCTCTTCCCCGGATTTCTTTTCTCCTCGTCAGCTGCCTTGCCTGTTAGATCGGTTCCAAAGTTCAGGTCGCAGTAATCGTTCTTCTTTGCCTTCATACCATGGCGAAATTCTTTCGAAAACGCAGCCTCAGAGCACGAGATGATCAGATTACAAACGCGTCGAACCTCACGCTTCGACAGTCAATACTCCCGCTGTGTCTAGTCACGATTCTCTTTTTCCTCTGGGTATGTTTATTAGTATCTACCGCTCTTTGGAGGAATTGCTTGGGTTAACCAGAACTTTTGATTAGGGCTTTGCGTATGGCTTGTTAGATGTGCTCAATAAGCATTTCCAAACCACGTTAGGGATTACTAGGTCTCGATCTTCGGGTCTCCAGGCTGCTTATTTTGGGTTCGTAAATTATTATTTCTCCTAGTATTTGGACGTGTTTTATCTGATACTAACCCGTTTGTAGCGCGTATCCAATTGCTTCATTGACATATGGAGGTTACTGCCTGCGAAAACTTGGCTACAAGGCTACCTTCATGCTTGGATTGACGTTGTATGGAGTCGGCGCACTACTGTTTTGGCCTGCAGCGCTAAAACGGTCCTTCGGTGTAAGAAATTCTCAACAATTCCCCTTGACACTAGGATAGACATTGTTAACAAAATTCTAGGGATTTTGCGGTGCCACCTTCATCATTGGTTCCGGCTTGGGTACGCTTGAATCTGCGGCCAATCCGTACCTCGCGGTCTGCGGTCCTCCAAAGTACTCTGAGATGCGTCTCAATCTAGCACAGGCCGTTCAGGCAGTCGGTACAGTCGTAGGCCCTGTGCTAGCGTCGCAAGTATTCTTCAAGAATGTGAATGAGAGCTCCCTAGAAAGTGTCCAGTGGGTGTACCTTGGTATCGCGATATTCGTGTTTGTCCTTGCCGGTGTTTTCTATATATCCACGATCCCAGAGATCACCGACGCGGATATGGAGCGCCAGATGGAGGCCACTGGGGGGGTGTTTACGGAGGATGACGCGAAGCCGATAACGAAGCATTACCAGTTATGGTGGGGTGCTTTCTCTCAATTCTGTTATGTGGGCGCTCAAGGTAACTATCCTTCTCGATAATTTATATCTGCATGTATCTGGCGCTAATTTTGATGTGGAGTCGGTATTGCGGGATACTTTGTAAACTACGTCGTTGAAGTACGAAAGGGTACCAGCTCAGCAGATGGAGCCAACTTCCTGGCAGGCGCACAGGGCTGCTTCGCAGTTGGACGATTCTTGGGTGTGTTTTTGATGAAATTCATCAACCCGCGTAAAGTCTTCTTTGTCTACTTTACCTGCGTTATTGCGTTTCAGTCGGCAGCTGTTGGGGCTACTGGGAATGCTGGAATGGGTATGTCGCCCTGAAATCCACTCTTAGGATAAACTATGACTAATCTTTCCACCAGCATGCCTGATGCTCGTGCTGTTTTTCGAGTCTATTTGTTTCCCTACAATCTTCACCCTTGCTATCCGTGGTCTCGGAAAACACACCAAGACAGGATCAACGGTCGTTGTAGCCTCTATAATTGGCGGTGCCATCGTACCTCCACTACTAGCCGTCACGGCGGACAGATTTAACAACACTGGCACTGCCATGTTTGTGCCGTTAATTTTCTTCGTTGCTGCGTACAGTTTCCCGATAGGAGTCAACTTCCATGGCCCAACCAAGCGCCTGATGGATGGCTTCTTGAACAGTAAGGTTGGAATTGAAACCTCAAAGGAAGACGATATCGAGAAGGCGGATGTAGAGGGAGTTGAGGATATTGAGATGGATACGACGAAAAAATAGGGCGATTTTTCTTAGTTTGTTTTGTTTTGTTTTAGCAGCATTTGCTCTCGAGCCTTAACTCGTTTATGAGACATATGAAATGATATTGTAGGTACTCACCTATCAAATTACTCAACCCCATATATGTGCATGGGGGCTCCTCCATAAAAGACACAGACTTGAGATTTTACAAGCCGTCTCTATATTTTACTGCAGCCGTGATAGAGTAGGTTCTTCCTGGAACCGGGGAAACCGTTGGGGCCGTCCGCTGTACTACGGTTATTAGGCCAATGATTGTGAGCTGCAGGCCCCGCTGCCAAGCGCCGGTACTACTGTTATATATTCAGCCTGATCCTTACCCCTGCCAATGAGACATGCACAGGTAAAACCTGCAGCAACAGCTACTACCGTAGATATTAAGAAAAAAATGCCGATGTGAAAAACCCAAGAGCTATAGATGTAGATAGCTGCGTAGCCTCCTCACCTTCCTCAACTTCGCTGGAGTAGATTCACGAACCTCATAGCTTCAATTTCTCAATTGTTTCCCACCTCGAGCTCAATTGTCCTCCTACTTGCCCCTCAAAACACTAAGAAACAATGGCCAACCCCCGCCCAAAGCTCTCGACTTTCCTCCCACCAGTAATCCTCGGTGGAGGCGTTTACAACACCCAGATGAACCCGGACCCTTCCCTCCTTCCCGTCCGCGCACTCATTGCCCGCGCCTTCGCCGTCGGCATAACCGCAATCGACACATCACCCTACTACGGCCCGTCCGAAATCCTCATCGGCGACGCCCTCAAGCACTCCTCTGCGCCCCGCGACTCATACCTTATCATGACCAAAGCCGGGCGTATTGCAGAACAAACATTCGATTACTCCCCCGCATGGATCCGGTCCAGCGTGTTGCGCTCATTGCAACGTTTAAACACCACATACCTCGACGTCGTGTTCTGCCATGACACCGAGTTCGTTACGCCCGAGGCCGTCGTTGAGGCCGTACGAACACTGTTCGCCCTCGCCGACGAGGGAAAGATCCGGTATGTCGGCATCTCTGGGTACCCGCCGGAGGTGCTGGCGGAGCTCGCGGTGCTGATACGGCAGCGGCTGGGAAGGGCGGTTGATGTGGTGCAGAGCTACTGCCACTATAATCTGCAGAATGGGAAGCTGGCGGAGTATGTGCCGAAGCTGAAAGGGGAGGGTGGCGTGGACGTGGTGCTGAATGCGTCGCCGCTGAGTATGAAGTTGCTGTCGGGGAGCTATCCGGGGGATTTTCATCCGGCGCCGAAGGAGCTGCAGGAGAGGTGTGTGCAGGCGGAGAAGTGGTGTCGGGAGAGGGGGGAGTCGCTGGCGGGGGTGGCAATGCGGTGGGTGTTTAAGAATTGGGAGGGGAGCGTGATTACGGGTGCGAGCTATGTGGAGGAGTTGGAGAGTAATTTGGAGGCGTTTAGGGAGGTGCGCGGAGAGCTGGGGGGCGTGCAGGTGAGCACGGAGAGGTTGAAGAGGCTGGAGGAGTTGTGGAGTGGAGTGAGGGATATATTGGGCGAGTATGTGGATTGGAGTTGGAGTAGTCCACCCGATGGGTACGTTAAATGGGGAGAGAAGGTGGCCCAGAGTAAGCTGTAGTTTTCCAGAGTTGGAGTAATTATTTTCCTACGTAGAACTTATATATTAGTACAATTAGACTGAGACCTGGCCGTAGTGGGCCCTTTCCACTTTATACCTTTGCGCCCTTTGCTGTCTATGAGTATCGTCATGTTTTGCGGGCTTAATGAAAGCACCACGCCTCCTCCTACCGCCTCCCATCCTTCCTAGTTGGCATTAGATGATTCGATCAACGGACGCTGCCTCGAGAGACATCCCCAGCGATACGTAGTTGAGATGAGGCTAGCGCTATCTTTCGTCTTATTCGGCGCTGCGGTGAGATAGTGATGGTGATAGTGGTGGTGGTGGTGGTGTTGGTAGTGGTGGTGGGTGGGTGGGTGTGGGTGTGGTATTGCACCTAAAGGGAATCCACCTTTATGATCTCCCCCAGCACATTTTCTCCAGCTTCATTAGCATAGTGGCAATGCATCGTATGGAAACAAGTACGACGCCGAGGATCCAGGTTTAATTCCCGGTACGACGCAATATTTCAACATTTTTTTATCTCCCCCTTGATTTCCTTTGGTTATAATTGGGGGCGAGGTACTATCTGTTCTTTCTTCATAATTACAGGTATAAGAAAAAGTATTCTGTGGGCTTAATATGTATGAATCCGATTTTACAGAGTCATGGACGAATAGAAGGCCAGATGGAGGAGGCTCCACTAGTTCAACTCCGATATTATAGTTACTACGAGTATCATTTGTTTAAGGCAACGTTTCCGCTCTATGGCGCGCTTCTAGCAAGTTATATATCCCTTTCTAGTACTACGTTCATGTCGTGTTCTCCAACCTTGACGATTTGTATAGGGAAAGCTGAGGTGATCTTGTTCTCATTCGTTCAGGAATGTACTTTAGTGGCCGGAGTCATTTCGGTTTTCATCCTACATACATAAAGAACTAGATTCTAGCCCAAAGGTGGATCGAAGGTAGTGAATACTCGCTGGAGTTTCTGTTCCAACTAAACATATTTGGACACAAATCATGGTCTTCATGGTAGTTTGAGGAGGAGAGGGTTTAGTTTGTCTTGTGCAATTGGGGTTGAAAAATTCCAGGTAAGAATTTTATTATATATACAAATTAACGATTAAACAGTCTCCATAGCCAACGAATATGAACATTCCTTGTCCACACGGTCCGGATCCTATCTCGACTCATCACTCTAGTATATACCTATGGCTTTGCCGACACTCATGGGTGTATGGGGCAGGTTTATGGCTGGGTCGACGAAATTTGTCTTTCCTCGCGATTATTATGATAAGTCCACAAACCTTCGTTGCGATGTTGAAGTCACGGTATGGCTGTGGATACGATAATAGTCATGAATTAAACAAAAAAAAAAAAAAAAAAAAAGATACGATAATAGTCATAACTAATCACTCGGTATAGTGTAATATGGTTAGGTAAGCAAATTGTACTTTTGTTTTTTTTAACATGTGTAGTGACGAAAATATTTTTAAGAAGTAAATGAAAGAAATGAACGACATGAAATGAAATGTTAGTTCTGCGGGCAACCTTGTCTTTGACAACAAGCAGTAATACTGGGGGATCCTCCACCAGTGACTCCCCTCACTAGTACTTCCCATCCTCATATCGACCAACTCTGACAACAAAGAAACCCACAACCTAAGAAAAACCCCGAAAGCAAGCACGATATATAATCCCCATAATCCTTACTCCAGGATCCACAAATTCTTACCCCCAATGAAATCCATTAAGGCCAGCCCACCCACTCTTTACCAAGCAGCCATCCGAGTAGTGTGAATGTCCCAGCAGCGAAGATAGTATTTCTATAATACCAGTAGACAAAGTCGAGTCCCTGATTAACGATAAAGCAACACCAGCAAATGGGGTCGAATCTCCCATTTAAAATATGGATAGCGAGGACCTCAGTAGAGGCCTTTAACATGAAGGTGTTGGAAAATGGTGCGTTGGGGTTGTTAAAACCTTTGACAAAGTCTTGGTTGAGTTAGCTTTTTTCTTTCCTTCTTTTTTTCTCTCTCTCTATAAAGAAAAGTATAGAAAAACTTCAAAAATTGGAAGAGACTTACCGCCAACCGTCATACAGCAAAGTTCGACAAGGAAAGTCTTCATCCAGTGTCTGAGGAGCGCCATGAGCCCACCTCCGGCAGCATATAAGGGGAGTGCCAGAACAACGGGGGAGTTCGTCACAACTACTCCTACGCCGGATAGGACATGTTTGTTCCACTCGGTGCTGACTACATATGTAACCAGAGTCATCACTCCCCAGAACAAAATCGTTTGAAATTCCTCGGTAGGCCAGACAATTTTCGAAGCCCTTGCCCAGAGGGCGAGCCAAGACTCCCCTCCTTTGATTTTACGTTCATTTCTAATATAATTGCACCAATTGCAAGAGTTAGCTCAATAACAGCTTTTTTAGAGGATTTAATGCAATTATACCTAGGAGTATCTTTCTCATTAACAATATCCTCAAGAATACCAAGAAGCTCGTGGAGGATAACAACGATGGAGAGCCTGTGACGATTGTCCAAGAGCTGTTCGAATCGCCAGGCAGGGCCTCCAGCTCTGGCTGGAGAAGAGGTCGGGTTACGTGCGTTTCCCCCGAAGAAATACTTTACTATAGTGATTTTATTACACATGCTGAACCTGTGTTTTGCCATTTTTGTTGATGAAGAGATTGTTTTTATTGTAAGAGAGATCAAATGGTGTAGAAGGAATGAGATGATAGAAGTGAGAGAAGGAAGGAGTGGATGATGGAAGTAGGAGAAGGAGGTGGCAGTCACAGTGGTGATAGGTTTAAGAGAGGAGACGCAGCGGAGGGGCAGTCCTTTGTGGGCTTACGGGGTGTGTTTGGTGCGGTTTGTGGCATGTGCGCAATGCATATGCGTGGCTAAACTTCGGGGACTCCTCGAGGTCCCAAAGACATACATGTATATTTGAGTAAGGACGTAATACATGTATGCACATAGCTACATGTATATATACATGTACTTTTAGATGGGATCGCTTCTCGAACCCTAGAAATGATGAAGGGCTTGAGAAATTAGGGCATCTGCTAAAGGGCATCTCATAACTACAGAAACCTGAGGACTTTATTTTTCCGTAGGGGGTGCAATATTCTTTTTCATCTTACACAGACTCCGAGTGATAATTTAAGATTTTCGTTATGTGGTGACACCCCCGCAGCAAAAAGAAATCCCTTCTTCGAATGTGCATTTATTACGTAACTTCTAAAAAGCGAATAACATTTATACCACGTTCTGTAAGATACTGAAGTGGTAAACTGAACATAGCTGCGCATTCATCAACCAAACCTTACTCTCATCCCCAGAGTGCAGCAGTCATCTCGATCATTGACATCGATTACATAAATTCGTGTGGTATCGATCATTGCAGCCTTGCCAACGCCAAAAAGCACTGAGACCATTCTTCCCCAATAAGTCTAGCGACCCAGAGCATGATGTCATATTTCTCTTGGCACTGAAACTGACATCTGTGCAGCGAGCGATCTCCAGGAAATGGCAGAAAACGCCACACCTCCAAGCTAGAAACATGGCTCCCAAACTCACGATTTCAACCACCGTGCGCCTGGCTTCAGGATACGAGATGCCGCGCCTAGGTCTCGGCGTATGTGCTCTATCCCGGAGGAGGTAGCATGCTTAATTACCAGATCAGTACTGACATCTCATAGGTCTACCAAACGTAAGAAGCACAATTGCATCGCTACATATATCATAGTGCCCGAGTTAATGCTGTTCCAGCCCGGCAGACAAATGCGAGGCCCTTGTACTTCACGCCTTTTCGAAGGGCTATCGACACGTAACACTTCCTACGAGCCTACCCCCAGTAGAGCACGCTAACAAGCGCCTCAGATCGACTCCGCCACCGCCTATCGCAATGAGCGGCCTTGTGCCACTGCAATCGCCGCATCCTCTCTCTCCCGCACCGAGGTCTTCTTTACGACAAAGCTACCACCACGGCTTCGCGGGTACGTCCACCCACCCGCCCACCCTCCCCTCTGCATCCGCAGGAAGATAGGTTAGGCTAACATATATATTATTTAGATACGAAGAAACTAAGAAGTCCCTCAACAATGTCATCACCTCCAACCCAGAGCTCGAGGGTTACATCGACCTGTACCTTATCCATGCTCCGTACGGCGGGCGCACCGCGCGCCTTGGCGAATGGAAAGCCATGGTCGAAGCACACAAAGAGGGCAAGATTCGCTCCTTGGGCGTGTCAAATTATTCCGTGGATCATCTAAACGAATTGTGGAAATACATTCATGAAGAGGGTGGTGGAGGTGTTCTGAGCGTGGGGCAATGGGAGGTCACACCGTGGCTGGGGAGAAGGGACATCAGAAAGTGGTGTGAAGAGAGAGGGGTGGTGGTGCAGGCTTATTCGCCGTTGGTGAGGGCTACGAGATTTGGAGAGCCGGTGGTGAGGAGTCTGGCCGAGAGGTATGGGGCGACGCCTGCGCAGGTATTGGTGAGGTGGAGTTTGCAGATGGTGTGTTCGAATTCTTCCGGTCTGCCGGTATTCCTTTAGGTCATTCTAATCGATAATAGGGGCTTGTACCGCTCCCGAAGTCAGTCCATCCTGAGAGGATCACAGAGAATGCTGACGTTTATGGGTTCGAGCTTTCAAAAGAGGAGATGAAAGAGTTAGAGACCGATGAGTATAGTCCATGTTCCTGGGATCCTACGAAGGAGCCTTTGTAAATATTTGCCATGGTGTGCAACAACGCATCGGCAAAGAATATGTGATTGGTATTACCTATGGGCGTAAACGATTACCTATAAGTACATTATTGGTAAAGACCATAATAAGTTATGAACAGAACGTTACTGGGAGAACCAATATCATCTTTTCCCTTTATTCCACTATACTTCATCTATATGTTTTTCTCTATCAACGCACCCATGGCTCATTGTCAATTGACAATCGTAAATTCAGGAACGCTTGCAACGAAAATACCCAAACATTTTATGGGTTGGAGTTCTGGGAAACGTGGCGTGTCAAGCAATGCAGGGACGTTTTAAGAACACATACGTATTAACACCCACATCGAACTTATACGGGTCACGCTGTCCACCTGCTTCCCACATCCCTTCCTCCTCTCCTCTTCTCCCTCTATTGCTCCTATCACAAATGACGTGACCCTCTCAAAAATACCACTTTTCGCAATTAGGCTTCCTGCCCAGAGTTTGAGTCACTCCTCCTTGAAACATGAAGTACTTCACACGATGATAAGCCATCATCCATATCTCTCCGCCAGCTATGTACTATTACCAGCCAATTTGCTTCCTTTCCTTCCATTCACTGGTGATTAATGACTTATAGCTGACTGTCGTGATGTTTTATGATTAATCACGCGAGTGATGAGATCTGAATCTAACCAACTCTCGATACTAGCTATAAATGGTTAGTTTATGATTACATCAATCTCCTCGCCAAGGTCGCTTAGCAGCGAGCCATCATCGAACATCGCCGTTTCACGATTTTTTTCACGGTTTAACCCCCATGGTTTCCGTCCCAAATCCGCGGACATCTCGGGGACGGAACCTATTCTATAATAGTAGGTACATGTATGTACTAGACTAGACTAGAATTAATGGCCAACTTTTTTAGGAGCGCTGTCAATATAGTGCCTGCCAAGCCAAATAACTGTATGGCGTTCCTTCACCCCTCGTCACTCATCCTCTAATTTCACCAGGCGAAAGTTTTGTGCGCCTGCTTGCCTCCATGCAGTGAGCTATAGAATTCCGGCAAACTAGGCGGTGGCACTCATTAAAGCTGGTTTGGATTGCCTGAATTAAGTCCAGTCTTAGGAAGTAGCTCAGCGTCAGCGCTCCCAACACTTCTCCTTTTTCATAACTTACGGCTCACGAGTCACGCACGACTCACAACACCTCATTAGTCGTGCTGACTCTTTTGCCTTGTCGGGCTAGGCTCGCTACTCAATATCTCCATCGATCCACGGGATATCAATTTATTTCCCGAATTTGATTTCTAGAAAAACAAAACACAAGAAGGGAAACGTGAGTTTAAGCTCCGATCTCCGCTCTCCATGGGGAGAGTCGGTTATCGATGCAGAAAATTGCGCTTTGGCCGTTTTTTATCTTTAATTATTCCCGGTTGAATACACTCTAAAAGAGATGCGCAATTCTTTTGCATGAGGATCATACATAAAAAAGGAGAAAAGCATTGCCGGATTCCGGTGCTGCACTTGTGCCGGTCGGTGGTTGTTCCGTGAATCAAAGCGTAATGTCTCACAGCAATATTCTCGCTCTTATGAACGTATTACTACTGCGGAGTATGATCGACATTTGGGTCTTAGCAAGGATTTAACTACAATCATGAACTCACTGCAAATATTTGAACGGAGAAATCAAATGTGCCCCGAAAAGGCCTATTCCCGCCAGTTTCTGGGCCAGCGTCAACAGGATGGGTACCAGGTTAGATAACTACGCCGCCATACATGTCTCTCTCCCAGGCTCCCAGTTCCCAGATGCAGATAGATAAGAAAAGTACAGACATCCACAAACCAGGAATCTTGGAGATTAGAACGGAACTTTCCTAGCTCCTACATATATACGGGCGAGTCTCGATACTTATACTCTTGGTAAAAATTACCCAAGTTGATCCTCAAAGCGATCAAAGCCCCGACACAGTGAAGATATACATAGATGGTTCAGATACCGTTTACTTCACCGTACCGGATGTCGGATGACTCCCGTTACATACATGTAGTTAAGAAACATGGTGATTTCTACTCTACATATTGTATGTAGCGAGAATGCTTCATAATACAGGCATTACCTGCTCTCGGCTAACTAAGCGCCATATCTTCCAAACCTATTGTGCTCATAGCTATAGACGCATTTTTGGAATGTAGAATAAGGAGTGCAAGAAACTTTATATCTCTCGTACGAACCGTAAACTTACCAGTATTATACAATTAATAAATTATTAATCAATCAGCCAAACTTACCAGTATTTGGTTATTAATCTGGACCTCCCGCTGGAATATCATTCCGACTCATGAAACTTAGGAAAGGCCTATTGGCCACTACATGGAGTAACCTGGATAGTTGGTAACTTAGGCTCCGTTCTGTTGATGTTGAATTGGTTGCTATCCATGGATTGAATAAAAAACCACCTCTGGAGGTGATTATTTTATCGAGCCCAATCCATAGATTGCAACCAATCTATGGATTTTTGTGTCAACCGAACAGACCCTTAATGTTTGAGGAAAACTGTTATCAATCACGATCTACGGCCACGGATAAAATTATCCCTATCTGTCTAAATTGGTTTATCGGTTGATAATTCATTAATTTGTCCAGATTGAAGATACATATGTATATTTCGCTCAGTGGCGCCTTTTAGACGTCTTGATGCATGGGCGTGGCATCCCAGATTGATGGGCGAGAATATCAGTCAGAATTCTCGAACTATCTTATGTTGTCACACTCGGGAGTCATAATAACCATTACGATTTGGGAGAACAAATATATATTAGCATGGATACTGTGATGGGATAAGTAGTCCCAGTTACTAATCACACCCATTTGAGAAGAATTAAGAATATAACACAAAATTTATACAAAGAAAATTATCATCGAACACCCTTAGTTGGGGCACAGACGGCCCTCCAAGTCCAAAGTCCAATCCTCACTACCGACTGCAGTTCTGGCATAAAACACACCCTTCGGGTCAAATCTCTGCTTCAACTGGTACAAACGAGCATAATTCTCGCCGTAGAAAGCCTGTTGGAAGTTTGGCTCCTGGATATCAGACTCTCCAAGGTAAGCACCAGAGCCAGGGGTGACATCTCTCCACTTCTGCATTTGCACATTGGTGAGGTAATCCCTCTTAGCCTGGATTTCCTCCGATGTGGCACTTGCGTCCCAGGAAGCCGCACCAATAGCATGCAAGACAGATTGTCTCCATGCAGGGTTGACAGAGTTATCAGACTCGCCGCCACCGGGGAACTCGTTCTTCATGTTAAACCCAAGAAGCATTCCCTGCTCCTCGATAACTGACCTGATAACTGCAAAAGTTTTATCAAAGGTCGCATCATCTACCCAGTTTGCGCGGGGGAAAAGCCGAGACGCAGTCTGCACTGTAGTGTATCCAACGAGTTCCTTAGGGAAGCTCGCCTGCCATGCGTCAAAGAAAGACTCGTGCTCGGTGATGACGGGTGTGTATTCAATGTTCAATGAGTCGAGTTTATCAAAGAGGGGCTGGAGGAGGCCTGTGACCTCTGCTGCACTGAGGTTGGGAGCAAAGAAGGGTGCCATATTGAAAGTTCCGGTAAAGATGCTGAAGTACGAATAGGTGCCCGCATCGGCGTTGGTGACGAAAGTGTTGAAGTAGACCTTGACAGCATCCCAGAATGCGTCTAGGTCGGTGGAAGAGAAGCTGAATGTAGCGGTAGTAACCGGGAGGTCGGGGTAAGCCTTGACAATGACTGAAGTGACAATTCCAAAGGTAGATCCACCACCACCACGGAGAGCCCAGAAGAGATCCGAGTTTTTCTGTGCATTAGCGGTTACGAAGCGGCCATCTCCGGTTACAACTTCGTACTCAAGGACATGGTCGGCTCCCATTCCGTAGATACTGGAGAGAGGCGAGTGACCACCTCCGGCGAGGTAGCCTCCAGCATATCCGACAGTCATACCCTCTCCACCGACAACGGCGAGGCCTTGAGCCTTGGCCGCGGCATAGACGTCACGACCCTGGACACCGGCTCCGACTTTGAAAGCAGGTCCAGACCAGCCGAGACGGTTGAACTTAGGGATATGTTTGATATCATTGAAGAAGTGGGTCCAAACACTAATGGAGTTTGCACCAGATGACTTTCCAGAGAAATCATGACCTATGGACAGAGGTTAATATAATAGACCCAAGGTGAATCTAGCGAGAAAGTTACCAGTGTTCTTAACAACGAGCCTGACACCAAAGTTTCTAGCAAAGTTGACAGCAACTTGGATGTCGAAAACGGTCTTAGCTTTGATAACGTAATTAGGGTATCCTCCAAGAGTGCAAGACCCAGTGGGATCAGTGGTGGGCATGCAAGTAGCACCCTGGTAGAAGGGAGACATAATTGAGGTAGGATCTTGATCGCTGCAATCACATAAAAATTAGAATTTTAACATCAATTAAGCTAGTTTAAGGGGGAAAACATACTGTAAGTCTGAGTCGTGCCAGCTAGCAGTAATCTCTGCACATCTAGTGGCATTGTAATACTCTCCGTTGTAGCAAGGCGCCGCCAAAGGCACAGTGGGGATGAGCTTCTTTCCCGTAAGGAAGTTTACAATGCCCCAGATCTTTGAAGAGGGCCATTTTGAGTCGGCGGATATGACTTTGCACACCAGATCGGACACTGAGCGCTTTGAAGAGGGGTCTGCTTCAGTGTAGACAGTGTCATCGAACGAGATTTCAGGGTATTCCTCAACATCAGCATCCGTCAATGTCGAGACCTCGTACGGGAACGGTTCAGTTGTTGCAGTACTGCTGGCTGCGGCATCGGTGCTTGAGGCATCGGGGGCTGGAATTGCGAGTGCTCCGGAAAGGAAAAGTGCCAATGCGGCCAACTTCCAGTTTCCGGTGCGTTGGGTAGATACAATGTTCGGCATCTCCGTGTTTCTTTTCTTTTTCTTTGATTCTGTTGGGTTCTTTTGGTACGGGAAAAAAAAGTAACGAGCTGACTGAGGGTGAGTGAGTGAAATAAACACGTGGAAAATGAAGTAAAGAACGAGTGTGCCACGTTGTAGACTTCACTCAGGGAGGAAGGCGGGAATTTATGCAAATACAAAGGTCGACATTTTCAGGTAGACCGTTGAGCAGAGCCCCTCTCTATCCCCTATGGAGAAATGCGGATGACGGGTCCACGTGGAAAGAAAGGGTGGCTTAGAGAAGAACCTGGGAGCATATGGTTAAACGGGAGAATAGTGGAGACAAATCTCCAAATTATTGGTTACCAAGTCTGTGTTTGTATATACATATGCAAAACTACTTGGAGACAAAGTTACAAATGCTTTAGCTGGGTTTAGCACATATACAAGGTAACCAAATATTAAATATCGCTTGGGTCACTGAGCCTCTGATTGGACCCGAGTACCAGCTAACGACCACAAGGAATGTGTGCACTGGCACGGTTCGTGGATCAGTGGTCGGATAAGCGACAGCCGCGCTCTAGCAACTAAATAAAGTAATCTACTGTTATTGTTGTACAGCTTACGCACTGAGCTCGAGCCCTAGAGACAGGATCGAAGGAGTGTTGTGCCAGGGAGTGTTGACCGATATTGAGTCTACTGGGATATCCTAAATACCAGCAGCAATCTCGACCTCGAAGACCCTGCAATCAACTGACAACGAGGATTCTGCATGAGAAAATCATCCAACGAGAGGATTATGATAAGTCTAAATATCGAGCCATTTCTTGCATATGATCCCTTCGGCTTACAACTGTCTTGCAATGTTGTTTCTCCAGCATAAGATTGATAATATATTATGAACCACTATCGAGCCTTACTTCCTTAATTAAATCAAGGGGATACCCCTTTTTACTTTACTTCTCCTCACTCCTATTATTTACCTACGATCAATAACAATATTATGCTTCAACTGCATATTATATGCCTCACGATGTATACTAGCGCTAGGAATGGCACGTCTCGCAACGCCACAATTCGTTACCAAGCTATTCCTATCAGTCAAATAGTAGGGCCAAATAGTTAAATGACTGCATCGGTATTCTCTGCGAGGACCCTTTAAATACTTTGCCACCTAACAATTGATTACATATTCTTCTTAGACACGATTCTCACTGAACGGCTGGGAATGCCCCTGAAACTGGAACGATCATCTTGCGTTCCTGCCAGGGAAGATTCCGTTATGCATACTGCGTATGTACTCTACCGATTATCCATTTAGGTATGGTTTGCACTCTAAAGTTTCCCCACCTCAGAGTGCTTTACGAGAGTATCATACAGACCTTGGAGAGTCTTGGCCAGACGGCTCAATATTCAGCCATGCCCTACATGCAGACCACATCTCTACAACTCTCCCACATGTACGATGTAGGCCTCTCGGAGCATCAACCGATTAATGCAGGTCCTCTATCTACGCCAAGAAGGAAATCAAAATCAAGATAAATAATCGTTGATATCCACCCTACAGTTCCGATAGGGTGTTGTCGTTCAATTGATCAAAGGTCGTTGCGATTGCGGAAAATTTCCCCGCCAAGATGTGAAACATGGATTACCCTGAACGGAACATGCCAATCCTTCTGTAGCTTCTTTCGAATATCTCCAAGTGCAACTTTTAGAAGCATGTCGGCAAGCCCTGCAGGTAGGCTAGCCCTCGAACTAGCGGAAGATTGGATGGACATGAATTTCGGCCCATGCGCAGCTTACGGCGTTCACGTTCTGTCTAAGCCAGGAAAAATCGCTGTCGGGGCAACACTCATGCTCCCCGCGTCACGAATAATCACACACTCGATGAGACTTCCTCGGTCCAACTATCCAATCATTACATAATATGACGCTCTTTATGATCTGGATAGGAGGCACCTCGGTGGTGAAATAAGAGGAGCTTATCTAGCTCCGTGAAACCATCCACCACAAGTCAGGAGGAGAAAATACGAACCCAACCAGCCCTATTCATCCCACCGGCGAGCGAATAGTAGTGATGGCATACTGTGAACTCACGGGTAAAATCTAGCCCTAGCCCAGACTAGACCAAGGAAACAGACTAGAAAGAAAAAAAGCCATGCGGGGATAGAGTACACAAACTAAAGCCTTCGCTAAATTATTCCATTCCAGCAATGGAATGGGGAAAAAAGAGGTGGGCATAGAAAAAACTTCCTTGATATAAGGATAGAGGAAAGAAGCACTCTCCAGGGATCGAGGTGTGCATCTTCCACGCGGGGAAATAGAGGTGACTTGCCAATTATCAAACGTACCTGGAACTCGGGATCTGGTTATTGCTTGTCATTCATATTTCCCCCCCTTTCATTCACTTCGGTTCTCTCGGCTTTCTCTAGGATTCTTAATTGGACACCAGTATCTCTTCTCTCTCTAATTCGTCCTACTTACTTGCCTTGCCAACTGTACTTGCCTTACATCTCGACTTTCCTTGCATATGAACTTGCGCAGAAAATAACGGCATAAACACCACTCATTATATCGACCTCTCGATAATTAGCAAACGCCGAGTAATAAGAAAATGTCAAGACCAGCACATTGGCCGCCGCCAAACACGGTAAATCCCGAAAACAAAGGGCCCATGATCGTCGGGGTCTTTATCGGATTTACGATATTTGCAGTCATGGTAGTTGGCTTGAGGTTCTGGACGAGATTGTATATCATTAGGAATATTGGGATGGGTGAGTTATAATCCGAGCAAGTTGTATCGAGTGGGTTGTTAATGACTGGATTGCAGATGACTGGTTTATCCTCGCGGCGACAATCAACTTATTGGCTTCGACAGTGACAAACTGCCTTGGTAAGGCACCGCGTCATTGATTTTATTGCTGCATATTAATGAATTTCTTTAGTCGTCAAATATTACAGTTTTGGAATGCACGTATGGGATATTGTCGCCGATTATGGCACTCTCGCAACAAAGGTAGTAGAATTCGCCACCATTTATACTATCAATTCCAGGTAGTAACTTACGCTCTGCAGATGGACTTCGCAAACCAACTGGTCTATCATCCCATCCTAGCGCTCACAAAGATCTCCATCCTCGTCTTCTACTATCGCCTCTCGGTATCCGGTACCTTCCGCCAGGTCGTCATGGCCCTCATTGTCACCAACGTGGCACTCACTATGTCTATCTTCTTTGCTGACTTCTTCCAATGCTCACCCATATTACATCTGGGATAAGTCAATCGAGGGAGGGAAATGCATCAACACAGAGGCATTCTTTATCTCCTCAGCGGCGCTGAATATCGTTTCTGATTTTGCGGTCCTGCTGTTGCCGATCCCCATGGTGTGGAAATTGAAGATTAATATGAAGAAGAAGATTGTGTTGATATTGTTGTTCAGCTTGGGTGGCTTGTAAGTTATCCACGCTGGGTGCGTTATATATTTGACTAGTGGAAGAAGTGCTAATTGTTCGATACATATAGTGTCTGTGCCGTGAGTATCGTACGTCTGCAATCCATCATCAACATGTTCAACCCCAACGTAGTCGACCCCACCTGTAAGTCATCCCCGTCCCTGTCAGTCCATAAAACAAAGAGAGAAAAATCCCTCCTAACAAGCTCACAGTTGAAGCCGGCTTCTTCTGGTCCGGCATCGAATGCAGTCTTGCCATTGTCTGCGCCTCCGTCCCCTCCCTCAAGCCCTTCTTCGCAGTCAACTTCCCCAAGCTCCTCGGCTCCTCCCTTGGCTCTCGCTACGGCGCAAACTCTCAGGGGAAGATGTACAATGGCGGGCAGTCGTCGCGCTCACGCGGACAGGCCTACGCGCTCGGGTCCATGCAGAACGATAAGAACACGGCCTATCACCCGGGCAAGGATAATGTCCTGCAGACGACGGTCGTCAAGGGCCCAAAGAGGGATAACGAGAGCGAGGAGAGTATCATACATGGAGACGGAATCATGAGGACGAGAGATGTACGGGTGGAAGTGGAGAGTCTGAACAGTAATGATGGGAGGGCCATTCCGTAGTTTTTCCCAGCCCGCGATACTCGGCGATCTACTGCGCTACTAGCTATGGGTGGTTGTTTTTGGTTATATTCTGTTTGTGATTTTTCTCATTTGTCGATTTTTCATTTGTCCAGTTTCATTTGTCTAATTTCATTTGTTTTCGGTTGTACATATCGTAGGGTTTTGGGGTGGGATTTCTTTTGTTCAACAGCTTTGTTAGTTGGGTGGTTCATTCGTCGGCCAATTGGTCAAAGTCGACATAGATCAACAACGCCCATATGTTACGATCATATATGCACATATATTTAGATGCACAAGGTATACAGATATATAGATAGATAATGAATATTGTATATTACTTCTCTCTCACTCTCAATTGATACATATAGCTCCTAATCCCTCAAATGGTTCGTTTCTTGCATTTATAGAGCTACTAGAGGAATATGTATCCATCGTCCCGCGACTCCGTAGCAAACATTACCAGCATTCTGTATATACTTATTTTAATGATCGATATCTCTATATTCTTAAATATTAATAATTAACCTACTTATAACACATAAACAAATAACGATCCTCATATATGTTCGCTTCCAAAACTCGTAGCAGCACCTCTAATATACAGAGTGCTTCAATTACATAACGTTAAGCACAAGGATACTATCACAATTTCCACTCATCCGGCTCTAATATCAAAAACACTCGCTCACCTGTAACGTTCCCCGCCTCCTACCCCACAAACCCACGAGAGTATGCAGGCACGTCATATGTGTGGCATGGTATGGTACGGTATTCAGCTGCCGCTGTATGTATGTTGGTAGAGTACTCGTAGCTTTATAGCGTTTCCGAACACGACCAATATTGCATGACATACAAAAAGGTGGATTTGGCGCTTTTTCGTATGTCATGCAATATTGGTCGTGTTCGGAAACGCTATAAAGCTACGAGTACATGTTGTTCGAGAACCGGAAATTGGGGGGGGGATCTTCGGTCCATTCAGCCGAGGCGGTACTCCATATAGATTAATTAGGCTTGGCAGGTGAGTGGGGGCGCTTTTCGTCTGAAGTGTTTGTGAGATTGGGAGTATGGACTTGGGTGTTATTGGGGTATTAGGAATGAGAACGATTGTGGGAAGGTATTGAGAGTCGAATTGTAATGGGGAATAAATGTGAGGATAAGATGACTCTCCGCGCTGCGGCGCCTGCCATTAGGGCGGCAGAAAGGAAATATTCCGAGAGAGAAGAATTGGCCCAGTCGACTCCAAATACCAGGTTCAAAGAAACCAAACCCACCGCCATGCTGCGCGGCATGTGGTTGAAATCGGGGACAGCGATGCGGCACCAATGACAGCATGTACCAGAAACGTTCCATCCCATACCCAAGACCAACACCACCGGGGTCTACTACGTGTAGTCCTGCATATATGTATTGACAGTATTACCAGGTGCGGCGAGTTCCAGTATTTTAATTTTGAATGAGGATTACCAACCATAACCCACCCCCCTTTCTGACCTCCATCCTGAACTTTTTATTCTACTTCTGTTGAACTCGATTGACGAATAGGTAGAGTTTCGTTATTCCGTCTGCAAGAATGTGTTGCAGATTGTTCCTGCCAAAAGAGGTCAGTGATAAGCAGAAGGGAAAGCCGGATACATCAAAAGCCTGGTATATCAAAGCTTGCTATAAGGGTACGTACGCCTTCGAACAGAATTTGGTGCCGTTATAAGTAGAGAGAGTGCTAGTGCTGAAAACTAAAGAAAAAGCCCTTAGGGAGTACCATTATAGAAGGTGCCCTTGTAGCAATCTGTCATTGTAACACTTGAACTTAAGCCTCAACGCCTCCCCAGCGCCCCCTCACTCGGTCTGCCCGCCGGCTGAAGTCGCATGTGCAATTCTCCTATCCTGACCTGAGGGGAAAGCTTATACCACTCGGGGGCTCTCGGGCCTGAATATGTGGGTAGAATAGCTCTGCAAAACATTGACTAGAAAAGGTTTAGGACCGTCGCACAGCAGCTTGATACGCCGGCCGGCCACTTGCGCGTGCGGGTCCGGTCCGGCCCGGAACCTTTACCGATGCCGTATCGGTGCGCGCCGATACCGGCTTTTAGTACCTCAAGACCCCAAAGTCTTGAAGAGAAGCGTGTTATATAAGATCTGGGGATCGCGAGCGAGGCCCGTAACTCATGATCACAGATGCGGATCACACCTTCTCCTGTATCAAACCCTAACCTTCAAATCGAGTGATTTCTCGTGTTTGCAATTTGTCCGATCACCACGGTGACCTGGCATGTGCTCGGACGACTTGTGAGCGGGAGATTGGCGGTAATAAGAGGGAGAAGAGTGGATTCTTGAGCGGGTCAACTTTTAAGGGGGGTTCTGTTGGTGGTTCATGAAGAGGAGGAAAGAATACTTGGGCTGTAATACTCTAGATCAGTTAATTATACGTTAGGTAGGGATATGGAAATTGGAAGACGACTACTACCTATTATAACCATAGATATTGACCTCGACTCTCGAAACCTTCAGGAATGTGATCCACGAGGACAGTGATCCAAAAGGACAAGGAACCTCGAGGATAATATCTGTTCTTGCCTCCAGGACTTCCAAGGACAATTCTTGGCTATGATAACACAGGAATTAGATTTGTATAGGAGATCTATTATTTGATAAGAGAGATAACGAGATCTGTTAGCAAAGCCACACCAGATTTGCTTTTTCTTGGGTGGACAGCATTTTCTTGCCAGACGAAGGGATAATACACATTCAATATTCCCTAATCGATGAGGTCATGAATAAAATATACCTTTTATTTGAAACACCAACCTTTTGCTCTACCGGGTCGTTTGTTTCTTTTACCGTCCTCGAGGACATCAACACCGGACTTCGAGCAGTACAGAGGATAAGGCACCTCGAGGAAACCACCGAGTCTCCCACTCTGAGAATAATTCGTTCAAAGCCGCACAGAGACTGTGAATGTAGGGTCCGAGATAAACCTTTAACCGTAAGCGGTCTGTGGCATCGTATTTCCACTGACCACAGATAGGAGGGCGGTTTTACTAGACGAGAGGTTCAGGAGTCATACTTAAAGCCCGGTCACGACACCGTGTTTCAGAAATGTGTTGTGTTGCTAAGGTTTGTAACGTTGTATTTGACACAGTGGCTAGAGTTAGGTTTTTTTTTTCTTTTTTTTTTCTGGTTGTGATGGGGTGGAGGAAATATTTTTTGCCTAGGCTATAAGAGCTTTTGTGGGCGCAATCTTGAAAACACCAAGAATTTGTGGGGGCCTAGCATTTCACAAACTGCTATTACACCGAGCCATCATGTATGTAGACAAAGTATATGAGCATGTACTTCCTATAGGTATGCCTCAATGTACTTATCAGTACACCTAACTCTGAGCACCTAGGCGTGTCAGGCGAAATTCAAGTTTAGGCAAGTTTTAGTTTCTGCGTGATGTATCGAATTGATCTATCGGGAATACGCCCCCACCCCCGCCATCAACAGGCTGCATCTCCCCAGAGCGATAGTGCTATTCAGAAAACAGTGAAATATTTCTGAAATGATCAAGCAGCGCGTGCACATATCTGGTGCTTAGCTACCAACCCTAACCCTGCAAAATTAGTCAAGAATCGAGTGATCATCCATGAGTGAGCCACCCCACGCTTCTTAAGAACCTTCGTACCAACTACAACCACCCAGAGAGTGACAATTTAGGCCAGTGTATTTCATGAGGCCCTGGCTGTGTGCGGTGGCCTTTATAAGGTGTTGGGATAGGAGCTGGTGAGTGCCAAGAGTGTATCACTGTACTGGCTGAAAACCGCTGCAGCCGGACAACCGAATCCGACAGGAGGGAATGTATCATTGGAAAGCCTCGGAGTGAGTAGGCTACGTTGTATCCAGTACTTCTATCTTGTGTAGTTGACACCCCCTCCCTGATCAGCAGCTAGCTCGCGCTCGAGGAGTTATTTCGACAAACTAGCATCACATCATATATACATGTAGCTCATCATTTTTCCACAGTGCCGCTGTCTATAGATTTTATAAACTCATCTTTGATAGGCGAAATATTTCTCAGATCACGTATAGATGTGGTCTCACGTTCGCACAGGAATCAATAATCTACATGTGTTCGCCAGTGTATGATGGCGACGTGCATCAAGAACAAAATACCCAGATTCCGCAATTTATTTCTAGCTCATTCGCCCACCAGTGTCTGTCAGTCAGTATCTGTTGTGGGCCAAGGTCGTGACGTCCCTTCTTGGCAGGGTCTAGGGTTTGTACCGTTCCGACACCGTGAGTCACTCGGGAAATTTGCAGCTCATGGGTTAGGGTTTTTTTCCCCAGGAGAGGAGTGAGTTAGGGATTGTAAGGACCGGTTTTTTCTGATTATTCTGAGAAGGGGGACAAGAGAAAATACTGCGGAGTCCTGCATCCATCGGACATCTTGGAAGAGAGAGAGAAAAAAAATTGTATGTGGACCTGAGTATATAGGGGGGAGTGGCCGAGGCCCGGCGCACTCGACTCTCCCACCGTCTCCCTCCTACCAAGGGGGATCAAGATGAAAAATTTTCAGATCAACCACGCTTAGCGATACTGGGTCTTGCTCCTTCTCCCTTCTTGAATGTGCCCTATGGCTAATTTTCGCCGCTCTCAAGGTTTTGATAGGTCTTGGCGGCAGACGCCCTCGGTATAAAAGGAAGCCCTCGCCCATCCTTTTCCTCCTTCTTCTCTTTCTTTTCTCTCTCCTCGAACCAATGCCCCCTCACCGTGTGTCTTGTTCTCGTGTTAAATATCTCATCTTTCCCCTTGGGAAGGGGTGCGATACTAACACGAGGACTTGATAGGCGGTGAGTTTTCCCTTTTTCTTCTTATTTTCTGTGGGGCTTTGGCTTTGGCATTTCGGGGGCACACCGCGTGTCGGTCACTTGTTCATCTCTCCTTCAGCAGAGTCGCTGAATAGGTGGGATGAACAAGTAGCTTGACAGGCGTGTCGTGTTTCTGATTTAGCTACAAACTCACGTGTCGGCCAGTTGTTCCTTGGAAGTCTTGTTCGCTTTTGAAGAAAAAGAAAGCCTCGACAACCTGGAACAACTGGCCTGATAGGTGGTGTTTTCTCCTCTTTCTTTTCCCCCTCCCAAACAGACGTGTCAGCCACTTGTCCCTTGGAAGTCTCGCTTGCTTTTGAAGAAAAAGCCTTGATATTCTTGGAACAAGTGGCTTGGTAAGTGGTGTTTTCCCTTCTCGTCCCTTCAAACTCACGTGTGGGTCACTTGTATTTTTTTTCTTATTTTCTTTTGAAGAAAATTCGGAAGGAAATACAAGTGGCCAGATAGGTGGTGTTTCCCCCTGCTCCTAGTCCCATAGCACACGTGTCTGCCAATTGTCCTCTTTCTGGAGTTTGTTCTGCAGATGTCTGAAAAGGGTACAAGTGGCTAGATAGGTGGTGCTTTCTCTTTCTATTTCCTGTCCCTGTCCCTGTCCCTGTCCCAGATAGAAAGACTTGCCACTCTCCTGTTATAATGAACCGTAGCTTGACAGCTGCTATCCATTGTGATGAACAAGATTGCGTTAGGTTGGTCGCCAGTGCCTTTGCAGACCCCATCCCAGATATACATCGCTCTTTTGTTCGTTGTCGTCAACCATGGCTTGATGGCTGCTGTTGATTGCAATGTACAAGATTTCGTCAGGTGGTGTCGCCAGTGCCTTCTTCGTGCCCAGATTACATGTAGTTCTGTAGCATATCGGCTCCCATTGTACCAGTAGATAGATTGGTGAAGTAATTGAGTAGGCAAGCAGTCGATTAAGTAAATAAATACGCAGGCACCCTTCCCCCCTATTAAAGTACACATAAACACACACCAGGCAAGTCCTCTCCACCCCGTAAGTCCTAGCGCCCTTTAAAGGTTTCCTACTCAGCAGGGTTCCATGGAACGAACGAGAATCCATGACGCCCCAACCGAACGACCTTCTATGACTGGACCGAACGACTAGCTGTGATTCTATACGAACCGAACGATCCCTTGTGATTCTGGCTGAACGATAGTTCATGATCACGATGTAGTGTGGGTTTCTCACATGCGTACTCGACTATGGATGGTCGGCCTCGGGTACGTGTTAGGGCGAGGGCGGAGCGATTTTGTCTACGAGACCACGTTTTTGTTCCTTTTCTCTTTTTCTTACCTAGGCGAGTAACTGAGAACTATCTTTACGCGGGTTGGCGCTTTAAGATCATATCGTTCAGGGTATTACGAGTAGGGCCAATCGACGAACCTGCGTAGGCCGCTACGCAAATCGAATACCGAGACAAAATTCACAGTGGCTTACACCAAAGGTACTACTCGTTGACGGAGTTTTATAATTGATACTATTCACGTTACTTCGCAAACGAATTAAACCAAAGGGTGATTCATTGGCCCACAAAAAAGACTAACTACTACAAGTGATATATCTCCACCAGCCAGCCCAAAACCCTCGCATAAAGCACAACCCGCCTCAACACCGTTAACAAGCACGCCAAGTAAAGACTACGATATACTAATTCTAATACTCCGAGCTCCGCCCATACCCTCCTCTGCCACCGCCGGACTGCTCATCCTGACCATAGCCACCACCGACACGGCGGCCATACGAGTCTTCTTCGCCCTCGTTGTTGTTCCCGTAAGAGCCTTCCTGGTAGCGGGAAGAGCTCTGGCGTCCATAGCCGGTTTCCTCGCCACCATGGTTGTAGGATGAAGTCTCGTTGTCGCGGCCGCCCCCGTAGGAAGACTCCTCTTCGCGGTTGTTTCCTCCGTATGAAGAGCCATAGCCTCCGGTGTTTCCTGAGCCGTAAGTGTCTTCGTTTCCGCGGTTGCGGGATGAGGTTTCGTAGGATGCTTGGTTGTCGCGGCCGCCCCCGTAGGAAGACTCCTCTTCGCGGTTGTTTCCTCCGTATGAAGAGCCATAGCCTCCGGTGTTTCTTGAGCCGTAAGTGTCTTCGTTTCCGCGGTTGCGGGATGAGGTTTCGTAGGATGCTTGGTTGTCGCGGCCGTAGCTAGAGCTTTCTTCGTTGCGTGAGTATGATGATTCCTCGCGGCTGGCGCTGTAGGATGTTGAGGTGTCCTCGCCGCCCCAGTGCCTGGCAGAAGAACCGGAGACGTCTTCATTGTTACCGCCGTATCCGCCGCCGCCGCCACCGTAGGAAGTGGTCTCATCGTTTCCACGATTGCGGTTTGAAGATCCGTACCCTCCTCCTCCGCCATAGGAAGAGGTTTCCTCACGGTTGCGGTTTGAAGAGCCGTATCCCCCACTACCACCGTATGTTTCCCCGGTATTCTCACGGTTTGATGACCCGTATCCACCGCCGTAAGACTGCTCCTCATTGCGGTCGCGGTTTGAAGATCCATAACCTCCTCCGCTGCCATAAGACTCCTCTTGGTTGTAGCGGTTACGATTCGAAGAACCGCCGTAGGAGCCCTCATTCGTCTCGAGAGACCGACTGGGAGCGTTGTAGCCACCGCTGCTCTGGCCATGGTTCTGTCGGCCGCCCATGCCTCCGTGGCTGTGACCGCACCCACCTGGGCCTGGGTTCGGGTCCTCGCCCTCGTGGTTCTTTCCCTCTCTGACACCTTGCTTACTCAGCGCTTCAGTGAAATGCTGCTTCATGCCGTCATCTTTCTCGTTCCACCAGTTCTGCACAACCTCGAACATCGCTCTTTGACCCTGCTTGTTCTCATCTCTAAGAGCTGGGTGGTGGAAAATCTGGAGAATCTCATCGCAGATCTGGTTTGCGTCTCTGTTGCTGTCTTCCCAGCCTGCTACAATCAATGGGACGGCGAATTTGACAGATTCAGTAGCAACTCTTCCAGCAACCTCGTTGAGAATGTTTGTAAAATGATCCTTCGACAAGACAGAGTGGGTAGGGTCGCTAGAGTTTCCGTCCTCGAAGACGTTAAACTGGGCGTTTTCTGAGGCTTGAAGAACACCGCCGGATCCTGCAGCAAGCTCAGTCTTGACACGGTTCAAGATAGGCTTTACGTAGGGGGCTAGCATGGAGAAGATGAAGATCTGCATGGCACCGGTAAGATTTTCAAGGAGCTCAGAAGCGCCAGGAATCTTATCGATTGCTTGCGACATGGCCTTCATGACCTTATCGTGGAACTCCATGATGGGATAGATCTCCTTCATGGTCTGTGCAGCTTGAGTCTTTAACTCGTTGACATCCATTCCAGCAATTCTCTTGCTCTGCTCTCCCTGGTCGGATTGCTTGTTATTGGCATCATCCTGAATCTTGCTGGCTTGGTCGCCGAAATTGCTGTCACCAAGGCCAAGGAGGCCAAATGGAATGTTGTCAAGGATCCCCTTCAGAGTGGAGGTGGTACCACCGTCTTGAGACTGCTGTTCGGCGGCAGCAAGTTTGGCGTCCAGCTCTTGAACTTCTGACTGAGCCACTTTGTCAGAGACCTCCCCGACGACACTGTGGAGAAAATCAGTCATTCCAACTAGGTTTGTTAGTTCTTTGGTCCCCTAAGGTTATTGGTGATCAAACTTACAGGTTCCAGTGACAAGAGGAAAGATTCTCTTTCCATTGATTTCAATCTCGGTGTTTTCACCAACGTGAGGGAAAGCATCAATACCCATTTCACGGAGTGCCAATTCAATGTAGTTCGAGTGAGCGGCGTAATCTATCGAGAATAATTAATTAACCTATCATCCTTTAAAAGTCGGTGGTGTATAATGGTCAGATTTTACCTTCCAGGCAGTGGAGCCCTGTTCCAAGAAGTCTCAATGCCTCGTAAAGATCGTTGTTGTTTCCATCTCGTCCATAAGCCCGCCCCTTCTCAATAGCCTCAATAAACTTCTTTCTAACTAACCCAGCACTAGTGTCGCAACCTCTGTCTTCAGAGGCAATGTAGACCTTCAAACCGGTACGGTCATCAATTGCAAGCTCTTTTCCCTCGTCAACAGGGCCACGTAGACGTGAGTCGTATTTGCGCGCATCCTCGTTATCAGCATAATCCTACATAGAAGGTCACAATGGTAAGCTTTCAAAATCCATCAATTCTAAGAGAATAAGGCTCAGCCTGAGCTACCTTGGGGTTGTCAATGTGCTCTTCAGGGCGGTAGCATCCAAGACGCTCCTCCGTAACCTCAAACTCGGCAGTTGCGAATCCGAAGGTGACGAATGACAAGACCCACAACTATAGTAATTATTAGAAAAAAATCATCAATCTCCGGAAGTTATGATTATACCAAAATCCTGATAGTGTCCTTTGGTAGCTGCTTCAAACCACCAACATCGATAGCTTGCGAATAATCTCTGAGCCAATTGCCCTAAACCCTTCTGTTAGCAGCCTCTCCATCTGTAGAACTCGAGCTCGGGAGCCAGCATACAAAGTAAACTCTCTTGACAGCCAATTTGTCAAATCTTGTGCCTCCACTTGCACTGATCATGAGCTCTAGCAGGATATCCTCAATATCACCATGACGCCAGTTTTTACCGGCAATTTGTGAAACATTGATAATGTTTCCAGCTCCGAAAGCAGCGACAGGGGTAGTAAAGCATAATACCAACCCCGCACAGAGTAGTAGTTGTAAGGCTAGAGATGGCATTGTGATGGGGAATGCAAGCTCACTCGTAACAAAATAAAGAATTCGGATGGTTTTTGGGTGGGGGATGAGATGGAAGAATGACAGACTACGGGAAGGAAGGAGAAGCGGGGTGTTTTATTTACATTGTTTTACTCTCTTCTACTGCAATCTTTCTCCCGAGTGCTCGGGCCTTGGTTTTCACCTAACTAGCTCCGATGGAAACGTGCAAGCAACATGCTCTGAGGAAAGCAAGAAATCGCGGGGCACGTTGCATCATGATAGGCGCATGACGTTAGCTCCTTACCATCCATGTATCTTACACCTATCATCGATCTGTTCACAGCATGCAACATGCGCGAGTTTCTATTAAGATCAAAAGTCCAGCTGCTCCGAGGTCGGGTTACAGATGTGGTCCAAGTGGGGTGTTCTAAAAGTAGCGTTCCAAGATGTACGCCACAGATATTTGGAATGCCAAGATGCCAATATTTGCCACTAGCTTACTACAGGGTCACACTTGGGTGTCATGCTACTTAATGCTAACCGTAATTGCTAGTAGTACATACTCGAGGTGTTAACCCAAATTAGTACTTAAGACGCTAGCCGTGTGGATGCAACTCCTCGACTAGTGAAGCTTGAGAACGGCAGTCAATGATAAGAATACCGGATATTGTACAGACTTGAAGCACCGCCCAAGAGCACCAGTACTGCATTATTAATGGTCCCAGAATCATACAGATTTTGATTACAAAGATAACAGTAACTAGGTAACTCGGCTATGAGCTCTCCTAAAGGATTCTGGTGTCTAGATTTTATGGCTCTGATGGTCTATAAAATCGTTGCTTGATATGACACATAAAGTGAATAGTTAGGGATATATATATACGTGAATCAGAGTCTGTAAATTCAAGTTATGACAGAAAAATTAAACAATCACACGGGCTACTAGTTACTTCACGAAGGATCATGTCTCGAAACCATGGATTCTAGACTCAAGTGTTTAGAGGAACGAACTATTTGGACCGTCGGTCTAAATTACTATCACTAGTGACTAAACTAGTTATAACACCTGTGCTCGGTCTTCCGAATGCTGTCGTTGTTTCTCGCTCACCGAGTTTCTTATCACACACTGGAGAAATCTACCGTCTCAAGGGGAGAATGAACAGCAACAGCGTTTAGAATAACACATTTTCCATATATGGTGGTCACTGTTCGGCACTCAACCTACCTCATGTATTCAATGAATTGTTCCTAGTTAGCTCTAGATCTCTACATAGCACTTAGAATTTAGCGTTCAACCGAGCCGTGAGATCCAAGACAAACGCCATGCCAAGGCTCTTATAAATCCCATAAATATTCCTATCAGCCAGACCTAACTCCACATTCTCTTATCCACGCCCCAGAAGTTCATCTTTGATCGAAGCAAGACAGGAGCCACCGAACGAATCAACATCGTCGAATTCAACACTCTCAACTGGAGTTTTTTATAAGGAAGAAAGCACAAAGTTCATAGAGTGTGTCAACACAATCGAATACAGTATTTTTAATAGGGTTTTCCATTTGAGGATATCATCAAGTCCATCGAGCGAATCACCATCCTTGAATCAACTATTTTTATCGAGTTCTCATCTCCCGAAGACACCACCAAATCCATCGAGCGGGTCAACACAACCGAATACTCTTTTCAACCCGATTTTCATTCTTTGGAGTAGGGGGCCATTATGATCCGGGTGGGGTTTACGAGGGCTTCTTTCCTTTAAACAGTCCTGCCCGTGCCACCGGAGAAGTGAAAACAATACTCCGTTGGCCTTCAGGCGGTGTATCAAACACCTTTTGTTTTCTTGGGACCTGGCACAACAGATGATTCCCAGACATCCAACTTATTGTTGGTGTTTCGAGGTATGGATAAGACTTGATAATTATAATTGGAGGCGGTAGCTAATTTTAAGCAGGAAGGGCAGTGGTGATATCAACCAGGTGTATCACATACACCACACACTACCTTCTTAGTGAGAGATTTGTTGAGCATAGATCGGTAGCCCTCTACAGCTGGTGGACGATGGCCCCTTCAATAACCGGGAAGAGGCTTCAGAACTTCGCAAAGATCATGGTCGTCGGGGAGCTATCTTAGACTATTACTCTAGTTATTATTCCTCCGCAAGTATGACTTACTCCTCAACTATTGGTATCATGAAGCTAATTGTAGTAACTTACAAGGTTTCACTTCATTGCCAATACCAATCCTAGGCACGAATAGGAGATAATGTAGGCCAAAGTAAGGCCTGGAAAGATTGGATGTCGGTATGTCTTATTCTTCTACATCTTCTCCTGGCATATACTAAAACCCTGATAGACCGAGTCTACCACAACGACTGGTAGGCCGCCTGATCTTCAGCTAGCAGCCGCCAGAACCCAATCCGGCCCTCCCCCCATTTCGACTGAAGCTGCTAAAGCTGTGAGTGCGGTCGGTCTCTCGTGATAACAGAATCCGAGGTAATAATCTTTCCTTTTTCCTTTGCCGAAAAAGTATTGTTTATTGACATCCTGTATAGTGCTAGGACAAAAGTTTACATACATGATGTTTGTTAAGTTATATGTGACATGTGTATCAATACAAAACAGTCTCTGCAAAGTTTGCAGCTTTGATTTGCAAATCAAACCTACCAAACCGAATTAAAAGTTCTAGTGTTCTCTAAGCTTGTCTGATCTCGGGATAACTCCCAGTATTCAGATATCTTTGGTAATATGGAGGCTAACTAAATTTATAAACTTGGTAAATATCTTAGATCAGATTAACGTTCCCGTCCCCAACCAAAGTTTTTTCCTTTCTCTTCTTCATGGGGAGACCTCATAACATCTTATTTACCGAATTTACTATAAAGTCAGTCATCATATATACTTGTAATCAACGGCTTCTGTCCAGCTGAGGCCGCAGCAAGTACTTATCATCATAGCATTACACTCTCAATAGATTACCTCACTCCTAAAGTCTTGGTATAGGGAAGTACATGTATTTACACCCATCCCCCGATCCAACATGTACATACGATATCTAGATACACTATCATGAAACATACATACAATTCAGTACCGATCATGTTGTTCCGTTCCCAGCCCGTTCCCAGCCCAATCCTCCAGTTTCCATCCATACCTTTCCCTAATCCTCTTCAGCCCGAAACCCATCACCGATAAAAAGAGGAAAACAAAAGGAATTCAAGAGTATATATATATATATATATATAGCAAAAAGAGAAAACGAATGTCCAGGTATAAAAGGAGAAAGAAGAAAGAAAGAAAAGAAATATTTATTTGTTCCTAAGGAAGATGCCATACCCCAGACAAAAGAAAGATGAGTTTAAAAAGGAAGAAATCACTATATATGCCACTGTCCACGTTGGCGCTCAATGCGGACCTAGCTACGTGCTGTCCAACCTATCCCACCCGGTCACCTCCTCTATTCTACCTCCAATGTGCGCATCATCGCCAAACTTATAGATTGCAATGATCTCCTCATGGTCAATGCCCAAATGGCGCTTTCCGTCCCTTCCCTGAAACCACCCGAATGCATACGTCATACCCAACTTCTTCAGCTTCTCACGTCTCTCCGCCGTCGAGGCCTCCTCTGTCCCCTCGAAATCGACTAACATTTTGCTTTGATGAATGAATGCCAATACAGAACTAATCGTACCGGGCTGTCTGGGTAGGAATGGATGTCTGCGCAGATGCAGTACCAAGGCCATTGTTGCGATGAGTATGAACAGGATCCCCATAGAGAATGCGAACGAGATACGGAAGGAGAGACCACTTTCTTCACCGCCATTGTAGTCGAGAGAGCCCATAGCGACTGTGAGAATTTCAATAAGCACAGACACGAAGCCTACCCAGGCAAGGAGGTAATGGCCTTTGAATAGTGCTTTCACAACAAGCCAGCCAGGGACTGTAGCAGAGTAGTCAAGTGTAAGTATGCTGGATGGCGCGTGACGATTGTACAAAATCCAAAAAGGCTCCAACATGCGCATATCCTTTTCGACGATTTCCCAGAGGGACTTGATCGTGACTGATAGCGCTGTCAACACCCATGGCGTCTTGTCGATAACGACATTGAGCGGTGTAGGATGTGCCATTGGTGGCAGCAGTCCTGCCAAAACAACCAGGAAAATCAGGAATGGTACTCCACCTTTCAAACGTAGTAGGAGAGGATGAGCGTTCATGGCTTTGGGGGCTTGGTTATCGCGGTCGGATTCTTTGAGGAAGTCGGCTTGCCAGAGCGAACCTTTGTGGAGTAGGTAAGTACGCTTGTTAAGCTGTTTGTGAATCTTTTCTTCAGAAGCGGAGTCAAGACCCTGGAAGTCCATCAAAATGTGCGATTTGTTTGCCATGGCTGCGACGCCTGCAATACCACTGGGGTCGCCGAGAAGGCCAGATCTGCGCTTTTTCAAGGCGACGGTCATATACGCATTGAGAACAATGATGATGACGAGGGTGGTCTCCAAAATTCGCGTGAAAACAATATCGACGACGATAGTCTTCTCAATCTCACGGTCAGGCTTTCCGGACTGCTGTCGAGATTTCTGGGATGGCGAGATCTTGACGAACACGGACAGAAACATTGGGACGATTGCGAATGCAACGAGGGACGCAACCGAAGAAGCTACGACAACCCACTGCCTGTGTTTTAGAGCAGCAATAGGAACGAGAAGACTCCAAAAGGTCTGGTATTCAATATTAAGGGTGCTCGCGGCCATAGCACCGCGGGCACCATAACTGAGTTGATAGTAGGGCTCAGCACGTTTAACCTCGGTGTCAGTGATTTTCCACAGGATACCGTAGATAACACCGACGACGGTCGGCATATATTTCCACATTGCAAACTGGACAATATCGAGATCATCTACCATGAAAAAGGAGAGGATTCCGGGTTTTTTGTCGGCACGGAGGAGACCCCGATCTGAAAATTGAAAAAGTACTTCGGCGCCAACCAATAGCAGCAGAGAAAGAAATAGCAGGAACAGAAGAAACCCTGTTCGCATGGGGAAGGGCTTCCAGTTTGGAATATCACGATCTATACAGATTTGTCAGTGGTATGATCCACCATTATGAAGCAGGATTCTGGAAATCATACTTGGCGGGAAATAGTACGCTGTCTGCGCCCTACTCTCCAGGTTTCCGGCGCGGTGAAGCGAAAAATTATCCGCTGGCGGTTCTAGTTAATATATCGCTCCAACCTCACAAAATGGGGTTCCAAAACGTACAGTCTTTGTCCGCATCGAGTCCTGAAAAGCTCGATAAATCAATAGCCTCTCCATTCCCTATGAAACCGAACTCCAGTCAGTCCCCAGGCACTAAACCACGCATCCAGTATTATATTCGAAAAAAGCTTACCAGTATACGCAAAATCCGGGTTCATGTTATGTTCTTGGTATGCCTGTACAGCCGCAGCCGGTACATGGTCTGCTGAGAAGAAATCTAGATCATAGTTTATCGCATCCTCTCCTCCCTCAACCTTACTATAACCATCGGCGGTCGTCTCTGCCAGCCTCGCTTCCTCATCAATATCGCCTCCATTCCCAGCCTGATAAGACCACCCGCTCTTCGGCCTTCCCCTGACAGTTGACATGATTCTTGTGCTAATCCTCCGCACTATACTTTTCTCCCTTCCCAATCCCCCAGTACCTCCAGGAACAGTTAAAGTGCTCCCACGATTACTCCGCGTATTATCATGTTCCACCGCCAACACACGCCTAGCCTTGAACCCATCGTAACTCTGGTCAATCTCCTCGATTTCGATTCCACCCTCCGCTGTCGTCGTCGAGTTACGATTACTGTACGCCGCGGGCATACCAGGGTTCAGTGTTGCAGGCAACGATGCGCTGATAAGCTGGCTTAACCTCGGTCCAGAGGGGGCAATAGGCGAATATCCAAGTGGGCCACTGGTTGCTGTCCTCGTGAATGTAAACTCTGGAGTTTGTGCGCCGCCGCTCCGCCAGCTCTGCGATTGTGGGATATCGGGGCTGACAACATCATATCCTCCGGAGCGGGTATACTCTGTCTGGTAAGGAGAGTATGGAGAGAGAGAGGAGGGGTCCTGGTACGGGCCTGAGGAATAGGGTCCAACGTAGCCGGTATGACTGGACAGGTCGACTGGATAGGCCTCGCCGTCGTCTTCGTTGACCCGTGAAATGCGGGCCTTTGACATTATGCCTATGGAGGCTTATTTATTATTAAGTTGTTACTCTTTTCTTTGAGATTTCTTATTGATTGCTTCGTTCTTTCCTACTATATTCCTCTCTTTGCTTCTCTGACGCAGCCAGGGTAGGTATGTTGTAGATATTGTTTGTTTGCAGTGCCCCCGATGAGCTACAGAGAATGGTTGTTACTAAACTGTACCTAGCCGTCGGCGCAGTCGAGTTAAAGATCCCCGTACACCACTTTAACCACAACAAAACCAAAGAAATTTTTATCTATACCTCAACTTAGCGAATTTATCACTATCGGTATCGCAGACGAAGTCGAGGATAGTAATATGTTTTAACAATGTCGCAATGTGTCAATTATGCGACACACATACCCCACACCTTTGAGTGCGGGCGAGATGTCCGTCGAGATTCGCGGAGGTGGATCCGCAATGCAGCATTCAGCACGACACCGCTGCTGCTGCTGCTCGTAAAGCGAAAAGTTGAGTGACAACCGATAACAATCCCACTACTAGCGGCGGCAGGACAAGTGGTTGCCTTGGTGGTGGGGGTCCGGGCTGAATGCTTAAATTCGTGATAAGCGCCAGTATGATTGCAGGTTGGCAGAAGATGGAGAAGAGGAGAAGGGGAAGAAGAGGTGGGAGGGAGGAGGGAGATGGAGAAAGAGAAGAGAGATGGAGGTGGGAGGGAGGGAACGAAAGATTGGTAGCAGGAGAAATTGGTAGGCAGGTGTTCCAAAGATGGATGGATGTACCAAGTAGACGATAGGAACCATCCCCCTCCCCTCCCTCCCTCCTCATTCTCTCCTACTCCCTTCCTTTCACATTAGACTGTAGCTACATGAATAATGTTTTTAGCTGTAGCTGCCGTTCTTTCCTGCTTCTTTTCCTCTTGGGGACTCAGCCGCACAACAGCGGCAATCATGCTGCCATCCCAACGGATTTTGCCGTTTCGTCTTCGCTCAACTCTACGGATTCTCCATCTCTCACAATAGCACTCTAGTCCACAAACGTTCGCCAAAGCACCAGATCATGAATTCGAGTATCTAGCGTTCCCGCAGAATCCAGTCAAATGTCGGCCATGTTTTTCCGCGTTTCCAGGAACCACACATCACGTCTCTGAACCCTGCTTGCAACCACCCTTGAATGTTCTATTTTCAGTCCGCAACTGCCAAGTCCAGTTGATTCAGCCTCAGTCTTTAATCTATCTATATACCGTTTGGTGGCTGAACGGAATGTTGATTCTTCTCTGTTCACTAATCGATGGTAGAACAGAGTAAGTACCGGTATCTACTACTTCTGTGTATGTAAAACCCATCTTTTCCCTGGAGTACTCCCCGGAAACCATCCTCACACCCATTCTCATCTGCCCTCCAGGATGGACATGTGTGCAAGTGTACTCTAATTCCCGCAGCACAAACTCGTTCATGAGTATGTGTAACAGTAAAGTAATAGGTATCAAACCCACGTGGATAAAGGACCAAAGACCCCTCCCGATCCTAAATTTAAGCCGCCCACCAACCAAGATCTCGTCGAGGATCGAAGCTAGAGAAGAACGACGTTGAGCTTTTGAACACACATCTTCACGAATCATGAAGCCCCTCGCTAATTTTTTCCACATGAAGCGGACCCGATAATGTGCAAGCGCCCTAGGGCTGATAATAACGACCCGAACGAGATGGTACAGTATGCGCTAGGTAATTTATGAAGTTATCACTGGACCAAAAAAAGGCTATGATGGGGCTGCAACCCTGATTCATAAATGAGGGCACCTGCATGCGCCTATGGAGAGATTCTTTTGTTCGTTGCATACATCGGATTTGTCAACGTGTGACAGATATCATGTGTGACGTTACATGCCATCGCATTTCGCCAAGTTCACACTGGATCACTCGACATAAGCCAGGGGGCTTGGCTCGACCTTGGATTGGACTCAGCCTCTTGATTGGATGATCAATGGCGGAGTGAAATTTTGCTGGCGGTGAGGCCAGTAGGTACAGGCATCTGCACTCTGGACGATTTTATGATCATGATTTATGATGCAGTACTTAGATGGGGCTAGAAGATTCCTCTCCACCGATATTGTAGTATATTTCTTTTGGCCAGAAACTGCATCGTCACAATCAGACCAGATATCATGTACAGTCGCTCACCTACTGACGGCGGGTCCTATCTGATGGTTCTGTTTGCAGTAATTTGCCCTTGGCGTCCAAAACCTAGCTCTTTTATTGGCCTCAAATCCCTGACCGCCATTAGACAGGATCCGCCTTCACCCCGTGAGTGACTGTAGTCGGGTATAACCCGTGGAACACCTATAAACTCTTAAAAGAAACACGGGAACTCGCATTACTTGGCATTAATCAGTAAGTCTTTAATTTAATGTGTTGCATAGATATTTAGAGCTACATGTCACGGTGGATCCGACACTCTAATCAAAAAAGGTCGATGATAAATAAAAACGAGATTATTCGGAAGGGGGGAAGCCTATATCAGAGAGCTTGTTTTGAAAATTAGGGTAAATTCTGTAACGACATTTTATGTGGTCGTTGAGAAACTGGTCGTCGCGGCATATAGACGATCTGACACGACTGCCTAGAATACTCGTATTTCTCTGACGTTTGTGGACGCGACTGATATTGCATGCCATACAAAAATACGCCAAGCTCATGATTTTGGGTGTATGCAATAATGGCCCAGTTCAAAAACGTCAGCGAAATACTAGTAGAGAGTAAAAGCACATCTCTGCAATGTCAGCGGATAGTTCCGTTCTCGGGCGGCTGTAAGCTGGTACCTACATGTACTTGTAGTTACAAGACCGTCCTATGACTTTACAGGTAGAGGTCTGGTACCTTCTCTCCATACTCTAAATAGCTCCCCCTATGAGATTATTTAGTGCATGAACGACTGAATGATGTGAGTGGTTGTGCCGTATGCGTGGCTGACTAGTCTGGTTCGTTGGCTACATGTAGGTTATCGGTTGACTTGCAGCTTATTTGTGTAACGATGCAGAGTACCTGTCTGAGAGAATTAGAATCAGGTTTGTTTGTGCATGAACAACAAACTAGTTTGTCTCCAATACGTTATTTTCGCGGGGAAACGGTCAGGCAATAACACGCATCTTGGAATTAAAAAACGGAAGTCATCGTCGTAAAAAAAGAAAAGAAAAGGAAAGAAAAATGTCGTGCCCCTAAGTTTTTCCCGGTTTCCCACCATGGGGGTTTGGGGACCTAGAAACAACTGGGAGACGAAGGTCAAATAAAATTAATGAACACAGTGTAGGTTAGTTGGTGGAGCAGGAGGAGCATGTGAGCGTGGAAGGGGCAAACAAACATGTTCTAGATTACAGAGCTACGTAGGTTTATAGAAACATCTCATAAACATTATTCTGGAAATACATGTATGATCCTCTAAGTACGTGTAGCTCTTTCGGCCGGAGCCTCCAATATACTCCCAGTTAGCTCGCTAATGACAGGGATTCATAGGCACGAGAGCTGCCGCATAACCGCATAACCGCACATTATTGTGTATCCTCACATGGTATGAAACCCCAAAAGGATCGATCATTGCTGCTCGTTTAGATACTTGTTCACGAATCTCTGTTTTCTTAAGGTTATTCTGGCGTGGGAAGTGAATTTAGTAGAGTGTTCTGTTAAGGGTTTTCAGGTTAAAATGTGTATCAATTCCCTCGAGTCGAGTTAAACCCATAACCTTGCGTGTACTCTCATACCCTCTTTGTATCAACTGTGTAGCAACTCCGTGTAATTTTGTATAGGAGGCGTATACTGGGTCGACCAAAGCCTTTCCTCTACACTTTACAATAAATCAATAGACCAAATGGCGAGCGAAGCATAAGATATCACTCGATATGTAAGAACCCAATGACAACTTTCATTTCTTTACATAGTTTTAAACGCATATCTCCGTTCCAATGATTCAACCCCATACCAAGAGATTAAAAATAACAATTCTTCTGCAAAAACATTTTATCCCTTATCCAGCGATATACCCTGACTCGCTCCTACTCGCATCGGCGGAACTATAAAACGCTCCCCCCACCTCATTATTATTCGGCATCCTAGTCATCCGTGTTTTTCTTAAGATATAGTTCCCTCTTTTCGGATGATAAACATTCCATTTATACTCATTATTACTGTAAATGCAATTGCCCTCTTTTTCGTTGGTCGATTCTTTATGACGCATGCGCAGGTGTCGTTGAATATAGAGTGAAGCTCCAAGTAAAAACGAAATAAGGCCAAAGAGAATGAGTAAGGCAGTTTTGATCATATCGAGAAACGCACATCTGGGCAGAGGGTAGCCATAGTTGTAAGATGGTTGGTTTAGAGATGAGAGGTGGTTTGTGGTTTATATACTTTGCGGTTCGCTGGTTTCGTCTTAGAGAGGAACCCAAGGAGACCACATTAAGACATAAAATCGGTGATAAGTATAAAGTTTTCTGTGAATATTGGTTGAGTAAAAATTGCGGCTACGGACATTTTCCGAAACACCCGATGGTTTAAGCATATTTTTTCTCATGGTGCGTATGCTGATGTGCCGTTCTATGAGTTATGTTTTAATGCCTGAAAGCTTTGTTAGAATATCGGCGAGGTAAGCTCTAGCTCTGGATATGGATTGTAGTACCTATTGTTTACTTTCACTAATCTACGGCCAGGCGCGTAAATTGAAACCCTTTAAGTAAACTTCTATAAGTACGTTTAACTTCCTCTCCGTCAATCAGCACTATATCACCACAAAGCTCAACCATAGAGGCATTACACTCACTTAACAGCTGATTTTTAATCACACATATCCCCGCAGAGGGGAGGAAACTAAAATTTCCTACACCCCTCTTTACTTGCTCCGCATCCACTATTGGCCTCCTTAAATCGGTCCACTAATATCAGAGACCTCAAGCCACGGCAATTACACAAGTGCTTCGTTTCAGCCCTCTTGTTACCATTCAGTTTATTCACTAGCTTAAGCTGCCTAAGCCCCGTGCATATCACTGTATCGCAGCCATTATCACAGGCAACTGAAGGGCCGGTGCCAAGTGTCTTATCGGCAGCCATGATGTTTGTCTCGCTGCTTTCTTCAATGCAGACGATTCTAGCCTTATGGTCGCACGTTTTGCGGATATCGTTGAGCGGCGGTGGCTTGTTGAGGATGGAGCGAACGCGGGCTCGGTTTAGTTGTTCGATGGTATTTTCCCCAGTGGTGATGAGGCCGTATTTGTAGTTTCCACTGGTTTCCGGGGTAGGGGAAGGGGAAGCCATCATGGATGATAGAATTGATGAGGTGATAGGATGTGTAAAGTAGATGAGGGATTGGGGATGTGGATGAAACAAGGAGAATTAATTAACGCGGATGAAGGTATGGATGTAGGTGTCAATGTTTTGGGTCATGGAGAAATATTCTGACAGGGATTGGGGGGGGGGGGGGGGGGGGGGGGCTGCGAATAAGTGGTGGTAGGTGCTTCGGTCGAGTGATGACGAATGAAGAGTGAAGAATGACATAAATCGAGAGAACAAGCAGATAATACATGTACATGCAAGTACATGTATCCACGCTAGCATAAATCGCTAATATAAGTACATACATGTATACTACCGTCAGGGAAACTTCTTGCCCTTTAAACTATAGGGAAAGCCAGTTCGAGCTAAAAAAAAAAAAAAAAAAAAAACACATGGTGGATGTCTATTCGTTGCGCTATCTCGAGGAGCTCCAAAATTCATTCTGCAAAGAATAGCTTTCCAGACGGGATTACTTCATCATCTATCTGAACTTTATAAGGAACACGAGTTACTACTGCTTCTTTAACTCGGTAGATTCAATTTCCCATTTGTAGCTTGGGGTCTTACCAGGCCTAGGAACAGATAGAAACCCCTAGGCTTCTGGAATGTAAAATAGAGGACGGGAAAGTCTAGATCTATCAGCTATTGTTTTAATATGTATCGTAAATGTAGTATGGGCACTTAGGTGACTAAAATCTAGGATAATTTCTCCAATTTACGGACATTGAAGATATTCTTGAATTAACACTGGTGGCCATGATTCAAGAACACCCTGTATCGATCTATTAAGGAGTTCTCGCATTGGTCGTGCTGACAGTTGGAAACATGCACATGTACTAGGCAAGCTACAAATACTCTTAGTGGCTTAATTAGCTCAGAGAATTTACTAAACTATCAACCTAGTATCCATCTAATTGTTATCATACGTGGTGGGGAGCGATTCGAGCAACCTATAAAGATCATAATACGGTCAGCAAGCTCCTCTGGAAGGCCAGTGGTATCGAAGCAGCTACAAAAATATGGAAACAGTTCACGAGATGGAGATACGAGAGAAGCGGACAAGATGAAAGTGCGGAAGAAGAGAGGAGAGAACTAGGGTACGGATGGGGAACGCTGAGAGACGCTGGAAACGAGGAATAGGATAAGAGATGATTTACTAGTGTTTTTATTTCCTATGTTAGATACACGCGAGAGGTGGTGGAAGAGATCGGGTAGTTCAGGGGCTATTGCCATAACTGTAAGGTTGCATGCAATTAATGAATTAAACAAACAAAAAAAAAAAAATACGTGGTGGGGAGGATCATGCATTATCACTCGTTAAGTAGCCTGGGCGTTGGTTATAAAAAATAATTCGTGGTTTGTTAGAAATATGGGTGCGCTGGAAAAAAAGATATATATGTCGCTTGTATATTCGACTATAGCACAAATTTACGTGAATCTATAACCTTTGGTATGCCGGGCTTGGTCCACGAAACCGCTCGAGGAGTGGCACCGAGGGCGCTCGGTTTTGCTCAACATTGGCCTTTCATGGTCTCGAAGTTCCGGGGATGCGGTCTGGAGACCGCAAAGTACTGGGTTAGGTGGTAATTGTGAGAATTAGTATAGTGCGATAACCCGATCGATCCTCTATATTACATTCAAAAATACGCTCGAGCTTGGCAGACTCGGGGTACCTCGAGGCCTATCAGGTTGGTGGTTTCGAGCTTCTTTGGCCTTGCAAGCTCTCGGTATGGTCCGGTCTCAGGGTCAAGGTCTCAGATCAAAGTCCGCTCGCGCTTTCGTGGGCCACACTATATAATATGTGTGTATACCAGACTATAGCTGTTGACATCATCACCATAGTGACATATGGTGATTCATAGTGACGACCACACATCAGATTCTAGCTCGGAAGCCATACTCAACATCGTTGAAACACACAAGATAATCCAAGAGGAGCACAGACTGACATACAGGGAAGTAAGGAAAGATATCACATCATTATGGTACGTAGCATCCTGTTCCAACAGGGACAAGGATCAAGTAACGAAGGGGCTATGTAGGTTAAGTACATACATGCACGTATGCAGGCTTCGTGCAATAAATAACCTTTGTGTATTATATATGATAGGGTCGAAGATGCTTAAATGTAGAAAAAATATTATTGGAACTCAAGTGACCGCTCTCAACAACGAAGCTATAAATGCTCGTGCTAGATACTCCGCGACCTTTGTTCGTCTCCACCACGGCAATGCAGATCAAGAATAGAACCGAAAACCTAGAGCCCATTTAACTTATTTTTCCGTAGTCCGGGTATTTATTAGCACCGCTGTAGAATAAAGTATGCCCACTGAATTACAAGGTTTTTTGATGCTAAAAATGTACATGATAAGTGACATGATGACATTACATGTAGTCAAGTACTAAATTGCCCGTTGAAAGCAAACCCACCAGTAAGTCAGCAACTATAGCCGGCAACCTCGAAAGTCGAGGGTTCGATCATTAAAAACGTGCAAGTAATACATACATGCGTTCGTATCCCTGATGAGAAACCTTAGACACATGTTTCAAGATAAGAAATCTCTAGGACTTAGAAACCTGCGTCCGCCCAAGATAAGATACTATAGAGGAGAACAACCCAGGCGTGGCCTAGGTCTAAATCAATATTCTTGATACCCCGCGTGAGGCCACTCCCATGGATATGGGTGAAGGCCGGGTGCTTGTATAAAAAAGCCCTCACCAAGTTCCATATCTTCCTCGTCTTCGTCAAACTCGTCCTCCCCATCTATGTCATCCAACTCCTCATCGTCACTATCCCCAAAGCCGAATGGATGCATTCCATCTATTGCCCAAAGTCCCACCTCACTGTTAGAATCATCATCATCCATATAAATTTCTTCAGATATGCAACAGCAGTCGTCGTGACGCTGGTCTTCAGAAGGTTCAGTGTCGGAGAGGCCGCTAAGGTAGTCCTGCCACAATTGGATGGTACAGCTGCGCATGCTTCTAGCCTTTTGGTGATGAAGTTGTTCAATCTTAAAGGAGTCGAGAGCCGAGGACGTTTTGGGGGGAAAGTATTTAGCAATTTGACGGAGAACAATTGACCAAGGTCTTGGCGCAACAACCCCGTCGTCACTGGCAGGAGGTGATTCGTACGCAATCTCAGTTTGGCTATTATCGGAAGAATTAGGCGTTCGAATTTCGCAGTTGTCGAAGTGAATGGTGCGAAGGGTTTTTCTATGAGCAGAGAGAAATTGAAGAATGTGTGTCTCTGAAAATAAGACGTCGCGGAGCTTGAGGGATTTCAATTGTGGCCAGCACTGCTCTGTCGGCGTTGATTCCTTTTGGTCGGTAGATTTGTACTTAAAGGGGGATGCAAGAGTGCTGAACTGGATACTTCCAATACTATCCGGGATTTCTATTTCTAGAGATTGAAGAGACGTAGCGGACTGCATAAGACGGCCGAGTAATGGAACCCAACATGGAGAAAGAATTTCCATCTGATCCTGGCAATTTTGAATGCTGACCACAAGGGTTTTAATATTTTGAAATCCTAAAATCGCTTTTTGAAAAAAGTGGGGTGGCAGAAGCATGCATTCTTCCGTTACTCCCTTCAACACAAACTCCTCTATAGGTGATGCATTTGTTTGAATACGATTGTACATCGCCAATAAAATAGCGCGGAACACCGTGGGGCCCCAGGACTTGTTACCACTACCCCCTGGCATGGACAATGCGTGGGATTGATCCGATAACCCGTACCATGCAGGCGAGGTTAAGTGAATTGACCTCAGAACTGGTAACGAGGACAAACATTTGACATGTACGTCATGGAGATCATTTGAAAGATCAAATTCGCGTTGGTCAAGCCAGCGTGCAATTTTAATCATTTGGGGATCAGTGCTAGAGTTGATTGTCTCAAGCTTCTCGGCATATTCAGGGTCAGCCAAAAGCCGAAGGTAGTCTTCATAGATATTTCCTGTAGCGCAATGTCAATTCGTAGAACATATACAGATATTTTTGTAGAACATACTGGAAGTTGACCTCTCCAAAGGATTGTTGGGGGCAAGAACATAAGAATACCGCTTAACCCAAGTCTGGATCTCTTTGCTTTCGGTGATATTCTCTAAACGTTTCAAACTACACTCTCTACTTCCAATAGTGATGTTCTTGAAGAGGTGAGGAGTGATATGGGCAGAAAATTCTTTGTTGACTAGACGGAGGCTCGAGTATCCCTTAATGGCTTCGCGTTGCGGTATTATCGGATATAACCCGGAGCGCTTTATAAAGTTCGATGGGTGAAGGATCATAAGCATGATCTCCGGGGGCAAGGTATTCATCGACATGATGACGAAACAAATTTAACTGCTTTCCTTCTGTTTTCCTGCTTCTATTCAAAGAACACATAAACCCTCAAAGGCGTATTTCGGAATGGTTATCTCCGAAATCTTCGGGTTATCTACCCACCTTCGCCTAGATATCGTCAGTACTACTATCAACTCATGATGTCGGAGACCGAGGATGCTCTAACCTGTCAAACAATTGGCTGCCTATACTCAAACTAAAGGATTAAGTGAATGATATAATTCCGATAGAGTTGTAGGTGGCATGTACGGGCGCAATCTGAGTTATGGTGTTTGTGGGGCCTGGTGGCATCCCCCCGGCAGGTTTTGATGCACGTCGCGTCGACGCTAAGACCTCTTGGCAGATGTCACGTTACGGAATATGTGTGACACCCCTAGCCCTGAGAGTTACCCGGGCATGCTGCTCTGGCATGTCTCACCCCCCCTCCACCCTCACCCACCTAGTCAACCTCACCTATCACCGCAGCACCCCTCTAACCCCTCGACAACTCTCAAAACCGTTCCTCTCTTTATACCAGCTGCCATGAGCTCTTGTACGTTTTATCTACTTGTTCCTAAACTTCTTAGCGATTAAAGAAGGCTCTAGGTATCGAATCAAGAGCTGACACGCTGCAGTGAAGCAATTCATCCGGGCCGTTCGAAGTGCGAAGACGTTGAACGATGAGCGCGGAGTTATACAGAAAGAGAGTGCTGCAATTCGGGCTTCGTTTAGGGAGGAATCAGGTGATTCAAACGTTAGGTTTGTACTAATTTAGCTCCTTCAATCTCAACTTGGAGCTTTATCTGACACCCCCGATTCTGTTATAGGAGGAATAATGTTGCCAAGCTGCTTTACCTCTTCACTCTCGGCGAGCGTACGCACTTTGGACAGATCGAATGTTTGAAGTTACTAGCTTCTCCTAGGTTTGCCGATAAAAGATTAGGGTATCTGGGTACCATGCTTCTTCTGGACGAGAACCAGGAGGTGTTGACTTTGGTTACCAATTCTTTAAAGAAGTAAGCCTATCCCAACTCACACCGCCCAGCCTATTTCAGAGCTAATGTTTTATAGTGACCTGGAGCACTCAAATCAGTACGTCGTGGGGCTGGCTTTATGCACCCTAGGAAACATCGCATCAACAGAAATGGCCCGTGATCTTTTCCAGGAAGTAGAAAATCTACTGTCAACCGCGAATCCTTATATCCGTCGAAAGGCAGCTATCTGTGCCATGCGGATTATCCGGAAAGTCCCTGACCTCCAGGAACACTTCATAGACAAAACCAAGCTTCTACTTCAGGACCGGAACCACGGAGTATTGCTCTGCGGTATTACTTTGGTCACGGACCTGTGCTTACATGACCCCGACATGGTACACGAGTTCAGGCCCTTTACAAATGCACTGGTTCGCCACCTGAAGAGCTTAACAAGCTCTGGATATGCACCAGAGCACGACGTGACAGGGATTACAGATCCATTTTTGCAGGTCAAAATTCTAAGGTTATTACGAGTGTTGGGCAAAGGAGATGCCGAGGTTAGCGAGCAAATCAACGACATTTTAGCTCAGGTGGCAACCAACACAGACTCGACGAAGAATGTCGGAAATTCGATTCTTTACGAATCTGTACTCACTATCCTTGATATTGAGGCAGATAGTGGTCTTCGCGTGCTCGGTGTCAACATCCTTGGAAAGTTCCTAACCAACAAGGACAACAATATCCGTTATGTAGCCCTGAATACCCTCATCAAAGTTGTCGCCGTAGAACCAAACGCAGTACAGAGACACCGTAATACTATCCTTGATTGTCTCCGGGATCCGGATATCTCGATCCGTCGTCGTGCTCTTGATCTATCGTTCACCCTCATTAACGAAAACAACATTCGCGTTCTAATCAGGGAATTATTGGCATTCCTTGAGGTCTCGAATAACGAGTTCAAACCAGTGTTGACTACTCAGATTTGCATTGCCGCTGAGCGTTTTGCGCCTACAAAAAGGTGGCATATCGATACGGTGTTGCGAGTTTTGAAGCTTGCCGGGAATTACGTTAAAGAGCACATCTTGTCGAGTTTTATTCGCCTTATCGCCAATTCCGCAGAGCTACAGACCTACTGCGTACAGAAGCTTTTTTCAGCGTTGAAAGCGGATATTACACAAGAGGCCTTGACTTTAGCAGGAGCTTGGACCATCGGCGAATATGGAGATCTGCTCCTGAAGGGTGGTAATTATGAGGAGGAGGAGTTGGTCGTCAAAGTTCAGGAATCAGACGTGGTCGATATCCTCGCGACAATTCTTTCGAGCGCCTATTCTTCGCAGACAATAAATGAATATATCATCACAGCTCTTATGAAACTCACCACTCGCATTTCAAACCCAGCCCAGATCGAACGAGTCCGTCGCATTCTACAATCATATACCGATAGTCTCGACGTCGAGATTCAGCAGCGGTCTGTCGAGTATGGTAACATGTTTGGCTACGACGACATTCGAACGGGTGTTTTGGAAAAAATGCCACCACCAGTGTTTAAGGAAGTGTCGCGGCAGTTTGAACAACAGGTTACAAAGCCGAAGGGTGCTGGAAAGCGCGGCACCAAGAAACAAATCGATGAAGATGCGCTCATTGAGTTAATGGGAGGTGACGCGGCACCGGGGCCCGCCCCATCAAACGGAGGCTCGCAGGACTTATTGAAAGGCATGTTCGGTGGAGGTGATGAAGCACCTACATCCTCTTCTCCAACTCCACAGTCGAACTTGAGCAGTATCATGGATTTGTTCAATACTCCCTCACCCGCACCCGTACAACAGCAGAATCCTGCATCCGCAATGCCTTCAGCTGCCATGAGCTTTTCAAGCCAGTTAGGTTCAATGGCACAGCCCGCGGCACCTTCAGGTCCAGCACAACTTCCAGTCTATGACAAGAACAATCTTGCCATTACATTGCAACTCCAGCGTACGGCGGACGGCACGGTGAACATTGTTGCAAGATTCAAAAACAACGGCTTCACAGATAATATAAGTGGGGTGACATTACAAGCTGCTGTTCCTAAGAGTCAGATTCTAAAGCTACAGCCAATAAGCACAGCTGAGCTAAGCCCAGATGCTGAAGCAACGCAAGCGATGAGGGTCCAAGGGAGCAAGGGGGTGAGTTATCCTACATTAAAATGAAATGATGAATGATCACTAACTGTTTACAACGCGATAGCCCCCACTCAAATTGAGGTTGAAGATCTCGTACACGAAAGAAGGGGCAGGGGAGGTTGTGGACCTGGTGAACTGGACTGAACCGTTGGCATGAACGGTTTTGAACCTATCTTTCTTTTTAGAGGGAAAGTATACAAGCTTCCTATCTTTTTCTTCTTTTTCCTTTATTTATTTGACGAAATGGAATCGATAAAATGCGGCGTTTACCAACTCGAAACTTAGTTTAATTAGCCCTTTGCTTACTTGGCTTACTCCTGTTATTTCGTCGGAAAAAAAGCTGTTGTTTTGTGTATAGTTATCGTTAGCTAGCAAGGTCTTTTTTATGTTTTGGTATATTTTGGGGGGCATGTTCTTCCACTTCTTCCCAACGATAATGACATGCAGCATGAGATATCACTCGATTTTGTTGAGAATAAATGAGCATCTGGGCAGGGATTGTGGTGGGAGCCACATGTACGTTACGTGGCGGTACATCTATCTTAACCCGCATGCTTGGACTCTTCTCCCATCAAGGCTAGAATCTGAGGCTGGGTCTCACGTCGCGACGGCAGCGCGGCCGCGTATGTAGCGTGTTTCGGAATAAATTCGATACGACGACGGGCCTGTCTCAGTGCGTTGGGCCAGATAAGTACATGTCTCAAATCATTCCGATAACTCAGGTTAGCGGGGTATCACATATGGTATTTCCGAACCATGAGGGGATTAAATCTTGCTTCAAGTTCTCCAGATAGAGGGAGCCTTGAGTTGACCCTTGAAGATGCAAAGAAAAGAATTCGGTCGTAGATCTTGTAGGGCTAGTTCTGTTCATGGGGAGGGAATCTGCAGATTAGGTCGGTCATGTTATGAATATATTAAGAAATGAAAGACGATATCACAGCCCTCCTTCGCGTGAGTGAAGGGTTCTCTCGGTCTGGCACCGGGCCACTACTCTGGAAATGAAGATGGTATAGCCTGTCCCCCATCCTCTGTGCCAAGGAGGTGACGGTGATAGGCGTGGTGTCGTTGTATCTACTGTGACGCGTAGGTTCGATGTATGCAAACGGATTTTTCGGGTTGGATAGTTGTAATGGGGCGGATAGGGTTATAGGCTCTCGATCTCTCTGGAGGGGAGTGGTCGCTGGTTACATGTAAACTGAAGAGGGGCGCGTTGTAGGGCGAGTGTGTTTCTTGTCTTGTCGGTATAATTGGATGTCTGTGGCGTGGATTGCTACTGGCCATGGCACTTCAGTGGAATGTACATACATGTAGGCCTGCATCGTATTCTCCCGTGTGTGCATTTGTCGGCCCCCAATCAACGTACCGCCATCTGCCTTCCATCATCACGCAAAAAATCTCGCAAACATTCCCCCATTCGTTACCATAAATCATCACCCTCTTTTTCTGCATACAATAAATGAACAACAACCCTCCTTTCTGGGGGCCTCGAGTGATCCTCTGTGATCTACAATATATACCTGAAACGTGATACCTGACTTTCACGGGTGTGGTCGACAGAGGAGAAGAGCCGGAGTGCCATCCACTATACCAGCGACATGTCTCGGTGAGGGTTGGGTTCCGCCTTTCTTTCTTTGGCGTCACGCTCACTCTCTCATAGCTGTCACTCCAGATTTTGTAGATGTCATGTCACTCCAGTGTAAATATTTTTTGCAAGTTGCCCCCCTCTCCACCCTTACGGAGATTGTCATTAGTAACTTTTACCTTTATACTAGGAGACTGCTGAAATGAGGATAGAATCCATCTAGTACACGGTACTCGCTGTTGGTTTTAACTATAAAAGCGCCATGATCATCAGGAACGTATACTAGAGGTATGATAGTGTTTCCGGCCCAATATACTCAACGTAATAGGCCCTTATGCATACTGTTAGACTACCCCAGGGCGGGTGTTTGGATGCCTTTGTGAAGTACACCATGTGAGTAAAGCATTCACGAGCAGGCTTTTTAATGGACTGCGAGATATGTGGGCCGGACCGGTCCAAATATATGGGCGGTGGGCCAGTCTTTGACTTTCTGGGCTGGGCTGGGCCGGTCCTGACAGCATTTTGGACCGGTCAAGCAGAGTAATATATGGGCCGGTTTATGACTATATTTCTCCACCGATTGTGAGGGAAAAACGGGTTTCAAATTCCCATTTAGCTCTTTCGACTTCGATAAATAGCTTTGGAGGGACCATATATTTATTTTTCTGTGACTGGTCCTGGCTCTATATGGGCCGGTCGGTCCGGGCCCATTCCTTGGTGGACTGGGCTGGGCCGGTCCAAGGTCAAATATAGACCGGTCCAGCCTATTAAAAAGCCTGCTCACGGGTCAGGGTACAGTTGGTTTTATTCCTCACTACGTCATCCACTTCTTATTCATGAATTAAACAAAAACCAAAAAAAAGTCTCCCACTCCATAGTTCCCACAGAGTCATCGTTGAGGTGGTAGTGTGCACCCCCAGCCCTCACAACAAAGGAGGGTGACACGATGTTTACTGTATACGAAGAGAAAACGGCCAGCTACAGGCCTAGAGAAAACTATCGACACCGATTAAAGGAACACCGTTTTTCTTTTTATGAACAGGCGACACCCAGCAAGAAAGCTAAATCACAACTGATCACAGCTGATCACTCGCGCATGGTCTATCACTCGGTCTTAGTCTTGGTATGGGCCTTGAGCAATCCTCATGGTGTTTTAGATAATTTAGCTTCGATTATTAGATACTCCACCGCCTCTCCGTACTTCTTTCAGATACTTCTTCGACTAATAATACCATTTCGTACATAATCACCACTGCTACATTTTCCCCAGTTCCACCCCACCTCACCTCACCACCTCATACGTCTCACGCGATCGCTCGAATCTCCCCCACTCATGCACTCTCCAACATAGAAAATAAAATCTCATCCTCATTCATAAACGCATACCGGCCCGCCTACCCGCCAACCGTACTCACTCCACTACACACCCTCAACGAAACAAAGAAAATAAGGAAACATTACTACTTGGATTGCAATTGGACAAGGTGAAGAGTAAAATGGAGAGAGGGAGTTAATAGTACAATATGTTTTCTTCTTTCCTTCGCTGGTAGTGAGTGATAAGTTGTGAGTTAAAATGAGGAGAGAGGGAGGGAGGCCAATGAATCAATCAATCCCATCAATCAATCAATCAATAATAATGGACAACACCAAGAGAGGATAACAGACTGACAAACTAACAACCAACACAGAACAAGAAAAAAAGGACGAGAAGAACGAGAAGATAATATAAAACTATCGCACAACAGACAGAAATACAGACAGAACAGAACAGAAAGAAATAGAAGAGAAAAAAAAATTGTTTTCCAATCCGGCTCACGCTCCTCCAACCTAACTCCAATCTTCTGTCACCGTATCCTACCTAACTAAACGTTGGTTATATCCTCTCGAGTCAATGCGATTGGTTTATGCAGTGGTAGTAGCGGTAGTTGTTGCAGCAGCCTCAGTAGCAGCGGCGTCGGCCGTGGGGGCAGCAGCAGGAGTTGGCTCCGCGGCATCACCGCCAAAGATGCTCTTGCGTTCTGTGCTTGCTGCCGGCTCCTCAGATGCGGATGCCGGGGCAGGAGTGGGCTCCTTCTTAGTCGCGCGACCCTTCTTGGCTGCAGGCGCCTTTGCTGTTGCGGTGATTTCCTTGGCCTTTGATGGGCGGCCGCGCTTCTTCTTTGGCTCTCTGTCGGTTTTGTTAGCACATTTCAGGTTTAACGGCAGGGACGGGGTAGTTACTCGGAAGTGGTGGCATCGGTAATGATGCTTTCGTCTCCGACCATAGGGACATCCTCCTTAGGCTCTTCCTCAACTGTCTTTTCAGTGGCTTCCTCGGGGGCAACAGGAGCTTTGCGTTTCCTGCCAGCAGTAGCCTTGGGTTTAGGCTCTTCCTTTTCCTTGGGAGCTGGGGCAGGGACGACGGGTGGGACGGCCTTCTTGGGACGGCCACCACGATTCTTAGGTTTGGCGGCCTCGGCTTCGGGGGCTGCCTCTGCCTCGGCTTCCTTCTCGGCTGGGATAGCGTCGGCATCACTCATCTCAACGTCGGCATCCTTGGTCTCGGCCGACTTGTCGGCAGCTTCAGTGGCGGTCGATGCAGCTTCGGGCACCGGTTCCTTAGCGGCAGCCTCCTTGGCTTCCTTGGCGAGTTGAGCCTTGGTGGGCTTCTTGGGGGCAGGAGCTTTCTTCTCCTTTGGCGCTGACTTTTCTTTGGGTATCGCCTTCTCCTTCGGCGCGGCCTCTTCCACTTGTGGGGCAGGGTCCTCTTTAGGGGCAGCCCCCTCCTTCGTCGCAGACTCCTCTTTGGCCTTTTCTTTGGTAGTAGCCTTTTCCTTAGAGGCGGCCTTTTCTTTGGTAACAGCTTTCTCCTTCGGCACAGTCTTCTCCTTAGTCACAGCCTTTCCCTTTGGTGTAGTCTTCTCCTTGGGCGTAGCCTTCTCCTTGGAGGTGGCTTTTTCCTTGGAAGTGGCCTTCTCCTTCGGTGCTGCCTTCTTCTTTTCCTTGGGGACAGGCTTCTCTTCCTCACTCGGCTCCTCGTCTTCGTGGTCCTCCTCGACTTCCTTCATGCTCTTCTTAGCCACCGCAGCGGTCCTGGCAGAACGTGCACGTGTCGGCTCAGTTGGCGGCTTCTTCTCGCGCTTCGCCTTTGGCTCACTTCCAGCTGCTGGCTGGCGGCCACGTTTCTTAGGTGCTGGCTTCTCCACCTCCACCTCAGCCTCGGCCTCTTCAGCCTCAGCCTCAGCCTCGGGTTCAGCTGCTGGGGCGGCCGCCTTCTTGGGGCGACCGCTCTTCTTAGGCGCTGGCTTGGGCTCTTCTTGTTCGGAAGGCTCGGCGACGGGTTCAGCGACAACCTTCTTAGGTCGGCCGCCAGTTTTCTTAGGCGCGGCCTTGGTCTCAGCCTCGGCCTCTGACTCGCCAGCAGGAACGTCGGCGGGCTTCTCCTTGATCTCTACCTCGACTTCCTTCTTCTTGCGGCCACGTTTTGGCTTCTCGGGTTCACTGGTCATCGCGTCAGCACGTGGAATAGCCTTGAAAGTCACGAAAAATGCAGCGAAAGGGGGGAGGGGGTTCCAACGTGGCAGCCTCGACCTTCTCCTCCTCTTCCTCCTCGGTCTCATCTTTCTTCGCAGCCTTCTTACGCTTTACAGGCGCGCCAGGTCTGTTCTCTGCGACATCCTTTAGGACGTGTTAGCTACATAGTCTATCGCGTCAATTGAACAACGAAGGGAGAACAAACTCCTTTCCAATCCTCATCGGCAACGTGGCCAGCCTCAACAGCTGCCTTTATTTTCATTTGAAATTCGGGCGTTAGTTCGTCGTATCCGTCTAGCGCTGTGATGTCAAGGCCTTTATCGGTCGTGAACTTTTGGCGGATGTTGATAAACTGCTTAGGTGTTACGCAACCCCTTGTGGTGTGTTAGTACTAGTGTGAAGAAGGGAGGGGAGGAAGGAGAAGTGAGGAAGGAGGAGGCAGGGGGAGAGGTGGGTAGAAATAGAAAGGGGAGCAAACCAGTGCCGCCAGTTCCAACCTGGGTAACCTCCGTCGACCCAGGAACCGAAGCGGAGCTCACCCTTGGGGATCTTGGCTCTAGCGCAACCGACAACTTTGCAGGCAGCGCGGCCGTTTGAGATTTCTGTTCTTGGTAGTGATTAGTTGGTTTTTTATTTTATTTTTATTTCTTTTAATTTTTAGTTATTGGTTTATGAATTTCTGGATGTATGTGTTTGGGGATGAAAAGAAAAATTCTTTCCAATATGGCGCGTGATAATTTTCAATTTCGACGCCTTGTTTTTTTTGCGTTTTTTTTCTTTCTTTCTTTGTTTTGTCGGGATTGGGATGGGCAAGGGAATGTGGCAGAGAGAGAGAGAGCGAGGGAAGAGGATACGTACCAGCTCTGTAGGTGGACATGATAACCAAGTCGCGGCAAAAAAAAAAAAAGTGCTGCTTTTGATTAATTTGCTAATAGGGGAGAAGAATTTTTCTTTTCTTTTCCTGCGGGTGAGGGGAGAGAAAGGCAAAGGGAGCAATCAGGAAAGAGGGAGGTTGGGGGTGATGAATGGGGTGGTGGTGGTGGTGGTGGATGTGGATGGATGGATGGGAAGGATAGATGGCAGAACGATGTATGTATGTGAGTATATGTATGTGTTGGGTGTGAGTGAAATGACGTCTGATGCTATCTAGATATTCTTGCCGAGAATAGGGGAGAAATAGCTTATCGACTCGGGTGGGAGGAGGGAGAAATCAAAATAGATAAAGAGAGAAGGGAGGAGGGAATTAAAGGATGCAGAGGAAGATGAAGAGGAGCGATTGATGGAATTTGATGGGGGCGTTGATTGATGCTACATACTACGGAGATGATACTTCATTGCACACCGAGTGACGCGCCTGAAGGAGTATGTACTTTACCTACATCCTACATCCTATGTTACCTCCAGCTGCTTGCTGCTGATATGATGCGCGTACCGTTTGTTTTGTCACGTAGGGTGCAATAATAACAATAATAAAATCAACGCAGCCAGAGAGAGTACCACACTATCTGGGGATAAGTAATGAAATGATACAACATGGCAGGCATCTGTTTATTGGGCATGGGCATCCCATTGTGTGTTTCCTCTCATATACTGTAGCTAAAATCAATACAGTATCTAAACCAAGTCCCAACCTTATCAAATAACAATAAAAGAAAAGAGGAAAGGCAAAACACTGTATCACGTGATACGTGTATATATACGGCGCCGATACATGCCATACTGTTATGCGTTAATAACGGTAGGCAGGATCAGTAAGGCAAAACGGGCGAAAAATACCAAATGCAATATCTAAATACAAAAAGTCCATAACCCACAGACATATATCGGGCAAACATCCTAGATCCCGGAAATCAATTGATCCTACCAGTAACCACACATCCATCCAGCCATGGCCTGTACCAGGGTTCCAGTTAAGCGGGAAACAACCAACGGCCGCCAACCCCACCGAAACAAACGAAAAAAATCAACCCCCCCCCCAACCTCCACACCAATCTACGACACCACTGCCCAGATGTCATGCTCTCCGTACATCGGTCCCCTCGATCAATTCTCAACTCCTCGTTCACCTGTACTTTTTTACTACCATCCTTCTTTCCAATACGTCGTGGTGACCGCCGAAGACTCACTTCCGCCTTGAGAACTAAGAGAACAACGTCGATACCCGTAACATCTACCTCTCCAACCCTTAAGTACACCTATCGCCACCTTCTCAATTCCTCACAGTGCAGTCGGCTGATCATATCTCCACAGTTTCATACGCCACCAGAGCACGGCCGAATGGCTCACGAATATCAACATCTCGTTTCCCCCACTCCCGCCCCGCCACGATACCAATGCTACTCCCAACGAAACCCGAGAACCTCCCCTCGACCCGCACCAGAAGCGATTTCACTTACATGGAGATCTAATTCACGACGGCCGTTTTCCAGACCTATACGGCATTACCATGCCTCCCAAGCCTCCAATCAAGAATCCACGCTACGAAGACGCCTGGATATCGCATCTCTTTACGGGCCCATACTTGCCTCCAGAATGGCGGCGCGAGGCAGATATAGTCCCGCCACTAGATAATGAGAAACTATTACTTTTTCTGGAGCGCGCGAAAGGCCATAAACATGATATAATTACGGAGCTAGTGGTGAGAGGCGAGTGGGCAATCGCAGTATGGATTGTGAGGCAGTTGATTCAACCGGGGTTCGAGTACCCAGAGGTAGTGAAGATGCATTCTGTATTCGACGAGACACGGGGATCTACGATGATGAATGGCGACTACGACGTTGGTAGGGCAGAGAAAGAATACAGTGGTGGGATTCCGTCGCCCGCAATTGCAGGGCGCTCGGGATTGTGGGTATTGGAGGATAAAAAGGTCAAATGGGATATTGAAAGACGGAGAAGAGGATATGGCGTGGTGCTATACTCACTCGCTGGGATGGTCATAAGAGCCGGGACCGAAAGTGGGGACCGGGGGTACAAGGATCTGATGGCGACAGTGAGACAGGTCCTGGCGTATCTGCACACGGCGGGGTTCATGCCAGATTCGCTATATGATATGGGGCGCCACCCAAGGTTATATTTGCTCCGATCTCGTATCCTTGCGTCACTGGCCGACGCAATGTGGCGAGCTCAAGAGGCAATGGCTGCAGAGGAAGCTGAACGTCTGGGCATTGTAGGAGAATACCAAGGCTTCGAAGTCCCCCGAGCCAGACATCGTTTTGAAGTTTGGGGTGGCGGTACCAAAGATATACCCCCACCACCAGCTTCACTGCCGGCTCACATACGCCAAAAAAATACCCCGCAATGGGGCAGCTATTCTGAATGTGAGGTCTGGCTGGAGCTCATACTCACCATTGTTGTCGAAACAGGGTATGGACATGTTGGAGTCGATGTTTTACGCCACGCTGCCTCCCAGGGTTGGTCTTTCGTCGATTACCGTGAATTATACCCAAACGAATACACATCAAAAGCACTACTTTACATGGCACCCGAGCCTAAAACCGGGCCCTGGCAACTTGAAGGCCACTCGTTGGATCGCCCGCCGGTCACTACGCATCCTCTATCACTGCCTAACACTCTTCTCCCTGGTGTTGTCGACGCAGCTGTGGACTCGACCGCTGAGGGTCGTGGCCTTGAATCCATGTTCATAACGATCCTCTCATACGCCCAATCATTACCCATGAAGCGCACGACGCTCCTGAGACTCCTGCGCCATCCTGCTCTCGTCTGGTCCAAAAATGCCGAAGTAATGGCAGCCGGCGCCACCATCCTCCTCGAATTCGAGGACGGGGTTAAGGCGTGTAACATGCTTTACACAGCCCTTAGCCTGCACATATCCAAGCAAAACCTTCCAGGGGCTCAAAGAGTGTGGGCGATTTTGCGCAATCGCACAATGAACATCCAGCAGATTCCCGACCCACTGCTCGCCCACTACCTCATGTTCCTCGTGGGCCGCCGAATGCTGGGTGATGCATTTGGACTCGTCAACCCCACCACAGTCGACGGCGAAACGTTCCCACCAATTATCCAAGAAAGTGCCTACAACTCTCCCTACCTTGCACCCCCGCTTCTCGCTCTGGCTGTGGCTTCAAAGCGCCAACTGCTGTTTGATCGTGTCCGCACAGCACTAGCACTCACCGACCCCCGCAGGATCACGAAGGAAACCTACACCTCCCTCCTGAAAGCAAACCTTGCATTCGGCGACTCCACCGCCGCCAAAGATGTTCTCAGCGCGCTCTCCACCTACGGCCACACCATTGACAGCGTTCTCGTTGGTGTCCTCGTCACCCACGAACTCGAGCGCGACCGCGCCGCCGGCTACGCCTTCGTTGAGTCGGGCGCCGGCGTCATCCCCTTCGACCCAAGAACCCCGGCTGCCGCCCTAAGAACCGCGGCCGTAAGCAGGCAACCGCCGGGAAGATGCAGATCTCGCGAGACGCATGGATCTCGGTGCTACGGGAGGCGGTCGCGACCAGGGATGAGCCGCGGACGAAATGGGCTATGGTAAATATGGGGATCGATCTGGAGACTGGTGCGGGGCTGGACACGATGGCTTTCAATGTGCTGTTGAGGGGTGTAGCGGAGGGTCAGGGGTGTGTCAAGGCCATGGAAATGTGTCATAACCATCATACAAGGGGTAATAAGCGGCCGGATGGGGCGGTTATTGGTGACGGCATCAGCCTTAGGACAGTGTTGCATCGTGCGGTGAAGGAGATGATTGAGTTGGATTCGGAGCAAGAGAAGGATGATTGGGTGCCGGGTGAGTGGTGGGATCCCATGTGGGGGAAGAGGCCGAAGCAGAACCTGAGCAAGAGGAGCAAACTGAAGAAAGAGATGGAGAAGGCAGAAAAAGCGGAGAGGCGGGAAAAGAGGCAAATCAGGAGGAGAAGCATCGAGTTTGTCCTTGACTGGTGCTGGAGAGAAATGAGAGGGAGCGGTATGGGCATTCCAGACGTGGAGAAGACGGTTAGGATCTGGCTGCAGAGGACTAGATGGGCAGCATTTTTAGAGTAAATAGCTATATATCTCGGGGTGTATGTATGTAAACTTTTTGGCGTTGTTTTTAACAGGAAAGGGGAGCTTTTGTATAAATGCGTGTACATATATATAATGTAGATGGATATGTAAAAATAAGTGAGGGTCCCTTGTGGGACCAAATAATCCAGTACGGTTATATAATTATTCGAAATTATAAAGCAATGGTTATAATGAACTCCCTGAGGGCGCTGAGGTCTAGTTTACTTTATCGTCTCTTAGTTATCCTAGCCCTTAATCTAGATTCTTACCACTAAGGAAATTCCAATGAAGCGAGTGATGATATGTGATCGAGTGATATTCTATGAATATGATTTTCGAATTAGGATTAACTACAGTATTATGCGCTCCTAGACTCCAGCTTACAATAATAAGAGTTATAAGAGTCTAAAAAGTTAGTTATCAGTTAAAAGGAAGGAAAAACGTATAACACGAGGATTCGACCGGATAACCATAACCAGGACATAAGTCTACTTGATACCACAGCAGCCACTCAACATCGTGTTCAATTCGAAACTACGCGCGGTTTAGGAGAGTAACTTTCTTGAAAAGCGTGATAACCGTTATCATATAGGAACAGTGCGTGTATTTTATGATCAGAATGGCCATAGATAATATTCTACCTACTAGAGGTGTTATGAACGCTATCGACTCCACTTTGAAAGGCTATATATACAGTCGGAGTGATTGTCAAGAGATAGTTGCAGTAGATTTGAACGCACGCGCCGGACACGATAATGCTTTTAAGCAAAGTAGCATCGCACGAAGTATATTTGAGGTATATGTAGATCTTGAAGATGGGTGAAAGAACACCCGCAGAGATCTATATTTATGTATTAACGCAGATAGGCGGTTCCCCTGGCCACCCGGACACCCCGCTCACTCGGACAGTTAACGTAGAAAACAGAGGATCAACGTTAACTGTCCGAGTGAGGGGGGTGTCCGAGTGGTTGGAAGTCGTCTATATATATATATATATTCATGGATTTACCCAATCTCTGGCGCGTGTTTGGGACATGTTGCAAGATTGATTGTCGAGCGTGTGGCTACGCTGCGTAGGTACTGATTCAAGCAAGAGAAACCCTCCTTCCACCTATAAGGGGGATTCTTCACTACATCATAGCCGAAATTCACAAAGAGCACTCTAGTCACGGGATCAAGTACATAGGGAACCAAAGAGAAACATGAAAATTTTCTACTACCCGAAAACAGAACCCATAAACCCATATATTTCCACCAATACATATAATCCATTCACCGAGGATACATCGAATTAATTATCCTTGCCAGGATCATTGATAGAAGGACCACCCTAAAGCCTATGCTTCTCTCCGCCATCCCTCTTCCAGGAGTCATCACCGCTACTGTCGCCAGATTGGCATCTGGTTTTCATAAGGAAACGGAATCTCTCATCACCAAAGCCGGGTTCATCGCTGCTATCATTCTCGCCTCCACTGCCACTTTCATCGGAGAATTGGCGTCTGGTTTTCATAAGGAAATTGAGATCGGAGCCGGATTCATCGCTGCTACCACCCGAGCCGTCTCCACTGCTATCTTCATCAGATGAGATGTCATCGTTCTGGCGTTTTATGGCCTGTGGAAGGCTTGTGATGTCCTTTTTGGCCAGATAGGCGAGCGAGGAGGTATCTGCTGGGAGAGGAAGAGCAGCGATAAAGGAGAACGCGAAGAGAGCGCTGAGGATGACATTTGGGGTCTTCATTTCGCTGACCTGGATAGTGAGGAGTAGATATATGAAGAGAAGCTCACGAAATGGCTGAATGGATGGTGAGGAAATAAGCGATGAATAAGGTGGAGGAAGGTCGTATTTATACACTTGAGAAGTTGCCGTGGAATCTCATAATTCTGATCATTGAAGATACAGAGTGAGTGATTTGCAAATTATCCAAGTTACCAAACACCTACCTTTCCGCTTCAGTATGTCTACTCCACTTGTTAAGGTGGGGTTAACAGTAGCATGCGCATGCGGTGAAGCCGAGATTACTACATGTACTCTACTGACATGACCACTAGTTGATATTTGATTACTAAAACTTATCCTTGTACTCGAATATTTAATGTGGTATTTGAAGTGATCATTGGTGTTTTCTCCTGACTAAGGCTAAATGACGACAATACTACGAATCATTGATAGTAGGAGATTCGCAAGCATCCCAGCATATGTGTATCAATTCACATAAACAACCCCTCATCTTCAGGGCTTAGGCTTTTGATACCCTTTATATGGGGGCCATTTCTGATACAGAAATGATCATGGATTGTGTTTTAAACAGCACACTACACAGAATGCCAGCCCTTGTGAATAACGCTGCTCTCGGGGCTCCTGCCTAGTTATACGGGGCTCTGCAAGGCAAATAGTCATGAATCCAGCTACACACGATTAAAGGGAACACGATGCATAACAACAGTTCCTTGCATGGAGGTATCTATGCGTCGCTTTTGAGTTGAGGCTAGTCGTGCTCAATGAATATCAATCAATCTTACTTGACAAAGCTTACCGAGATACTCAGCTCTCATTATATTATCCTCAATACAAGGTAACTTTGATATAGTAGGGCAAACGACCATGGATTTCTCTTCATCACAGCTTCCTAGTTCCAACTACGAATCCACCCCACCAAGCTCAAGGCTTTATCCCATCCTTCCTACATACGAACCCTTGATTAGGGCAAAAAATCCAACAGCTAGATATAGAGAGCTAGCTACCATTGTGCTCAAAATCAAGGCGTACATACACGCCTTGACCGGAAGGTGTTCCACCCCAGGTCTTTGTCTACCACGCAGATCTTTCTTTTCTACAGAAGCTGGTGCGGCTCAAGCTGTGTGATAACTGGCCTTACCATGGTACGTACAGCTGCTAAAGCGGATATGCTGGGTACTATGATCATGGTCAATATTGAGGCTCTATTGAGGCTCTATTTAGGCTTGAGGCTCCGCCCCGATCTGTGGACCGTGCCTTAGACCTGCAGCGGGTGGACATGGATGCTCCGGCCGGAGTGCATAAAACGGAAACTACAACCTAGCTCTAGTGAATCCTACCTAGTAGCTGGTGGGGCAACCTGAATGATACAAATAAAAGGATATACAAATAACAGACTGAATAGACCGCAGAAAGAATAAGAAAGAAAGATAATACTATGTAAGTAATAGTAGCTAGAATGAAACAACTCAACCCTATTAATCACTACATGTAGTTATACTAGCGCCTCATACACACATATATACTTAAAAGCCATATGTACTTGATACATGCCATAATCCACCACGATCAAGGTACTTCTCAATCCTGCTGCGATACTTATGTATGAGCAAAACATGTAGAGCCAAACATCCAAGAATACTACATGCAGCTCCCACAACTGGCCTTGGAGGCTCAAAAATCCTGCGTCTCGGATGTTTCCCGGCCTCCGTTGATCATCTCGAAACTGCACCACACCTAAATACATATGAACGCGGGTCTGGGGTCAGCGAAGGGCCGGGACACAATGCAACAACCAGTAAAAAGGAAACCTAACAAACACCAGTTTCTACACAACCTCCAGATACAGGAAACAAGCAGAAATGGGTAGATATCCTATATCAAGGGTAAAGATTCTGAATGGCGATGTCAGAACAAAAAGATTTAAGTGTATTCACTTGATCTTTTTCTAGCATCTTAAAACATTATTGTTTCAACCAACCTTGATGTCGAGCCTCCTACTATATAGCTAAAGGAAACCTCTGGGAAATATGATATACACCCCTTTAAAACATTCTCTATCAGTAGGAGAAGCTTTTGGGCGGATCGGTTGGCTGGTTTGGGCTTGTTAGGTTTGAGCCCATAAGTCAAGTTTTCTTAGACCTGAGTTCATATACTTCATCTAGATCTGTGTGGGTTGAGGTTGCCAAGAAGGATGCCTGACAAGCTCGAGGGCCAATGATCCTGGTTATTCAGTATTCAGTCGACTCAACCCTACCTGCCCCTCGAATAGTTGTCCTCAGGGTGGGTAAGGAGTGACTGACTCGAAGCCGATACTTATTCTCTCCCTGACTCTTGCTAATTTACTATACCGCATTACATAAATCTAGCCTTCCATCATTACATGTAGTGACTTTCAAAATTGAAGAATCCTTGGCAAGGAGTACTTAGTGGGTCAAACTCCAAGGTCAGAGTGCACACCCCGATTTACGGAAGACTGGCGTTTTAGATCATTTAGCATCACTTTGAGGTCTTGAGACGTGTCGTCTTGCCCCGGGCCTGGGTCGTTTCTCCAAGTCTTTGGATATTAAGCCTCGTGCCCATCATTATACAAGCGCTATCAGAAACCATACTTTTATGAGGATTTGAGCCACAACATCTATGGCTCCTGTAGTACGTATGCGCTACTCATTGTACGAGGGCTTGGGCAATATAATACGAAATCTAACTTGTTAAACCAGAGGAAGCTATGTTTACGCAAAATACAATTTTTCTATGATACAAATCGTGTAGATAAACACATACATGTAGCCACCACGAATTTTTCTAAATAGCGGGGGGGGGGGGGGGGGGTGATATGAGCATCTAAGAGGCCGGAGCAGCTACGCTCCAGTTTTTAGCGTAGGTCCTAAATCCCACCTCCGCTTCCTCATTTCGAACTTTTTTTTCTTCCTCCTTTAGATTCTTCGCCTCCTCCCCCTCCTCCTCCAGCCTTTTCGCCTCCCGCTCCCGCTTCACCTCCTCCTCAATCCTCACCATCCTCTCCGCCGTCTTCCTCGCCACCTCCCGTATCTCCTCCGTGCGATCCTCCTCCTCAGAAATCCTCGTGATGGCCTCCAACGCCCGCTGCCAGTTCACCTCGCAATACCCCTTCTCGCGAACCACAGTCTCGAAGAAAGGGGTATTGGGGGCGTACCCCGTGGCCAATACCCAGAAGTCCTCGCGCGTGTTGTAGAGCGTTTTGCCTATAATCTCAATGACATATGCGAAGCAGCGGACGCATGTCTCGTCGGGGGCAGGTTCGTGAATCCGGTGGAGCGTCCCCGCCAATCCGGGCCGCAGCCAGTGCAGCCCGCCACGTTCGTCAAGCGTGGCGACAATGCGGTAGTAGCTGACGACGTCTTTGTTCCTCCTGGCCTTCCGTTCCGCCGCCGGATACTTTAGGTCTGTTATCATGCCCATTGTTAATCGCAGCACAGCATAACATCGAAATGGCGCCGAGAAGGATGAAGGCGGGGGAGGGGAGGAGAGGGTGGCTTACAATAGTCTGGATCCGGGGATACATTGCACAGATTATCCAACAGCCAATTATCACTCGTCGCCATCCGGTACCCGCGCGAAATCCACTTTCTCGTGCCCAGTAGTCCCCAAAACCCGCGCGCCAGGTCTGCCAGCCGCCCGTGGGTCTCCCACTCGTCGAAGGTCAAGCCGCGCGCCTCCCGCAGGCTCGCATAGCCCACGATGTTGACGCCCACGCACGTACCGAACTCGTTCACGCGCGGCGTGTCGCCCGGGGCTGTTTCCACGTCGAAGTCTTCGTAGGGCGCGCACCGCTCGTTGATGATGTCGTCGAGCCAGTGGAAGAGTGTTGCGGCGCCGTCGGAGGCCGGGGTGGTTCCGGCGGCGACGCTGGCGATGATGTCTCTCATGCGCTGCTGGTTTTCATCGTAGATGCGGCCCATGCTGTGGGTGTGGGTGTAGGTGTGGGGTAGGTCTAGGTGTAGGTGTAAGTGTAGATGTAGTAGGATTTTGGGGGGGTGTTTGGTAGAGATGGTGGGGGTTGTAATGAGTGTAGTGATGGTATAGAGAGCTACTGAGGAATTGATGCGGTGGAGGTTAATGTTTGTATACTCATAGGAGATTGTGCGCCTTTATATACATACTCAGTTAGATATATAAACCCTTGCTGCTCCCTTCTAGCAGGACTTTGCCGCCGCTCCCCGCCGCTGCGGTGCTGCTGTGTCGGTGGTGGGAAAATACCTGTTGGGGGGGAAAGCTATGCTGTGAGGTTGCGGGGTGTGAGAGCTGGAACGAGGCAAGCTCTTACATCTCTAGATCTGGCAAGGATACATACATGTATTCAGTAACAGCCGCGCCGGTGTAACGTTTCTATTTTTGTGTCTGTGAGCAATTCGTCTCTTTCAGTAAATAGTAGAGGAGAGATGATGCTACTATTTCTATGACTGCTGCCAACTAGATGTAGTTTGAAGCTGCCAGTAAAGTGTATGTAGTATCGCGCTGCCAAGATCTCGGACCTACAACGGCAGTAGCAAATCGTTAGTTAGGGTTATGTATGTACAGTAGTTAGATATCTATCCAAGGTTGACTTTAGGGAGCAAAATGCAGATGGAGGATAGTAATAGATATCTCGTTTCCAGCCTGATGATTAACTTGTGATTTATATGTTTTGCAAATCTACCCTACAACGCTTGACTTTCTATGGCATGAAAAAGGCACCCGACTTTAACTTGGTCCGGATTATTATTTCGCAGGGGTTGTGCACAAGATCCCTGCAGATTATGTAATCGGATTGTGTAACCCCATAGAGTAATGCATAAAACGTAGGGTAGTTTGGATGCATAGAACAGATACATGTATCCTCTGGCCCACCTCCTGGCACCCCCCGCGCCCAGAACTTCTCTCAAAAATACTCGCACCCCCCAAACGCTCCCGGCAAATTAAAGTACATGTAGATACACCTGTATCTAGAAAATTCCCCCCCCCCCCCAAATAGCAATGGGGGGTCAAAGTAGTGTTTCTCCAGAAACAATTTTGGCATATCCCCCCCCCCCCCAAACCCACACCCTCTTTGCATAGTTATCCTGCTCAATCTTGCATGAAAGTTCACTTGAACCTGATTGTGGCGGATTCAGTCGTGGGAGTGCCGTTGCGGAAATTTTTTCTAGACACGGGTGTACCTAGCTACATGTAGTTGAGATAAAACAAAACGAGTAGTAGAAATGCAATACCAGGTTCGAAATCCGTGAACGATTGCAACAATGTATTTTGCAGGATTATTATGAATCACTAGTGCTAAGCAAGAGTGGTTATGCAAACTGGACGGATGGCAAGACAAGAAGCCTCGATCATATCACTCCGGCTCCAATCACAACCCATCACTCGATCGCTCCCCCACAGAACCGACCATCACCACCGCCGCCACCACCAGCAAAGGCCCTATAAACACACCGCACATTCTTAACAAAAAACAGATATTATAGTAACGACTGATACCACATCACGGCAATAACCATTGTTGGTATCAGAGTCCTCTGCATCCAATTAAAAGCCATGATAGAAATCCAATTAAAAGCCATGATAGAAATCCATTACGATTAAAGTGCTACAATTAATACCCAACCCCTACACGCAATGGTGATGTCCTATAACATTTGCCGTAATGTAACATATCACATCGCCACTCTCCTATTTTCGATATATCCAGACTCCATAGCCATAGCCATTCCCCCGACATCCCCCACAGACACAGATAAGCACCCCGTTTCTTGCGGCAGGAAAAGATTCATCAGCGCGTAGAGTACCAGAAAGCCTCTAGCTTCAGATCTACACACCGATGCATCTGAGCCTGCCATAACACGGTCTGCCCATTGTCCGCTGCTGCCACCTGCTATTACTACTGTACAAAACCCCACCACCATCCCACCACAAAGAACGAAAAAAACGGAAAGAGAAAACCCACCTCCCACCCCCCTACAACCCCTCCATCTCCGCCGCCACCTCCGCCACCAGCCCCACCACCTCACTCTCCTCCTCCGCCGCGCCCCTCTCATACAAATCCAGCACCAACCTCCTCGCCACCTCCTTCACCTTCGCCACCTCCCCCGCCAACCTCTTCCTCACGCCCCGATGCACATTCACCACACACGCACTCGCCAGCCTCAACACCTCCGCATCCAGCTCCAACCTCAGCCCCCTCGCGCCCCTAATCCCCGCCAGCCCCACCGCATCCCTCACCATCCCCTCCCCCGCCTCGCCCCCCAGCGCCACAACCTCCGCCAGCAACCGCGCCTCCGCAATCCCCAACCGCAGCTCATCCTCCTCCGCCCCAGGGGCATTATAGATCCTCTTCAGATCGCCAAACACCACCCCCCACCCCCCACACCTCCCAAACTCCGCGCGCCCATGCTCCTCCTCCAGCACGCCCTCCAGCGTCGCCACAACCCACACGCGGTAGTCCACGCCCGCCTCCGCCCCGCGCGCCCACAGCCCCAGCCAGAAATCCATCAGGCCTCCAGCCTCAACACGGAGGCTCTCGTCCTCGCGGAGCCACAGCGCGAGCGCGCGCACGGATGCCATGATGATTGGGTCGCGGAGCAGCCCGCCGGGAGTGGCATGGTCCCACGTGAGTGTTAGCGGCACGCCGGGCTCGCCGTGGCCGGGCTCGAGGTCCAGTTCGAGGCCGGAGGCGCCGGCGAAGGCGGCGTCCCAGCGGTCGCGGAGGTGCTCGAGTGTCAGGGAGAAGGTCTCGGAGAGGTCGGTGCGCAGCTGGAGGAGGGTTGTGGGGGAGAGGGCTGTGCTTGTGGTGATGGCGGCAGAGTCATCGTCGTCGTCGGGGGCGGTGATGAGGTGGTTGAGGAGGGCGGCGGTGATGTCGTATGCGGCGGCGAGGGTCTGGGATGTGGCGGCGTAGGTCGGTGTGTTTAGTGACTCGAGGAGAGAGGGGAATGAGGCGCGGAGGGTGATGAGCGTGAGTTGGATGAAGTGGTGGAGCGGCAGCTTTGCGTCGGGGTTTGCAGGTGCGGTGGGGGTCGCGGGGTTGAACAGCAGTGCGGGCGGGTATCGGTGTAGGAGCGCGGCGGCAATGACGATCCCCGAATGCCGGATCGCAGAAGTGTGTCTGGCACTCAGCAGACTCAGGAGCGTGTCGTAGAGAGTCGACACCCACGCTGTGTCGTCCGGTAATTGCTGTAGACCCCCTCACCCCCGTCAGCATACACTCCTTCACACGCTATCACTCGCACTCACCTCCGACGGCATTCTCGTCAGCAGCTCTGCCAGGAACTTCAACACCCGTCCCTGCAGCTCCCCCTGCATGCCCTTAATCCTCCCACATAGCTCCGGCAGAAAACGGGCGAGCGCAGCTCCCGCTACCTCTTGATCCGCATTCACGAACGCGTGCACCAGCACCTGCGTCGCCATCTCCATCTCCGCCGCCGTATCCACAAGCTTCATGAGCTCCCCGGTCTCAATCCCCAGTAGCACATCCGCGCCGCGGCCCACCCCCGCAAATGCCAGTAACGTCTTCAGGATCGAAGCCTTCGTGACAGCCGCACTCCCTTCCAGCGCCTTTATTAGCCCCAGCGCTCTCCCTAGTAGCGCATCATCATACTCGTTGGTATTCATGACCGTCGCGAATGCGCCAATGACGCCGACGGCGAGCTCGACCATATCGCGAGCCTCCTCGGGGGTCTTTTTCGCACTCTTTCCGGCGCGGAGTAGGCGGTCAAGGAATGTTGGTGGCAGGGCGGCCCAGCATTGGAGCAGCAGGGTGCGGTCGGTGATGTGGGAGAGGAGCGAGGAGAGGAGGGCGAGGCCGACGAAGCGGCTGGTGTCGTCGCGGCGGGAGAGAAGCGTGAGGCATTGCTGGACGGTTTCGGGCGGTGGTGGTGGATTGGAATTCTCTGGGTTTTCTTTAATGTCGAGAGCGGAGGGGGGGGAAATTGAAGACTCGCCCGCGGTGGTGGCCATTGCGGGTATGTAGACAGTGATTTATGTCTCTGCAGGTGTTTCTTCGTATTTCTTCATATGAATTCACGCAAACCCGCGGACCCCTAACCCTGAGTGACGTTGACTGCCCCGCCGTGTGTGTAACCTTGCAGTGGCAGGGTAACTAGCCTGAGGCTTTTCTACTTTTCTTTTCTTCCTCTCTAGAGATCTACAAACCTACCTCTTGCTCAGTGCAATTGCCAAACGACAACCCCATAAACAGCGCTCGCCCTAGTTCCCAAGCATCTTCAAATAGTCCATAGCTACCAAAACGCAAAAAAAACGATACTATGGAAGGCCCGGCAAAGAAGCTAAAGGTCTCCCACGCCAGTGTGGAGAAGAGACAGAAGGGTACAAAGAAAGAGAGCAGAGACAAGAGGGACGTCAAGGAGGCAAAGAAGGCCAAAGAAGAGGTCCCCCGACTAAGCAAAAAGTCAAAAAGGGCACTTGCAGCCATCCCCGAACCCGCACCAGTAGTGGAGTCCGAATCCGAATCCGAATCCGAGGAAGAAGGAAAACCCAAAGAAACAGCCCCCCAAGACCCCACAGAACAATCCCCAGACTCCGCAGACTCAGACCCAGAGTCTACCAATGAAGACGAAGCCAGCGCAGAAAAACCCGCCGAAAAGGCCGAACCCGAAGAGCCAAAGACCTTCGCCGACCTAGGCGTAATGGAATCGCTCTGCACCGCCTGCGAAACCCTCAACTACAAATCCCCAACCCCCATCCAGGCGCTCTCCATCCCGGCCGCCCTCTCCGGCAAGGACCTCATCGCGCTCGCCGAAACCGGGTCCGGCAAGACCGCCGCCTTCGCCCTCCCCATCCTACAGTCCCTGTGGAACAACCCGATCGGCCTCTTTGCCTGCATTCTCGCGCCCACCAGAGAACTCGCATACCAGATCAGCGACCAATTCGAGGCCCTCGGTGGCGGCATTGGCGTCCGCTGCGCCGTGATTGTTGGTGGCATGGACATGATGACGCAGTCCGTAGCGCTAGGGAAGAAGCCGCATATCGTTGTCGCAACGCCTGGAAGACTGCTCGACCATCTCGAGAACACAAAGGGATTCAGTTTGCGCACGCTAAAGTACTTGGTTATGGACGAGGCCGACAGGCTGCTGGATATGGACTTTGGCCCGATCCTCGACAAGATCCTAAAGGTCATTCCGAAAATGCGAAACACCTACCTCTTCTCCGCAACCATGACCTCGAAGGTCGAGAAGCTGCAGCGCGCCTCGCTCAATGCCCCCGTCAGGGTCGAGGTCGGGTCAAAATACTCGACAGTGTCGACGCTGATCCAGCGGTTCCTGTTCATCCCGTTCAAGCACAAGGATACGTACCTTGTCTACCTGATGAACGAGCTCGCCGGGCAGACAATCATCATCTTTGCGCGCACCGTGCTCGAGACGAACCGCATCGCCATCCTGCTGCGCTTCCTGGGCTTCAAGGCCGTCCCGCTGAACGGGCAGATGAGCCAGAGTGCGCGATTGGGGGCGCTGAACAAGTTCAAGAGCGGATCGAGAAACATCCTCGTGGCCACTGATGTCGCGGCGAGAGGTCTTGATATCCCGAGTGTGGATGCGGTCATCAACCACGATCTGGCGCAGGACTCGAAGACGTACATCCATCGTGTTGGGCGCACGGCGAGAGCAGGACGCAGCGGAAGGAGTATTTCCTTGGTGACGCAGTACGATGTCGAGCTGTTCCTGAGGATTGAGGCTGCGCTTGGGAAGAAGATTGACCAGTACGAGTGCGAGGAGGAGAATGTACTGGTGTTTAGTGAGCGGGTTGGAGAGGCGCAGCGGGAGGCGGCCAAGGTGATGAGGGAGGAGAAGGAGAAGAAGGGTAATGGACGAGGAGAAGGGAGATCTGGAGGCAGGGGCGGAAGGGGAGGAGCTTCTGGTGGGAAGAGGAGGAGGGATGACATGGACCGAGGTGAAGAGTAGGATATACGTGCTGCATGTAGATAGGGAGTTGGGATGGTTGGGAAAAGTCTTTTGTATTAATATCTTCTTTCTGTACTTAGCTGGCTGGCTTACTTGTGGATCAAATACGAATGATCTGCCTATAAATTGATGCATGCTGAAAAGTATCTGTTTCAGTAACTATTGCTGTTGTAAGGTCAAATGGCTGGTAAAGTACATTCAGTACCAAGCGACCATGCATTGATCAAGAGGTTTATTAACGACTCAACTTTATATACTTGTCCGATCAAGCCAGATTGTCTGTGTTGGGAGTTTCAATTGATGTCTAAATCTAACACAAGCTACATGTATGATAGGACACCATTCCTCTTGACAGCGGTCCTTACGTACTGCTTTGAACGGCTGCCAGTCCATGTCACGGTAATTCAAATCACACATGTCACACACTCGGCCCCAGTCACGCACTACCGCGTGACTAATCCTACAACCCCACGTTCAGCTGTCGGCCTGTCTCTTCCTCGGTCGCGAGGGTTCCACAAACAGATCGGATCAAGATCCAAGGTCTCACCCTCATTCTCTGACAGAAAAAAAAAAAGTCTTGGTCTGCAAAGAGCCCCTTTCGATGTTTTACCTACGCCTAATACAATACCTACATACACGTACATGATGCTCTGCGCTGCCAGTGCTCTGCCGGTAGAAATGATTGCATCAACCGCCTAATATAATCTTAAAAACCCCTCTCTCCACGCGTACGATAATTGTACAATTGTTAATTCCTGGGGAGGGAGGGAGGGAGAGGGGAGATTAAAGAGCACCGAGCTTAACTAAGCGAAGTATTTAGCTGCTACCTAGCTATGTAGCTAGGTAGCTGGACTGTTGTAGTTATCTAGACGAGAGGGATTTCCAGCAAGGGGTTGATCAACTGCTCCGAGGGCGCAAGGGAGCGCTTATCGGCCGGGCTTTACCGCGTATCAAATTTTTTCAATTTTCACATGCATTCCATGAGCCGCAAGGGTATGAAGTGTGGTTGGCGGTGATTGTGGTAGGGGTAAAACCGGTAGGGATGAAGGAGGGAGGGAAGGTATGGATGGATTGGATTGTATGGGCGGTATGAGTGGATAGATGGTATGGTATGGGGAGACGTCGAGACAAGCCATTGGGTGCGTGCAGAGAGGAGAAGAAGAGAAAGGGAGAACATCAGTGCAGAGCAGCAGCACTCACTGGCAGAGTCGTCATTGCCGAGTCTTGCCATCCGTCCATCCCCCGTTCACCTCCACACCTTACCTCACCTCACCTCACCTCCCTCCTCCATACCTCTGCCTACTTCAACTTTCTCTCTCTCTCTACTACTTCTCTCCCCGGTCTGTATTCATTCCTTCTTCCTACACCACTCACCACACACCCCCCCCCCTCTCCGATCGGCAGTCAATAGCAGGGCTGGAGTTCGGATAGACACCACCACCTACCTCCACAAGAATGGCCGCCCGGTCGACTTCGGCCACGTCCACTTCAGTCTCTCTCCCATCAACAGGCACAACTATCCCACTTCTTGCCTCCCCGATCGAGGCAATCCCCGATGTCGCACCACCACAACCCAGCAGCAAAAATGACGGCAGCGGCGGCGGCGGCGACATTTACAAGCACATCTACGCAATCCACTCGCAGCCGCGAACCTCAACCCTGAGCCACGACAGCGTCGACAGCCCCTCCTTTATTGGCTTCCGAAACCTTATGGTGATAGTACTCAGTACGTCGTCTCTATGCCACACCCCCCCCCCCCCCCTCTTTCCCAAAACCTCCTTGTGCAGCAGGCAGCCGCTAACACCGCATATCTACTACCACAGTCGTCGGGAACCTCCGGCTGGTGATCGAGAACTACATGAAGTACGGCGTGCTCGTCCAGATCTCGGGATCAGAGTTCCGGAGGGAGGACCTCAAGATGTTTGTGCTCCTGTATCTTCTGATCCCGGCACACCTGTTTGTGGGCTTCCTCATTGAGCTCGTGGCCTCGATCCATGCCCGGGGCGCACACGCACAGAACAAGAAGAACGACAACCAGGATCTGCGGCTGCGGGCAGCGTGGGGGATCATTGCGGGGGCGCATGTGGTGAATGCGACGCTGAGTCTGGGAGTAGCCAATTGGGTTGTGTATTACAAGATACACCATCCTCTGATTGGCACCTTTTGCGAATTCCATGCTGGTGAGTTTTTTGAGTGCTTTTTGCCCGAAGGTCTGGGTTGGGGTGTTTTGGAGTGGTGTGCTGGGTGTCCGAGTGCTTCAATCCCCGAGATTGAGCTCTCCGGAAGCTCCACCTCCGGAATTAGCCCCCGGCCCCACCCCGCTACCTACTCCATCAATTAGCATACTGACAACCACAGTGATCGTCTGGCTCAAGCAGCTCTCTTACGCACTGACCAACCGCGACCTCCGCACCGCATACCTCCTCTCCGCGCCGACGCCGGCCATCTACGCCTCGGCGCCCTACCCCTCCAACATCACCCTCACAAACCTAACCTACTTCTGGTTTGCGCCCACACTCGTCTACCAGCCTGTCTACCCGCGCTCGCCCTCCTTCCGCCCCAGCTTCTTCTTCAAGCGCCTCTTCGAAGTCCTCGCCCTCTCCATCACCATCTGGTTCCTCTCCGCGCAATATGCCGTCCCCGTACTTCAAAACTCCCTGCCAGCCATGGGCCAACTCCAAATCGTCCACGTGATCGAGCGCCTCATGAAACTCTCCACCATCAGCCTTGTCATCTGGCTCGCCGGCTTCTTCGCGCTCTTCCAGTCGGGCCTCAACGCGCTCGCCGAGCTCCTCTGCTTCGGCGACCGCGAGTTCTACACCGACTGGTGGAACAGCGGCAGCGTCGGCACATACTGGAAGACGTGGAACAAGCCCGTTAACCACTTTATGCGCCGCCACATCTATGCGCCGCTACTGGGGCGCGGGTGGAGCCCGCAGAACGCCAGCATCGTCGTGTTTACGTTCTCGGCCGTGCTGCATGAGCTGCTGGTCGGCGTGCCGACGCATAACATCATTGGCGTGGCATTTGCGGGCATGATGTTCCAGATCCCGCTCGTGGCGATTACGCAGCCGCTGGAGAAGATCAGGGGCAAGGGGAGCGTGGTGGGGAATGTCATCTTTTGGGTCAGCTTTTGTCTGGTGGGGCAGCCGTTTGCGGCATTGTTGTACTATTTTACGTGGCAGGCGAAGTTTGGGAAGAGTTGAAGGGGGGGGCATCTTGTTTTTTGTTTTGTTTTTGTGGGGGGTTTCTGTGTCTTTTTTGGTGGTAGAGAGTGAGTGATTGAGTGTAGTTAGTGGACTTGCCGATTGTTGGGCGCCTTTTTTTCTTTTTTATAGAAATATCCATTACATACATATATATCTACTTTCATCTCTAGCTCTACATATGTGCATTTCCTTCGTGATGCGGTCGTCGTGAATGAGCATAGCGGTAGTGGGAATAGCGACAAACTAAAACTAGTACAAACAAGAATTGAGGGTAGTTATAGCTGCGGTCACGAGCCGTCACTCGCCGCTTCCGCCCACATGTGATCCGGTGCCGCCCATCCTGACCCCGACTCCCTTCATCGCAACAACCACACAACCGCCTAGAGTACACCACACTCACAATCACAACCACCATCACCGCAGATGGACTTCTGGGGGGGGCGCAAGCTCCCGGCCTCATTAAAATTTTAGGCCACCCACTGGCATCAATTCTGGTTGCAAAATTGATGGTTGTTCCACGTCGATCCCCATACAACAATTGGCTCAAAACCGCTACTCTACTCAGTTGCGGGAGCCGTTTTGCTGGGTGGCAAACAGCACCTCTCAAAAACTTGATGGTTGGCTTAAAAACTTTTCGATTCAATACGTAACGGCTAGATCTTCACGGACCGTCCCGCGGCCGGACCTTCCCGCGGACTTTGCAGATCTCTGGATCTGCGGTGAGGGGGTAGGTATTGTACGGTGGGGAGTGATACTCCGTGGGTTTGGATCTGCGCACAGCGGGCCGGTGATGCACTGCTGGGAGAGGGAGGGAGGAAGGAAGGGAGGGAGGAAGGGCCGGGGGGGGGGGGTCTTAGCGTGCGTATGATCTCCTACCAAGCGAGCTCGAGAGAGGGGTTCTTCTATAGAAGACCAAATCATATCACGCAGATCAACCTACTCTAGTAGTGCCAGCCAGTACTGGGATCACCAACACCTCGCGCGCGGCCTACAGGACCTATCACCACGCAGCATCATGATGAGCTCAGATTATTCTTGCTAGAATCAGTAGCAACACACTAAAGCTGAGAATGGTGTGTACGGATATACCAGCGCATATCAACGAGTGCTTTAATCATGGCCCATCACTCGCGACTTTGCGGGCTGTGGGGGTTGGGCGTCGCTTTTCTTTGCGTGTTGGCTGGCAATTATAGCCTTGGAACCCACGCATTAGCATATAAACGAACCCTTACAAAAAAAATGGAAGCTGGAAGCCTAGACTCTCTGCTATGCAGAAAGTAGAGAACCAAACCTAGAGCTTTAGAACAAGTAAGAGACTACTTAACCAACGGCAACAGCAGCAACTCCCAGAGGAGCGGCTGGTGAAAGGTATAGCGTCATACGTTTTTTCACCCAATCTGCAGATTACTGGGAATAGCGGCTTCTGCGCTCTCCCTCGGCGATTGGAGGTTAAGTCCGCCATGTGTGCTGGGGTCACTGGCACCTTCACCCCGGGAGTCAATGAAAGTTTTGCTGAATGGGGTTTTCGACGCTATTAGATTCCCTCTCTCTAAGGAAGTCTTTATAGTTGCTCGAGTCTAGATTAACCAGCCATAGCCGGTCTATAGGAGGGAAGGTTCTATGCGTGTGTATCAGATTTGGCCAAAAAGAGCAGATAAGATGTAAAAGGAATGACTGAGATTTTGTATGTGCTAATAGATGAGGCGATTAGCAATAAAACTTTATAAATCAACCAACGCGACTGCTCTTGGGTGCTATCCCTCGACTATACCAAATTACCCAATCATCAAAAGCCCACTTGCGTGCATCAAAACTCCCATTTAATTATCATTCACGAAGCATGGGATACTCTAAAATTACAAAAGTTCTCTCCATCCCTCTCTCCTTCGTCATTCTTCTTTTCCCTCTCCTCCTGCATCAGTCGTATCCTCTCCCTCAACTGCTCCACAACCACACCCAGGAACGGAATATAAAGCGCTGAATAATGCCTCCCGCTCAGCGCTGTATACTCCTCATCACAGATCCAATCCATCTTTTGGCACAACGATATATGCTTCGTATCCCACGGCTCCGGCAATGGCCGTGGAAACTTACTGTCCGAGAAGCTCAGCACCGCCACGACTCTGTCTGCCAGCGGCGCAGGGAGATAGCTTATTGTTCTGCGTAGCACCTGTGCTCCTTGGCTGTTTTCAACGTCAGCATGCTATATCCCCCCAAGATAAGAGTTTTATAACAAACCTAAATCCCGCCAGTACAAGCCCTGAATTTGGACATTGGCACCGCGCCTTGTACGTCAGCGTCACCATGCTGTCCACGCCCTCCGTTGATCCACCCTTTAGATACCCAATCGCCTTTGCGGGATACGGGAGGACGCCCTGAGCAATCACAGTCTGATTGAGACCGTCTCTCATGGCTTCAAATAGCGGGTATCCTAGGGAGGTACCAATATTTCCCGGGTTACCGGTCCCGCGAGCAAAAATGAGGATTATCTCGGCGCAAAGGTTATTGATAAGGTCATCCGCGGTGTTGAGATCATGAACATGGGGTTTTGGGGTAATAGGCTCTGCAACAATGCCCGACGAAGGGTGAGGGTAAGGGCAGACTTCGAGCTTCGCAGTGGTGGGAGGCTGTTCGCTGCCTACGGGCGACCGGTGTTGTGCTGGAATTGCATGGACAACCGTTACGAGGGCTATGCGGAATATTGCGATGAAGAAACTCGGTGGTGCCATGGTAGTTCATGATGCATAAGTTCAAAGAGATGAGAATGGGTGATGAGGTTGAGACTCGTGGCTTTTGCGTACAGATGCAGTAGATGTAGTAGTTAACGTTGTGTTCTCCAAGCTGTACATGTTCGCCAATACAGCATAAAGCCTCTCGGCCACTTTGTATATGTGGCAAGATGAAGTATCAAGATTTTAGGGGAAATGCCCCATGTCTAGCATTACCAGCTAACTATAGATAACATTAAGACTTTGGGGGATACGGCATCTTTTCCGGGGGCGCATTCTATAGTTCGAATCCAGTGACCTGCAAAACCTTAGTTTTCGGAGATTCTGCTGTGTCCCGCTCAAAACTAAATCAAATTTGATATCTCTTCAGCGGATCTCATAATCTTAACTGAAATTTTCTGCTTCACCACTAGGCGTTGGGGCCCTTACTGGAAGGTACTCTTAACACACAGACCCACCGAGACCACCGGATTAGTTTAAAACAGAACACAGATTAGAACGCTTTCCAAACATTTCATATGCTCTAAAGAGGGTTCGAGGTGTGAAAATCTATGTTATAAGCTCTCACTGAGATTACACGAGCTTTTGGGACGCAGCCAAAAAGAACTGGCGAGGCAAAATTGCGAGCTTAAAAGGTCGGGAATTTTACAGGTGTCTGAAATTTGTCTTATAATAACTTAAACGTTGATGGCATGTACCACGTATTGGCACATTTGAAAGGTGAGTCGATCATATTTGGTGGTTGCACTATCTTCTAGATCTAGATCTGAGAAGCAGCATAAAATAGAATTCCAGAATATCGAGTGATAATGTATGATTAAGACATACACGACACAAATTCTAAAAACTTTCCTAAGACCAAAGTTGCATTTACATTAATGTTTAGACAAATAACTCCATGTGTATACATCTTTACGAATGATCGAGTCTAAATCTCGGCGAATCATCAAATTCCCGCAACAAGCTAGGCGCTATGGGCATCTACATGTAGTATTAACCCACCGAATCGACGGTGCACTCCAGGCACTTAGTAAAATCATAACCTCATCGTTGGTACAGATCTAAAATGCTGCTAATCGGATCACCAGTACAGCTGTCACCCACTGGTAGAGGGGAGCTAGGGTAGATCCCGATGCTAACGACATTCTAGCAGGCTCATTACTGGTCGATCTACCCAGGATCCGACTGGTTTATGAGCTAAATCTAGCTTTGGCGGACGTGTTATGTACTTACCCGGCTTATTTATCACCAATCCGACATCACAACGTCAACAGCTTAGCCAATGACAAACCCAGGATATTCAGAAACAAATCGCCGCATCAAAACATCCGATACTCAGGCACCAATGCATCAATACAATTTTGCCACGACTGGAAATTTTGAATCGGTTACTTAAGTTCGGAACAGATTACCAATGCACGGATCCCGCTGCGAACCCTACGGCGAGCGACGTCCCAGGATTAAGGGACTGGAATGGAATCCATATTTGCCTGATTTAGGCGTGGAGTATCGATTTTCTCCGCTAATTTTTACACGAGCGGTATCTATAGCTTCCGAATACGCAGTAGACTCTGTCGTTTTGTGACAAGCCGGATAAGCATGAGTGATTGGTCATATGCTTGAAGGCGCATGCTAATCTTATCATCGTATCAGGGCCTCTTTAGATCGACAGCAGTGAGAATTAAGGTATAGCTATTACCCAGGGTGATACTTCTCGGATCCTCACGGATCCTCAAAATCAGTCATCAAATAATGGCCGGGTGATTCGTGGATGTATGTAAGAGCATAATATATCACAATACAGCGGTATGTAAGATTTTGCCACGAATGTATGTACATATGCTACCGATTGGGGTGAAAATTTGATAGGAAAAGTGTAGCTGTTTAGATCTGTGCACCTGCTTCTGGTGACAGGTCCGGACAGAAAATGCACTTGCACGTGTTTGCATGAGTCTTCCCCAGATATCAACTCATGGGCGGTAACACTCTGTGGATTCTATGTTTCCGTTTTTGTTACATGGGCCTCGATCTCTCAACGCTCAATTAAACTTATTTTTCAGTGCGGGTTTAGTCTAAAATTATCAGTAATTCCCTCATGGCTCTCCAGCCTTATTGTGATCGATGCTCTATTCATTAGAATAGCCAAAAGGACGCCTTACCGAACAGATTTTTGCTAAAACAAAAAATAAAGAACACAAAAGTACAAAAACAATTCGATCTATAAACACCCGGAGTATTAAATTGCCCCAAAGAAGGATATTATTGACCGGCCTGATACGTTTTTTCAACATCTCTTGACACTCTTAGGCCGCTATTGATAGAGAAAGAGCAGAGATTCAACGTCTCCAATATCGGCCCTGAGAAGACGTGTAATTCTTCATTTCGTGTTGGAATAGCTTGGATTGAACGGAAACGGAGACATGATGTGCCCTGGGTCCATAAGGATACCATCTCTAAAGAGCAATAACCAGATACAATTGATACTAAATTGACGTGTTTATCACGGATACAAGTTGTTATCGGTGCGTTAACTGATAACAAATGAAAATCAGCAATGCCTATCAGTACCAGGAAAGAAATTATAACACTGCATTTCGAAAGTCCGAGAACACGGCAGAGGCCGTTCTCCGTCCGGATATAGAAACATTTACATTTGCGTTCCAAATGGGACTAAACTACCGGTTAATACGCCACGCAACGCCGATCAAACTCCCAATAGGATGGGAGGGCCTCCCTTAAAAGCCGCTCAGTTCAGAAGGAAATATTTAATAGCAAAGAAAATTATTTCAGCACAACGCGACGGATTCAAAACAAGCGGGAAGAAACTTTCATAGAAGTATAATCCCGCCAAGACTTCTTAATCATGAGGTATCACTCACTTCAGAGGCCCTTTCTGGATAATCAAACGCATATCTTGCCAGCTTGCGGCGGTCTGCTTGGCCTGAGAGTATGTTTCTACACTGATGCCCCACTATATCAAGACAAAAACAAAAACAAAACCTACAGCTATAAGCTATCAAGGAGAAACTAAATATGGCTGATAAGTCGAGACGCGCTGAAAACCCCTTCAAATTACATCTCATAATATCAGGCTCGCCGAGTGATAATCGGTGACTGCGTGTTTACCTTGAGCTTACGCGAGTAGGTGTTCTTCTCTTTTCAGGTAAATGATAAACTTATGGCATCTGGTGGATACAATATACAATTTAACCAATAGATACCATGTCTAAGACCCTAAAAACCTGATAAGCGGGTAAGTGTCTTGGCCCTGCCTACGGTTAAGGTATACGTATGTAGCAACCTAAATCCTGCTTCTAGAATGTGCAGCGAGTCAGTAGCTAGAACAAGCATTCTAAGACAGAAGTATTGTCGTAATACTCCGAAAGATCGATCGGACTAACGAAGCGAGGTAATTCTTTCTGTAGAGCTGGAGTGGCAATTGCAATGCGATGGGCTTGGCAAACTCGGGCAGCACTAGCAAGGAGCTTGAAGATGGGTCCGGTAGGATTTACCCCTTATACCCCTGGCCTGGTCATGGTCGTCTTGTATTTAAAGGTGCCGTTCACCTTTAGTATCCTCTACTCTCGCTCAATACAGAAAGCCCTTAATTATAACTCAACTACAGAGATTTAGAAAAACAGACCTAAAAATGTCAACAGACGTTATTGTTCCTTGCCCATCACACAAGGCCTCTCCATTAGAGGGTCTACCAGTTGAACTTCTGTTCGAAGTCATACCATATCTACAGCCGAGCTCCCTATATGCTCTTATCAGCACGTGCAGAACTCTTTGCAATACACTCCAGCAATCCCTGTATCACACGATTGATACTACCAATACTACTGGCCGCAAGGTTACTTGGTCTGGTGATAATGGATCATATCGCACTCGACATATCGACAATATTTTCCATAGCGCCTGCCTTCGAAATGAGTTTTCGAAGTTCAGATGGGTCAGGGTGCTCGGGATCACCGATGAACTCTTATTTAGAAGCTGCATTGATGATCTCAACAACCAGCAGCTTGTTGCATTCCGGAGGGCTTTACCGTATATGTCAGGTGTTCGGACCCTGAAAATATCAATTAGTATTCAACCCATTCTGCTTTGAATATAACTGTAATATTGTGAACATATGCTTATTAGTCCCACAGGAAACTGGCTTGAAGAATTCAGAATCAATAGCTCTGCACCGGTGGAAGATGTGCGTTTTGTTATTTCAAAATTGCCATCACTTCGTTCCGTGGAGATATCCTCAAAAAGCTTGGAGTTTCTCACGGCAATGTGTAATTCAGAGGAGATGAGGCAGGGAACCATTTCATCGATCTCTGTTGAAACGGCCTGGAGCAGGAGTAATCCTGATTCAATTGAGGCATTCTATGATGTACTTGAGAGAAATGGAAGAAATCTTCGCACCCTCAAAATTTCCGATGAGTACACCGACATTCTTGACGAATACCCGCCCAACCGCCTTGATGATCACAGACTCTCTTTGGAGGGTCTAAGATCTATCGAACTTGTTGGGGGCCTCTTCTTCGTGCCTTCGAATATCATCAACTACACTCACATCGATTCCTCTCCACCACCCCAAGAATTCGAGGACCTTGCCAGTAGAACAGCCCTTCAAAGGCTCAAAATACAAAGTGCATTTCAGTATCCTCAGGAAGAATTTACCAAGAACTACATTCCAGCCAATATCAAATTTCACAATCTCACAGTCCTCGAGTTGTGCGATTCTCGAAACACTGAGTGGCAAGGCTTCGATGTTGAGGGAGTCCAATTGCTTCCCCGTGGTTATCTTCACTCAGTAGTTGTTGCGAATCCTCGTCTACGCGAAATTAGTTGCCCTTGCATTTCGGACGAAACCTTACGCGTCCTGGCTGAGCCAACCCGGGCCTCCAATCTGGAGGCATTGACGATATACTTTCCGTACTCGGGTGATATCGAAGTCCCTTATACCGCCGCAGGAATTGCCACTCTATCGGCATGCTCACGGCTAAAAACACTCCGCTTCCACATCGGTGCTATGAAGCCTCACCCCAAGGCAGTAGAATCGCTGTTGAGAGGTAGTGAAAGACTGGAAGAAATAACCGTTTTCCATTCGTTACGGGCTGGCAACGGCTACATAGATGCGGAGCAGAAACCGATAGAAGCGATCAGGAGGGACATTTTAAGTGCTCTTTTTGGACCTACGTTTTGTGATAGAGAATGGGGGCAAGAAGACTGGTTTGTTCATACAAAATACTTTATCGATGACCTTGACGAGAAGGGCACTGACGGATTTTGCATTAATGTCGGAATGCTAAAGGCAGAAATGGGATTCAGATAAGGATGACTGGTTGTATAATGGTAACGGTTAACGTGTAATATATCATGTATTTTATGGTTTTCTTTTTGGGATTGGTCATTGTTTGCCCTAATTCTTGGGTTTATTTTTGTTTATACGCACATAGAGTAATTGAGATTGAGGACTGATGTAGTAGTTTGGAAATAGCCATATACTACATGTATGAAATCTGTGCGCGACTGACCATCACGATGCATGAAACGTGGGCCGTTTTTATGCGAAGTAATTCTAGAGCACTTATTTTCACGCTCCGGGTCAAACCTGGATCAATTTAGTAGATTTGTATACTATACGTACTTTTCATGCCGAAAACTCAAGAATGGTCGACTTTTTCGAGTTCCCATGTTTTCGATGTACCCTAACCTTCCCCCATCTATGTACCTCCCACTCTTCTTCTTAGTGCTCGGAGATCTCGTTATTCGCGCCATCACTTTACCATCGATAGCTATGCCAGGGTCAGAACGCCACGAGAGCCATCCGACCCCAAGAAATCGAGAAGCTGGATGTAACGATGTTAAGAGACATGACTACTGTATTCTCATATAAGCGTCTAGTAAATAGTTTATAGTTATCTGACAGGTTCGAAGGGTCAATCTCGTCTTGTATTCGTTTGACTTGAAGACTGCTCAGAAATATGGGAAGATGGAGGAGGCGCATCACGCTCAGTCACTCGCAAAATACAGCCCCCCCCCCCCCCCGACGCTCTAGTCATCATCCATAATACTTTTTGAGTAAGTTCATACCATCCACTGCCATAGCCTAGTTGTTATTATATCACCCAAAAGGGCCAAGGTCGGTCGTTTGATCCACCTCCCAGACTTGATAGAAACAGTGACTGGGTTGCAGCAGAGCGGGATGCCTCTCCTTTTATTGTTCTGAGACCTAGAGGGTTAGTCGCAGCTAGGTGAAATTTATTACTTATTTTGCTGTCCCGTTATACACTCTATCCGCCTGGTTCCAAGAAAATCAACCGGTCATAATATTTCCTGACCACAAGGAGGAAGATTATACTATTTAGATTAATATTAGAATGTCCAAATCACGATGATCCTGTTCATACCGAAATAATAGACTGACGAATAAAGACAGGAAACGAAGGGAACCAAACGAAAGTAGCCTATATATCCGACCTATCTAACCTTTCTAACCTCTCCAGCTAAAGCCAGTACCAGATCCCACGCGCAAAAGAAAAAAGGAAAAGAAGAAGAAAAAAGAATTGTAACCTAGCCTCTCATCAGCCCGATAGCTGCTGCCACCGGGCCCTCGAGATGGAATAATATAGGTGTGGGTGGGGGAGGGGGGGAGAAAAAAACCGGAAATTGCTGGAGAGTTGAGGTACTCCCAAGCGGGGCGAACCCTCGACTCTATATATCTTCATTGTGGTTGAAAAATGCCGTACGTAGTACTAAAAATCTAACTGTATGAAACCAAGCCAGGAACCCTGAATAACGGCCTTCTCGCCATATATTGCAAGAGACCGAGAACTATCAAGATAACAACCCCAAGAACGCATTTATCTCCGCCATGCGCAAATAAGTTGGGTTACAAAAAAATTGTTTAGAAAAAAAAGAAGGGGAGGAAAAAAGAAAAGAATTCGATCCTAACATTCTCCAAATAATACTGGATCCTGACTCGATGTGAGCAAACAACAAGAGACAAAGGCCATTTATACCTGAGCTTACAGGACCATTCATTCATGCGAGTTCTTCCTATAGGCTGCCTTTAGCAGTAGTATCATCAAGTCCTTCAGTCTCTGTTAAACCAATAGCTAGAATCCCGATACCTTACTCCAATCCTGTTCCCATGCTTCTGCACTCCCTCCAGCCTTGCACTCGGTCAGCCGCGTAACGGACTCTAGGCTGCTGTATATGATTTCGAGCACCCATATAGTTATACCTAAATACTCTAGGGGTCGCTTTCTCCTCAACACCAGGTTCAGCAGAAGAATGGTTGACGTTCATATCGTTTTGAAGGCCCTTAGTGGCGCGGCGCGATAGGAAGGATTGGTTCGTTGCAGGTTGAATGGGGGTCTGTGGAGAATAGCCCAAATCTAGTGTCTCGGTATTTAAATCCCTACCTTGGTGGTCATGATGATGCTTTTTGGCCTTCGTGGTAGAGGTAGTTGGAAACAATGGCTGCTTTGTCTTATAACTCGACATTGGCTGGGGGTGCCTAAAAGCAGGAATCCCACCGTCATCCTTGGTCACAATCGATTGAAAAGCCCGCTTCCTATTTCTAGCAGGCTTGTTCGCCTTTGAACTTCTATCTGGGCCGATACCCGTTTGCTTCTGTGAGGAGAATACCGAGGTGGTTTGAACTGTCTCTTGAATAGAGGGGCAAGAGCCAAACCCGTTCTTGTCGTATAGTTCCGCCAAACCCTGCTGTCCCTCGCCCGCAGTTACTCTTTGACTATTTCTCTGTAAGCTTTGAGACGCATAACTTGGATTGTTTGGGTGTTAGGGCGACATACATGACTGCATGGGACAGGTCACTGGTGTTCTGCTCAGCTATTTTGGCCCCATATTTCCCCATACCAGTAGGGTCCCTATAGGTGATAGTCAATGGACTCGAATCTGCCTGTTCTTCGGTAAACTGACCAGTCGACTTGAATAATCCGTCCATCATAGAATTAAAATCATCGTAAAGATACTCCTGGTCTTCCTCTTTGATGGGGTTCCTTTGATCCGAGTCTTTAGTACCAATTTCCTCTTCACTTTGGCTGTCGTCGGATTTATAATACCAGAACTTTGTGTTGTCTCCAAGTTTAGCTTTCCTAATTTGGTGATTGTCGGCTGCTGCTTTCTTGGGGGTTCTGGCAACAGGCTTCTTGGGAATTTGAGTGGCTATGGCTACTGTATTGGTTGCTGTGGATGCCTTGCGAGGACGAGGACAGTTTCGGTTTGATGCCGAGTGGTCTAGGGAACCACATTTAAGGCAACCGACAGATACATATGGCTCCGGTGAAGGTGCGGTGAAAAAAGAAGCTCTGGTGGGCACACTGGTGGGACCTTGAGAGCCTTCATTTTTCACAAAATCGGTGAAAGTAGCTGTGGTTTTCAAGCTATTGGTAGTCTGACTGGTCCGGTTCTCCTCGATTCGACTCCCCTCTTCAGTGTCATCAGAGGTCTTAGAAGATACCCTATAGATTAAAGGTAAGTACTGTTCACCAAGACATGTAAGAGAGAAATTTACTTACAGACTGATCGGATTTTGTGCGTCTGGCACAGTACAGTTTCTATATGGTTTCTCAATATTCAGCGGTTAGACTTTCCCGCATTTCGTGACAGACAATTACCTAAATCTCGGCATAATGGAGCATGTGGTGTCTGAAATATCCTGCTTGGATGTAGTTGATATCGAATTTGATAATTCGTGTGAAGGATAGGTGCACGCAGGTTGATGTATATAGGTTGGAAGAGTAGGTGTGAAGGAGGCGCACGTTGTAATGGATGGCCAAGTAGCGTGGAGGTCAGCCACCCATACTACGACGACGACATACTGAGGAAACCCCAAACACGTCATAATATCCTAAAATAATTTCCAAGTTAAGTCTAGTCTTGTGCCCATAACATTACGAACTCGATATTCTATGGAAGAAGTAAAGGTACAGGTAATTAACTATATATATATGCGAAACCCAGTCAATATAACATATTTTCATGCTCAATACCTTGTTTCCTCGTTTTCATAAAATATCACTCGGACATATATTCACTTGTAATTATATGACATGTCGTTACATTTAGCTTGGAATGATTGACCTAATATCTATACGCAATTATAGTAAATGAGGAGGACAAAATTCAAGAGAGGAAGCAGGTTAACGTATTTGACTGAACGAATCTGAGCAATGGCTTCGGGATTAGAGCTGAGGCACTATTGATTTGTATTCTTTACCGATTCAAATTCTTATGGTAATAGAACAGCCCACCGCCATATGGATCCTCGGCGAACCTCCGCTCAGATTTGGTTAGCAGGAATTGTTCAAACACGCATGAGGACATGTACCAAGTAACGCCCCCTGAGTAGCAGGCTAGTATAGATTAAACATTTCCACTTCTCACGCTTTTGTGAGAAGGAGCTGGTCTTTGAGACGTGACCTAAGAGAAAATTACATCTAAATTTGGGGGGCTTTCAGTGATGTAAAGATACAACCGTACACTTCCTTGATATGTGTGAAACATTCGCACCTTTAGCTGTGATTATGCACTTTACTGGTAATCAACTGTTCTAAGAATTTACATGTATGGTCTCTAGTTGTCTAGCTCAACGCTCTCAATAATTATCTAATATGTTACTCAAAGTAATCAGCAGGAATAATAGATGCAAATTTCTTGTTTATAATATGCTAGTGTAGGTGCTGGAAGACCCAATTTTTTGCAGGGTTCAGTCAACCTCCCCTTCTATTGATAGCAGACCAGAATGCCCCGGCCTTCTTCCCATCCTCGCAACCCCATCCCTTCTACCCAAACTATCGAACTCTTCAAGGGTATTGGAATATCCCCTATTCCTTTTAGAGATAACCCACGACCTCTCATCCCATCTTTCGGACGTCACGTCCTATCATCTTCCTCGAAAAAATTTCCACATCTCTACTGGTGTCCTTGAGCTAGCTTCACTGGCTGCATGGCAAGCCAATGGGGTAAGAGGAATGTTCGGCGTAGAAATTTCTTAAAAGGCATGTGTTTATTACCTTTTATCTCATTAATCGTCAATGGAGTCTGATCGAGATTTAAGGCGGTGAACTTACGCAAGATACATCATCAATGATTACGCCCAGTGCTCCTATGGAGCAGAATCCTACTATGCTTTTTCTTCCCGAAAATTACAGCGAGAAACAACTAGGAAGTCTGTTAAGTCAGGCAGTCAAGTCACCAAAAATAATGAACTCAAATGCTATGGTTACAGTCATAGATGCACCTCCCCTGGGGCCAGTGAGTAGCGCAACTGAAGATGAAGATAGTTTTTTCAGGGAATTCTTGGTTGATGACCCTGATGATCCTGATGGCACTATTGATAATATTTGGGAATCACCAGTAGTAGATAAACCATCAGAAGTGACACCAGCCGAAACCATGTCAATTGATATGTCATCAACCGGAATTGCGCCAGCAAAAATTATGCCAATTGAGATCTCAGCGGCCGAAGTCACACCAGTCGGGATCATATCAAATGAGGTCTCATCAGAAAACATTACGCCAGTATCGGATATTCCGATTGACAATTTTAGTGATGTTATAGAGACCACGTTTGGAGTAGACAGCCCTCAAGACGTCGGAGAGTTCGAAAAGTCGCAGGAAAACCAGTTTCTTGCTGTTATGACCGCCATCAAGCCGTTAGAGCAGGTGCTCGGAGAAGACTCGTGTGAATTGTGCACGGTATGCTTTCACCTGGGGCATTATCAATCCAACTTTTCTTTCTGTCCCGTTGCCCGTCTTAGATCATTTTTCTCGGGCAACTCTTGCTATGACAGCTTTTCTGGCCTAACACCAGCCATTGAATTGATAAAGCAAGATCTGGGCTATATTTGTCAATCTCTTTCATGGGCAGTTAGGTATAAGGACACAGGATATCTTGAGCAAGTTGGGATATTTTATACCGCGCTCACCGATATTCAAGCTTTGCTTCATGCTTGGAGGTCAATACTCAGCAAAGAAACATTCGAATTTGGAAAGTTCGGCACACTGAATGTAGAGATTTTGGTAAATTCAACCCAAATTTCTGAGACATTTCTAAGACGACCTAACCTTTAGTGAAGAGTGTGGAGCCAGTCAATATTCCGATAATTGAGACACAAGGCACGGTTTACCAGCAAAGATTCTGTCAACCTGATGAGATCAGCGGCGGGATTCAGGACTATATCCCACCAGAGATTGGCATTTCTCGGAAGGACGCTCTTCTTAAACTTTCAGCTAAGGAAGTAGAGATAGAGCCTTTCGGACCAGCTCCAGCAGACAGTTTGAGGCTTGAAGTATTGGGTGCTCGCCCTAACACAATTTGTGCCACCTGTTTGCATCGTGGACACACACAAAACTCAACAAAACTCTGTCCATTCAAGATGATATCGATGGCTATAAGCAAGATGAAAACTCGAGGTCGTAAAAAAAGGATTGATGATGTTACCACACAAGTTGAGCGATTGCAAAAGCTGGTGGATGATGTTGGTCCTGGTGTAAAGGGTATAAGAAACATCATGAATCTTTTAGATGAATGGCATGAAACTATCGAGAAGAACGTAGCGTGTAAGTAGTCACTTTCAAATACTATTTTTATAGTTATTAATAATTTTTTAGGTGGGAAATCAAAGGCTCCAGCAACATCTCCATCTGTTCCAATAGGATTCGTCGACCACAAAATGGCAGATACCTTCGCAGCTATCCTCCAGGAAGGGAATTCCAGTAAACCACACGGGGTAACGGACCTCCCTAGGAACCTTTCTCCTGAAGTAGTCGATGGGTCAACTTACACACACCGCGCCCCAGAGCCCGACCAAAGCTCATATGCCTCACTCGAAAATAATAGTGAGCCGTCATCTTTTACTTTTCAAAACTCTAACAATGACATTATCTATCCAGAAGATATGAATCAGTTGTACAGCACCTTCGACGATCTGGAGGGAATATCAGACTTTTGTGACCAAGACTTTGGTGCATCTACCCATGGCCCTTCGGCATCATTATTAGCTGAGACGGATAATCAGCTCAGATTTCAGGAAGAAACTCAAAAGATTATTTCCTCCCAACAAGTCTATAGAAGAACATCGTCGTCAAACACATCAACGAGTCAAATGTTAGTCGGTTCAACCCCCGCTCCTGTGGAAGAATGGGAGGAAAGTTCTCAAGACGATGAACTTCCTCTTGATATTTTGTGGCGTCAAAAGTGCTCACTGAGAACTATCGGCGTCCGAGGAGATAATCTTTGTAAAAGCTGCTTGCATTATGGTCATGATCGCAGCAGCTATGCTTGTCCTGCACAACTAGTCCTCCGATCTATTCTTGCGGGGGGTGATGTCTCAAGTACAGCGTCGAGTGTCGAAGACCTAAGATCTGCAATCAAATGGCAAAAAAGTATTCCAAAAGGTATTCGGGGTGATTATGAGAGTATCCAAAACTTGGTTCATAGGTGGGAGGTAGCCTTAAAGCAATCAGAAAGCGAAATGTTTGAAACAGCGGTAGACAACCCGGTACGCAAACGCCGCCGCAGATCAGCTATTCTTGAGAATCAGCCTGCGAAATCCCAATTTCGCGAAGAGCAAGTTCCAAACAGCCCTTCACTTGTGCGAATGGGGTATAAGGGCCAACAGATTGCCTCACCCATACCTATGCAGTTAAGTTATAAGGGTCAACTGCATGTCACCTCAGCTAAACCTGTGCATACGGATTATGCAACTCAATATGTTACCCAAAGTGTGCCTAAGCAGGTTAGTTATGACACTCAATATGATTTTTCGAATTCCCACCCTTAGCCCCCCAGCCGGTACCTTCAAGGGAGCCATCCGAGTCCCCAGGGTTTTCCTGTTCAAAACAAATTTTATTAAAAAATAAAAAGCTGGCCCAACTAACAAATCAGCAACAGCGGGATTTTCCACAGGAAGTCTTGTCTACCAAAAACTGTACCACCGTATCGGAAGGCGTTTTCTTTGACTACCATCGGATCCCCGGCCATTTGCTTTCTATCGTGATGGATTATGTTATTGAAGAGAGTGGAGAAGGGAATGAAGATCGTCTTCTTGTCGACCATCGCAAGATGCCTAAGGCCCTCTTTCTCAATCTCCGTAGTTACCTCAGTAAAGATCCCGAGCCGGCCGCTACTGATCAGCAATCAAAAAAGTGTGACAAACGCAAGAGAACTTGATATACATCAAGCTAGTCAGTCAGCACACAGAAAAACATCAAGGCGAAGAAATGATGCAAAATCATTATTTTAGTGAAAATACGAAATTAATCCCCAAACTATTATTATATTAATGAAGGTACTACAACTATTTCCCAAAACGCACAATCAGACACTAATCACAGTATTTAGAACAAAAAAACATTATGTGTTTTAAAGTATATATTAGGAAAGGTAGATACTTACTTTTTAGTTGGATGGAAAGATCTCTTGTGGTTTTTGTTGCTTTCTGGGTTCGTCGGTTTCGTTCACTGCTATAAACCTTCACCTAGTTATAATTAGTCAATGAAGCAGTAGTCATCGTCGGGGGTCGGATGTCGGAGGCCATTAAATTGGGTAGGCCCTCAGACGTCAGGAAACCCTGATTTATCAACTTGACTTGCTTAACTTCATGAGTTTCGTGCCTAGCAATCCGAAGCGTGTTGAGGTATTGTTGTGTGCAACTTTAAGCTGAAATGACACATGCAGAAGAGCATTGAGAAATTGATTGATAGACTACTACTAATCTTCGGACACAAGTATAGGTGAGAAATGAAGCTTAGAGAAGTGGGGTGGAGCTAATGTGGAAGATGAGAGAAAGCGAGTGCGGCACAGTCAGTTTAGCGCAAACCATAAATTGGAAAGTGCTTCGCACACAAATTGACCTGTTTAAACACGTCCCTCGATCTAGAGAACACATACCATTAAGCCTTTTGTCAGCTCATTAGCTTGTTTGGTTATATCAAATCTTAACTAGTCGGATGAAAAAGCTGAAAAAGATACGATCGACTAAATTTCCGAAGAGGTCAACACTTGATGCCGTGCTATAACATGAGATGTTCTACGGACAGGCGATGTTGATGACTGAAATAATCTCTGGAATTTTCCGGAGAATACTATGAAGGTGCCGACAAAAAACGGAACGGCAATAGATACCAGGAAGATATCGGCAAGGCGCATGTATCACAAGACATAAGGCTGCTAGATCAGGCATCCATTTTCTCTTCGTGTTGGTCAAATCCCGCTTCACCGCTACTGAAATTCGTTCTAAAAACCAAAGCGCCCATAGCGCTCACAAATCTCGAAATTGCTTGAGCATGGTCCTCTCGAGTGATACTCTGTGACTATATTCTCTTCCAGGACACTGTTGATTGTGATCAATCATTATGATGGTTCCGAACTATCTGTACTTTTGCATTAGAGATTCAAAGTTTGGTTTTTAAATTATAACTATAAAGAGAGAGCTTTCTCTTTCTCCTTTGTTTCTACTCATCAATTCATATGTATTTACAAAGCGTTTTCCACCTCATCGGGCTTTTCAAAGATCATCTTTAAGAACACGACATACCAAGTCCTTCCGGTTAGATGCATTATCAAAAGCTATCAATGCCATTGACGTGTCTAAGATTACTATACAACCAAGTACTTGCTAGGTATGCAGACTTCCTCCCAGTACATTCTACATGCGATGCGTATTCGCATACTAACAAAGAACCAAACCTACTAAGCTATATGTGACAGACCGCCGAAGTATCCGATCGCGAGGGTCAAGAAAATACGCAAACATGACCGGCCCCATTGATATTTGCTACAGCTGCCACCCCAGCATGGGTCATAAATAATCACTCGATTCAATGCCCCCGCACGTCTACGCCTACGCAGACCCCACAATCTGGTGGAACACCTTGTTTCAGTCTACACGTGAATGTTTGGCTGTGTGATGCTAGATATTCTCAGCCAGTCAAGACCCAACTACCGGTACTTCTGTGTTTACAGTCAGCGGGGATCATCATGCGAGGGGGGATATACATGGCGCTACCTTGATAAACTGGCCGTTTTAATCAGTAAGGGGAGATCCAGTCAACGAATCAGGAAACCGCAATTACGGTAACCCCAGATTTATATCACATCAGCTCACACAAAAGGCGCGAATCTTTGTCGAAGGGTCCTTCGGTCATTGATTGCAACGTTTCCCCAATTTCCCTTTTGTTGCGCAAACGGCCTTCGATAGAGGCCAACCAGTGGATTGCAGTATTTCGGGTCAATACCACGCAAACGAGGCAGATCGACATACGCACGTTGAGCTTTGAGCTGATGACCTTATGAAGCTCCGTGCATTTCCTGCGGTGACGTTGGGAGCGACAGAAATAAGATCCTGCAATTTGTACGAGCAATATCCGTCCAGATCCCGCCCCGTTAACTGGGCCGACACATTTATCGCAGTTGAGGTTACCGACCTGATGCTGTGCAGTCAAGAAGCCTGGTTGGCGGTACCAGACAGTAACAGCCGGCCAACTACTCCCTGTCTGTACAGTCGTAATAATTGAACCTTCATCCTAACCTTGAGCGGCTAAACACCGTTTTTTCTACTATTAGCGCCTTCCACAAGTTGTTCGAGAAGAGAAGAGCATCGCTGCTCTGCTTTTTTTTTTTGCCTTCTTCCCAGTTAGGGCCAGTTAGGGCTCACTTTGTTACACGCCACCATTGACCCCTGGCCCGTTAGCGGAGTAACCAGGTTCTGGGCAGGCTGTAACTTTCCGCCGTCATTGGTCCTCGAAGCAGATTTCCAGTGCCGGCGGAACCGAACCCAACACACGAAACAACCGGCATTTCCCTGCAGTAGTGCACGGGATAGGTTAACTTTTGTTTTTGACTACCATCTACCTTAACCTTAAGGGAACGGCTGAGAGGAGGATTGGGCTGAGTGAGAGAGTACGAGATCTTCAGGAACGACTGACTGCTAACCACAAACTTAGAACATTAGACCTGATGCAAGATCTTGAACCGACCGGGCAGGACAGAAAGTTACCACTTGCCCCGGGGGGGCTTCAGTTGCCACAAAAGAACGAAAGGGGGGATAGGCAACTCGAGCATGTACTGTACATACGGTAGAATAAACAGTGATCCCCGAGCAAAGGAGAATTTTTCGAAACGTTTCAACGTCATTACTCGCTTGGCATCCTGAACCTGAGCACCCCTGACCCGGAAAGGGCGTAGCCCCATCTTGCGAGATCTGCAGGGCCTGGGGTGGGTGGGAATATGTTTGTTAGTACCGAGAGGCTAGTACCTACATCCCCTCTCCTGCCCCATCCCTTCCCTTCCTTTCCTCACCTACTACATATTCCCGAGTCTCGACGACCGAAAACCCAATCTTTGACAGATTTTTTTTTCCTCTCCTTCAGAATTCTTCACATACACAGGCTGTCGCCTTTTTTTTCCCCCCCCAGCCTCTTCCCTTTTTTTGTTTTTTACTACTGTCCTTTCGATTGACAATTCCCTGGGGAATCATTACAATCATTTCCACTATCAAACCCCATTTTTTTTGAAAAACCCTCTTTCAAAAAACTAAAAAAACTCTCTCATACCCAGGCGGTATATCCAATTAAACAAATCTTAAACAAAACAAAAAAATTCCTCTAAACAAACAATTTCATAAACCGCAAAGATGCACGCCCCCCTCATCAGCACCCTCCTCCTCGCTCTCGCCGCCTCCGTGTCGGCCACCCTCTCTCTCGGCGACCTGGAGTCTATCCCGTCCGACACCGTGACCCCCGGCTGCCTTTCCGCCTACAACACAGAGATCCCCGCCTGCCCAGCCGCCGCCGACTTCAGGGCCAAGAAGGCCTGCTCCACTGAGTGCCAGGACGCCTTGAACACATTCTCACAAGACACAATTCTCGTGTGCCGCCAGGCCTTCGTCTCACCCGACAGCCTTCTCCGCCGCCTCCTCGACGGCGGCCTCGTCAAGACACTCTGCCCTACCACTTCATCCTCCTCTTCCACTGCCGCACCGACGACAACTTCAGCCCCAGCGCCATCAAAGTCCTCTTCAGCCTCCCACTCGGCCCCAGCTTCAACCTCCTCTTCCGCCGAAGTCGAAACCCAACCAAGCTCAACCCAGTCACCCGCAAAGACCAAGACCGAAAGCGCCGTCTCGACCGTCACGCCCACGACCGTCGCCTTCTCTGGCTTCATGACCATCACGGCCTCCTCCGCCGCCTCGACCGCCAGCATCCCGGCCGAGCTCACGCTCGACGACAGCGCGGAGCCAACTGTTTCTAGTGCCTATGGCGGATATGCTGCCTACGCGGTTGTGTCAGGGAGTGGGGTTGTATCCGCGGAGGCCGTGCAGTCGTCTGCTGCCGCCGCGGGGAATGGGTCGCCGTTTGAGTCGAGCTCTGATTCGACGGTGCAGACGGGAGCCGCGGCTGGGGGTGTAAAGGCCGGATGGGGCGCTGTTGTGGTTGCTGTTGTGGCTTTGGGTGCGGGGTTGTTGTAAGAGATGGAGTAAGATAGCTATAGGGTGGTTGTATATTTCGCTGTGGTGGATTTCTGTGTTGCGAATTCTTCTTATTCTACTACTAAATTACTTCTTTTTTTTTTTTTTTATTCTTCTTCTTTTTGGTTTTGTTTCATTAATTTTTTTTCCCTCTTTCTTTTACTTGTCGGCTTGGTTGTATCCCGCCAGTGGTGGGAGTGTAAATTCCCTGGCGTGTTGAGCACGAGTAACGGCCATCATCCTCATTCCTCTCTATCGATCCATCTATCTCATACTTCCTCTCTTCCTCTTGCCTCCTCCTGCCTGCTCGCCCTACATACACCACAGTACTATACCTCCCCATCCATGTCTACGTTTACTGTATATAACCATAACAAACTAAACTAAACCAAACGGAAGGCCATTCTCCTCTCACCGCGTGATCGGACATCGCCTGTAGGCATGCCCTGAAACTCTTGTTTAATAAACAAACACCCATGCAGATTAAATCAAGGGCCAAAGACCCTCCCCCAATCTATCCGATACCGCTGCCAAGACAATCCACTCTACTCTGCTCTGGCTAGCTAGCAAACTCTATCTAGTTGTCTAATTGGTTCCTGCCCTAACTAACGAGCTCCCGGTTAAACTCTAATGTAGCCCGCGGTTTCAGGTTGAGCGACGAGGTGCTGTTGTTGGGCCGAGTAACTAACTCATGGCATGTAGTATTTTACTAGTGAGTGAGGTGAAATGCGCGCCGAGGCACTTTGTTAGTTAGTAGTACCGACAGGTAGAGTAGCAGATGGCGCCAATAGCTAGTGCAGATGGCGCTTAGACCACCGCAGCCTGGGTCGTCGTCGGCCGGACAAATTAGTACCGCAGCACTCTACTCTAGCAGGCGGGAAAAAGACAATTAGTGTGTTTCGGGCGGTAAGTCAAGTTAAGCTTACGAGGCTTTGGCTTTGACTGTGCCTTTAGTAAACCGCTGTCAGATTAAATTTGGCCGAGCCGAGGTGCATGTACAGATGTTGTTGGGCGGGTCACGTCACGGAGTGTCACTCGGTTTATTGTGTGGTTGGGGTGGAGGGAGGTTGGGGGCACTCGAGCGAGGGCGCATGCATGCAGGGAGGCTGTATCTGTATGAAGATTGCAGAGAATCACTTCTGCGGGGTGGACTGAGATTTGCGAAGGGATGCGATGAAGGATGCGTTGGTGGGTGGTTGGTGGAGGTGGTTGAAACGAGGGGTGGGTGTGGCTGCCGGGTGAGTGTTCGAGACTGGACGGTGGAAACTTTAATGATGAATTGTGGGTTTCGATCGTGGTGTTTCTTGTCGTTGAGGGTCTGTCTTTGTTTTTTCGTGAGAGACGGCAACGGCGAGGTGGTGGAGTAGCGGGTGAGGGTATGTACTCCCCGGCTGGCTCGAACGTATAGGATGGAATGTCTGAGAGGTAAGCTGCCTAAGTGTATGGATCTCAGACACTAGATGTCTTCTACGGCCGTGCGTGGAATTCTAGAGATACGAACGTATGTCATTCATGGTGGAGGTAAACCGCCGATGGCGCGGGCGGGCTTATTCGAGGGCAGAGAAAGAGACAAAAAATACATCGGAGAAGGAATCGAGTCCCCTTATAAGCGAAATTTGGTACACGTATTGTGTCGAAAGAGACAAGCATAAAATAAACTATAATAGCACCAAGCGAGCGGGCCGGGTTGCGCCTATGTCAACCACCACCGCAACCCGCATTCGCTTCTTTCTTTCTTTTTTCCCCACCGCCGACCGAACCCGTTATGCATATTCCTGCTTGAGTGGCCGGCGTGGGATCCGGAAGAGTCAATGACTTTAGCGAGATGTACAATTGCTCAAAAGCTACACAAGCAGGGAGCATATTATTATCGCCGCCGCCTGCCCTTACCTCGCCGCACCCACCAATACCGCCCGTCATAATCTCCAACGTCCACCCCAACCTCCGCCCGCCCGCCCGCCCCGCCCCACCAACTTCACCCCCACCAAACCTCCTCCAGCCCCCATAATAACGCCACCCACGCCAACATCGAAAAACGCAAACCGTTATTCCCGCCCCCACCCTCAAGCTTCGGCTACACATGCACGTCCCTCACTGCCATAGAGAGAGGAATGGGTACGAGACTAGGTTGATATATATCCACGAGCAGAGGAAGGTCGCACATGGATACATGTATGTACAATTGAGCCATTTATATTTACCACCCTCCTTCCTATTTGGGGGTGCCGCTTTGCGTCGGTTGGGATAGCGTGGGTATTATATGGCGACTTACGTACAGATCTACTTTGTTGCAGTCGTAGATATCAGGTACCAGGAACGAGGAAGGATGGGATGGGAAGGTGGGGTGGAGGGAGATGGGGGTTGTTTTGTGGGGTGGAGGGGAGGTCGGTGACCCGTCGTGACTCCGGGAAGAAGGCCAAGGTAGTAGCTGCGGTATTGTTCCGTGCATCGCTCCTGTCATCTTTAAAAGATATCAGGGCGGAGAAGATGTCTTAGGTTAATTAGGCCTAGCATCCTGTAATTATAGGCGCAATTGCAACACAGAGCTAAGGGTCGGGCCTAGGCCTTCTCTACCCAGTTCATCTAAACTACATGTATATTGTCAATTGACATTCTAAGTTCCTTATCTCTACATACACACAGTACCAACATACCCAACCCCCCCCCCCCCATCTTTCCCTTATCTACAACCAGCTCCACGTCCTCAAAATAAAAGAGACAAACCGAACCAACGAGTGATCCCCCATGACTTCACCGCAGTGCACCATTCAATGACACATGACTACAGCAGGCCACATCACCATGACGTAGAACGCTCCGCGCCTAGATGATCTCTTCCAATAAGATCGGATGTGTTTGTGCAAATCTGGCGGGGTAGGATGCGGCGAGTGAGAGGTTGTGATTGATAGGGAATAATAGAGTTAAAGTCACAAGGAGGTGAGGGCGAATTTAAATACAATATGTGAGATAAAAGACAACGTTAAACTAATATAAACGGTGCACACCTACTGTGAGTACCTTACCAAGAATAACTTTCAGGACTGTCCATTAACATTCTAGATACCAGATATATGAGCTACTCGAGACAGGTAGACAGGTTCACACAAACAATTTTTCATCAGGTTCAAAAAGAAAAGAAAATAGTGATGTATTTATGTCAACAATGCAATGGTAACTACGCAGACAAACCCCACCGACCGTCCAAGAAAAACCCAATACCGCCCATGAGAACCCACCCAATCAGTCCAATCAGTCCAACAAGTCCAACATCCCTCCACCCCCTCCCGCTCCCCCACCCCACATCTACGCCAGCAGCATCTTCAACTCCGCAATCCTCGTCTCCCTCGTCTCCCTCGCATCCCTCTTCCTCTCCGCAAACGCCGTCTTGACCAAATTCCTCTTCCTCTCCTGAATATCCAGAACCCTTTCCTCAATCGTGCCCTCGACAATCAAGCGCCACACCACACACTCCCTCTTCTGGCCCAGTCTATACACTCTATCGACGGCCTGGTCCTCGATGGCCGGGGCCCACCAGCTATCGCACAGCACGACCTGGCTGGCGGCGGTGAGGTTCAGCCCGACGGAGGCGACAGCGAGCGACGCTAGGAGGACCGTGCATTTGGGGTCGTTGTTGAGCGCGTCGATGGCGTCGTCGCGGGAGCGAGGCCTCATGGACCCGTCGATGCGGGCGAAGCGGAAGTTGTGGGCACGCAGCTGGGGCTCGAGGAGTGTAAGGTAGCTGGTCCACTGGGAGAAGACGACGGTCTTGACAGTGGGGTCGGCGTTGCGGGTGTCTAGATGGGGTCAGTTTAGATTACGCATGATGGGGAATGATGGAGGGAAATATACTGTTCAGGATGGTCAGTAGGGCCTCGAGTTTAGAGCCGATCTGCTCCTTCTCTTCGACCGGCGCCCCCCTAACCTCGTCTTCGACTGCCGGCTCAACAAGTGACGACTCAGGCGTCAACAGTACCGCTCTACATAAGGGACATTTCTGCTGCACCTCGATGACCTTCGAGATACACTCCAGCCCAAAGACATGCTTGCATATAGTGATTCTCGGCTCATGCAGTGCGTCCAAACAGACGGCACAGTCCTCCTGCGAGTCGATCGCAATCTGCAACATATCCTGCAACGCCGCTCTATTCTCGGGCGTCAGATCCACCACACTCTTCCCCGACAGGTGCATCAAGCTCTGGATCCTCTCGCTGCACAGCATCCAGTGGTTACACACTTGCCGCATGCGGAGCAGTAGCTCCAGGATGAAACGGTAGACCTCCTGTCCGGGTTCGTCGAGGCTGTATCTGCGGAGGAGGCCTGACGCCTCCTTTGAGAGGAGCTCGTATTTCGCCTTCTCCTCGGACGAGAAGTTGACGGCGTAGACGTGCCTTGTCAGTCTGGGCAGGCGCAGGTCGACGAAGGCCATTGCCTTTGTGCGGCGGAGGCAGAGTGCGGTGACGAGTGCCTGGAGGCGCTCCTTGTCGCCGGCCAGGTCACGCTTCATGGCGCGCGTGATGACACTGTTGTAGATGCTGAGGTCGGAGAGGCCGCCGGAGTAGCGCAGGAAGCGGACGAGCGAGTAGAGGTCCTTGAGGTTGTTGATGATTGGGGTGCCAGTGAGGCACCAGCGGCTTTTGGCGTCGAGGGCCGAGACGGCCAGACTCGACTTGGCCTTGGGGTTGCGTATGTAGTGGGCTTCGTCGAGGATGATGCGTCGCCACACGATCGAGTTGAGGGTGCCGTTCCGGGCATTGAACTCGGACGTGATGGTCCCTGTAGGGGTAATGATCGTCAGAACATGAAAAGTGCAACAAAAACAAACCAGGGGTGAAACATACCGTAACTAGTAATCACGATATCATAATCCTTCAGACTGGGCCTCGATCTCCCCTGCCCATGGTAGACATAAACCTTCAGCGGTGTCCTCCTCGAGACATGCTGCGCAATCTGGTTCGCCCAGTTGCTCATGACGCTGAGCGGGGCGATAATCAGCGTTCCACCCGTGCACCCGTCCATCTTCAGTGGAGCCGGCACTAGCTTTGGCTCTTCTGCGGGATCAGTCACGATGAGTGAGATCATCTGCAGTGTTTTGCCGAGCCCCATGTCGTCCGCCAGCACACCGCCGCTTGCCAGGAACGGCGGCTCCTCGGTCGTAAACATGGTAGCGACGTTCTGGTACAGTTTCTTTGACTGGTCCAAGACGGACCACATCTGGACGACCTCCTCGGGCGAGGTGGGGAGCACTGGGTGCTCCTTCTTCAGCAGCCATGCGAGGCCTTGCCGCTGATATGGCAGTAGGAAGGTTTCAAGTCTTCGAGGCTGCGACGCAGAAGGAAGTTCAGAGAGGGTTTGCTCGGACATGGCTTGTGCGGCAGCCTGGAACTCATCCCCAACGCCAGTTTGGTTTGAGGGCCCTGCCTGTCCTACCGGGTAATGTATCGTGTCGCGCGTTCTAGTGCTGGAAGGACATATGTTGGGAATCAATTCGGCTTCCCTGATGCACGCCTCTCGGCGGGTTGGGTCAGTGGTGATGAGCACTCCAATGCGGACGCGCATATCATCCTTGGTGCTAGAGATAATGCTGACGCGCATATCATCATGCTTGGTCATAGAGATAATGCCTTCAATCTGTACTATATTCCTGTCGATCAGTGGGGCCAACTGCACAGCGAACCAGCTGGGGATATAGCCAATCGTAGCACCGGAAACATTCTCAACCTGGATCGCATTCCTATCGAACTACATAGCAAGTGAATCAATATAAACTTCCCATATATACATGTACTGCACGATAAGTAGAAGATAAAAGGACATACCGCATTATTGGGCTCCCGCTTCAAGATGACCTGTTCTCCCAGAGTCGCAATACCGTTGTAGTATCTGGTGGCCACTATTTCGATGTCTGTAACTCCAAATTGCTCCATCTCGTCGTCTACCTCTTGGCCGGACGCTTGTTCGGCTTCATTGTTGTACTCGACTTGTGATTCGGACGTAATGGTAGCCGCGGCTTTGCGGAGCCTTGCGGGGCTCGGATTATAGGCGTCGTCGTCGGCGTCAGTGATATCGATAACTTCGATCTTGCGTTTATTACTGGGGCCACCCAGGCTGTCCATGGTGAACCTTGGGTGTAGAAGGAGGATCTGGAGATGCCCCGGAGATAGTTCTGGAGATAGTTCTGGAGATGGGTTTTGTAGATGTTTGATAGAAGAGGTGGTGATGGTGGTGATACGTGGTGATGAATGAGGATCAGGCCTAGGCGGGGGGCTGTAGAAGGTTGCCTATCACAAACATTTGTCTAATCGCAAAACTTCACTTCTATGCGACTCGTCTCGTTTCGCTGACTCGTCGCAACTCAACTTCTGGCGATGCTTGCTGAGTCGTGGTGTCGCGAACGTTGACATCATCAATCAGAAGAAAACTGAGGTTGTTAGCTTGGGTCGCTAGGCTAGGCTGACACTGGGGTTGTTCTCAACAAGCTTCTTTGAATCGGGAACGAGCGGCTTGGCTGTTATATAATTGGATCGTTGTTGGGCTCCTCCCTCCTACTACATACATGCAGTTTGTTACGCCTCCGCACGGGCTGGCTTTTGGTTGGTGTGTTTCGCTATCGCGCCTTGCTTTGCACTGCTGCCAGACTGAGTAGCTACTGTATGTATGTATCTTTTGAGGATTTGCAGAATAGAATACTAGCCTGCACGTTTGCCCCTAGCCGCAATTCGGCCATTGCTACTAAACGCGGGTCGCTACTAACTACATGCTACTAATTGCTACTAATTGCCTCCCAAAAGCAACACCCCCATAGAATAAGGAATGAAGTTCAAAGCAAAGCAAAGACAAAACACACTCTACATGTACTCTACCTCCACGCCGTGTCACTCGCTCGGATAAACCCCAACGCCATTCCCCAAAGCAGCTAGCCCCGATTCCAGTACCCAGGACACCGGAACAACCTCCACCCCCAGCCAGGAAGGTGCAAGCCCTGGGCGTGAGGTCACGTTGTGCGTGGGGGAGTGTGTGATGCTGCTTCTGGATTTGCTCCCCACACACGTATCGGAGCTTTGTGACTGAACCCGCACGTGAGGGCAGGCAAGCAAGCAGGCAGCGAGAAAGCTGGAGGTATCGTATGTAATGTAATGCAGAGTACAGTAAGGGTTGCTTTTTTGTGTTGGGTTGCTGGCAGTAGTGGCACGCGCGACGTTGGGGGGAAGGGAAGGGAAAGGAAGGAGTGAGGAGAACGAGGAAGGGAGGGCATGGAAGGTAGGTGTAGGCAGGCCTGGCCGGGCCTGGGTGGGACTTTATGTATGGTACCTACTTTACGTACTTTTACTTGACTCTCACTGCACTGGGGCCCTAACCTTTCTCTGTAACTAACTCCCCATCGATCCCTCTTCTTATTACAACATCTGGCCTGGCCCGGTTTAAACCGTCATCTCCCGCCGCCGTTCTTCGCAGGATCCATACACTTACAGCCATTGAGTCACTGAGAGAGAGTTGAGAGCAGTGAGAAGAGTTCCAAGAGTTAATTCGAGATACCCCCCAGGGAACAGAGAAGAGAAGCTGGCCATATTGAGCCTCATACATTAATACATACATCACTTTTTTATTTTTTCCCCACTCCACTCACACTCCCTCTGATCTTTGCTTCCACCACCCCCCCCCCCCCCCTTCCCAGTTTTTGAATTATCTCTTTTTCCAGTTCCTTGCCTCGTTCGATGTCTTACGATTCTACGCACCCACCATCTCGCCCAGCAAAGAACAATAGCTCTTCTCCGGCCGCCGCCACACAGAACGGCTCTGTAGGGTTTGCGTCGGCGAGTTCTCCTTCGGCGTCTACAGCTGCTGCAACCGCTACAATAGCTGCCACTGCTGCCCCAACAGCTTCTTCAGGTGCTCTGGGAGGTATGGGACTTACTTCCACTTTTTTCTGCTTCCGCCCTCTATTAGATAGCTAGGAGTTCCTAAACACCTACCTGCCACATGTCACGATCCGCCCGCTCCTATTTCCTCGGGCTTTCACTCCTGTGCTCTTCTCCCACCCATTCCCATCCATTGTCCTCACAAGGCTGACATCATACCTAACTCACCACCAGTTACCCCCAGTACAACCCCAACCGCAGCTCCTCCTCCGCCAACAATTCATAAACGAACATACCAAGCGTGCATTCCGTGCCGGCAGCGCAAGGTCCGCTGCGACCTCGGCTCCGTCGAGGCCCCCCACGACCCGCCCTGCGTCCGCTGCCGCCGTGAGTCAAAAGAATGCTACTTCTCCGCCACCCGCCGCAAGACACGCACGCCGTCCGTCACGGCCGATGACGCAGGCTCCGTGATAGGCATTGGCCGCGGCCGCGGCATGAGGGCGGGCGTCGGGGTGGGCGTGGTGCGGAAGCGCGAGGACGAAGAGAGCAGTGAAACCGGGGGCGCGCTAAAGAGACCGAGATCAATTGGCCACGGCTCGCCACTCGAAGACCCGGCGGGGGCGTACCCGCCATCAGAGTATAACTCCAGGAGCGGGAACCACGGCTCGCCGTACTCGACGCAAGGATACCATGATAAGATTGATCCCAGGCTGCAGATCCAGACCGCTTTGGAGCCCCGGCACGAACGCGAGTCGGCACAGTCAATCAATACCGATGTGACATTGCTGCAGACGCCCGTCTACAACTCGCATGAAGCGTTGCTCACGCTCATCGAGGCCGCCGGGAAGGATACGCCCTTATCGACAGGGGCAAAGTCCAACTCGGGCGATAGCGATTCGGAAGGGGAAGGTGACGACACAATCATTGGCAAGGGATCCGGCGAAGACCGACATCACCAGAGTAACGGTGACCACTATCAACACAACCACCAATCGCCTGTGGCGAGAGGTGCCGGCGCGGGTGTGCGGTTCTCGGAGATGGCTTCGCCGTCGGACGCGGCGGGGAGTAGCTTCACGAGCTCGCATGCCAGACGGAGGGCCGCAAGTACGAGTACTGTGTCGCCGGGGATGAGATCGCATGGGCGGAGCATGTCAATCTCGGCGATTCAGGACCCTAAGGAGAGGGAAGGCATGGAGAAGAGTATTAGAGCGTGGAATAAATTCAGATTCGTAAAAGCCGGGTGGTTCACTGCCCGAGAGGCAATTGGATACGTAGAATAGTAATTTTTTCTTTTGAATCTCAGAGGTTCGGCATGGCTGATTTCGTGTAGCTTTTATCACCATCTGCACCCCTTGTCGCCAACACTTACTTCGCCGAATTTACAGCATATAACGCATCCAATTCATCACCCAATGCTGCTGAAGCATGAGCCGTTTTTAACAACTATCATTCTTCTAATCACCTCTCGCTATATGATCTTGCCTGCTCCAGGTGGCACGTCTCGATCATATGCAATCCATGATATGCTTTGGCGGGAGGTGCGCGGTGGTTGTGAAGGCCTGATGTGGGGTGGTGGGTGGGGCGGCCTTGGTACTACCCACGCCGGTGGCGGCATGGGCGGTTTTGGGGGCATGGGACCGGGTGGACCAGGTGGTACAAGTGCAACAAAGGGTCTCAGAACTTTGGGCACGGTGGAAGGGCTGCTCATCCTTACAGAATGGCATGTCCGGGGGCTCCATTTCCCTATGGATGTTGAAGAGGGATACTGGATGGTCGATGTTAGCGATGACGAAGACGACTATGTGCACCCTGGGCGAGCCAAGAGGGCAAGGCCAAAGGGCGGAGTGGTCGAAGGCCTCGGTGACAGGATTGAGAATATCTTGGAGCCCGCTTATCGGAGTGATCGCATGAGTTGGATGCTACTCGGGAATGCCCTTGCCCTGGCGTATGAACTGGGTGTTTTTGACGAGATTGACGAACCGGTATCGCAAACACCCCCACATGCTGAACTTGATGCATCTCGTCTGCGCTTCCAGCGTATTCAGAAGCTCCTTTTGGTGTATGTTCTGCAACTTGCGTCCCGCCTTGGATGGACGTCAATGATTCCGCGCCATATCACACACCTAGTCCGCCACAAGTTGAACTCTCAGGCACCGTCTCCTGCATCTGTTTCCGTCAATTCTGCTCCCAACAGCTCATGGGACCCTCGTGGTTCCCGGACGAGGTGGGAGAACGAAGACGAGCTCCAGGATGTCGTGTTCCACACGTGGGTCGATTTGACTATGCTGATGAAATCGTCTGGTGAGAAGTTGTTCCCCAGCAGAAGTGCAACGAAGAGTATCATGCGTAGCGGTAAGTACGTATCGTTGCTGGAGTACTTCCAGCCGCTGCTGAGGGATTGGAAGAGGGAATTTGAGGCGTTGGGACTCCCGGAGCCGATTCAGCATATTCTAACAATGGAGTATGAACATGTCCGCTTCTATATCAATTCTCTTGCTTTGCAGGCGGTTGTGGATCGATGCACGTACTACAACAAGGGTTTGAACGGCGCCGCCAATACAAATGGAGCAGCGATGAACGGCAATGGCAATGGGTCCAACAATTTTGCGGCATTGATGCAGCTGAGCAGCCAAGATATGGAGTTCATTAATGAAGTTGTAGACGCAAGCCGGGCCCTGCTCCGTTGCGTAGTAGAAAAGATGCTGCCCGGCGGGTATCTTAAACACGCACCCGTCCGTATCTACCTCCGGATCCTCAGCGCAAGCATGTTTCTCCTCAAGGTAAGACCGCACTCCCTATCCCACATCAGCCTCATTACTGACAACCAGCAGACCTTCGCCCTCGGCGCCCCTGAAGAAGAAGTCGCCATCTCCATCACACTGATCGACCAGACGGTTTTGGCACTCCGCAACGCTTCCGTCGACGACGTCCACCTCGGCCTGCGCTTCGCCGATCTCCTCGAAACGCTCACAAAGCGGATTAAGCTCCGCTTCGTGCGTATGTCACGCAGCCGCGCCGGCACGCCCGTGCCACCCTCCTCAACCATGCCATTGAAGGCCAGTCAGCTCGACATGACGATTCCGCGCACGCCTGATGCAGATCCGAGTATGGGAATGCCGCCGCCTCCAACGCCAACGGGGATGGGTTATGAGCTGGGTGTCAACTATACGCATGAGGGATTCGCGGGTGGGGAGGTCCAGGATGATCCGAACTTCTTTTGCGGGTATGAGGACTGGTTGGCGCTGCCGATTGATCCGATTGTTGGTGCGGGGTTTAATGGCGTTACGCAGAGCCAGATGGGGCCTGATGTGGGTGGGGTGGATTTGTTGGAATTATTGTTGGGTGGTGGTGGGAGTGCGTGATGGGTGGTTGATGGGTAGTGAGTGGGATTAGGAGTTTGGTTCTTTTTTTTTCTTTCCTTTCACCCTGGGTTTGGAGGAGTTGGTCATGTGTCAGTATTTGTGTTTTTATTTTCTCTTCTTTTTTTTTCTTCTTTTTTTTTTTTCCGGCTTTGTTTTTTATACAATGTAGTTTAAATGGTTTCAGCTATTTTGTTTTGTTGGCTGTGGTTTCTGCTTCTGCTTCTGCTTCTTCTTCTGCTTCTTCTTTTTTCAAGTTTTCTTACTGTGCGCCAACGTGATGAGTAATGGTCATGCTATATGGAAGGGATAACGTTTTACTGATAATGAAATTGCCTCTTAAATTTCTTTTTTCTCCCCCCATTCTTTCGAATTTTCTGTTTTACTCTCTTCTTTTTTTATTCCCTCCTTATGTCCATCCCCATGTACTCTCCCATCATCTCCCCGGTCTCTTTTTTCTGTCTGGCACGGATCGATGGGGCGTAGAGGTCAAAGTCGTGATATATTAGAACCTAATGGGCGGGTGGGTAGGTAGCTACGATGTAAGGCCGGGTTAATACATAAAAAAAAAAGACAATAGAAAGTTTTGATTCACCATAGCGTATCACTCGCGTTTTACGCCCCCGCCGGTGACTGCCAAGCCTACCACTATGACTACAGCCGCCTCGTTATAGTGATGGGGTCGGGACCGAAAAATGGTATCCTTATATCGAGGTTATCACTATACAGAATGAGGGTTAGGTTTTTTTTTGGATTGAGGCCGGAAAGAAAAATAATCCAAATTGACAGCGATTCTTAGGGTATAGATGTGTGACTGTTTAAGTACATATACAGTCTCATTCATATTTTTAGTCTTGTTTCCAGGCTTTTTGTCACGTAAAATGCCTGAAAATGCTGGCCCTCCCCCCTTTCTGGGTCGCTCGCCACACCCAAATTTACTCTTGTTATAAGGATACCCATAGAAATCTTCACTAAATACCTAGTGATATCCTTATATAAAAAAAAATCACTAAACCCCATACTAAAAAGTTGGGACCGGTGGGTGTCATCCTTATAACGAGAATATCACTATATGCAGTATCACTATAACGAGAGGCAGCTGTACATGTATGGTGATCTCATTCCTTGATGGAGGTTTTGTAGATTGGGGGGCCTGGTGGCAGCTCCCAAACTTGCATAGCATCACCCTAAATGGGAGTGGCTTGTATGATAGCTTTAGTCTGCCGTATACCTTTACCTAAAGGGACCTTATTAAAATCGGTTTCTTTTTTTTTTAATTAAAACGTTATTTTGGGGAGGAGGGTGGATATAAAATGAACAAAAAGTACTGCAGCTGGTTGACCAATTCCAGCTACTACTCCCACCCCTGGCTCGAACCCAGGACCTTCCGTCGTCCTGAGCGCAAACACTCGGTGTCTAACCTGACGAGCAGTCCAACTAACCGCTAGACCACTCGCCCTTGTGGGATATTGCCTGTAAGTGGTAGATAACACAATCAGTGCCAAGACGAAACTGGAATACCTAGCCCTGTTCTTGTCAGCCAATCCCGAACTTCCTGGTGCAGTTGATATGAGGATAGTGATGCCGTTAACGTTATTCGGCGTCGTGATATGATGGTAGTGGTAGTATTGGTGTCTGGGGAAATCGAGTACATGTACCTACATATATGGGGCTTGTTATGGTAACGGGCTAAGCGTCTTCCCTAGTCTTACTTGTTGGACTTGTGAAGGTGGTGCTTGTTCCAAATCTCTGGCGTACACTTAAACCCCCGTGTTCCGGGGTTGGGTGTTTGTGTCGAGTGATATTTCGTATGCTTAGTAATAATACTCGGGATTTGCCCCTGGGCAAGGGTTTAATATGCTTGGCGATTTTGAGGCCACAGTTCGCGGATCTGTTGCTCACGCCCTCTGACGACTGCAGCTCTCATCTATATCTCCTAAAACCTTTGCCCACAGTAAACGTTTCGTGCCTTTTTTTCCTTCACCGCTCTCATTCGACTGTAATAAGCAACACATAATTTACCGACCCCGTAAAAGCGACGATGCATCTCTCGAGCTGGAGCTCGACCATGGCGAGCCTGCTCGGTCTACTAGCGCTGCAGGTACAGTCGGTTTCCGCACAGTCTTCAAACGACGAAGACATCAAGACCGTTCCCCTGCGCACACACAGCTTGTACCAGGTTTGTTTCGCCTCGGATTGAGAAAGAGAATGAAAGATTCAAGAAAATTGACGCTGGGTAACAGCCGTACCTGGACTCGGAACTCCAGAGTCGGTGGTTTGATTGGGGTGGGGACACAATCATTCGCGCGGACCAGTAAGTTAACCGAAACATGTTTTTGCTCTGGGGGTATGGGCGATGAGTGGTTATGTTGATTTGCTGCTGTAGGTATATTCGCTTGACGTCAGACAGACAGGCACAGTCCGGGTGGCTGTGGTCGCGCCTTCCCTTGACAGCTACAAACTGGGAGGTACGGCGATCTTTTGAAGGGCTTTCAAAGACGGCGAGATGAGACTGACGGGGGGTTTTGTTTTGGGGTAGATTGAGTTTGAATTCAAGATCCACGGAGCCGGGAACCTCTATGGCGATGGAATGGCCATGTGGATAACCAAGCAGCGCGCCCAGACTGGCCCGGTATTTGGCTCAGTTGACAAATTTGAAGGATTGGGTATCTTTTTTGATACCTACAAGAACAACCGCCCTGGAATCATTTTCCCATACGTCATGGCAATGCTTGGTATGCAGCTCCTTATACATCGACTGGGGGTGGGGGCGGAGTAGCTGCAGGTTCTAATTGGCATTTCGAACTCTAGGTGACGGCGAAACTTCGTATAACCATGAAAACGACGGCAAGGATAACGAATTGGCTGGATGCTCAGCTAGGGGTCTGCGCGGTGCGGTCATTCCCACGAAGGGGAAGCTTACATATTTCCAGGAGAACTACCTCCAGCTTGAATTGCAGTACAAGAATGAGGACCAATGGGTTACTTGCTTCAACGTCCACAATGTCACTCTGCCGCAGATCGCATATCTTGGATTCACAGCACACTGCGGAGAGCTTAGTGGTGAGTTAACTTTCTACATGTATCTTTCTTAATTTCTCAGTATGCCTAACGATATCTGGTATAGATAACCACGACATCATTACCATTTCGTCCAAGAACCTCTACTCGATCAACCCCAACCGTCCCGATTCCAACTCACAAACGACCAGGCCCAACAAGATTACCGAGAAGCCGGCCACAGAGTCTGGGGGATGGGGCTGGTTCTTCCTTAAGTTTGTTGTCTTTATCGTCGTCCTGATTGGAGGATACGTTGGATACACTGCCTACAGGGCACAAAAGAGAAGCTCCCGCTTTTAATATCCCACATTCCCCCCACCCGCTTGTTTAAAATATGCTTTTCTTTCTTCTTTTCAAGCTTCTTCCGCACTATATCTTTCTTTTTCTGTCTTATGTATGGTTTCCTCCTCCTCCCAGGTGTGTTAGTATGTTTGTCAGATTTGATGAAATGATTTATCTCTGGATTTGGAGAAAAGAAAAAAAGAACAAAAGGCGCAATTCCTCAATCAATGACTTAGGCTCCTTTTTTTATATCCACCGATACCTCTGTTCCGTTCGTTTCTTTGTTTGTCCTACACGTGTATTGGCGCACTTGGTGCTTTATTGGTGCTTTGAGAGCTGGCGGCAAGTATGTAGTCGGTCAGTCAGTGTGCGAATGAAATGAAAATTTCTTGCGAGTGATGGCTCAAGATGCAGCTAAAAAGTGAAGCTCGGGCCGTTATATGACACGCTCGTTGCAGTGCGCTTTGCCAGCCTAGACTGAGTCATTGGCTAGCATTACATGTGCACCCACATCGAGTGATCGATCCCAAACCTTGAAATTTAAAGTGAAGGGTTATATAGGCATACAACTGAGTAGATACAGCTCTCACTGTCTAAGCTCTATTCTACTTGTACTTTCCTGGCGTTCGTAAAAGGAACTACCATAGGCTTAGCGCGTTTTATACTGATTACAATAGATATTAATAGTTCCACAAACGTCAAAAAATATGAGTATGAGGAAAATAGCTGGTAAATTGACTTAGCTCTGCTAAGTTATCTGAGCAGGGAGAGCCTTGCCCGTGTCGAGCAGATCTGTGGGGCAGGGCTATGCTTCGAGTGCATGGCGACCACGCAGGCTTAATTCTTCACAAACACCTAACAGTGAGTATTGAAACTCCTATTGATTGACCTGATATTGAGGTAGTTTATTAGTACGATTTCTTCAATATATGAGCCTAATAATGGGTCCGAGTCTGCTTGTTAGCTTGAGCCTTTTACTGAACGGATTGCTACAGTAGAAGCTCCGCTAGCCTGTATGAGAGGATCGGCAACTCACCTTCGTATCCTTATCAACTACGCATACAGCTGCTGCGGTTTGTCCTACATGGAAAAAACAAAAAGTACTCAGCAGAACACGGGGATAAACCCATGCGCCCACCAGCCCCCATTATCAACTCCGCAAAATGGCCACAAGCTCTTTAAGAACGGCCCCGCTCGTTCTCGTTACCGGGTATTCCATCCATTCATCGAACCACTAAACAAAACATCAAATCAATGGCCGAACTCCTAGGAACCGCCGCTAGTGTGATCGCGGTCATCCAGCTCACCGCGGCCGTGGCCTCGCTGAGTTACGAGTACATCAGCGGAGTAGCGCGCGCGCCCTCCGAGCTCCAGCGCTTCATGAACGAGCTGAAAGCGCTCACAGCGGTGCTGTCGAGGCTGCAGATGTTCGCGCTGGACAACCCGGATATCGCAGACTCGTGGGGACTTGGCGAGGAGCTGCGCAGATGCGCGGAGGAGTTGAAGGATGTCAAAGAGAGGCTGGAGCCGAAGAGAGGTTGGTGGGGGACGGCCTTGGGGAGGTTGCAGTGGCCGTTGGGGGGGAGGGAGACGCTGGATTATGTTTGGAAGATAGAGAGGCTGAAGAGTCATTTTACGCTGGCTATGACGGCCGAGAATAGGTGAGTTTAGATAGTCTTGGGCCCCAGTCGAGGGGGTTGGATGATGTATTGTTGGAGGGCTTCATGCGTGGACCAAGGATTTTTAGAAATGTGCTGACCTAGTGGGTTAAGGACATTCTCAAAAGTGATTGATAAGAACGTGCAGGATATAAAACGAGATCTCTACTCGCATACTTCAGAAATGAAAACACAGCAGCTTAGTAGTTTGCCGAGAATTCTCTGAAAGGTAATTAGGTATCTGACATAAATATAGATTCAGATCGGACAAATGTGTTGAACTGGCTATATCCTCTCCCATATGATGAAAAACATAGAGAGATTAGTGGGAGAAGACAAAAGAATACTGGTCAATGGATCTTAGGATTGCAAAATGTGCATAATTGGCTCGACCCGAATAACACAGGCTCTCGGCTTCTTTGGGCGTACGGGATACGTAAGTATTGTTACCAGAAACCACCACTCTTTTTCGTATGGAAACTGATAGTGCACGCCGTTCTAGCCGGTGCTGGAAAGACGTTTTTAAGGTCATAAAACGGCCATATTTAAAGACCCAGACTAGTACTAACTAAACATATATTGTAGTTCTTTCATAATCGATCACCTTCGGGCACAAAACCAGGCCTTGGTTTATATCTACTTCAACCACAAAGAACAAGACCAGCAAAAACCTATCCATGTCCTCTCTAGTTTTCTCAAACAGCTGTCATGCCAAAGTCCCAGCTTGCCAAAGGCAGTCAGGGACCTGCATAATAGAATAGAGAGCAAGCAGGAAAGGCCCACTCTCGAAGACCTCTATACTGCTTTGGTTCTCGTCGCAGGCTCTTTTTCTCAGACTTTTGTCGTCTGCGATGCATTGGATGAGTGTGATTTTGAGACTCAACGAAAGGATTTACTTCCTCTATTCCATAGAATGGAAAGTGTTGGCATAAGATTATTCTTGACTAGTCGAGAACATCCGGAAGATATCCAGGACTCCCTCCAAAGCTCACCAAAAGTCGAGCTTTCGGCAAAGAATGAGGATATTAAGATCTACATAGAGCAAAAGATAGATGAAAACCCAAGGGCGCGGCGTCTGATTTCGCAAGGCAACTGTAAGGACCGGATTATCGAACAATTGCAACAGAGCGCCAATGGAATGTGAGTCGAAGTGTACGCCCAGAGCTCGCTGGTTCGATCGGGTGCTAACAATCTGGGAGTTTAGGTTTTTATTAGTCTCTTTTCATATTAAACATCTGTGCCAACAAGCCACCGTGAAGCAGATATTGGTGGAACTCGACAATCTTTCTAAATCCTCCAACAAGGAAAGCCCCATGGATCCTACCTATGATAGGGTTGTCGATATCATCCGGTCCCAAACTCCAAATTTCGTAGAACTAGCCATGAGAGTCCTTACTTGGATAGTCAAAGCAAGATCCGTGTTAAGTGTCCGTGAGCTTCAACTGGCTGTATCTGTTGATGAGAAATGCACTGTTTTCGAAGAGTTTTCTTTGCCGGACCGAAAGACGCTTCTCGACGTATGTGGCGGGTTTGCATCAATAGACGAAAAGGACAGAGTTGTCCTTGTCCATCTGACAGTTCACGAATACCTCCTCCGGAAATCGATCATTCCCGAGGATGCAGAATTTCAACTTGCCATAGGGTGCACCACCTTTCTTTCCTATGATATATTCTCAAAGCCCTGCGAATCCTACCAACTAAGGTTTGCTCGAGAGAAATCATATCCCTTCATAAAATATGCCGCAAAACTACTCTATTCCCATGTCTTCAGATGCGACGAGACACTGCTGGCAGATGCCATCTTTCGGTTTCTTTCCAGTCCCGGAAATATCCAGTCATATCTAGACACCCTGGAGGTAACCCAGTGGAATATAGATACATGGCCAGCCCGCGGGCCCGCGCAGAGATCCCGGACCACCGGCCCGTTGCAGCTTGCGACTTCATTAAGATCAAAGCTCGTGGTCCAGATGCTACTCGATGGAGGAGCTGATATCGAGCACAGAGATTCCTCGGGAAGAACACCTCTATATATCTCCGTAGAGTTAGAAAACGAATCAATAACACGGCTACTTCTCGAAGGAGGCGCCAATACATCAGCAATATGTGGAGAGGTCGGGGGCAAGACACCCCATATCTCGGGGAATCCACAGGGAGAACCAGCAACGCCCACCAAGAAAGGCATAGTAGAGGTGTCAACAGTCGGGCCAAAAGGCCAGACGCGACTTCACACTTCAGTAGCAAAAACATCAAAATTCAGAAGCCAAGACATATCACCGCCCCACGCGGCAGTGCGGCGAGGGAATGCAGCAACCACTGAGTTACTCCTCAAGAAAGGCGCCGATGCATCCGAAACCGGATTATTCAGACGAACACCACTCGATGTCTCTCTAAGAAGAGAGAAAGAAGCGATGATTAAAATACTTCTTGAGAATGACGTTGACCCATCAGAAGCCGGCGACGATGGACAGCCCCCGCTCCATCTTTCGGCCGAGGGCTATAATTCAGCGATTACTCGACTCCTCCTCGACAACGGTGCAGAAATGTCGATAGTCGATCACAACGGAAACACACCGCTTCATGTGGCGTGTAGCCGCAAACCACTGGATCGTCGCTTGAATAATGCCAGTATTCTAGAAACAGTCTCGTTGATGCTTGAGCGGGGAGCCGATGTTACAGCTACGGATGGTGAAGGAAGGACTCCACTTGAGCTTACGACTTGTTATTATAATCCTGAGCTAGCAAGTCTGTTGGGAACTGTGGCCGTGAAATCATAGGGCGATGACGTGGAGAGTTTCGGGTGTATGTGTATGAGTGTTGGGAGAGAAATACCGGTACTAGCACCATAAAAAGGGTAGTTGGAGGTGGTGGTGCTAAGACCTGTTCGGTCTCTTTAGTTGATGTATTCATGATATAATTACGACCTTATATATATGGCAGAACGATAACAGTACCCTTTCTGTATACAAGAGTCAAAATAGAGTGATAGAACTACGTTCTCACCACGAGACAAAGTAAACTTTGAAGGCCTCCAGATCCATGTGATTGGCCAGCTACATGGGCTTGAAACTTGAAAGCGCCTCGACACGCAATTAATGAATTAAACAAAAAAAAAAAATCTTCCCGGCAAGCCGAAGATAGAACCGCACAGAGACCCGACCTGGAAGAAAGCATATAAGTACACAAGCAACACCCACCGTGGCCTCATGTACCATACCTCGACGCAAAAAAAGGGCCGGCATTTCAAGTGATAGCACATGACCCAACCGCGGTGCAGCGTAGAAAACCGCCCAGAGGATAACATATCCGCATGCTCACAGTTCCACCGAAATGGTCTAAGCTAGTTTAGGAAAAACCCACTCGCGCTCTCACCACTAGACAAAGTAGACTTTTCGGGTTCCATACAATCGGCTGGCTGCATGAGCTTGGAGTTATTATAGAGCGCCGATATTGAAAGACACAGAAAAACCCACCTCCCCGGGCATGCTGATGATGGGAGCACACGGAAAACCAGCTGAGAAGAGATTCGAGTATCCAAGAGCACAAGTAACACCGTGGCTTCGTGTATCATACCTTGTTGTCAAAAAGAGTGATGGCGGGCCTCCGAGTGATAGCACATGACGCAAACTCAAAAAACGTAGTTACCGATACGTTGCTTTTTAGCTCTTCTACAACGTAAACCAAGCGCTAAACCCTCGGTCTCAAACCCTAGGCAATAAATACATGACCACACAAGTGCCAACAAAACAGCAGCCTCTCCAAATCCATATCTACAGCCAGCCGGCCAGCCATTTTCAATTAGTATCCACCAACTCATACTTCGCCGCCAGCTCCAACGTCCTAAGCACGCCAAAATCCTCATCAAAATCCACCTTCGTATCCAGAAACGCCTCCTCCCACGACCGATCCTCACGCTCCACCACCGTCGCCGAGCGCCACACCGTCTCCGCCAGATGCGCCAGCATCTTCCAGTACAGCAGATGTCCGCCGCCCCGCACCTCCTGAAAGATGCCCCAATCGTTCCGCTGAAAGTACGCCCACCTGGTGGTGCGACGGTTCTCCCGAACCTTCTCCCAGATGCCCTTCGAAAAGTCCAGGCTGAAGAAGCCCTCCTCTGCAATCTTCAGCGGGAACCACACGCCCATAAAACACCTATTCCGCCACCCCGTCAGCACCTGCGTCTTCACAGTCTGCGCCCGCACCACCGGGTCGGCAATCCGCGGGCCGGTGCGGGCACTCGACTTTCTGTTGAACGGGAGCTGCGAGAGATAGAACTGGTCCATCAGGAACGCAATAAAGTGGATTTTCCCCAAGTCTGCGGGCGCGATCGGTATTGGCCGCCTCGCAAATGTCGTGATGCTCTCATACTTGAAGCGGTACGTCAGCAGCCACGCCGCATAAAAGTCCGCCATGTCGAGCACATCATCAACCTCAAACTCGACCGACTGCAGCCCCGGGCTTTCACTGACGACGGTCGGGACCATTGCAATATTGAGATGGCTCTCGTCCTGCAGCATCACCCAGTGCCGCGGGTCGCCGTCATACATGGGATATGTGGCGTGCACCAGCTGGTCGTGGTAGAATGCGCTGAAGCGCTCATAAAAGTAATTGTTCTCCTTTAGTTGAGGAATATCGGCGGTGCGCATCACGACGTTGTTCCTGTCCTTTGTGACTAGACGATCATGCAGTAGGCCTGCGAGCACGTGCTGGCCCTCCCGCGAGATCTCGCCCTGCACAATGTAGCGCTGGTAGATCAGGACCTCCTTTGCGGACTCGACGAGCACGGCGGTCGAGGGGATGCCCCTGAGGCCGGCGAAGTAGCGCTCGGTCATGAGCGTGAGCAGCGAACTGCAGTTGAGCTCGTACGTTGCGTAGAGCGCGGGGCCGTTCAAGCGTACGGCGAGGAGATGCTCGAAGCTTGTGCAGGCCTGGAGGAGCGACAGTCGGGTGCCGGCATCGAGCGCGCCCAGCACCCGGCTGGAGGGCGGGCGTGGGGGAGGCGGGGGCGGGGGTGCACCGGCGACCAAGGGGGGGATTATACCCGCTATGAGCGGTGGGGGTGGTGGCGCTCCGAGAATCATCGATGGGAAGGGCATTTCGATGGCTGGATAGACCGGTGGGGGCGGTGGCGGTGGCGGGACCATGGCGGGCGGGACCATGGCGGGCGGGACCATGGCGGGCGGGACCATGGCGGGCGGGACCATGGCGGGCGGGACCATGGCGGGTGGCATAATGGAGGCGTCAAAGTGTGTGTATTCTAAAATTTACGGGTTGCAGGCGGGGGACCATAAAATCTTTACCACTCGAGAGAGAGGCATCGCGGCATGCGGGAGGGCAGGCTGCTTAAATGTCGAGGTATGATCTGGCGTCGGGGGTGGGTAGGAACAAAGAGATATACATGCCGGGTCGTGCGTGGGTTGTTTTCCAACAAAGAGTCCGTCATGTTGCAAGACAATCCTTATTATATACGGCAATGCACAAAGAAAGAGGATCCCGAGAAATTTAAAAATCTCTAGTTGGCTGTGATTTGGTAATCAGTCTGTCAGTCGGTCTTCGAGAATCAAGGGGGTGTTTATATATATGCTTACTATGTAGTAGCTATTCTCTGTATCAGAACACAAGATCTCTTTGTTTCAGAATGCGAGACCAGATAACAAGGCCTTAAGGGACGGAGTGAATACACAGTCAATGATATAGTAATGTCGCTATGGCCCATGACAATCAGTGCAGAATGTAAAACGACGAAGTATTGATGATGACGAGAAGAGGATAAATCTCACCGATCCTCTCCATTATAAGTACAACTAAGCACATCACCTATCATAACGACAACACACGGTGGTCCTAAAGCTACACTAGTCAGAGGTAAATCCCCTCATCTCAGTAAAGTAAAATCAATCCCAAAGCCAGATCGACACCGTGTTAGTGCCCAGCCCCGTAGCCAGGTGTAAGATAGATTCTGTCCCACTTAACCCAAGACCCAAGACCCAAGACCCAAGACCCACTACCCACTACCTCAAGCCAACGTCCCCCCTCCTTCCTCGACCTCACGCGCCCTTACCACGAGCACCACCACCACCACCACCACTACAGCCACATAGCCCCCTAAACCACCATATACCACCCTCACCCTCACCACCCCCACCCCAGCACACACACACACCAAACCCACCACCGCACCACAACCCGATCATGATCCATCACTCGAACCTCACCACCCGGCCACGCCCCCAAATCTGTTCTTGGCAACATCTGTCACTACCACACCGATACTGATACAGCCCCGTCGATCACCGCATGTACACGACCACATGGCAGCTAGAGCCCCGCGTGGCTTGCGGTTTGCGGTTTGCGGTCATGGGGTATCACTCACCCACTCACACACACGGACTCACACTCACGGACTCACTTCCCCCGAAACAACGCTGTTTATGTATTGAAGCACATTGCAGAGTATGTATATGTAGCGTATACACCCTTTACCAACAAAAAGAACCGCACAAAAAGCGATCAAAAAAGAAAAAAAAGAAAACCAATGACCCCACGGCGCCCCGCCCGTCCGACCGACCGACCCACCACCATCAGAACTACACGCAGCTCCAACCCACCACCAGCACCAGAAAGAAAAAAGTGCGTAATAATATGCAACACCCTATGTATGTATGTAGCCTACATGCACCCATGCACCCATGCACCAAGCACCAGAGAAGAATATCGTACACACATCGAATCCATCCCCCACCATCTACTCCCGCTCCGCCGTCAACGCAAAACTCACCCCCAACAGCCCCATCCCCACAAACCCAAACACAAACGGCACACGACTCCCATGCTTCAGCGCCACCGCCTGACTAAACAGCGTCACCCCGACACTCGCCATAATCCCCGCCGTCACCGCAAACAGCACCCCATACCCCACACCGCCCACCTCCCCGTCCCCGCCGTCTCCCCCTCCTCCTCTCCCTTTCAGCACAACCGCCGCCAACCCCGCACCAAGCGGTTGCGCCATCCCCCCCAGCACCGACGCCCACAGCACCGCCTTCCCGCGGCTCCGCAGCGCTAGGAAGAGTGGTAGGGACATGATGAACCCCTCGGCGATGTTGTGGATGAATAGCGCGAGAAAGACGCTTAGCCCTAGTGCCGGGCTGGCGTGGTTGGTGGCGTATGTGATGAAGCCCTCGGGGATCTTGTGCAGCGCGATGGCGAGCGATGTCTGGACGCCGATGCTCAGGAACTTGTTTTTGGCGACGTGGTGGTGCCCGCGCTTGTCTGTGTCGGGCGACACGTGCGCGTGGGAGTGGGTGCCGCGGGGTGGTGGTGGTGGTGGGGGCGGTGGTGCGTGTGCGTGTGCGTGTGCGTGTGCGTGCGTGGGGGCACTGGAGGAGGCGGGCGTAGATGTAGGTGCGGGTGCGGGGGGCAGCAGTGCGCCGTCGCCGCTGACGCCGGCGCTGTCGTCGGCGAGCAGCAGCACGGGGTCGCAGCGCTGCTGACACACGTGGTCCGTAAAGCCATAACACGTCCCGTCGCCTCTGCACTTTACGAAGCCGCTCAGCTTCTGCTTGATGCTCGGCTTCCTCACCAGCGGCGGCGGCTGCGCGGCCAGCAGCGGCGTGGTTTCTGCTGCTGCGCCGCCGTCGCCGCCGGACTCGAGGTCCCGCGGTGGGTGGGGCGGGAATTTGGGTTTGGCCTCGGTGGAGGGGTGGTCGTCGCAGTTGACGATGCTGCTGGGTAGTAGGTGGTGCAGGGTGTCGGAGACGATCTGGAGGCCGGCGACGCCGGCGAGGAAGGCGCCGATGGTGGCGTAGGCTGCTGTCGTGCTGGAGGTGGTGGCGAGGAAGTAGCTGTGGGCTTTGGGGAGCATGCCGTAGAGGGCGCTGTAGAACTATATGCATGTAGATAAGTTGTTAGTATCTCCACTTGCACCAATATTCTATGTCCAAACATTCCCAAAGAAAAAATAGAGTAACAGCCCAGCTATAGCTAGCAAAGAAGCAAAGAAGCACCAAACGTACCATAACACCAAACGACAGCGACAGCGACGCCGACAGGAACGTCGTCGACTCGCGGATACTAAAGTGCTTCCACCGCGGAACTTGCCGCGTGACAAGGTCCAGGCAGATTATGGACGATCCGGCAACTACATGCACACAACAGGCCCTGTCAGTGATCGGCTGCACATGTTTTGCCCGGGAGCGGGAGGAGGGGAGGGGGAGGAGGGATGAAGGGAGGAGAGGATGTAGATAGCGTACCACAGGCGAGCCCGCTGGCGCAGGCGAGAATCCACCCGGTTTTGTCGTCGTCGGAGGCCATGGTGGGTGCAAAAAGGAATGATTCGAGGTGGGATTGGGTGGTGAGCGGGGGGGGGTTGGTGTCGAATCGGTGGAGTAGAACGGAATGGGACGCGGGGGTATCAGCAGCAGCAGTGCCGGGAAGAAGCAATGAAGGGAGTAGAGTAGAGAAGTGGTGTTGCTTCCTTTTCTCCTCGTCTCGTCCGTCGTCTCGTCTCGTCTCGATGCAGGCAAACAAGCAAGTAAGTTTTTCGCAAGGATGTTTATCGCAGATCAGATCTTCTCCACTAACCACTGACTGCAGCAGTACATACAGGGGGAACGAACAAACAGCTGTGTGTGTGTGGGTATGGGTGTATGTGGAGAGAAAAAGAAGAAGGAGTGAGTGGGAGGAGCTTTCTTTTACAAATAGATAGCTTCACACCAGGTTATATAAAGGGGAGCTGGGCAGAGAGGATTAGAATACTCTAGGTACGCCCACGTACGTACAGACAGACAGGCATGACGGGATGTGACTCCATAGATGCATTTTATTAGAGTGGATTTTCCTGGGCTGGCATGGCATGGACGGTGGACACCCTTCTGGATACCCCCCCCACCCCTTCTACTCTCGCTCACACCCTTGGGTACCTTACCTACCTATGTACTTACCTACATGTATCTTGTGCTCGGACTTGGTGAGTGAGCGAGCGTGAGTGAAGGAAGGGAGCGAGGGAAGGAAGGGAGGGAGCGGGGGAGGGAACGAAGGGAGGGAAGGGAGGGGGGCTGCAGCGACTGACTGAGTGGGTGAGTACCTGGATGGGTAGATTAGATTCAGGCATAGAAGTGTTGTAGGCAATCGTGGGGCTGCACGCGGCCCGAGATAGAGTATTCACTCTACCGTCCTGTCGACAGGTGAGACAGCCGATAAGAGTAGAGTAGAGTATGTAGGTAGGTACATGTATGTTCTAAGCTACTGTCTGTCTGTCTGTCTGTCTAGCGAGTAGCCAGAGTCTCGCGAGCGGAAACAGAAACAGAAACAGAAACAGAAAAAGAACATCCGCACTTGAGTTCTCGGTTCCAGATCATGTATCCACAATTACACTTAATCTGCTCTACTCTATCTGCGCAAACATGTACGGGTCACACCCGATCGATGGTGATCACACTCATGGCAGACTACCTATTGCATTATATTACATTCGATACTCTCCATGTGTCTGTCTGTCTGTCTGTCTGTCTGTCTGTCTGTCTATCTGTCTGACACCCACATCCCAGCAATTAAGCGTACCTCCACACCCGATAACGACCCATCCAATCCCACCCAGAGTATTTCTCATCCCTGTGTCCCCAACCCAACCCTGCGTGCATGCAGTCACGCGCCACGCTAGCCCCTTTCAAGCGCGGGGCATTTCTGCAAGGGTACCATCCATACCATCCATAACAGTAACAACAGTAACACAATTAGATAGTTCCCATCTCTCTCCCCAAAATCCCATCCCCCCACAACACATCCCACCAACAATGTCCAAAATCACACTCGGAATCATCGCCGCCGCCTCTGCGGCCACCGGCGCCGCCGCCACAGCCTTCTATCTAGGGACGCAGCCCAAGGCCACCACCACCACCGCCGCCGGTATTGCGTCGAAGCACCCTGTGCGGCGGAAGCCCGAGGAGGGCGGGCCGTGCCCTGTGGACCCGAGCGGGCTGTTCAAGTATGGTGAGTGCGCTTGCTTCCTGTGCTACAGGCACCCAGTGTTAGTGAGAAGGCAGGCGTACATGGCTAACGCAACACACACCCAGGCTTCCCCGGCCCCATCGCAGACCTAGCCACCCGCCAGCTCTACGTCTCCTCCTACGACCGCCGCACCCGCAACCCCCACTGGGTACCCCCCCCCCCCCTCTCCCCCTCACCACACCCCACTAACCCCCTCCCCTCCCATAGGTCGCCGAGCACATCACCCCCGCCTCCCTCTCCTCCCGCGACGGCGACCGCAGCAACAGCAAATTCCTCGAAGACGACACCCTGCCCCCCCAATTCCGCGCCCTCCTCAAAGACTACTACCGCTCCGGCTACGACCGCGGCCACCAGGCCCCCGCCGCCGACGCTAAATTCTCGCAGGTCGCCATGGACGAGACCTTCTACCTCAGCAACATGTGCCCGCAGGTCGGGCAGGGCTTCAACCGCGACTACTGGGCGCACTTTGAAGACTTTTGCCGCCGCCTCACGGGGCACTACCCCAGTGTGCGCATCATCACGGGCCCGCTGTACCTGCCGAGGCAGCACGCGGATGGCAAGTGGCGGGTGAGTTATGAGGTTATTGGCGATCCGCCGAATGTGGCGGTGCCGACGCATTTTTATAAGGTTGTTGTTGCGGAGGGGGGGAAGGAGGATGGGGGGGGGAGTGTGGCGGTGGGGGCGTTTGTGTTGCCGAATGCGCCGATTGGGAATAGTGTGGCGTTGAGGGAGTTTGAGGTGCCGCTGGAGGTGGTGGAGAGGGCGAGTGGGTTGGTGTTTTTGGAGAAGCTGGAGAAGGGGAGGAGGAGGGAGCTGTGTAAGGAGATTGAGTGTTCCCTGGTGGTGAGGGAGTTTAATCAGGCGAGTAAGGGCGAGAGGAAGCCGAGGAAGTAGATGGGAGATAGGGGAGGCGTGTTGATGGGCTTGTGGGTAGATACATAGATGGGCCAATGACAAGTAGCTTTTATAATCTTTTCTTTTCTATAAACTGTACGTGACTGAGCTCTCAACAGTTTCCATAACGCATACCAGGATTGTGTTAGATCCTTGCCCCACCCAATAGCCTAGGACATACACACAGAACACATCCACAGAAACCCACTGCCCCACAAACATCCCGTGTCACAGGCGCACAAGTTACTCACCACATAGTGTTCCGAGTGACAGTCTATGATGCGCCGTGTATCCAAGCCAACACACCACAGATCATCAGCCAAAGGTGAAGTTCCAGTTATTCTCACCAAGATCCTTCTAGCTCTAAACTACATACAGACCTCGACCAATTACTAATAAATCATTCAAGCCAGCCAGCCAGCTTAATCATGGAATATCACTCGGTATGATCTCTAGCTGGAATTTCGATCTCGGGCTCGAGGTTGGGGTGCTTGGGCTCGGTCAGAGGTGAGGGGTGATGGGTGAGTATGAGAGGGCTGACGGACTGGGTAATATATTAACTGGGCTTGCGGATTGACGGTCTGGTTGGTTGCTCGTGGTTCAATTCGGCGTGTAATCCCTAATTCTTATATATGGTTCCTAGATAATTTGTTAACTCTTAATTCTTAACTCTTAATTCTCAACTCTTAACTCTTAACTCTTAACCCTTAACTCTTAACCCTTAACTCTTAACTCTTAACTCTTAACTCTTAACTCTTAACTCTTAACTCTTAACTCTTAACTCAACTCAGCACGCACGAATACATCCCCCCCACCGACCCATCCCATACACACAACCGCAATGACCACACACCCACACCGGCAGCTGTCTCCCAAGACTAAGACTACCGGACCCCACCGAGACCCACTGTTTGGGCGTTAACATGTCTCCAGCCCCCCCCCCCCCCCCCATCCCAAACCTTCTTGAGATGCCATCTCTAACCCCGAGAACTCCATATGTTCCCTTTGATCTCTAGCTCTGGTAGTAGCGTGTATTGAGCTCTAAACATGTACGTACACCCTGATCCTCCACCTGCACCACTGCCCCTTGCTGCTTCAGCTACCAGCGGGACTGCTCAGCGTCCTCTGGGCTTTGTTATTGACATTCGACCCGGAAGACGCGCTGCGGGGCTTCTGGGGACAGAGCAAGGCCCGCGAGCTTGGCTTCCGCGGGCGGAGCTTTCTGGGGGGTTGCTCAGGAGCAGCTTGGGGGACGGGTGTGGGTGCAGCAGAGGCGGCTGCAACAGACGTGGGTGCAGCGGGCGTGGGTGGTGCGGTGAGGATAGTGGAAGCCGCGGAGGTATATGAGGGCAGGAGCGGGTGAAGAGTACTGCCAGACAAAGGCTGGATTAAAATGTCAGTACTATCAAAGGAGCGTGTGGGGGAGAGAACCTGAGAGATGCTACTTACGGATCATTGTAACCAGTTTTACTCAAGAGCTTTTTGAGAGCATGCTCTATTTGAGGCCTTTCTGAGTCAAGTAGCTTCGGCGTTTTGTGATCGCTGAAGGAAATCATTTGGAGGAATAGTTGGGGGAAATAATCGAAGGGCCTGTTAAGGGCTTTTAACTGCGGCCGTTGAAGGACTTAGTTCGATCGTAGTTGTTGAAGGACGAAATCAACGGAGAAACAAAGGGAGCCGGAAGAAATAGTTCTTTTTATAGAGTAATCCTGTGGACAGCCTGCACATGCGGCGTATGTCTGCAGACTAAAGGTATTGCCACCATCTCCGAGTCCCCTTCGTTAAAAGAATACTGTAAACATATAATTACGGGCGAGGGGGAAAAAAAAAAGTGGGTATCTGCACAAACCCGTGAAGTTTGATACCCAGTGCTGCTAATTCCTGATCGATAAGATGTAGGTACATATATGCACCTACCCGATGACCGAAGGTGTACCTACTCTGCTCTAGAGGGCGTCCTCGACAACCCTGTATGTACACACCGCTTTGATCAGCTAATTCTTTCATTGGCCCTGCGCAGGAAGCAAACATTGAGGAGCCTCACCTTTAACACGGTTCTATGGGCTGTAAAGGGCCAAGTAGATACTCCGCTGAAGTGGTGTGAACGTACAGGTTGCCCCCAAGCCCTCTCGTGCCATAGATTAAAGGCACTAGGTATGTATTATTTAGATTAAGACACGTACGTACGTCAGCACCCGTATAGCGAGTCAATCTCCGAGCGCATTATCCAGGCAGGCAGCGAGCCAACCTTCGAGTCCTAAGCAAGCAGCCAACAGCCAGCCCCCGAGTCCCCATAAGCAAACAGCTCGTCAACCCCCGAGAGTCTGAAAACCAAGCTTGGCGTGGGAGCGAGCGGGCGAGTGATGTGTTGTGATCGTAGCCAGACATGCGGCTGATCTGTATTTTTCATAGCTCGAATGACTATGTACAGAAAACTATATACTCTCTAAGGAGCTAGCGCGCGGTCTCGAGATAATCAGCATGAACATTGGGTGGTTTGTACTGGCAGGTTCAGCAATGTCAGCTTAGCTAGCTGGTCACTGGGGGCCCGGTTTGGTTTTGTGGCGCTCGTATCTACGGGTAGGTGCTGGCCAAATTGTGTCTCTGCGTGCTTTTGTGTTTTTGAGGTTTGTTTAGGGGCTTTTGATGTTTGTTTTTGGGCAGTCTATGCACGTTCTGGGCGTTCTTTCTTTTACTAGGTGTTTTTTGCTTTTAATGGAAGTGGTCCCCGTGGTTTACGTTCCGGTGTACTCTATCATGGGCCGGTATGGGCTCTTATTACTATGCCATTCTAATAATATAGAGCTGGTGTATCGCTGTGAATCCTCGGACATGAGCACCTCTGTGGATGGGCCAATGGGTAAACCTGCATCAAGCTGCTTTTTGAATTGGGATTCGTGTGTAGGTGGACTTTCTATATATGACGGCCCAGTCATTTGCGGTAGGCATCACCAAACGGGGGGTGTCCAACACCCGTACAGTTCCAGCCATAATTTCACGATCCACCACTCTCACCAATCCCGAGCCCACACACTCCGTCAAACTGCCACGCCCTTAGTTGCCGCCCAAAATACTATACAAATCACTCCCGTGTCCCTCATTTTTAACTTTCTTTCCCGCCGCCGCTGCCGCGCCCAGTCTAGTAAATAGTAGTAGTAGTAGTAGGAAGCATTTTTTTTTTCTATAGCGCCGGATCCGACTTGATCCTCGTAATATACGCCGCCGACACCGTGTTCCACGCCGCCATGTACTTCTGCATGCAGTTCGTCAGGCACAGGCTCTCGCCCGACGACAGGCTGCTCCCCGGCTTGGGAATGCACTTCTCAAAGCACTTTTCGTTGATTTTCTGCATTGTACATCCCCGTCAGCCACTCTCTCTTCCTGTTTCTCTCTTTCTCTCTTGGGGGGGTGGGGGAGGGTGTACCTCGATGAGCATGCGCGCGTTCTCGACGTTCGTCTCGTGCTGGATCGTCTGCATAAATGCCTACCGCCGCGCGCAAACCATCCAAATCAGCCTCTCCCTCTATACTCCCCAAGCTGGGCCGGGGTGTGTCTGTAAGATATACTAGGTCCATACCTGCTTGCGCTCCTCTTTACTCGCGCTCGGGGGGAGGCTGCCGAAAAGATTGCCGAGGCTAGCCATTGTTTCGTTCCGAGTGTATGTATGTAGGATCTGTGGATTAATCCGGGGGCCGGGTTGCTGAGAGGGCAATTAATTGATTGATTGGCTTAATTACACAGGTGGAAGGGACGGTGACGTTGAGATAGAGTTGGGAAAAATTATTGTTGCGTGTGACGCAACTGTGTGGGATGTGCAGCCGTGATGAGGGATACGCGGTGGGTGTTGCCGGTAGGATGGTGGGGCAATCCAACCAGGATGGGAATCTCCGGATTCGCAGCTCTTGGGAGCTGGGGATGAGATTTTTGCTGTGTAGCCATCTACGGATAGATAGCCCCCCCCCCTGGCGGGTAAGCACGCGGTGTAGAGTAGAGGCTTTGCAAGGTGCGGCTTTTGCTCAACTTTAGGTCATACACCTAACCCTACGGCGCCAAGACAAGATACATGTATGGTGCGCACACCGATAAATGTAGACAAAAATTAGTACAATTTCAAATTTGAATAACTTTTCAACCACGATAGATATCAAAAATCCGGTAGATGAATTTTAAGAACTAGTGATGAAGAATAGATTCATCTACCGGATTTTTGATATCTGTCCTGGTTAAAAAGTTATTCAAATTTGAAATTGAGTATTTTAGTATGTAAAATGCGCCAAGCATTCACAAAGTGGAACAGTATTATACCCATTTATACCCTTAAAGAAGCATTTATACCCTTAAAGAAGCAAATCCGATTAGGCCATAGCAGAAGGGCCTCCTCTTATTGGCCCATGAGGCGATATTGCAGCCACAATTGTTCCACTTCTGTATCTTCTGTACGCCACCCTATCACTTTTATGCGTGTGCGCACCATACCAGCTCAAGATCTTTCGAGATGCGATAGGTAGCCCGAAAATTAAAACGCACCGCCCATGAAAGAGTCCATTGCTATTATACCAGATCCAGCACCTTGAAAATCCTGTCCCTCACCCAACCCGAGACCACCCCGAAACCTACCACACCCGCCTCTAGTTCCCCTCCTGTACAAAGGTTAAGACAAGTATATACGACTTCTAATAAAGGCTTATGACCAGGCAGTGAGCCAGCCAAAGATATATATATGTAAGCTTTATATATCTATCAACACAACGCCATTCCCGCCCGTCAGCATAGCGAGTGATACACCATGACGCGGCTACCCTTCCACTCCCGTTCCCTGACCGCATAGCCGCATGCCCGCCCGCCCGCCCGCGCGGCAATGCAACCACGATGAGATAACACCACACCGGTGCCATCTCATTTCTAGGAACGTGATAGGAGGATTATAGCGCCGGTCCATAACTTGACGGGAAACCCATCTGCTCGTAGCTTCAGGCACCAAAGTCGTCGTCTCGGGGGGTTATGTTTTGGGGGTGTAGATTTGGCAGTGGGTCTAGGATACCCACGATCTGTAAATCTATAGCTAAATAGACATGTATCTACAGCTTTAAAAAGAAGGAGAGAGGGGGGGGGGGGGAAGATTGGGATGGCTATATGTATTCTATAGTCCTTGTAATGACCTACATCTTGAACTTTTTTTAGAACTTTTGGCTTTCTTATTTTTGATGACAGAGATCTAAACAAACCTAGTGCGAGAGTGAAGTTTGACGAGGAAATAGGGCCGGTAGACCCCGCAAGACCACGGCCAGCACTATTTTGTTGTAAGGGTTGTGATATTCTATACTAGTTTTTTTTCCAAAAGCTGGCTGCTTGATTCAGGCTTGCCTAGTGTAATTACGGTATGGAGGCTGGACATAATGGGAATGGGATGATGTGAAGTGGGTGAGTGAGATAAGTGGGAGGCTATATACATGACATCGTGGACTCAGCGAGTAGTAGACCTGCCTGAGCGTAGATAGCACTTCCCTTAGAAACTCCTATATACGAATGCATGGTCTCATCCGTGATTTTTCAACATTACAAGTACGTAAAGGTTAGTAGCATCGCGGCCGGCCATGGATATATATAGCGGGTCCATAACCACCACCATGCCAAGTCCCGCCATCTGCGGGCATAGCTCAGCGGGCATCCACATCGGCGACACACGACATCACTCGGCACCTCCTCCCTACCACCCTACCTCCATACCTACCAACAAACGACCAGACCTTCCGTGGGCGTGACGGGCGGCACAAAAATCACATTCACGACGGCGGCAGCACGATAGATAGACAGCGAAACTTCTCTTGATTCAAACCAACCCAATCAACCTAACGAACTGACTGACTGACTGACCCCCCCCATGCAATCCTCCAAGTTCCAACGGACAGGACACGACTTGCCGGTACATAGTTGACGTTCGATCGACAAGACTGAAACGACAAAGAGGTAGAAAGGAAAAGAAAGAAAGAAAGATGGTATGAAAGACAAGAGAAGCAAAAAGTAAGTAACAAGAAAAGGAACCGACCATAACACCCCGACCGCGCCGACCGACCCATTGGTAAACCGTAAGACAGAGACAGAGATAGCATATCAACTAACTGGCCGCGTGCGTGCGAGCCAACATTTGATAGAAGGGAAAAAGAAAGCAAAAGAAATGAAAATGATATCCGGCGAATTTCCCGCCAACGACAACAACAGCAACAACAACTTTTATCACCTGGGGTCTCCGTGGGGCGCGAACAATAAGACAAAACACACGACAGGTCCACACAACAAAGTATGAAAGGAAAAAAGAAGACGAAAAGTGAAACCACTACTCGTCAGAGTCCTCCTCCTCCTCCTCCTCGTCGTCGTCGTCATTAATATGGACAATTTTAGCCTTGGAAGCCTTAGCAGCGATGCGGCCGCTGGTCCTCTTGACGGTGGCTGCACGAGCATCCTTCTGAACGACGCCAGCAGTGAAAGTCGAAGCCCTTTTTGCATTCGATGCCTTGGACGCCGCGGAACGGTTCGCAGCAATGGTAGAAGCAGTAGCACGAGTTCTGGACGCAGCATATTTATCGTCGATGCGGGAATGAATCAACGACCTGACACTAACGGCCTCAGTTGTAGTCATCGACGACGGGGCAGCAGCAGGATTCCCAGTGACCGCAAGGCGGAACTGATGGCGAGTGGTGGTAGAATGTCTAGTAACTCTCGGCGCTCCAGGAGTCGGGGTGGCAAGCGCTGCCACAGCCGGTGACTTCTTAATGACAACGGCAAAGCCATGGTTTCTGGGTTTAATAGGGTTAACACTGCTCCTAGTAATGCGACGCACCGACTCGGAGAGTTCGTCCTCACTGAGCTCGGCCTCGTCGGTATCATCGCTGGAACTGGGCTCCTCGTCCTCCTCGTCACCGAACTTGGCCGCGGTGAGAATGCCGCTCATGCCACCGGAGCTACCGATCTGCTCAACCTGCCTGTCGAAGCGGACCTTCTTGTACGAGGAAGGCGGGGTAGCAGCAGCGTTATCCATCGGGATATCTTCGTCTCCGTCGTCGTCGACACGCTGGTACCTTGAGCGGTCGAAGCTGGGCATCCTTCTGATGACCACAGCGATGTTACTTCCGTGCTTTTTCCAGAAGCTGGCCTTTGGTTTTTCGAGGCTTCTGTTGAGTTTACCAACCTCAGTGACGAGACTATTCGCCGCGTCGAGAAGATCCTCGTCGGTGTCGCTGGGGACGTCAGCGGTGGTGGTGGGGGTGGGAGTGCTGTTCCTGGTGGTGGTGGTGGTGGTGGTGGTGGTGGTGGTGGAACGCTTTGCAGCAGCAGACGGCCTGGCTCGTGGTCTTGCGGAGCCGGCGAGGGCAAGTTTGCGAGCACGGGTTTTGGCCTTCTTGGGGGCTTTCTTGGAGCGTGTGTAGGCCATTGTGAGAAATAAATGCGAGAGGGGAAGATCGTTTAGAGATGACTTGATATTTGATGAACGAAGCGGGAACGAAGATGATTATTCTCACTGACGAAGGGTGAAGGAAGAAGGAAGAGGGAGGGGGAGGAGGGGAAGAGGGGTAGTGGTCTCGAGGGTTGGTGGGTCACTTGCTTTCTCGGCGTTGGAGCGGCCTTAAGGAGTGCGCAGACGGTCGAGTGATATTCCATGAACGCCTATCCCCGCCCCTGGTAGCTCACAATCAACATACAATTTACATTTTCCCCTTTCTTTTTCACTTTTCTATTATATCTAACTCTTTTTACCACACACATATTATTTTCACCGAGCATTTTGTTACTCTCGTGGCAGCTGGAAGGAGCTGTGTAGCCCATGCCCGCTTTAGAGACATTCGTGGGGGACTCGAGATGTGTAGCAGAGACTGCGCAACGGGTGTCACACTCGAAGCTGAAACACGTTTTTTTGGGCTAAAAGTCATTTTGTGTCGGGGTTTTGCTGTAACAATGGCTTTTGGATTTTTTTAAAGAAATTTATTATTTAGATAAAGTGGGAATGAGCATATGAGTTTCTTTTATGCACAGCTTGATTGGTGGCATCTATTGCATGCAAGATGTGTTTTACATTCATATGTATATAATTGTTTATGTTCATTCCCCCCATCAAGAACCAGCAGCAGAAGAACCCCAGACCCAATGCATTATTAAAATAAAAAAAAAAAAGGAAAAGCCAAACCAGCCTATCAACCCGTCTACACCCCCCTCTACGCGCCCCCGCCTTCTTCTTCTCCTCCGCCTCCCTCTTCCTCTGCAGATACCTCTCCCTCGCCCCCATGACCTCCCCCTCCGTCTTACGACTCTTCGCCGCCCTCTCCAGCCCCCTCCTCTCCTCCTCCTCCGCCTCCAGCGCCCTCTTGTGCGCGGCCGCCAGCTGCTCCTCCACCATCCTGCTCTGCCGCGCCCTCGCGTCCTCCCTCTTCCCGCCCACGCCCTGCCACCCCTGCTTCCTCTCACCCCCGCGCGGCAGCTTCACCCCCGCCGCCACCCCGCGCGGCTTCGCGCTGACGTTCAGCCCCCCCTCGAGCAGCTGCGTCTTGTCCACCACCACACCCTCCTCATTCACCTCCAGTCCCCTCTCCCTTGCCAGCTCCGCCTCCCCCTTCTCCTTCTCCTTCTCCTTCTCCTTCCCCTCCTTCTCCGCCCTCTCCCCCCCTTCCACCCCCTTCACCCCCCTCACCCCCGCCTCCACCAGCGCCCCATGCCGCTCCTCCCCCCGCTCCAACACCCCCCTCCAAAACCCACTCCCCCCCCACCCCCCTCCCTCCGCCTCCTCTCCTCCCGCTCCTCCTTCTCCCTTTCCCGCGCCGCCTCCGCAGCAACCTCCGCCCGCTGCCGCCGATACGCGTCCGTCACGAACGTCTCCTTGTCCGCATACTCCTCGCCCTCCGCCGCGCGCTCCTTCGCCAGCGCGCGCTCCTTCGCAACCAGCGCGTCGCGCTTGCGCACCTCTGCCGCGGAGAGCAGCGACGCCATGTATTTCGGCTGCCGGGCGGCGTCGGCGGCGGTGGGCGCGGCGGAGAGCGTGCGCAGGGTGGACATGGAGTCCCAGGCGGTGTCGTAGTCGTAGATTGTGGGGTCGATGTCGGTTGGGGGGGGGCGAGGGTGGAGGAGGAGGAGGGGGCGGTGGAGGCGAGTTGCGCGTTGACGCGGGCTTTGTCTTTTGCGGCGGCGGATTTGGGTTTGGGCTTTGATTTGGAGGAGAAGGCGGTGGTGGTGGGGGGGTCGGAGTCGGAGTCGGAGCCGGAGTCGGCGGCGAAGTTCTGCAGAGGCTTTTTTGGCTTGGGGGGGCCGGTGGGTTTGGGGGGTTTGGGGAGGGTGATTTTGGGTGGCATTGTGGGCGTGGTTATGGGTTGTGAGTATTATGGTGTAATTGGGGGGGGGGAGGAGGTCCCAGTCTATGGTATGGTTTGGTATAGTATGGGGGCAGTGAGTGGTTGGTGGGTGTCGTGAATTAGATGAGTGGTTTCGTTGGTTCCGTGAGTCAATCAATGGTGGTGGTTATATCTCTCTCCACTATAGATATCGGTGGTGAGTCTCGTGGGTGATGCAGTGCAGGCAGGGCTGAGCAGAAGCAACTGGGTGCAGTGCAGGCTTATCGCAGCGGCGTATCTACAGGTCCAGGGCGCGCAGATCTTGTCACGGCACCGCGGTAGAGCAGGTAGTGTGGGAATTGGCCAATGGGGATGCAGGATGTTTTGACCTTGTAGATAGGGCAGTAGGAGATATTAGATTAGATTGGGGATGCTGTGCATGTGGGATGATGAGTCGAGAGGCTGATATGATGCTGATATAGTTATTAATGGCCTAGGTATAAAGGTCCATATCATGTAGACATCAACAGGGAGAGATGTAGCTATTCAATTTACCCGCAGCCAATCCCACCGTGTGGGGTGTATTAACATTGAAATGACTGAAGAGAAGTGGATGTGGTATTTATTGGGGGGCCTTGCCGCCGTTCAGCGGTCGCAATCGGTATCCACAGTTGCACAGCTGCATACACAGTTACTCAGCTCAGGCACAAGCACAAGCACGAGGCGGGACACGAAGCACGAGACGGACACGAAGCACGAGACGGACACGAAGCACGAGACGGACACGAAGCACGAGACGGACACGAAGCACGAGACGGACACGAAGCACGAAACTCACAACCCGCCAGCCCGCACGTGTCCTCACCTCACAACCTCCCACCCCCGCCGGCGTCGAAGCTCTCTACCTCCTACAACCCGCAACCCCCCCCTAGAACCTCCCTCCATCTCTACCTCCACCCACACCTCCACCCACACCTCCACCTCTCTCTCCCACACCCACTATGTCTACCCCCACCGAGACCACCAGCACCCCCCCGCCGCCACCGACTCCCCCTCACCCTCACCCGCGCCCGAATCCACCGCGCCCCCACCTACCACCACAACCACAACCACAACCACCGCCCCAGAGGAGTCCTCCGTCCCCGACATACCTGGCATCAAGGCGGACCACAAGCTCGCGCAGATGCTGCGCAAAGAAGTCGCCGAGATGCTCGGCCGCACCAGCACGGGCTTCCCCGGCGCGCAGCCCGTCTCCTTCGCCGCCAAGCACCTCGAGGAGCTCAAGCGCACCGAGTAACTCTCCCCCCCCCCCCCCCCTGCCCCACCACTCCCCTACTCCCCCACTACTCACCGCTAACGTCGCGGGACACCAGCTACTACCTGTGCGAGAAGAGCGACGGCATCCGCTGCCTGCTGTACTTTACGCGCGACGGCGACCAGGAGGTGCACTACCTGATTGACCGCAAGAACGACTACTACTGGGTGCGCAACCTGCACTTTCCGCTGCCGGGCGACGACACGTTCCGCGGCTTCCACACCGAGACGCTGATTGACGGCGAGCTCGTGCTGGACGACGTGGGCGAGGGCAAGAAGCTCCTGCGCTTCTTGGTCTTTGACTGTCTCATGCTGGACAACCAGCGCATGATGCATCGCATGCTGGATAAGCGGTTGGGCGTAAGTTTCATCCCCCCCCGGCGCGGCGGAGTAGGTAGGTAGTGTGTGGGGGAGAGGACGGGGATGGCTAATTGAACCTACGTGTGTGGTTCTGTGTACAGTACGTCATGGAGCGCATCTACAAGCCATACAAGCACCTCTGCAAAGCCTTCCGCGACGAAGTGCAATTCTTCCCCTTCCAGATCGAGTTCAAAAAGATGGAATTCAGCTACAGCATCCAATGGATGTTCGACTCCGTCCTGCCCAAGCTCCCGCACGGCAATGACGGGCTAATCTTCACCTGCCGCACCACGCCCTATAAATGCGGCACCGACGCCCACATCATCAAATGGAAGCCCGCGCTCGAAAACAGCATCGACTTCCGCCTCAACCTCGAGTTCCCCCTGCTGCCGCCATCCTCACCCTCCTCCTCCTCGCCCTCGCGCGAGAGCACGCCCGAGCACGACTACCACGCCATGCCCACGTTCCATCTGAGCGTGTTCATGGGCGACGACGCGTACAAGAAATGGGCGCAGATGCACGTGACGGCGGAGGAGTGGGAGGGGCTCAAGGGGATGGGCGTGCCGCTGGACGACGCGATTGTCGAGTGCGCGATGGACAAGGAGGGCAGGTGGCGCTATATGCGCTTCCGCAAGGATAAGAAGCATGCGAACCATATATCGACGGTGGACAGCGTCATGGAGAGCGTGAGGGATGCGGTGGGCAGGGAGGAGCTGATCGCCGTGCAGGCGGAGGTGAGGAAGGCGTGGAAGGCGCGGGCGGCGGTGGTGGCGGATTTGGAGAGGGGGGAGGCGAGTAAGAAGGTTAGGAGGTAGTGGGGTGTGTGGTGTGTGGTGTAGGGGGCGGGGGCGGGAGGGGAGGGGAGGGGGGAGGGGGGATGGGGTTTTTTCAAAAGTTTTCGGGGGTCAGAGGATATTCGACTCTTGCTGTGTTTTTTCAGTTTCTGTTTCTGTTCTTTTTTTCTCTATATATCTGTTCTGCTTTGCCACAAACCGTTTCGTTAGGTATCCCCCCCCCCCCCCCCAATCGCCGTTTTTGATTTTCTAGTTTTTGATTTTCTTCCACTCTCCGTCTTCGTTCCCAGTTCCGTTATATCTCCTTTCATCCATCCATCTCATTATCGACTCCCCCCCTCCTCTATCTCTCCTCTCTCTCCTCTCCCCGCTCCTCTCCCCGCTCCTCTCCCTCCCACCTCCAGGTCAGAGAGAGCAGTCAATAAGTCAGTCCGCGTTAGTCAGTCAGTCAGCCAGTCAGTCAGTCAGGTCGGTCCGGTGTTCTGGGTTTTCTCTCTATATTATCTTTTATCTCTCTCCATATTATCCCTCCTCGTTTCCTCGTTTCCTTCTCCTCAATTGCAGCCGGTAATGATTTCCACACACACCAAACACACCAAACACACCAAACACCAAACACAACGAAAAAAAAAAAAAAAAAAAAAAAGAGTCGTTAAGTTATACGGATATAAGTTCTTGTAGCCTATAGCTATGTTAGTTAGATGAAAGAAAGAAAGAAAGAAAGAAAGAAAGAAAAAAAAAGGATCAATAAGATTGGCGGCGTTTTCTTTTTTTTTTTTTTGTTACTTTAATTTTATTTTGTTTGCTGTTGGGTCTTGCACGGTTTTCTAGAGATGTTGCGTGATGTGGTGTGGTTTTGGGTTGGTGAGTGGACGAGGGATGGACCGGGGGGGGAGTCATGGCGTATCACTCGTCCGCATCATCGGGCGGGCGGGTAGGGATGGCGGGGACGGTGAGAGGATACTGTGTTGCGGGGATGGTGGTGTTGTGGGCTTTGTCTGGTGGTACAGGCCGGAGGGGTCATGGGATAGCTGTTTTTCTTTTTTTTCTTTTTTTTTTTTTTTTTCCCTTGCTGCGTGGGGTGTTTTGGTTCGTGGGGTGGTGGTGGTGAGGGAGTCATGGAATGTCACTCATGTTGAGTATTACGTGTGGGTTTATGAGGATAGGGAATGGGCTATGTTTTCCAGGTGTCTGTCTGGTGGTTGCTATAAGGGATCGTTCTAGAGTACGTGAAGAGAACCATAGAGACTAGTAACTATATATTAATAATATATTTCCGCACTACATACTCTAACCATCCCCCACCCACCCACTCCTGGTCCACAAGCATCTAGACGGGGGTACAGTCCCCAACACACCCACACGCCAAAACCAAAACAAAAAAAGCACAACAAACAAACACCCCCCCCCCCCACTACCCCAACAACGGGATCCACGTCCTCGTCCTCTCCCTATACCTAACATACTCCTCCCCAAAGAAGCCCACCAACAGCCTCTCCTCCGCCTCAATCCTAGCACTAAAGAACCTCCACAGCACGGCCGCATACGCAACCGCGCACAGCGGGTTCCCGAGCATCAACTGCGTGCCAATGCCCCACCAGAAGAAGCCAAAATACGACGGGTGGCGCAGCCACGCATAGATGCCGTCCGTCACGAGCACATGGCCGCGCTCGTGGTTGAGCGCGACCAGATGCGTGAAGTTTGTGCCCGCGTGGGCCATCGCGTATGAGCGCGCGAGCTGGCCGACGACGACAAGGAGCACGCCGAGCACCGTGGGGAGCGTGTGCGTCTTGAGGTGTGGGAGGAAGACGGCTTCGAGGAGGGCCTCGGCGAAGGCGGAGGCGTGCGCGATGTTCCAGGCGGCGCCGTTGCTGGTGAGGAGGAATGCTGTTTGCGCCCCCGTTAGTGTTGGTGTTTCTGTCGTGGTGGAAGGGGGAAGGGGGAAGGGGGAAGGGGGGGTTACATTTGACTTCTGCCTTCCGTGTGTTGAAGCGCGCTGTGATCCAGAACTCAAAGAAGTGGAAGACGGCGAGTGCCGCAGCAAACATTGGGAGCTGCCAGTATGACGCGCGGAGCTGCCACGCGGCTGCGATGCTGCCTGCTGCGACGGCGCCGAGGGCGCCGGCGCGGAGGGCGATGGCGTCGAGGGCGAAGGGGTGCCCGGGGTAGAGGTAGGACGGTGGCTCGAAGTTGGGCGAGCCTGGGTAGCTGCTGCGCGTGGGGGGGTTGTAGGCGCGGGAGGAGGAGCGGGGCGGGAAAGCGGACCGGTCGGGGTCGGACATGGTGGTTGATTGTAGTAGTGGTGATTGATGGTGGTGGTGGTGGGAGGAGTTGGTATAGGTTGTGGGAAGTGGGAGTTATCTGGTTGCTCCTTGTGCTTCGAGAACGGAGGTGCTCTTGTTGCTTGTCCAGGGTTACACAATGTTCTTGGCGGGTAGATCTGCGTATTTATCATTTCCAGCCCAGCTGGGCAGAGCGGGCTGCGGACGATGCCAGCAGTTTTGTCTTTTTCGCAGTTACGGAAATAGCAATGTAAAAAGATACATGTATCGTTTCGTTCTTTCAAAAAAAAAAAAAAAAAAAAAAAAACACTAGATTATAACAAAGTTGACTAATAACTACACCAGGACGGGTACGCAGAGCCAACATTGCAGCCGCATGGTATATCCCGGAAACACAAATGAAATTTCTATATATATTGATACATAAACCGTAAATATGATTTGAGGAATCCAACACCAGTGCTGCCCGCGCGTATATTCTACAGCATACTCCTGATGCCTTCAACGCCCTCTGGCTTCTCCTTTCCGAAAAGGACCTTCTCCCTTCCTCCCATCGTCCACCACTTGACTGCAACCTCTGCCCTCTCCACATCAAGCTCGCTACTCAAGACATCCCAAAATCTCTCCCGAATTCTTAGCTTACTTCCTGGGTTCTCCACCATATCCAGAAGCTCTGCTGTGGGTTCAAGCCATCGTTCCATGGCGTTGACTTGCATTGATGGAAGCCCGTCAATCAGCGCAAGTATGCACACATCCTTTTCACTCAACCCCACAGCTCCTTCGTCGACTAGATTTGGCAGAGGCTCGGTAGAAGCCCGTGCTGCACGGTCGCACAAAATCTCGAGAATTACGTCTGTCAAATGCGGCTGAAGCTTCGAAATAGGTTGTGGTGGACTGCATTCCCTAATGATTGTGCCGAACGCCAGACGGAACTGTCGGGCCGAGAGAGATGTCGGGAATGCCTCGAATGCTGATTCGATATAGAAAGGCAGGATGCGAGAGCCCAGCTCTGCCGAAGACGGTGAGCTAATAATGGAAAGCATGACAGAGTGGGCGGCTTCAAAGTGTGCATGTAAGCTGGCTTCTAGCCCACCTGCAAGGTATGGTGATGTAGCAGGTATCACAATTTCTTCATTGACCGATTGCGATATGGATAGTGAAAAGTGCTCAACAGTATTCAAAAAGAAAAGGTCCAATATGCGGTCTGGTAGTTTCTTAGGAATACTTCCGGCTAGGTTACGTTAGTGCTGGTCAAACGTGTCATGACTATGTGTTGTAGTATTTACCTTCTGTAGGCACAATCCCCTTGACAAACTCCTCCGCCTGAGGGGGGTAAGAAGATAAGATGTCGATAGCAGCAAAGTAGACAAAATTGTATGAAGAAAAGGCATTGGGGCCTAGTCTTGAGGTGATAAAGTAAAATCCACGCAACACGTGCAATACCTTAGAAGCTATCATAGGGCCATCTATTGAAATTAGTAAATTTAGCTTTGGAGGGTCATCAAGGTCAGACCTACTCTCGGAGTCGCACAACGCCGGTGACTCGGCAACCCGTGACATCAACTCTTGGAGTATCAAGGTTGACGCAAAAAGTATAGACTTCAAGATTTGCCAGACAACAGGAATTGTTGCTTTTAATGAGTCTTCGTCAACCAAGTTTGCTTCTTCTGACATTGGAATTTCGCTGAGCCCATTCATTTTCCATTGTGCAGTCAGAATATGGGAGAAATTGAGAAGACTGTAGAGCTATTAGTCTGCGGCTCCAATATTCTATAAAGTCTAGACCAATCTACCTTTCCAAGAAAGCGTGTAAGACGGCAGGTTCTTGGGCGTGCCTTATTGAAGCTGCTGCCAATCGAGCTAGGCCGCTCATAGCTGCAAACATGGGTCTACCAGACCGGTTTTGGAGCTCGAGAAAGGAGTTGGATTTACTCTAGGTAACTTTTAGCAAATAATAAGATTAGGAAATCTTATTGCAACGTACCGGCCAAGCAAGTTTGCCTTCAATATTCATGATATCATGGTCAATAGTCGAAAGAAAATAGCCCGATTGAAAACCCTCCCGAGAATAGTATATTGATTTGATAACTACTGGGAGAAGAGCCTTTGGATGATTAGATATAATGTTTTACATAGGACTAAGAAAAACTTACATCGTAATTAATGACCTCTTTCGCCTTTCTCGAGAGACTTTGCATTGCATGTGATAATATAAGACTTAAGGTGTCCGCCTCAAGCTCTAGCCAAGATTAATAAAATCCAAATATTTTGAATTACGGTAAATACCATTTGTTTCATTTGTTTCCACCGAAAGATTTACAGCTCTACAAAAAGCTTCCTCTAAGCTTCGCCGAGTTACCCGAGGCAAATGAGATCTCTCCTGATCTGCTGAAAGAATACCCCCCAGCAATAACAGATGTTTCCACCTGGGAACTATCCAATATTAGCGCCGTAGGACAATTTCCAAGAAGAAATTGAGAATACCATTGTTATTGGCCCCCGAACTATAGCATTAATCCATTCCTCGACACTCAATATGGATATGGAGTCTTGATTCTCAATTTTTCCCAGAGTCGCTGATTGAAACACCCCAAATACCCGCAGGCCTGCCTTCAGCCCGTCAAAATTCTCCCATATAGCAGGCGAAATCAATATCTGGGTCGAGAGTAAAGAAACATTGAGCGGATTCGTTAAGGTTGCGAGTACTGTTGCTGCCGAGGCGTAAACACTGGACAAAGAAGTTAGCTCGCGTTCGGAAAGCAAGGGGGGGTGTTCAACGAACCGTGAAGCATCTGCGCTGTTTGGATCTGCCTGGCCTGGCTGTAGCAGGATCCGGAGAATATTATCGAGGCGCCTGTCAACTACCATGGTGATAAATCGTGTCTAGGGGGTGTTTGAAGCGTAGCAGAATAGAGCTCGGGGGTGTCGGAGGTGTCGTGTTGACGTCCTCTGCCAAGGATTACGAATTGGACCATGTTCCGTGACACAAGCTCCATAGGCGCCCTCATCGAACCTCGGATGTGCTCCAGATGAAGAGCTTCCTACCCAGATGAGGCTGAAAACGCCTAAGAAGCTGGAAAGAATAGAGATTGCGATGGTCTCCTGGAAGTACGTCTCCTACAGTTGAATCTTCTTGTAGTGCTACTCTTCCCCCCTTACTAACAAGCTCTAATGCAGTTATCATCTGAGTTCTGTAGCTCCCCCGGGCTACGACACGCCTCCATTCCCGTCTCTATATTGGCCCATAAACCCTAAACCCGGGGCTACAGCATATCTCTTCTACAGTACAGATATATGGAGGTTCACGATTTTCTGGACGTTGATTGTTTATGCCGCGTTCCACCTTGCAGCCGGTATTTGGGCATTTGCGATGCACCCGACTAAACTGTCTTTTGGGGTGCCATTCCTATATGCCATACTTGGAGGTATTGAGGCTGCAATGTCAGGAACAATAGTGGGTTTTATGTAGGTTTCAAGGTCTCTAAATTGTCGTGTTTATGCCACCAAGATGCTGACACCAAGGTCAACTTGTAGACTTGCGGCTGTTTATAATGCAGGTAAGAAAAACCCACAGAAAATGAAACCATCATAGTGCAATGCTAACTGTCAAAAAGGGTTTTTCCGCATGAGCACTTGGATTCCGTTTGTGTGGTCCATCATTAACGTGATGGTCCTTCTGATATCATCCTTTTCTCTCCAGGGCGGCTTGTAGGATATCATGTGGTGTGTTTTAGAATTAATGTGTAATATCAATATTGTTGAGCATATTCCTCGCCTTATACCTACGTTTGGATGGCAGTCATTCAAAAATCCTCGTACGGATCAGAGAATAAAAGCTGGGGACTCATTCGTTATATGTACCACTTATATTTTGCTCTCGGCGTGAAGTAAGCTTCAAGAATAGGCTGGGCACAAGACTAGTAGTAACCGGACCTCCGGCAGCCGATGTATCCCCGCATAATTCGCTTGATAAATTAGCGAGCACCTCCTCAGGGCCCTATTTCTTTGACCCCACATTCCCTAGATTCAGTTTAGCTACTATCAATAACCTCTTCCTCCACCACAAACATATCTTTTATAAATACAGGCACGATGGTGGTTGCAGGGAAACTTCGTAAGCAATTACCATACAAGTCATGCAACACCACAGAATTGATTGAACTGACCAAGCCCCGGATATTATAGAGAATCCAGCAGTTCTGTGAGTATTATTCCATGCGCCAACAATAGGACAAACGTTAACATCTGTCTTACCTGGAGCATTTGCGATATGCAAGAGAAATTTCGCCAACCAATCTATGGATTTGAACATTGGTACTACATCTACCAATAGAGCTCATATCATACATGTTTCTATAGTTCTGACAACCTTACAGCGTCGCTACAGCTAAGAAGCTCCTTGAAGCGAGTAATTCTACCCCAAATCAAAGCAAGGTATTATAATAAAGTGATTGTTTAACATGTGCATGTCTTTAAAGCCAAAATCCTTGATATCCCCGTCTACGTAACTACACAGAACAGAGCCCGCCTTGGAGAGACTGTCTCTGAGCTTTCCATCGAGCATGCAAAAGGCGACTGGGATAAGACCCTATTCTCTATGGCTATTCCAGAGCTTAAATCGGCATTGTCACATGCTCCTCACTCCATAGCCATCGTTGGTATCGAAAGTCATATCTGTGTGACCCAAACAACTCTAGGTACGTCCTTTCTATTCAGATAATCCCGCTTACTGGACCAACAAATTGAAACTCCTACAAACTAGATCTCTTAAAGCTGGGGCATAAGGTCTACGTACTAGCCGATGGAGTATCTTCCTGTAATAAACAAGAAGTGCCTCTGGCACTAGCCAGATTGCGCGCGGAGGGCGCCATCATCACAAGCAGTGAAAGTTGGATATATGAAGTTATGGGTGATGCCAGCATTGAAGAGTAAGTTCTATATTACCAAAAGCAGATAAAAGGCTTCTTCAAACTTCGATGACTGAGACTAATTTACCACTATTTAGGTTTCGAAAGATTGCCTCTGTGGTCAAAGATACAAAACAGTCAACCTCAATGTCCCTTCAATCTCTCTTGTAACGGTTTGATCAGTAATAGGTATGGAGGTAGCTTTGGTAATTAGGATAACTTGTTTCTCTATCTATTTTCTATACCTTACATTGCCTGAAATGAAGTCATCGATTATCTATTGTTGGTAGGACTCGACTTGTTTTATCTTTGGTTCCATGACAAAAACAGCTAGTAAACTTGCTGTAACACATTACCGTTATTTCCCCAATTGAAACTTGATCTCGCTGCCAGAATCCTTCTCAGACGAACCTCTCAGTCATCTGTTTACCTAGATAATCCGGCAAAGAAACAGGTCAAGGAATTAAAAATAGTAAGACATAAGTTTATTTCAATAATCCTCAAGGTCACGCGGGCAGTGCCTCGATGAAATCCATAAAAGTTAAGCAATCTGAAGTCAGAGCGCGCTGCGTCCCCTAATAAAACATTCGAATCCACCGCTCCTTAAATGGCTGTAAAGGGATTTACCCCAGTACTTCTAATGTATGCTTGATTCGTCTTTCCCTCTATCATCTACTCAACAGCCGATGTCGAGCTTTTTGATGCCATCCAGTGAAACGCTGAAGCACCTCCAATTACGTTCGTTGACTTGGGTTTTGGAATCAAGGCAGGGTTTCCCATAGAGAACGATGGTTGAACCTCTGCCGAGCTTGTTCGGCGTTGGGATCGAACATGTGTCTTCTCTAGTGTGCTAGTACCATTGGCACTAAGTGAGGAGTCGATTCTGGCAAACCCTTGGGAAGTATGTGCTGTAGTTGGATTTGCGGAATCAGGTTCGTCTGCCACAACACCACTACCCTCTGATTTGTGACTTGCTCTTGCATCGGACAAGGACGAAGATTTTGATGTACGGAGAACTTTCATCCCACGTGATGGTGCCTGAGAATCCTTTTTTTGCGTCATCTGGCCCTTCCTCCACGATTCCCAGACCCCCACAGTACCCTTTGCATTCCCATTTCCTGACCCGGCCCCGCCAGATTTGATACTGTTAGCATTCCAAAAGCTACCCTCCCCATCGCTCTTGGCTCTACGATCGGTATATCGAGACTCTTTTGTGGTCTCTTCGTTCGAAGAAGCTCCAGCCTCACTTGAAAATCCGAATCCCACCGTGAGTTCCTCCTTATGTCCTATGGCACGTTTCTTTTCGAACCCATTTCCTCCAGAATGATGTATACTGTTTCTTCTATGGTTATCCTTCTTTGACGGTTCTTCAAGAGTTTCAGATGACTCGGGTGGCGAAACACTGCTGATGACTGCTGCTTTCCGGCCCCGAACTGGCTTCGGCGACGAAACCGGAATCTGACCTCGCACTGTAGGCTCTTCTATAGCTAGTTCGGAACTTTCACCTTTGGAGGGCCCATCCATACAACCAACTCTGGTAGCAGATCCTTGTTTTTGGTTTTCGATTAAAAGCTGTTCTTCCAATCGATGTTCCGAAAGTTGGTCGCCAATGTGTATTGTACAAACATCCGAAACTCCAGCTTGGGAACCGGGGCGAGCAAAAGGTACAAACATTTTCCGGCCATCATCTACGTATAAAAGCAACTGGCTTTGTGAAAACAACACGTCCCCCATATGGTCTGACAGAACATCGCTCCCTAGAAAGATTCCAACCTCATTTTCCATTTGACTTGACTTTCGACTTGGAGCTACAGTAAATTGGACTGTTAGCTTTGGTAGCTGTGTTTGGCCATTTCCCCTTGTTGGTTGTTGAATCGTCGCATCAGGAAGATATATTGCCAGACTGATTTTGTATTCACCATCCTTCCCCTTGACCATCTGGTCCTGCAATCCAAACCTGGTGACCAGAGAAGCATCAACCAAAGATTTAACCGAACCCGTGCAAACTACAGCATATAGTAAGGAGTCAAATGAGGAGGCAGTGTCAAGCCAGCAGCGAACAATTGCTGGTGCTGGGCCAGTGGTAGGTGCAGAAGGTCGGTGTGCGTCGCAGTCTAAGATATCGAAGTTCTGGGGAGGTGGGTGGAAATGCACACCAGTATCACCTTCAAAAAAGGAGCTGTTGTCACCATAAGAACGCATGGAGCTCTGTCTTCCGTCTGATTTGTAGTCGGACTTGTGGGATGACGACCTCTCGGTCATGGGATATCCACCTCCTCCTATCCCACTGTTGTTTCGAGGACCGAAATAATCGTTTGAACTTTGAGAATCATGAATCCAGTGACTCTGTATAGCACTATCAAAACGCACACTGTTTGCTCGCGAGGCACCTCTCCTCGGTACATCAACGTCATCCAATCGCAAATCTGCCAACAAATTCTCCTCGTCGAAGCCGTTAAAATCATCAGCAGGTTCGGAGTTGACAGGTTCTACCAAAATAACTACAGTGTCAGCTTAGTCGAGGACCATATGACTTTGAAGAAAAGAGAGGGGGGGGGGCAAGCGAGAACCCTGAGAAGAAAGCCTACGTTGGGAAAACGAGCCGGAACTCAGCATAGGCGGAAATGGTGAAGGTGTGCTCCATAAGGAACGAATTTTTGAGTCATCCTGTTGCTGCTCAAGCCGACCAATTCTCTCAGAATGTTGGGTGAGACGCTCAGCGTGCTCAAAGTGGGCAGCTTTTAACATTCGAATTTCTTCAGTTAAATCGTGCACCCCCCAGAATTGCTGAGGTGCATTGAACATCTCCATCACCTAGGAGCACATGCACAACTCCTCCTGGAGGCAAGCCTCACTTTTTAATGAGTGTCTCTTCGCGATACCTCCCTAGCTTTTAGTGCTGTATGCCTCGGTGTTGCAAATTCCGCTATAGCCAACGAATAAGTGGGAGGCGACGACGCTATGTAATGACTAATAACGGGTAGATGTAATCAGGAAGAGCTGTCGAGTATGTACTTAAATGGTAGTGTACTTAATGAGTAACTCGGGATGCGAGATGAGAGAGTGATTTAGAGAGAACTTGTAGTAAATTCGATGGGAGCTGCCGTAGAAGTGGGGATTTCGTGAAGTTCACGGTTGAGAGGGACGTTGCGGGTGACTACAGCAACGAAATCCAAAAGCGCCAGATATGATGCCTTCCACCACTAATTCGGCGTCCCGGATTGTTTTCGGAAATGCCTTTGTTTTCTAGAATTCTTGCAACAGCTCAGAGGTAACTATGAGATGAGGAGTGTGCAACCGATGTACCAGGGGAAGCTTAATAAGTACATGAAATTTAGCAAAGACATGCACAGACTCCTACTGCTGTATTTATCTGTTCCGTACGTACTCTGGAATCTTAATTGATACAGTATGTGCTATACCTACATGTATGTACTTACTCTACAACCCTACACGTGTCTTACATAAACTTGTAATCATTGAAAGTTTGGTATATATAGAAGTGTATATAGATGCACAGGAAATCCGCAACTATGATCTAGATTCTAGTTACTACATGTAGGTACATACATATGTAAGTATGTAAAGTGAGTAAGACTTTTCCAACTATTTTCTTCGCCTTGATAAGCCGCGGTATCTACTCAGGTGCAGCTTTTGGGGCCACATGCCAGAAAGGGAATACGTAATCCAGTTCTGTTGGGTGTAGTTGGGGGAGGTCGGTTTTGATAACATCCATCAAGCACTCATACAAAATTTTGTACCTTTAGTGAATAGAGGTTAGTATATATCCAAATAGGTTGCACTCGTTGGAATGGAATATGATTTCAAAAATTACCCTTGAGGGGAAAAATGAAGGCCTATATGTATTTGTATTTTATTAGCACTTCATTTCCATGAATAAACGCTTTCATAGAAGTACTATAGACCCACCATCTCGAAATAGGTCTGAGAGCTTTTGGTTCTTTGGAATCTCTTTTGATCCTGGCAAATGCTTATTAACTTCATATCCGCCAGCGTGGTTAATAAATGCGTTCCATAAGTCAACGGTTGGTAGACCGAGCTCTCTTCCGACTACTAGGGCTGCATCTGAATATTGTTTTGTAACAGCAGCTAGTCGCTGGACATAATTAATTTTATTGGAAGAATCGTGTTCCTGCGTATCGTATTCACAAATTGGAGCAGGGCCAACCAGAATAAACTCTGGATTGTGTGCTTTCAAGCTTGAGTGGTCGAGTATCCTGTATAGGTTCCTAGAATACTGGTCCAAGGGTACATGCTGTGGCAGGCCAGGAAGGACAGCATCATTGGCGCCCAAAAAGACGACCTACCACAACAAAGGTCAGAATGAGATCAAGAAAGCTTTTGATAAGTTTGGATAAAAGAAGGAAACTGCTGACTGTAAGTTTAATCCGGGAGCTAGGACTGGGTAGCGGGATAATCTTTGGAAGAACATCAAGCGCGTGAAGAGTATTATATCCACTGGCGGTGCATCAGCAAGACTGAGTTCTTCCCCAGCTACAGTTATTCGTATCAAACCTGAATCCTCTATTTACTACTTCTAACCTGCGTTTATATGCTGGAAAGGTTAGTATAAACATATAGAATCTCACCGTCAAACAAATATGGCAATAGCTTACCATCTGCCAATGCTGCACCGAATCCAAAACCTCTTGTGAGACAGAACGCCACTTTTTAGCACATGACAAGTTTCTTGTGTAAAGAAAAAAGGAAAGAAAAGGAAAGAAAAGAAAAAAAATCAGATAATGCGTGTATTTATATTTACCTTGTCTGTTCATACGACTGCTCTGTTATTGAGTCCCCGAACAAAAGAATCTTATCGTAGTCTGCGAATGCCATCTTGAGTAGTTAGAAGTGGCCAGAGTGAGGAGGTCCAGGACGGCAGGTATTTAAAGCTTGTCTAGAGTATGGTTCACCCGTACGTAATAGTAAATAAGTTGTAACCTCAAAGGTACAGCCTGATCTAAGTACAGACACCTCTAGCGTTAAATAGGTTTTTACTAAGGTGAGGGGTTGAGTTGGAGATGCAGCTTAGTCTACCACGAAAGCAAAGTATGAACCACCGAGAAGGCAATATATGCCGACTCAGGTACTACATAGATAGGTGGGTAGAGTAGATACATCTTATCAGTAAAGTACCAGCTGTCGGTGAGTACACTGTAGAGTACATACTCTAGTACCACATGTAACTATCCCAATTTCTGGCGTGTAGGTATCATATCTCCCGATTGTTCAGCTCCCTGACCAATAGGGTTGTAATATGAAGTGGAGAAGATACATACCGGCAGCGGCGTTTAGAGGGTGGGTGGTCGTGGGTGTAATGCAGGCTCAAACGGTTTATCCCAAGGGTCCTGCACCGCTCTGCCCTTTTCTAACTGCACAATCATGTTATATGTACCTACTCTATGTACAGTAGGTACATGCATGTAGGACATGTAGTTACAGTCCAATATGATATTACGATTGGATTAGTCCTCAAAAATGAAATAAAGTCTTGCGATTTATAATAAACATATGTATACAAAAATGCAAATATATATATTAATATGACGATGGATCCGCGTCCTGGCCCCGACACATCCCTGAATTATCCCAGGTGACACTCAATCACGCGTGCGCTTAAGACCGCCCCCACGAGATAGACCACAGTGATATTAGAAGAAAAAACCCTACTCCTGCCCTTTGTCTTTCGTCTTATCTTTCTCCCGGAGTCATACACTGTCGCACCTTTTCTTTTGAATCCCTCTCTGTTCGGTGCACTCTGGATATACATTGCAACACACTCCCGCGCGATGGAAGGGGAAAGTACCAACGACTCAAGGCGTCGGGCCTCTGAGGAGGACCTTATAGGAGGCCGGAGATCCAGAAGTCACCGTCGGAGATTATCGGCTTCATCCCGCAATACCGATTGGAATGAGCGATCTAGTTTACTTGGGGTTCAGGAACCTCATGGACGTCGACGAGACTACTCAACAGTTCCTTCGACGCCTCGCCCGCGAATTTCCCGGCATCACTCGACCGTTTCTCCGCAGGACACCCAAAGTCGGATTCCCTCCTTTGCGCAGCGACTGACAAGCGCACTATCAAGTTACGATCTGAAGAACAAAACAACCGAGTCGCTACTAGAGGAGAGGGTGTGGTACGATCAGGTAGGGTATCCTATTATGCAATCAAGGCTTGTAAACTGATTTTCTTCACTAAAATAGTTTACATCCACTGGTACGGCATAATAACGCTCCTGAAAGCAATTCAAATGGGCTAAAAGCTTTGCTTACGTTGAAATCTTGCAGATTGGATAAACGATTCCATAAAAGATGCAAATAGGGTTAAGGCTCTTAGAGCTCGCAAGGACTTTCGCGGAAGATTGCATGCTTGGTTTGATGGCGCTCAAGGGTGGGTGTTAGTTGCTATAATAGGCTTCATCGTGGCCTGCTTGGCATTTTTTGTTGATGTCACGGAGAATGTCCTGTTTGATTACAAGGAAGGCTATTGCACGAGTGAGTTATCATGATCCACTCGAGAATTAATATAGACAGAGCTGACATTCAGGCCGGAAGATGGGTGGTATTTTAGTAAGAAAAAATGTTGTTTAGGTGACAGTGGTCAGTATTTGCAAACACTTCAATATCGTGATTACCTCTTGTAATTGCTATGCTAACGCTTTCAAAAGCAACATCATTTTGTCCCATGTGGAGGCATTGGTCACAATTAGTCACGGGTTCAGAAAAGAAGACTGAGTATATTGACTATATATTCTATGTCGCTTTTACGGTGGTATTAGCCACAACATCTTCGTTATTGACAATGACTACTCGGACAATATACCCGGGTGCCCTACAAATCCAGAATGTAGACGAGGACTTGACACAAATATCTAGAGTAGATGGTGAAGGGCACAGCAATTCAGAATCAAAGGCCGTAAACGCTGCACCCACCATTTATTATTCTGCTGCAGGTAGTGGTGTCGCAGAAGTGAAGGTTATTCTATCTGGATTTGTTCTCCACGTACGCGTCCCCGCTTAGATAGTGTCTATTATTGATTTTGATCATAATATTACTGACACTTTATAAGGGATATCTGGGGTTGAAAACGCTTGTGGTGAAAACATTTGCCCTGATTTTAAGTGTTTCATCAGGCTTGAGTTTGGGAAAGGAAGGGTGCGAAAACTGATGACTACTCTCTACACGATTACTTATATTAACATATATATCAGCCCATACGTCCATATTGCTACATGCGTCGGAAACATTGCCTGCCGTTTATTTCCAAAATACAACCACAACGATGGTAAATTATACCTTGTTTAATCGCCTGTATGATGCTTATGTTCCATAGGGAAACGTAGGGAAATGCTCAGTGCAAGTGCAGCAGCTGGTGTCGCGGTTGCGTTTGGCGCCCCCATCGGCGGTGTTTTGTTCAGCCTTGAGGAAGTCAGGTGCGTTCTCGTAGACCGTTTTGTTGCCAGTCCGTCGTATTTCACAGAATCTAATCCTCAGTAGCTACTACTTCCCACCAAAAACATTATTTAGAACATTCTTCTGTTGCATTGTAAGTTGTTGCCGCCATATACCACAATCAGAGTTGTTCTGCAGATCTGACTGTCACAGGTGGCCGCGTTATCCTTGAAATTTTTAAATCCATATGGAACAAACAAGATTGTGCTATTCGAGGTTCGTTATGTTACTGATTGGCATATTTTTGAGCTCGTCGCCTTCGTATTTCTCGGTGTTTGTGGCGGTGTGTACGGCGCTCTCTTCATCAAAGCCAGCAAGTTTTGGGCTACAACTTTCCGAAAGAATAAAATTATCAAGAACTATCCAGTTCTCGAACTCAGTTTTGTTGCCCTCGCCACTGGTTTGATCTCGTACTGGAATCGATATGTTCGATTGGCTGTCAGCGAGTTACTTTTTGAGCTCGCAAGTCCCTGCACGGGTAGCGAATCTCAACATTCTGGGCTGTGTCCTGAGCCAGATGAGATTCCAGAGACCATACTGTATTTACTGGTCGCTCTTGCCATCAAAAGTGTTCTCACGTAAGTTCACCATTGCATCTTGGGTTTGTATATACATGTAGTAACAAGTGTCAAAGCGTTATAACCTTTGGAACCAAAGTCCCTGCCGGAGGTTAGTTTATTATCACTCGAAAACGCACCCAATATTTCCGCTTACAAAGTATAGTTTACGTACCTACTATGGTTATTGGTGGTATCATGGGACACACTGTTGGTTTAGCCGTTGAATATGCCGTCTAGTAAGTGCAACCCCCTCGATATTTACTCCTGGCAGGTTTTGATATCTTTTCTAGCAAGTTTCCGAACTCGGCCTTATTTGAATCATGCCCTATTGGAGGCGCCCCATCGGCATGCGTAGTTCCAGGAGTATACGCATTGGTAAGTGGTCCCGATGGGTGCTTATATTTTAGCATGATTAATTAATGTTCCCTTAGGTTTGCGCCGGCGCTGTAATGTGTGGTGTCACTCGGCTTTCAGTAACACTTGCAGTCATTTTATTTGAAATGACCGGTAGTCTCGACCATGTCCTGCCGTTCTCTCTTGCAGTACTTGTGTCCAAATGGACGGCTGATGCCATTGAGCCCTTGAGTATATATGTTAGTTTCTAACTACCATTACATGATACGTATGACTAAACAAACATAGGATCTTCTAACTGCTCTAAACTCATATCCCTACCTCGACACCAAAATGCGACCTGTTTTCTCTTCTCAACTTGTTGACATTACACCGCGTCTAAGACCCGAGCGTTTGATAGATATTACAGATTCCGTTCTTGTTCCAGCGGAGGAGCTTCGTGATAAATTGCGGATGCTGCAAAATGCCGGAGAATTAGATGGTGGTCTTCCGATTGTCAGGGGTGGCATCCTTGTAGGGCTCATTCCAGCGCCAGATTTGGAATTTGCTCTCGATAATCTTCATTCAGAAGAGGATGAACTTTGTCTCATGGCACCAAGGGAGGATTCATCTGATAATAGTTCGGATGGTGTTTCGGTAAAAGATCCGACTGACTTCTCGCCTTATATTGATCCAGTAAGTTTTGCGTCCTTTATGTTTGACAAGTTTCCCTAAACAGTTACTTATTCTTTTTTTTCTGTTATAGGCACCTGTTGCGCTTGAGAGACATTCGCCTATGGAACTAGTCTATGAATGCTTCGCAAAGTTGGGTCTGCGGTATATGTGCGTGTTGCGAGATGGACAATTTGCAGGAGTTGTAAGTTGAAGAAGCCCTGAACTTCTAAATACATAACTAACTATTGCCCGGATAGGTGCACAAGAAGGCCTTTGTGAAGTATTTAATGGAGGTACACGAGGGGAAGGCTCATTAATCTAGATGTAGGTTTATACCTTATTCTAGCAATGATATTCAAATACTCATGGCCAGGAAATATCGTCAGTAATTTATGTTCTGTGGAAGACACTTTGTTTCTATTCGTTATTGAGCTGCAGGGCCTGACAGTTTTTCGTAATATTGACATTGCATGGCGTACATCGTTACTTATGTTGCGATGTACTTGCACTTTCACTTTTTTCTTCTTCCTTTTCAATGATATCTGATACCGCTTGTTTACTTCCCCTCTCGTGTAATTATGACTCCTGTCAATAGCTCTGGAAATTTGCGACCCGTCTGATGGCATTTATTTAGTACAAGAGGTTGTACTCATAGAGAAATTAACGGTGCATTATCCGTACATCTGGTGTTTTGTATAATATTATTAAACTACGAGGTCAATTATCCATGATATCTACATGATATCTACAAATCTATATATATATCAACAGTCAGTGCAAACTACCAACCTAAAAACTCGGGAGTGGCTACTTGTTCATTACACAAAGCAGTCCTGGTAGAAGAAAACCAACCAGTGATAATGCTTCCTTAAGCTTACCACAACGAGGAAGATTAGACTATTTAGAAGACATGCAGACAGAACCGTAATACATATATATATAGTGCATGTGCTCAGTCTAACCCTGCTTTAGTTGCAAGTTTGCGGTGAATTATAGGACTATCAGGGTCTGAAAGTTCAGATAAAATAAAAAAAAATTGTATCTTAGACATGGTTTATCACTCGATGCAAAAAGAGACTTATTAAAATGCCCTGGAAAAGGGCCCCAGACCTCCACGTGATTATTTCTATATTTCGTGTGTAAGGGTGTGCGTTATAGCAATCTGGACGAAACGATTAAAAAAAAAGTTCTTATCTTGCGTTCTGCGCCGTGCTTTCCAACAAGTTGTCTCTTCTTGTCCTCGCTGCTGAGTCTTCCTCAAGTCTCTTCTGGAGAAACGCGGTAATTTCCTGCACTTTGACCAATGCAATCCTCGCACATTGTAACAAAGCCAATGCTCCAATAGGCAAACCACCTGCTTTCGCTATCTGGCATACCTCACCAAACTTGTTTAGTGTGATAGTCATATCTCCGTCTCTTAACTGCTCTTCTTGTAGTGTAGCATCGACCAAAGACACCTCCCCGCCATGATAAAATGAATAGGTGACACAGATAGGGATATGGAGAATTGAAAGCGGGACAGGTACCCGTTCCGTGAGTGTGTGAATTATAACCTTCTCGCCGTCAACCGAAACGTCAGGTCTGCGATAGTGCTGTAGAGCAGCTACAGCTGCTATGCAAGATGCATCGATCAGCCCTCCATCGTGATGGAGGAAATGCACGTCGACACGTACTGCCCAGCATTTTTGACCGGCAACTATACAAAGAGATTCGGTATCGATGGCATTCGAGCGGCGGATGGCTTTCTCGATAAGACGTGCGAGGAGGACCTCTTGTTCCGTCTGTCTGTATTTGTGGTTCTCGATTTTAGCCTTTAAGTATGCATATAAATAGTGGACAGTCAACTGAGAAGGAGGACGAATTGTTGAGGACGAACCGGCCGGTTTCAAATGCGGGAGAGGCCATAGGCCCTAGTTCAGTTGTAATTTGGAAAATGCCATCAAAGGGACGGTCAGAGAATGGCTTTGAAACCTCGGCAGAGACACGAGCGAGGACCCTAGGAAACTCGGTTTTACCGTCAGTTTTAAGTTAAGACTGTTGCAACTATTTGCAGAGATAGATTTACCTTGTTTTCCCCAGTTGAACATCAGCAAGGCCATAATCTTCACCGAATGAAATTTCGAGCTCTCGGAAAGACTCAAAGTTCCGGCCATCGATACGGAGATTCTCTTTGAGGGCTTCGAGGACGAAGTTCTTTTCGCATGTTGAGGGTTCTAATTCCTTAGGCATTTTTTTGTAAGGATCAGTAAGTGGATTGGAGTTATGAAGAGCACCGGTGGGGGTTCTGGGGAAGACGTGAACTTTTCGCGCGAAAAGCTGCATGCGGCTGAATATGGCTAGCGCACCCGAATTACATAGCCACGCCTCTTGAACAGCTACATACATGTAGTCTTCATTCACATCTTCCAGGCCAGAACCTTCAAATTATTCTTCCTAGTAGCCACAATGACTACAGCTCACAGGTGATCCACTAAACTCGATCGAAGCTTATGCGAAGACTTATTTTTGCTAATCAATGATGACCGTGACCACAGACCAACCTTCGATCCAGCCCGTGGTAAAGAAGCTCCCAAGGGTCCTGCCTACCACCAACGTCTCCTCCCAGCACATACCAAACTCAAGGTCCGCCAACCCGGTCAAGGAGGTGAAGCCGACTCAGAAGTCCGTGATCTCCGCGCTGAGCTGCTCAAGGCAGAGGCAGCCCATTATGCGAAAATCAACGGCGGAAAGGGGGCACAATTAGAATCCACGTCTCCTTCTGGGGGCACAAAGAGAGCTATTGAGAACGGTGGAATTGGAGGCGAGAATGCTGAGGAAGAGAATGCTGAGGTCAAGAGACGGAGAGTACTGGAAGAGACCCGGGACATAGACGCAGACTCGGACGGAGGGAGTGCCAGCGAGAGTAGTGATGAAGAAAGTGACGACGAAGAAGACGAGACTGCCGAGCTATTGCGAGAATTGGAAAAGATAAAGAAAGAAAGAGCTGAAGCTCGTGAGCGCGAGGTAATTCTCTCACTAGTTCAATCTCTAGACTGCCATCTGACATTTTCAACCTCATAGGAAGCTGAAAAAGCTGCTCAAGAGCAAGAAAAGAACGAATACGACGTCGCTCGCGGAAATCCTCTTCTTAATAGAGGATCTGGCGATTTTCAGGTGAAACGTAGGTGGGATGACGATGTTATCTTCAAAAACCAAGCACGCGGCACGAGCGACAAGAATAAAAAGAAAGAATTTGTCAATGATCTTCTGCGTTCGGACTTCCACAAGCGATTCATGGTAAGTTATTTTAATCCAATATATCGATTCGGGTAGAAGACTAATTGCTAGTATTATTTAGAACAAGTATGTGCGATAGAGATGTTTTCTAGGTGTTGGGCAGTTTTCTTAAATAATTGTATTTTTAAACGAAACGTGCGGGTTTGAACCTCGTGTTCCTCATTCATTTCTTGCTCAGTGGCTTAGATACAACGGAATGGTGGATTTAGAAAATGCATTTACTAGGGAAATCCATCGCGGATAGGTTTAAATTGATAGGACAGAGAAATACACAGTTACATCATTAGTACCTATTCATGATACCTATGGAGTATCAATCCTCATCCAGGGCCCGTTTGGGGGCCGTCTGAGACAGGGGTATGGTGGCTTAAACTTTACTCTGTATAATACTACTTCGTTTTAAGAAAATGAGTTAGATATATGGGAGCCATTTTGAGAGTCTAGAAAACGATGAAAAACAGGGTTTTTAAACGAGTATGCAACTTGGGCCCGCTTTCCCTACCGTAACTGTGATGTCCTGCATATATTCAAGGTAGCACATATCTTGCAAAAGAGACTGCTAACTAAAGTACATGTAAGCTAGAAAAATCATATGAAAGTAGGATAACATGTACGTACAAAACCAGAGAATTTGCGAATTACAGAGCCTTTAATTTGGACTATGCACTAGTCTCGTTCCCAGACATGTGTGACCATATGCACCGTGGGCACAGTCTGGTGTAATAAGTTTTTGGAACTTCCTCCGAGAAATGTCCGAGTGACTCCGGGGGCTCTCGGAGAGTCTAAGGGTTCGGAGAGATTTTAAAACCCCGAAATAGTTGATTTTGTATGGCAAACTCGCAAAGATTTAAGGTTCGCCGGGGATATTTAAGGTTCAGAAAACCTCCGCTAGTTTTCAAATTTTACGCTAGTTCGGGGTGTTCTCGGGGTGTGCTAATCCCATACAAAATACCCGGCCCGAAAAGCCTCCTCGAGAGCCCCCCCGAGAGCCCCCCGAGAGCCCTCCGACGCTAATATCTCCGAGAAAATAAGTCACCAAACGAAAAAGACCTATTACACCAGACTGTGCCAGGTCGGCACATTCTGGGCACGAGATTAACTACATGTATGCACTATTACAGCGTTTTAGGGTGTTCCCCGAGTAAGCCTATGCCCGATATTGTTATGTAACTTGGAATTACGGAATTTTTTATTAACCATAGGTACGATTGAGGATTAATACATGTATTCAGATACATGCCAATCATGATCGACCAAAACCAATAAAATAATGCATCTAGAGTATGCATGACTGGTCTCTAGAGTAATGTTTCCGAACACAAGTTCCGGAGATTTTGATATATATATCGGCCCGAGAATAACAACAACCGGACTGGCTCATTAATACGGTCCTAAGGCCGGGCTTTACATTGATTTATAGGGTACGGCCCGAAGAAGCCGGTAGCTTACTACCCATTATGCTAAATTTATAAAGCGTATCATTATTCTAAGATATTTTTTGATATAGATCATCTATTCGGCACGCATAAAAGCCCGAGCCTCACTTCTATCAGCAAGCCCGGCCCGGCATTGACTACATGTATGTACTCTCGACCAAGCCCGACTCCACAGGCCGAGGCCAGGACAGGCCAAGCTGGATAACTACAGGCCTATTAGGGAGATTTAGCTAGACGAGCTCATCGGGGTATGGCGACCACGGGGGTGTGGGGATTTTTGGTTTATTTCCATCCACAGGACAGCTAAATCCACAACAATAAGTAAATTCTAAATATCGTATGAAACTCGAACAATCCATCGTCTTTAATTATATCCATTTGAAAATCGGTTTTAGTACTCTCTGGCGTTGATAGAAAAATCCCCACACCCCCGTGGTCGCCATAGGGCCCCCGTGAGCGCGTCTACTATGGTGCGCACACTCTTAAAGGTGATATGGTGGCATACGGAAGTGGAACAATTGTGGCTGCAATAGGGCCTCATGGGCCAATAAGGGGGCCCATTTCTAGAAATTCTGCTGCATTACTGCCACGGATCAGTCAGGTTTGCTTCTCTGGGGTATAAATGGGTATAATACTGTTCCACTTTGTTCATACAAAAATACACAATTTCAACTTCCTAAGGCTTTACAACCCAGACAGATATTAAAATTCTGCAATGATAGAACTAAACTTCATCACTAGTACTAGAGTTCTATCATTACGCTTTTTTTTTTGCGGTTTTTCGTCGCAAAGTTATAAGCCATTGACATTTCGCCGCGATCCGCTACCTTTAAGCGTGGGCGCACCATACCAAGCTCGTGACGTTTCCGAACACGACTGCTATTGCATTCCATACAAAAAAGCGCCAAATCCACCTTTTTGTATGTCATGCAATATTGGTCGTGTTCGGAAACGCTATGAAGCTACGAGTAGCTAAATCTCCCTCTGCATGAAGCATAACCTTGTTACACAAGGACAATTCAGCAACCCCGCGTCATTCTTAACCTCACTGCAGCTCAATATTGTACTAGCTCTAGTACCCTTATTCAACTCAACCGCAAATTCGATGACTGATACCTAATCACTACAATTTGATATACCAACCCACCCTTGCTTCTTGCCAATATACATATATAATGGCTGACGGTTTGAGCCTTGTAGCAAACATCATTGCCGTCGTTCAACTAGTGGGAGGGGTAGGGAGATATATTAATGAGGTCAAAGGGGCCTCAAAAAGTCTCAAGGATTTCGAAAGAGAGATCGAGTCCTTGAGGTCTATTCTTTTAAAACTGCGAACGTTTGCGGAGGAGAATCCCGTAATAGCAGACTCTTGGAGTTTAACTGCACCACTGGATAAATGCGCAGCCGATATGACCAGGATCAATCTTGAGCTCGCGTTGGTACCTAAGAAAAAAATATGGGGCATACAGCTTTTCTGGTGTCAGTGGCCTTTCAAAGAAAAGGAAACTTTGGGATTTATTGAGCGGAGCGAAAGATTGAAATCTATCTTCATTCTTGCTATGGGTGAATTACAACAGTGGGTTATCTTAGATTTTCTATCTCTTACTTTCACCGAATTTCAAGTTTCCTAACTTATGCAAGGTCTCAACTAAGAAATATTGAAAACAACGTACAGCATCTTGTGCAAGCAGCCCAGGGTTCATATGAGTCTACGAATATCGAAGACCAGAGCATCCAACATGGTACGTACGTGATTGTAGATACATGTATATACAGTGATCAAAGCTTGCTATGGTGGTATCTTCTCAAGAGCTCCCTTTTCCATGGCGCCAAATTCCGGTCCCGAGCGTATCCTTATAGCAAGCCTTAGAGTACTGTATACACATGCATATGAATACATATCCTCCAAATCATTGGATTACCCTTCTAACGAAAGCCTACTTTAGACAAACCGAATAGGGAAGTAGTAATCAATTGGCTGTACGCGGAAGCATTCGACAAGCGCCATACCGAGATTAGTGGAAGAAGACAACCGAATACTGGGGAATGGATGTTGAAAGAACCCGAAGTCCAAAACTGGGAGAATGGGAAATCGAAATCTCGACTACTTTGGGGTTACGGTATACGTATGTGTATATGCCCTCTGCCGTGTTATACGGATATTGCTCACCCGGAACACACTTTTAGCTGGAGCGGGAAAGACCTTTTTGAGGTAAGTACTTTTCAAACTAATCATGATTTCTAAAGTGAACTGGATTATATATATATACATGTATGTACCCGTTCTGACCCATAATACACGTAGCTCACTCGTGATCGACCATCTTAAAAAGCGAGCGCGAGCATCGACACAATCGAAGTGCGGCGTGGCCTATATCTACTTTAATTACAGCGAGCAAGCACAGCAAACCCCATTGTTAGTTCTTTCCAACTTGACGAAACAACTTGCATGTCAGTTACAAGAATTACCCACGGAGGTAAACAAGTTATACAAAAATATAACCGATAAACAAAAAACTCCCAGTTTGGAGGAACGTTATAACTTACTCCGTATAATTGCAAAAGCATTTGTCCCGGGCAATGTTTTTCTTGTTTGTGATGCTCTTGATGAATGCAAACAGGATACCCAACGAAAAATCCTCTTGCCATTGTTCCACCGAATGGCAAATGATGGCATGAATTTATTCATAACGAGTCGCGAATATCCTGACGATATTCAAACCTCTTTCAAAAACTCATCAAAGGTTAAGCTCCGGGCCAAGAACGAGGATATCAATTTCTACATACAACAGAAAATAGCCGAGCATCCGCGCGCACATCGCCTTGTTGAGAGTGCAAGATGCCAAAATGAGATAGTTTATCAACTGAAAAAGTGCGCAAATGGGATGTAAGTACATGTACTAAGATGTAAAATGGCATCCTAATGACCTGTTTGTAGGTTCTTGATGGTTTCTTTCCATGTGAAATATCTTTGCCAACAGGTCAATGTCAAACAGCTGCTTGCAGCTCTCAAGAAACTCAACGATTCTTCCAGCAAGGGCGAGCCTACGATGGATCCTACATACGATAGAGCCATAGAGAGCATTAAACGGCAGGAAGGAAACTGTGTAGAGTTAGCTTTAAAGATACTGTTCTGGCTGGCCAGTGCCCAGCGTGTGCTCACGGTTCGCGAGCTTCAAATAGCAGTCTCCATTGAAAACGACTGCGCCACTTTTGATAAGACCGCTCTAGCGGATAGAAATACACTACTTGATGTTTGCGCTGGTCTCATGACAATAGATCAAGAGAATAACGAGGAAGAAAATGATCTTAAGGATACTGTCAGATTAGCTCATTATACAATCCAAGAGTATTTGCTCAGAAAGTCGATAATATCGAACGATGGAGACATTCAGATAGCCACAGCGTGCATCAGTTTTATCTCTTATGATAACTTCACCCAAGGCGCCTGTATTTCCGGCAAATCCGACGAATATCGGTCATATCTTCATACGTTCCTCGAATACGTTGTTGTGTACCTGATCGTCCACCTCAGAGAATGTGATGAGACCTTAACAACACAACTGGTCCTTCAATTTCTTGAAAATCCCCAATTATTTTTGGTTTATGTGGAAGGTCATTTGTTATTAGATGATCCCTATTGCTCAAGGCCTACCCCTTTACACTTTGCTGCCGGGTTAGAACACACGAGAGTAACGAAATCTCTCCTTGAAAGGGGTGCTACTATCACAGCCGTAGACATTAAAGGATATACAGCACTACATCATGCAGCCGAAATGGGACATGAGTCAATAGTCAAGCTACTCCTCGAAATGGGCGCCGATATCAAAGCCGTGGACAATGACGGATGGACAGCACTGCATAGTGCAGCTAGCTGGGGATATGAGTCAATGGTCAAGCTACTGCTCGAAATGGGCGCCGATATCAAAGCCGTGGACAATTATGGATGGACAGCACTACATCTTGCAGCTGAGGAACATGAGCCAGTAGTCAAGCTACTCCTCGAAATGGGCGCCGATATCAAAGCCGTGGACAATGATGGATGGACAGCACTGCATAGTGCAGCTCGCTCGGGGCATGAGCCAGTAGTCAAGCTACTCCTTGAAATGGGCGCCGATATCAAAGCCGTGAAGAATGACGGATGGACAGCACTGCATCTTGCGGCTTACAACGAAAAGGAGCCAGTAGTCAAGCTACTCCTCGAAATGGGCGCCGATATCAAAGCCGTGGACAATGATGGACAGACAGCACTGCATTGTGCAGCTCGCTCGGGGCATGAGTCAGTAGTCAAGCTACTCCTTGAAATGGGCGCCGATATCAAAGCCGTGAAGAATGACGGATGGACAGCACTGCATCTTGCGGCTTACAACGAAAAGGAGCCAGTAGTCAAGCTACTCCTCGAAATGGGCGCCGATATCAAAGCCGTGGACAATGATGGACAGACAGCCATGGATCTCACGGATAGCCGTACCCATTGGAAAGTAGTCCAACTACTCGAGAAATATATGGTAACCGGCACCGCAGTGGTAGAAACTGACGAAAATGCGGGTGGTGAGGGTGTTTCTCAAGAATAGTAAAAGGGTCATCGCCATAAAGCAGTGACAGATGAATGATATTACTGCGTAAGTGCTTGAGAAAGCATCTAAAGAGCCGTTTGATAAGGCTGACATTTTGATATCAGGGCGTGCTTCGAGTTGAGTCAGGGGTGGGAATCTTGGGTACAAGAGTGACGACCTAGAAGCGGGAGGGGTACCTTTTCTTTATTTTCTTCTGTCATTTTTGTTGAGCCTTCAAGTTGTATATAATGATGTGCCCGGAGATTGTTTTGGGGTCATTATAGGATACTGCGGTATATACGTACTATAAACAATAACTACATGTATTTGCACTATCTAAGGATGTTCTGGAACTTCTTAGTACTAGAAACCATCGAGAGTATCAAGATAAGGTTATACATGCGTATGATGAAATTTAGGTAAATTTAACCCCAAGATACTCAAATTTGTTCGAAATATTAGTACGTAAAGATGGTTTGATAGTGTTCAACATTTAAAAGCATGCCAAGCCATCTATTTCGCCACGAGTGATATCTCATGAATCCGCATGTTTCTTTTGTATCTAATCAAGGCTAATTTATTACTCAACCATTATCTCAATTTCTAACAAATCCTCTGCCCACAGCTCTCCTCTCTACACCTCCGCGGCGATTATAAAGCCAGGCCTCTTTTATATTCCCTACGTTCCTTACAATCGGCGGTGCCAGATTCTTCCGCGTGGCAGCGTCATCGGAGAGGACCTTCACACTCACAACCCCTTTCTTAAGAACCTTGTTCCGGCGCTTTTGTTCCCGTCGGCGCCGATTCTTTTCGAGATGCTTTGACGGTTGGCCTGGCGGCGCTGGGGTGTCATCTTCGGAATCCTCCGCATCAGAGTCTTCTTCTGGGCGCGAGGCAACGGCCGCAAGAAGAGATTCTGGGAGGAGCTTGGGAATTTTGGTTTTTTCGATTGGAGCAAGGGCGGATGTATCCTCTGGGGTTTGTTCTTTATCTCCGCCTGCAGCTTCGTTTCTTGTTTCTGATTCGGCTTCGGCCTCGGCCGTAGCATTTGATGCCTCGAGAGTGAGCTGAGATGCCGCTTCATCGAGACGTTGACGTTTCCGGGCGTCAGCGCCGGCTTTCTGGTTCTTCAATTGGGTGTCTCGCTCTTTTCTCTTCTTGCGCGCGGCGTCTTTCTGTCTATAGTTTCAATTACAAGTTAGCTACCAGCTTAATCTGCATTGACACTAGAATGGCGAGCAGGGGCATATACGCTTCTGCTGCCTTGCGCGCCTCTTCGTCCCGCTTAAGAGCTTCCTCTTTCCCGGCACCTAGCGAAGTCTCTTCGGGCGCTTCGTCATCCGAGTCCGAAGCATCCGAGTTCTCTTGGGAATCTGCAATATCTCTGGAATCTGGTTTCGCAGAGCTCTGGGGGTCCGCGATTTCCTCGGGTTTGCTGGTGGTGGTGGTGGTGGTGGTGGTGGTGGTGGTGGTGGCGGCGGAGGTACCGTCCTCATCAAAGCGGGTGTGATTTCGGCGGGGCGTAGGTGTGGACGTTAGAGGGAGGGCTGGTGAGAGAGGTTCGATAGGCTCGCCATTGCGGGACGCTTTGGCGCGGTGGGCACGGGTAAGAGGGGCCATTGGGTCTGGGGGTTTTTGTGGTGGTGGTGGTGGTGAATGCCACTGTCACTGTCGCTGGCACTGGGTCGGTCGGGAAATTTTTATGGATGCCAAGAGTGAGGCTCTCAGGGATGTTCCGGTCCCGGAATAGAATCCCGAGGATACCTAGATGTCACACTCTGGCAGGTATCGACCTCTGGGCGGGAACAAATGGATTCGGTAGGGTATGCAAGGGGTATTATTCTAGAATGCTCTGCAATCAAACACTAAAGTACCTATCTACTCTAGATGGCACCTACATGTATGTATCCTTATACGTGCATACATAACTCAAAAGATACAAAAGCCATCCAGCCAAACAGACTCGACCAAGGCTAGAAACCCAATTAGAATCCTGGGATAGTTCTCTCCCGCATCGCATCCCCAGGGGCTGTGTCTATCCAAGTAACACCTCTTATCTTCACCACAATCCTTATAAAGCTCGAGCTCATCCACTACGCTCCTCCAGCTGCTGTTGCGTCCCTTCCATACTTTGCTCCCAACTCGACGGTTAACTGCAGATAGCCATGGATATCGAAGGACTTGTTACTCCCCCGCCCCCTCCTCCCAAAGAAGGCCGAAAATATGATCTCATCGTCTTCGGTGCGTCCGGGTACACAGGCCGTCTGACCTGCGAACAAGTCCTTGCCAACACACCCTCAACTCTGAAATGGGCCATTGCCGGTCGCTCACCCAATAAGCTTGAGCTTCTTGCACTGGAATATAACAAGCGCTTTCCAGACCGTGTCCCTGTTGGTATGCTTCCCCCTTTCTACCTCCCAAGGCAGGTTTTGAGTTGGATTCTGATGGCAGTACTGCATGGGGATAGGGATCTTTATTGCGAACGTGGAAAATGAAGATACATTGGAGACCATGGCCCGGGTAACGAGGGTGCTCATAACGACTGTGGGCCCATACCTGAAGTATGGGACACCGGTGCTGGAAGCGTGTGCGTTGAATGGAACCCATTATGTAGATGCGACGGTAGAGACCACATGGGTGAGGGAGATGATCAAAAAGTATCACAAGACAGCGACAGTTAATGGTGCCGTGGTATGTGGCCCCTTTCCTGTCATTTGAATCATTGCTACTCCAGTCGTCATTAGCCGCGCCTCTATCATTACCCCTAATATAAACATTACTAATAACCATTCAGATCATCCCGCAATGCGGTGTGCAGTCTGCGCCTGCAGACCTTGCTGCCCACTCCCTCGTATCATTGATTCGTAATCGTCTCTCCTGCCCTACCGATAATATAACCTTCACACTCCTCGATCACGTTTCAGGTGTCTCCGGAGGAACAGTCGAAACACTCCTCTCGGTATGGGAGATCGCAACACTCCAGGAAATGTTTCACGCGCGCAGAACTTACTCCCTCTCCCCCATCAAGGGGCTCGATCTCCCCTTCATCCCGCCCATCCAACAGCATGAAGATCTTGGAGTCCTAACCAAGAACGTCCAGGCGAGTCATGACGAGAAGGTCGTGATGCGTAGTTGGGGTCTAAACCAAGGAGGGGAGTGGTATGGCAGAAATTTTATGTTTAGGGAGTATAGAAGTGTGGAGACAATGTTCATGGCGGTGTGGATGTATATATGGATGAGCATGATCCAGATTTTGCCTTATGTCACGCCTGTTAGGTACGTACAATACCATTGGCATTAATATGAAGTTCATGCTAATATGAACAGATGGATAATTCGCCGCTACTATGCACCCCCATTGGGCGAGGGTCCGATCTTGGAGTCGACTAACAAGTACCGCATTGAATGGCGCGGTGTAGCTGAGGCGGACGACGATAACGAGGAGGCTGCGAAAGCTACTATTTCAATATTGTGCGAGAAAGACACCTACACCACTACAGGAATCCTACTTGTGCAAACGGCAATGAGCTTGCTGTCAGACGAAGAGACATTCGCAAAGAAAACTGGCGGTGGTGTTCTGACACCATCGGCGGCGGCAAGTCCAGCGCTCTTCATGGCGCTAGATAGGTGTGGGTTTCATGTAGAGACGAAAATGATGGAGGAATTTTAGATAAGAGATCAGAGAAGGGTAGAGAAGGGAAGCATGCTATTATACTGGACAAGGGCTAGAACGGGGTGGGCCGGAAAGGGATGAGAGGAGTTTTTAATTTGCACTTTACATACATGTTCAATACCAATAAACCCATGCATTATTATCATTGACCTACTACTCGTTCCTACAATCATTGACCCAATCTTTACTGGTGTCCACTCACCAATGCCTCTTTTAGCAGCCTACATAACTCCCTAGCTGTTCCCACAGAGGCCTGGTAACCCGTTCCGCCGTGCCCGTAGTTATGGCCTACAATTCTCCACATCCCATCCACCTTCACCCACTCCACCTCCACTCTAACTCCCCCCTTCCTACTTGGCCGTCTCCCTACCTGCTCACTCACCACCACAAATTCCCCCTCCTCCAACAACTCTGGCGCTAGCTCCCTACACCGCTCCCGTATGCGTGCCGACAACCCTACATCTACCTCCGCACTCCAATCCCCGTCGTCCTTGCTACCCCCAAGAATGCTCGTCCCACTCCCCGGGCGCGGTATCACATATGCCGTCCAGTCCTCTCCTTCCGTGAACGTTATCCCCGCCGCCTCGCCCTTTACGAGTACCGTCTGTCCCTTCGCTGGATACACATCTGGGTCTGCGCACAGCGCTCCGGCCGCCAGGCCGGTGCAGTTGATCACCGCCACTGCCTCCTCGAGCGAGGGGAGGTCAAACACTTCGCTGAGGGCGTCGACTTCTGCGGTGTGGGTTTTGACGCCGAGGTCACCGAGACGGCCGAGGAGGTGGTCGAGGTAGGTGTTGGGGTCGAGGCAGAAGGAGTCGTATGTGTGTGGGGTGTAGGAGGTCACGAGTGTAGACCACCAGGGCGTGGTGGTAAGGCGGTGGTGCGAGGTGGTTAGCTGTGAGAGGGGTTAGTGGGGTATAGAAAAAATAAGTATTCGACAGCAGCAGGGTTTGGGGGGGGGGGTTACTCTGAGACCGGCATCTGGGTTCTGGCACAGCGTCTGCCAATACTTGTAGGTCTCTGCCTCAAAGCCCTGGAGCCTGGTGTCGGTGGGGGAAGCGTGGGAGCGCCAGTGCTGGGGACATCAGTGCCTCTCCATGATGCATTTCCGGATGTATATATGGTACTTACTGCGCCGGCTCTATGGAACGTCAGCTCTCCCCATCTTTATCCAGTACATATATGGGCACCATGTATATGCTGTAGATTAAACGGATGTTTCATACTTTGTGGAGCAATACTCGATGCTGTCCTCGCCGGGCCAATATTTTGCGACAACAGCAACGCCGAAGCCGGCCTCGAGGAGGGTGAGCGCTGTCTGGAGCCCTACCACGCCGGCGCCCAGGACGATGATCTCCTCTTGTTTAGACATTGTGTTGTGGGTGATATCTCGTGAAGTAGCTGGGTAGGTCTAGTTACATGTATCTACAGTGCCTTTATCTCTACGAGAAAGGTGGGAAGCACAAGGTTTAAGGCGATATGGGATGTGCGGATATAATTCCCCGTGGAGTAAGGTGAGTGTTTTTCGTACCCTTGTAAAGCACTCTAGGTGCTTTGTGTGTGTGCTATGGGAACGCTACTGCACGTCCCTGGGATGGGAAAGCTAGGAAGCTTGGAATTCGTGAGTGTGCTCTAGGGTTAGGTTATTTACTTGGTGGAGTTTAATACTGGATGGGAGTGATCATTTGGCGGAGATTTCAGTAAAATGAGTATATAGTAAATATTACTAGTAGCTTATACTTAACTGCTTCTTATGAGTGTTATCATAAATGGAATACTAGCGCCAAAAAATACTGGTTATATAACTGTCTCTGGTCCCGCACTTTGTTCTAACCACATACATGTAGAAAGCACCGAGTATTGTTATATTCGTACATACATGATATATATAGGTATATGTAGTTACTATATACATGTATGATTTTAGTAGTCGTGGACAATCGTCAAGCAGAATTTCATTAGTGTTCCACTTGTGAGTATTTGAGTACTAGCGCCAGAATTTAATAGACCCAAGACAGTTATTTTATAAATGTACTTTACTACTACCCATGAGGCTTCCATCTAGCCAGCTTTTGGTTATACGTGCACCTAGACTCACAACGCACTGCAAGATCCTAGTTCAATTCGCTACAAGCAATGACTTTGGCATACAAGGACGTACATATAAGGTAATGATAAATCTGGGTCTTCTTACAGCTTCAGTTTACTCCCCAAAACGACATTGCCAAGCCACTCATCAATATGCTTAAATATCTCTTCCGGTGCTTCCAATAGCGCCCAGTGCGATGCCTCCACATCTCGAACTGTCAAGTCGGTGATGAGTTTATCCTGACTATCAATCATTTCCGGCCTAATTGCCATATCTTTCATGGCGCGGATAATAAGGGTCGGAACTTCAATGCGTGTGATCTCCAGTCTACATAGTATTAATATTAGCGAATATTAATGGGGAATTAAAATTCATTAAAAATAGGGTGGATGTACTTCTGCTCATCCTCGTGGTTAACTTCGCGGATTTTGTACCAGTTCACTAGAGAAAGAGGTTAGTTCATGACCGTTTTTGACCAGTATGGGTAGTGGGGGGCGCCGGCTCATACAAGGGCCATGAAATCCCCTCGAGAACGCATCCATATATACTTCCAGATCCTATTTACCCACAAACGTCAGTACCGATTATCTTACCTCCGCTCTCACCAGGTTTTACACACTTTCTCCGTAAATAATGCACTTAATGTATTATCCTCCCCAATCCCGCTGATTAAATCCTTCTCGACCTGTAGTTTCCCCACCGGCTTCGCATCCTTACTGTTCCTGTACAAGAACTTGATAAATTTTCTCCTATTATCTTCGCTCTCCAAATCCTTGTCCGTCTGCGGGTCCGAAAACGCAATTTGATACGTAAAGCTCGGATATTTCTGGACCATAACCTCCAGCGGGAAGAATACCGGCATGATTGGTATAAAGAAGCCGCAAACGGTTATGATATGGGTGAACCTCCGTGGGTGGTAGAGGTGGATGCGGTAGGAGACGAAAGCACCCCAGTCATGACCGAGAAGGATCACGTTTGAAAGCTTGAGGTGTTGGGTGAGAGCGTACATATCCGAGGCAGTAGATTTCCAGCTGTATGCCGAGATGGGAGAGGGTGGCACTCGGGGCATGTCTGTTTTTCCATAACCAATCATGTCGGGGACCACGACGCGGAAACCTTTTTGCAGGAGGTATGGTATAATGTTCTTCCAGCCATCTATATGCCCCTTGATTAATTCCTGATTCTCTACTTACGGTGTGGGTGGATAATAGGATTGAGGACGAACACCAGAAATCGGGAAAGCCATGGATCTATTCAATATGCTATTAGTATATATATGCGTATATAGTCCAGACCTTTTATTCTGCCAGCAATTAATTGTTCTGAATACTTACACAGAAAATAGTCCCCTTCAGGGTACCTTGTGGGAGTCCTTGAACGTAGTCTAAATGTTCATCATAATATCAGCCTCGAAGGCTCAATCGTACTATTATCATACGAGCGACTTACGATAATTTCTCCCATTCAATGTTGCAAACTCATGAGTGACACGGGGGTCGTCGTATGGGTCGATTGGTTTCAAACTCATGATAAAAGTATGTAATTGTAGCTCTGAAGGTTGAGTTCTATTCTCTCAACGAACGGCTCTAGGTATTTATAACCCCCCCAGGGATCCTCGAAGAACCCCACTTTAGCAAGTGCATTCCTGGCGGCAGCTACATATTAGTCAATTGATTATTGACCGAGGCACCGTGATAATTGATAACTAAAACTGGCCACTTCCGGGTCGGAGGTCTATTCATCCATCCCCGTCCCAATTTCTGCACGTCGGCGTAGATGAGTTTCGTAATTGGGGTATAATAAAAAGATTACGAATATAATACGAGTCACCACTTGGCTCGGCGCGAGGAAGAACACGAACCTGCTCGGTGTGCCTTCTCTATATAGGTTACACTATATTACCACTTTTGTAGTACATCTAATAAGTATATAATTATAACCTGCATATGCAATGTGCTTTTATAGTCTTCTGATTCATTGAGAGATGTTTTTGTTTCACTTGAAACATGTTGTGTTGGATATTAACATAGGGTATTGTGCTGAGTGGTGTTAGAGTGTTAATAGGGTTGCTACTGGTTCTGGGATTTGATAGTGGTTCGATTTTAGCGGCTTGGTGGCTGTTAAAGGGATATACCTGTAGTTTTAACTGGAGAAATTGTCTGACTTATCTGTTGATATATGGGGATAATATATCAGAAAAGTCACATATTGACCAGATCAGATCTAGATATAGTGATGGACTTTGCCTACCAGGAGGGGTCGAGGGCCGCGCAGCGGCCTGAGAGCCCTGACTGATAGGCAAATAGACAAATAAGCCGCAAAGCGGCTTGCCTGTATATTAGACTGGTTGATATACATATAGTACCGGCCGAAGGCCGGAAACTACTTGTAGATACATGTATATCTATTTAGTGGTTTAGAAACAGTATTGCTAAGTAATTGATTTGCATACTACCGCAAAATCTCAGGAATAACGAATCGAACTGGACTGGAATATTTTGCTTCGGATTGGTCAAATGCTCAATCCGACAAACCCAAAGCGTAACTTTTGGTCGTCTTGACCAATGGGTAAGTGGTATTCCAGCCCAGTTCGATTCGTTATTCCTGAGATTCTGCAGTAGTACTACTGACGGGTCGGTCAACCAACCAGGAACAGGGGTTCTTTGACAGTGGGAGAACACCCACTAATAATACTACTTTAAATAGAGTATATGTAGCTACACAAATACATATAGTAGAGTACCCCTCAAACCGACTACCATACATAGTTACAGCCATGCTCTACTCGCGTACATTCAAAAAGAGAACAAACCGGAAGAGTGCTGGGAAAAACAATATTCGAAAATCCGCTCACCTCTCCGGTGTTTACCTTTTTTAGAGGTATTGTTTCCATGATAGACCCCGAATGCTAAACAAAACCACGCTATTCACACCTTCACGTCGCCACTAAGTGGCTAATTAAAAGGGTAGTAGTGGTTGTTAAAGAAAAGAGAAAAGAAAATTCCATTCAAGAAGTGCCAGCAGGTAGAAGAAACCCAGTGATGACAATAATTATCAGTGAATCACGTAAAGTGAATATTAATGATGACTATTGGTGAGTGTTTTAATATATCACCGTGTCCTCCCCAGCTTCGACGATTTCCCCCACATCCCCGATATCGGATTGTCTTCTAGTGTTGTCAATCTCATCGTGTACAGGCGCATTGTCAAGGTTAGTATGATCGCCATCATCGTGATGCCTGATATTTACTTCCGTTGTATGATCATTATCGTCTATCATTGGTGAATCATCATCTTCATGGTGGGGGTCAATGGCTAAGCCGGGCTCGTTAAGGTTATTAGCCCCACCATTAAGTTGCTCTTCCTCCTCTTCTCGCTCGCGACGCAGCTGGAATTTACGCTGCTCTTGTGCGATCGAGTCTTCTGCCTCTTCTATCTGGGCTTTGATACGTTCCTCTTCTTCGGGTAGCAATTTCCATGGAAGGTAGAACTAGAAATTCCATCAGTCTCAATCTTTTCAGATTCACATATTTCTCGCTCCTCTACAGAAGCTCCATGTAACATACTAGTTTTGGTTGCGCGCTTGTTTGTAGAATGTGGGCCTGGGCAAGTTCATTGTTGTGACGTATTTGCATCTGTTCAGAAATCAGCCTCCCGTCTTCCTGAACAATAGAATTTAGAATTGAAAAAAAGGAACTCACAGCACGTTCGTCAAACCCCCTCTGTTCCATGCGTCTGCGTAAATTGACATTCTGGTCCTCTTTCTTCCGGCGCTCGTCAATCTCATTGGTTTGCTGCTTCAGTTTCTCCTGCAGTTTCGCTTCAACCTCGCGACGCTTCACCGCGCTGTTACGGGCCCTAGCCGATGAGGAATCCTGCTTGAACTTGCCAATGGTCCCTAGGAGGGCTCCAAAAAGCCGTTTCCCACGTCGGCGCTCCTCCTCGTTCCCGGCGGCAGCCTTTCCGGCTGATGGTCGTCTGCTGGGCCGTGAGCTCTCATCTTCTGATTCTTCAGCTTTTAATCTGCTATTCCTCCCCCCTCTCTCCATCATATCTTCACCGTCATCCACTGAAGGGTAGTGTAACTCCCTTCCGTTATTGCTATGGTCTTTGTGGTTAAAACGTGCCCTTTTGGAGGACTCTGGGGACGCGGTGGATTGCCTGCGTTTGGCAAGGTGTTTTGAGGGAGGTGATCTGTCCATATCATCGTTGTGGGGAACAACGACCGCCGATGCGACAATAGTTCTGTAGAGTTATACTTTAGCACTACATTCTCATAAGACTCTGAAAGACTAGGAGAAGATCGAGTAACGTTGGCGCGAAATGTATGGGTAATTAATCTTACACTTGTTCTTCTTCCGACATGACCGATATCGCGCTATTACGGTGGTGGTGGAGGTCGAGGTGGGGTGGAGATGTATCAGCGCTGAGCAGCAACAGCAGAAGGAAAAGCAATCAAACAGCTGTATCATACTAGTCTCGGAGAATCAAACCCTGGCCCGGCAAAGCCACATCTCTGTGGTTGCTTAGTAACAGTAGGATCTGATAAGAGCTGTCGCCTCAAATAACAACCAAGCTAACCAGTTCATATTTAAGCTCCCCCGAACCTCAACCTCAACCCACAATCCCTAAGATACCCTCCAGCCAGTCATGTCGCGTCATCATCCGTAAGTCACTCCTCCTATCTATTCCTGATTCACAGAAAACTAACCGAAGGAAAACAGCGACTTAGTAATGTGCCGCAAGCAATCCGGCATAGCCATCGGCCGCCTCTGCGACAAATGCGACGGCAAATGTCCAGTCTGCGATTCCTACGTCAGGCCCACAACTCTCGTTCGAATATGCGACGAATGTTCATTCGGAAACTACCAGAATAAATGTGTTGTCTGTGGAGGAGAGGGCATCTCGGATGCTTTCTACTGTTTTGAGTGCACGCGACTCGAGAAGGATCGTGACGGGTGCCCTAAGATTATCAACTTAGGTTCATCGAGGACAGATCTATTTTGTAAGGCTCTCTCCTTCTTCCCATCAACATTGAAATATTACATTGTATTGACGGCGAATCCGTGACATAGACCAAAAGAAGAATTTTCGCAATCACTGAGCGCAGCACGAAAGCTGCGTGTGGGAGCGACCGCCTCTATGTTTTGTGTCTGCATATGGTACTTATTAATATACTACGACATCCGAATACTCACTCGCAATGTGCCTACGTGGAGGCCGGAGCTTAAACGAGAATATAAGAAATAGGCTATGAGGCTATGAGAGGTTGATAGGATGACGGTTTCTGTACTTGTATTACTACTATACTTCGCTTTCGGCGCATTCGGTTCGCAGGTCTACCCAAAAAGTAAGTGGTAGGTTGGTCTCAGGAATGGAAATATCTGTATACACTTTTTATTTTTGGTAAAATATTTACTTGTTCAATACCATCCTTATTTACCCTCTATCAACACGCAAAACACGTGAAATATTAGAAGCTATGCTTGATGCCACAAGTAGTTTTGATCTATGATGCGCTTCATGCTCAGAAGAGCCCTGCCTCCCATGCTTCCCATTTCCTTCCAGTTTCCTCCAATCTAACATACAGAGAATGCAAGACAAAAAAACAAAGCCTCCGTCCGCCCTACTAACCTTTCCAGACGAAAGAAAAAATTGGATTTATCCCAAAGTAATGAATGATTACAAGACAGAAACATATGAAACACAACCCCCTTTCACAATTGCTGAGAAGCAAGTAAATAGACGATATAAAACACGAAAAGGATAAGGATAAAAAATAAAATAAAAAGATTCCCAAACTAGCAACGCAACATAAACAAACCCGCTGAAAAAACTAAACCAATTGCTTACAAACCATAAATAGAAAGAAAAGAAAAAAACCTAGTTCGCCTCTAGTAAGGGAATAAGAAATAATAAACTCCAAGAAAATAACAAACGAAAGGAAATCAAGTGAATGCGTCCCACGGCGTAATGATAATAAGATAGAATTTTTAAAGATGAATGGATATACGCAAATAAAGGCAGTTCCCCTCCACTCAACCTTCGTCCGCCGTTACTGTTACTCTGTAGGGGTACCAGGGGTGTCTGTCTCTGATGCCACAGGTGCATTCTCACTCGCTTTCACCCCGTTCAGCGCTGCAATCAACTTCTCCTTTGCACCAGGTGCACTCAGGTCATCTGGCATATCTGGAAGATCATCCTCCCCTTTCATTGGCATTATATGACCAATGTGAGAACCACGCCTACTTGCGGGCAAAGTTGCGGGCAGTTGCGGTATCAAAGTATCCTCTCTATCTTCTCTCAGAGCTGTAGTAGGCTGGACTTGTTGCGAACTTCTTCGGCTAATAAAGCCCGTGTTAGGTACTAGCCCAGATTCTGTATCTGATTCTGTCCCAGGTATTTTTCTTCTCAGTCTATCCTCTGCAGTCATATTCTGCCATTCCGAACCGAAAGTAATAACGCTAGCTTTCTTTCCTATATTTCCAAATGAACAAGATGAGTTACCGTAAGTTATAAAAGATATATCTCGGGATAAATTTCTACATACCGTGAACTGTAAAACTTCCAGATCCACGAGCCAGCCCTTCGGTGTCGCCGGGATATTTCTCCCCGGACTGATTACCATCCTCACTAGAGACATCCTTTGATTTACCTCTACGATGTCCAAGACCTTGGGTTTCTCTGAGAGTTCTGTGGAGACTTTTCCGGATCTTTGGTCTGCCTGACTCCTTGTCTTTTCCTTTGCTCTTCTCCTTCTTTTTCTTCTCATCTTTCTCCTCATCCTTGTCCGCATCTGCATCCCCGCCAAAGCTGGATACCGAAGGTGAACGATAGCTACGTCCAGTATCGATGCTAGCATGATCATTACTAGTGGTCGCAATATCCGCCCTCGAGTTTCCTAGCGATGAGACCGACGGTGTGCGAGGTAGGTTCGAAGAGAACGACGTTCTTTCATTCTGTTCAGGGTCTCTCCGAGGAAATTCCCATGCTGTAGATGTATTTTTAGTGCTAGATGTGTTGGAGATAACATGAATAATGTCCTCCCCAATTGAAGCCGCGGCCTTGGGTGGTGTAAACATTGCTTGAGTAGGGGTTGGCGCACCAGAGGTTGGCGGTGTAGCTTCGCGTATTGATCCGGCAGGTGAGTTCTGAGCACTGGCACTGGGCGTATTAATCTCAAGATTCCTTTTCTTCTGTTCCTTCGCCGATTTCCGCTCTTCGTCCATATCCATTGCCAGAATATCACGATGACACCTTAACTTCCACATTTCCATTCTAACCCATTGCAACTTTGCGGCCAACGATCCTGCAGCTAATACTGCTTGCTCTCTTGTTTTTGGCTGAATCGGTGTGAGGATAGAGAGATGCCTAGCGTTTCTTAAGAGTGTTTGTAGCTGACGGTTTGTAGTCGCCAATTTTTCCTCTGAATCAGTGATCTTATGCTCAATTACCTCTCGTCGGGCAGCTGAGATTTCCGCCGCCAGCTTGGTGTCTATCCCTCCTCTGAGAATGGAAACTTCTCCAGAGGGTGTTTGAACAAAATGCGTGGATGTTGGCGTATCAGGAACCCCATCAGCCCTCCTAATCGCTCTTGTCCTCTGCCCCTCATAGTTTCCACCAATGACGCCCCTCATCCTGATTCCTGCCGTTCGGAACGTCGCTGCATAATTCAGCTTTGCCAACCAATCATTCATCTCTGCCTCAGAATCCGCAATAAAATACTCCTGCATACCACCATGCCTAATAAAAGCAAATGCGTGCTTATGTTTTTTGTAAGTTTTATCCAACAAAGCCACTGCATCATCCGTTGATATCTGTGCATCAGGTTTAAACTGTTCAAGTGGTGGCTTGAAAATTACTGGGGTCCCAGTGTTGTGCTTATGGTGTGATTCATATTGTGTCATTAAATTCTTGACCCAACTAACATTCCGGAAAAAGTAAAGCTGTGAGCCTGTCAGAATAACACCCCACTCATGCCATGGACTCCTTGTTTTCTTCTTTTTCATTTCTTTCCTCCACAAAACTCCAACTTTCGTCACTTTGATTTCCACTACTCCAGGATCAGCACCTTCCGGATTTTCTGTAGTTGATGGCGATAAGAATGCGTCGGGCCTTGAGCGTACAGACATGATCTGTAGAACCCCCGAACGAAAGAATGCCCTGTGTAATGAACTCATCTCCAGGCGCGATGCTGTCCCAGTGTAACTATACGGATCTTCAATCTGCACTACATCTTTCAGACTTGGTCGCAGGATATCCAGCTGATTGTCAATGATTAAAGTGTAAGGATCGACAGGTTCCTTGAGTCGCTTCCCATCCTGATTTCCCCTGTTGAATATCCCCCGCTTTGGTCTATGTGGCACAATTTTCTCCCCGTTAATATCAAACTCATCCTCCATTCTGATAAATGGTGTATAAGTGATGTTATGATAAAAACATTCTAGAATGTCACTAGAGATACCCTCATTTGATATTGCCTGAGAGGTGTTCTTGATGTAGTCTTGTTTCTGCATTTTTCGCTTGTTATTTTTGTTGAAGAAATCGGTGTGCAACATTATCAACGAGAACGCAACATAATACGCTTGGTCTATATATGGTGAGAACCCAGTTTGACGTATAAAAGGTTGCAGGGGGGATTGGCTTTTAAGTCTCACCAGAATCTTGATATATAAAAGGGTTGCATTCATGATATCTATCCGCAAAAGCTTGAAGAACACGATCTATTTGTTGGGTTTCTGAAGGAAGCTCAACTTCCATGAGCAATTTCCTGTCTTCAATCAGCTCATGTTTCCTTCGGTTTCATACTTCTAGCTTACCTCAACGCCATATCCATAGGGGTAGATGAAAAATCAAATGTTCCCATGTAACTTTTTAACACTGCGGAATGAAACACATCACCATTCCTTGCAAGCAAAGACGCTACCACACTCTTACTAAGCGCTTCAAATAGCTTAGAAAGATACATCTGCGGAGTATCCTCGTCATTCCTCTCTGGAATAGTAACAATTTCCTGCGAAACGGCCAGCGATGTTGGACCAGAGCTGTATGGTTGAGGTGACACATTCCTGCTGATTGCATTCCCAAATATTGGTTCGCTATCCCTTCGTATCCGCCCAAACATTCCACTGAAGCTTTTCCTCCCAATGCTCCCACGCCCCTCTACTCGATCCAATGATGACATTGTTGAACTGCGGTCACGTTTAGTGATCTTTGTCGGTGTGAGCGACGTGGGGCTCGATTGAACTGAGCGGGTCGAAGCAGTCGAATTTGAGCGTAAGACACGCGGTCCGCCGGGACCTGCAAAATTGAGGCCAGATGCTGCCAGCATATGGGATGCGAATTGATGGTCGCGTGAGCCGCTCCTCGTAGGAGAAGGATGGCTATTTGACATCATGGACATTGGACGTCCCATAGGAGTAAGATCTGTATCAGATACTGATGGTCTTGGGCCCCCATGTCCTACCTTTGATGGGAATGGGAATAAACTAGTTTCCTTCTTTTTACGGCGGGGAAGCCTAAAGAACGTGGTGGTGGTGGTGGTGGTCTGCGTAGTAGTAGTTGTGATGTAGTGATCGGTGGAGCTGGCAGTTGAGCGGGAAGACTCTGATAAGCGAGGCGGGGGCAATGGTAAAGATGACATCTGGTCGTCATACGCTGGTGGCTCGTGTATTGTAGACCCTGTAGGGTTGGTTCGTGGACGTTCCGGTTCATCGAATGTGACTCGACTAGTTCGCATGCTGGAATTTGTCCGTGACGTGCTTCCATCTCGCCGTCTATTTTTCGAGAATGAGCTTCGCTGCGATGACTCTTCGGATGATAGGGCAGCCGGACTGCTAGAAGGCTTGCTATCCAAAGTTTTTTGCCGCCACAGCCTCATCGTGCTTTGTCTTCTCGGGGGGGCAAAATCGTTCGTGGGAGCTGTGGTAATGATTGAAGGGGTAAGTGTTAGAGCATCGGGTGTGGTTGGGACGGGAGGTGGGTTTGAATCTCTAGCCTTCTGCCCTATCGCCGAGTCCGAGGCATGGCGGAACCGCATCAGACTAAAGCGAGGGTTTGGCTTTACAACATGGCTTTCTGTGTATGAAGTGGTAATCTGGGGTATATCTGGAGTTGGTGAAGATGGTCTCCGGGAGATCTGCTCACTTGAGCGGGCGAATGCAAGACTTCTTGTGGCCTCTAGATTTCTCGATTGCTCCAAGCTCCGTCGCAGTCGGAGGTCCGTTTCACTGCGTCTACCATTGTTCCGTTTAAACATAATTTATGTTTTATGCAGAATCGCGTGGCAAGGTCAACGTAAAGCCTGGTATCTGATGTGCGGAATATGTACTGGAAGAAAACTGCTCGCTCGCTGAAAAAGAAAAAAAGAGAGGAAATAGGTATTGAGCCTAAAAAAAAAAACGATAGTGGGATGTTAACCGGTGTTGGAGGAATGCAACATTGTTTTTTTGCGCTGAGAAAAACGTAGAAAGGACGGAGAAGCTGAGGAAAAAAAACTCGAATCAAGGATGAGGGGTGGAAAGGCAAGACTGCGAGGGCTGAGAACCGCTGGAGGGGAGGGGGGAGGGGCTGCTGCTGTTGGCTGCTGTTGGCTGCTGAGTAACTTGGTGTAGCAGGACCTCGAAAAGACCGGCTTCTAGGGAGTAATAACAACGGCAGCAATTTCTACTACCATGCGGATGGGTGATGTGGTGTATGTATGTACGATGGGCGTGAGAAGCATGTACCGTGTGTGTGTTAGGAACTGTGTTTCTGAAAACAAGAGCTGAACGTGAATGTGAACGCAAGTATGTGAGTAAGTAAGTATGCAAATGTATGGCCCCGGGGGGACTGGATTTCGATATGTGGAGAGGTTATGTGATTTGAGCAGCAGTGGGTATGGGGATGCCAGTGTGTGGTCTACGGAATGCTTGTAATTGGTGGTCAGCTTCTGTCAGACACACTACCACAAAGTGATATCTCCTGTGAGATGAGGGAAGTCGGAAACCAGAAAAGAAAGCCCGCTATGTGCATGGCAAGCATGCTTGCAGACTTGTGTAACCCGGTTGGTGCCTCCTGAGCCACGCGGCCAGACAAACATACCGCACAGACCGACGACGTCGTCCCAGTCCACCGGAACCTTGAAACAATACATCTCCTGTCATTCACTGCAAGTAATAAATAATTCCTCCTGTCCGCCATTGACTGGTTCTGCCCATCCCTCCTAAAAAGAATTCACATCGGCTTTGGGGCGATAGAGCACGAATACTCAAAACCCGATTGCGTATATCGAATCTTGCGTCTCGTCGTGCAGGCAGATCCTAGAGCGCTGTAGTCTCACTCCTAAACCCAGTAAGTAGCGTGCTATGTACCGGCCCCGAAACGGGTCTCGGACATTGTCTTCGGAATTTCTGGCATGCACAGGTGTCAAAGCCTTCATAGTGCACGTTATGAGATTCACTACAGTCGTTCACAGGGTGAGGACGAACACTGGGTGAAGACGAACCAGGGTTCTCAATATGGCAAGAAACAGCCAAGCTGCCCAAGTGATCTTTCTATTTGTCCAAAAGTCCTTGTTCGTCTACATCCAGCGTTCGACCTCACCCTGTGAACGACTGTACCTCCTGCCTACTACCTACGCAGAATGGTATTAGCCAGCAACCTATCACTGGATCCCTGACAGAGCTCATACCTACACCTATATCCAGAATTTGGGGTATTGCAGAATTTGGAGTACAATACTATCTTCGATTAGCTGTAACCTAAGCTTTCCTTTGAACCATGGGTGCAGGATAATCTCTCGCTGATATATATATATTAATATACATGTACTTGAGTGTGAGTCCGGCTCCATCACATTCCTCATACTCAAAAATTTAGTACTCCACATGTATTCAGATCCTTGTTACCTTCTTCACAGTCTTTGATGACGTATAAAGCATGTTGATAACATTCCCCTCCCCATGCCTAGAATTCTGAACTCCGAAAAGAATATATATCATGACGAATTAAATCTATGTATGTACACATATATCCAGTAGAACCCCCCCTTGCGAAACTGATCCTAGGCATCAATTGGTTTTTAGTTTTAAGCCTCACTCGCTTAGCTTGATCCTTAACTACATGTACATGTACAAGTATTGCTGTCAGATCAATAGAGTATATATCTAGGTAAATACAAGTACCTGTACGTTGATTACTGTAATGTATGTTTGGCGATCACTCGAGAAACCCAAAACTAAAATCGAGTGAGTGATTAGTGATGATTCAACACATAACCCACCCCGCCTAGTGGTTGAAGCGGGGATTTGGCCGGATATATGGTTCCCCCAGTCTTAAAGGTAACATGAGAAAAACGCCAAGTCTCGAATAACTTTTCAACCACGATTGATATTAAAAATCTGGAAAGAGAAAAGCTGGATGCCATGATGAAGAAGAGTTTGTCTTTCCAGATTTTTAATATCAATCGTGGTTGAAAAGTTATTCGAGACTTGGCGTTTTTCTCATGTTACCTTTAAGACTGGGGGAACCATACTTTTGCACTGACGGGCTCTTGGACACTAAAAACTAAATTACAAGCTACCTTGCGCTGGCACGAAAATGGTATCAATTGTATTTTTGGCACACATACGGCACGATTAGGGGCCTAGGCCGGTGAATTTGGCCATACAACAAAACTCATCGCACATGGCGGTAACTTAAATCAAGGGCAGCATATATCCCAGTTGAATATTGAATATCATAGAACTGATACTTTTCGGTCTGGAAACTCAAATGAATCTTTGATCAGCTACGCTGCGATGCACGGACATGATTGTTTGTTGTTTCTAAGAATCAGCGACTGATCTAAGAAATAGACCTGATAATGAACAAGACTTTGAGCAGTTAGCTAAAGTAATTGCAGTATGTATACACATGTGCTTCCTGAAAAAGCAATACATGTATTTAGGATGTATGTCGTCTTATCATTGATCATTGACGTCCAAAGCTGTGAGGGTTGTGGCGATGATAGGTACTAATATACATGTATACATGTACATAGTCATAATAGTATAAATTATACTGAAAGTCTATTTGAACCAGAACCAGACAACATGAATTCATGAAAATAGATATTACAAGCAAGTCATACTGTTCTTAAAAGAGTACATATTTGCGCGTGGCATGTACCTACTTAAGGTATGTACATGTATTTTACGTTGGCTTTTAAAGTAAAGCTGATTGGCAGGATAAACTCGAATCCGGAGCTCGTAGGAAAGGGATGAGAGCTGACCCGAGATGCATGTGGGCGCCATTGCGGGGTTCGCAACAAGACCGACTTTCGCTTCTACCGTTGCCAAGACCGTCGGCGATCGAGCTCCAGAAGCTATGCAGGACATGCGGGGGCCCGAATCTAAAGGAAGGCCCCCTCTCAACTCAAGTTGTATGCTGGGAGGAGATTTTCCAGATGGCCGAGAGAAAGAGTTACATGCGATTGATTCATACAGTATATGTATACCTTTCAAATTACGTGAACATTCGTGTCACACCATAATTTATGAGGGCCATTGCCTTTATTTTTACGTGAGAGGTTTCCCTCCACTGTATGTACTACCTTGTCACGATTACCTACTCTTCGTTGTCATAATCAAGTGCCTATCGAAATACATCATGTAGCGACCGGATTTTGAATACACTGTAGTATCGAGTCTCAAGTCGAAGATCTATTCCACAACTATCTCGCTCAAGGACGTTAGATCACTACTTACGATCTATCCCCTGGATGTATGAGACATTGGTAAAATCTCTCTCATGCATGATCATGTGACCTCGAATTTGGCGAGAAAACGTCCGGGTAAGCAGCTTGCTGCCTTTGCCGGTCTTTGGAACACTTAACGGTGCCATAAAGTTCGCAATTCGCTGCCTTACCTCAGTCAATCATATCCTGAGTAGGCCACGCTAAAGCATGAGAGAGATTTTACCAATGTCTCATACATTCAAGGGATAGAGCACTGGGACAAACAACGCAAAAGTAAAGTACATGTATTTCGAGTCTGCGATTTTAGCGATTTAGCATGCAACAATCCCTTTGTGTAAGCCAAGGGCCAATAATCGTACCGTGTGGCACTACCTAACGTTCAAATAACATCGCCAGCCTGCTGCGCCTTGTAGCACTTACTATCTGACTGTTCCGCCCACTGTTCAGAAGTGAGTTTCAGTCAGGATCAGGTTATCCACTCCTCAAACTGCCACCTAGAATCATTCATCTCATACTCATTCGACACTCACAACTGTCCCATCCTATCGTGTCCTCGTGCGCTACCATCGTTCTCGCTCGCTCTCTTCGATCCCCACAAGCTAGTGTTCCATGCACTTCAACACAAACGTGCTCACGTTGGCAGTGACAGCCGCAAGCTTGCTGCTGTCCACTACCAATGCCGCCATAATTCCTGACTCGGTGGTACGCCGCTCTACGGTTGCCGAGCCTACACCGAATACCTTGATCCCGCAATCCGCAGTGACCGAAGATCATGATGACCGTCTGTGGACTACCAAGATCCGTGATACCGTCGTTGGAAGCTTGTTCGGAAAGTCTACTCGGCATGGAACGAGGCGAGAACAGCAGAAACGCTTGAGCCAGACTTCTAAGATTATATCTCAATATGATGGCGACGTAGTGCTTCGGTTTAACCTATCGTCGCCGGAAGAGGCGAAAGCTCTCGCCGAGGCTTCTCATATTCTGTATCTAGATGTTTGGTCTACCACCAAAAGCCACGCCGATATTAGGATGGCTGAAGATATGGTATGCCCTCACCGGTGCTTTCTTTAAACAATAATTAGTACTGATGTCACCGGAACGGCTAGGTGCCTTCTTTGCTTGGCCTACTACCAAAATCTATGCAACACTCCCATTTCCGTCTGATGCATGATCTTGCCCGGACAGCGCAGGATACGTATACTGGCGCCTCTAATGTCTACTCCAAGGAAGACATGGTGAGGTTGGAAACTGAAAATCTTTTTTTCCAAAATTATCAACCACCATCAGTGATCCTCCCATGGATGAAACTCCTCGAATCTCTTTTCCCTAGCTTTGTTGAAGTGTTTTCCATTGGAAAGAGCTATGAAGGTCGTGAAATCCAGGCTCTTAGAGTAGGAAACAAAGACATCGGTGGCAATAAAAAACTAACAATCATCGTCACCGGAGCCGCCCATGCCCGTGAATGGATAAGTGTTTCAACCGTGTGCTACCTGGCATATTCGCTTATTTCCGGATACGGAAAGGAAGATGTGGATATCAATACAATCGTTGATCACTTTAATTGGGTTTTCATTCCCACTCTCAATGTTGATGGTTACGCATACACCTGGGATGCCGATCGTTTGTGGAGGAAGAACCGACAGCCTACTGGGCTGTCGTTTTGCAAGGGCATTGATCTTGACAGAGCTTATAACTTCCATTTCGACGGATCACCTTCATCGCAAGGAAATCCTTGCAGTGATAGTATGAAACCTTTATCTCCACTCAGAAATATTTTAACGCGCTAATGCCTTTTCTCAGTGTTCCCTGGGACCAACCCATTTGAAGCCACCGAAGCGAAGACCTTTGCTGATTTTGCGCGCAATCTATCTGCAGAGGGTACCCCAGTAGTTGGGCTTCTTGACTTTCATTCTTATTCGCAACAGAGTAAGCTTTCTACAGCCCGTTTTTATGGTCAACTTTACTAATTCTGTCTCTAGTCCTCTACCCATATTCTTACTCTTGTGACAACATGCCACCCGACCTTGAGAATCTTGAGGAGCTTGGTTTCGGCCTTGCCAAAGCCATCCGCCAACACTCTGGTGAACATTATGAAGTGACATCTGCATGTGAAGGCACTGGGTTCACGGGATTTCAAGGGGCTGGTGGAAGTATGATGGATTTTTTTTATGCGGATTATCGTGTTCCATATGCCTACCAGATCAAGCTTAGGGATACTGGTAGTTATGGGTTCTTGCTTCCAAAGGAAAATATTATTCCTGCGGGGGAGGAGAGTCTGGCTGCTTTGAAACATTTTGGTCAATTTATTCTCGACGATGGGTCTCCGGTCGAAAGACAGGAATTGAGGCAGGAGAAGGAACTCAAATGAGACTGACATGTGATGCGTCGTACATTTCCCCTCACCCACTCCAATTCTTTTTATTTTATTATCTTCTTGGCTCGCTTTGTTTTGATGACTTTGTTTATGGCCAATGATTACTTGTTGGTAAAAAGGTTATAAGTCTCGACTTTTTTATCTTTTTTTTATTCTTCTTGCAAGGCCTAGGGTTTTTATTTTCCTTTTTGAGCGTGGCATTGAGTATGGATATCGGATGAGTGAATAGTGTGGTTCTTAACAACTTAACAAGGGTAACTATATTGATGGGGTTTGAATATTGTTCTTTTTCCTTACTTTATTTGGTGTTTTGGTGTGGGAATTGCTGCGACGCTTCTACGCAATAATTGGTTGGACAAGATTGTTAGTGGTACTTGGTACGGTAGTATGTATGGGGATATTTAGGTGTTTGTTTGTGTGGAATAAGGTTCAAGTTTCAATTCACCTGGTGAAAAAGAAAAAGAAAAAAAATGTTACGCAAAATATTTTAGGATTCCCATTGCATACGCTCTTACTGGTCCTTCTCATAGAGTTCAAACCCATATGGCACCCCATCCTCCTGCATATTTTTAGGAACATCCTCATTAACAAACGTTGAAAGCTCTCCATGCGTCCTCTTCTTCCATCCATTCGCCGGATCCCTGATGTCCACCGGGAAAAAGGTATCCACATCAAATTCCTTATCGATGCTAGTCATGAGGATCCTCGTGGTACCGGGGTACTTCATGGCTACATCATAAAGCTGTGCACCCCCAATGACAAAGATTCTCCCCACCTCCCCGCTGCCCCCAGACTTCAACGCCTCCAACGCATCATCTAACGATCTCGCCCACACCACCGCATCCTCTCCCACAGAATTGTTTGTGGTCCGAGACACAACAACATTGATCCTGTCCGGTAATGGCCTAAACCTCGCCGGAATTGAGTCCCAAGTTTTGCGTCCCATGATGACTGCATTCTTCTTGTTTGAGGATTCAGGCACCAGCCGTTTGGTGACGCGAGCAAAATAGGACAGCTCTTTCCGGAGACGCCATGGGAGACCCCCAGACTTTCCGATGCCGAGGGTAGCGCTTGTGGCGGCGACGACTATGGTGAGCGGTGTGGGAGGCATTGTCGTGGTCGTGGTTGCGGGGTGTGAAGTCATAATGGGTGCAATGCGTTAAATTTTAGTGACTCCAATGGTGATGTCTCAAGTATCCGCTAGTAAGAGCCAACCCCCAGAAGCACATGTACCTACATGTTTGTTGGCGGACAGGGATTAAAATATGGCCAAGGTACATGTATCCAGTATAGTAGGTCAAACATGCTCTTTTTGAATATCTCCTAATTTGTCTCGACATAGTCGATCCACATGAAATATTTAACTAAAGGATACTTATGAGTTATTCTGTGAGAACATAAGCAATTCATTACTAGTCTCAGGATTTGCAAAGTCCACTTTCTTTGAGAGGGGAAGGTGACGTTGAATTAAGTTGAGGCTCAGCTGTGTGTACTGACGATCCTTGACATGGAGATCTACTTTACCAAATGTGGGCCTTGGCCTCTTCCTATTGTAGAAAATCCACACCATACTCTGGCTTCATTGGATGAGACTGTCCTGTTTTTTTTTTTTTTTTTGGTTTGAATGGGATTGAAATCGATCTTCACATTTATTGAGTTGATATCCAATGGGCATGTAATTAATTTGAGGTAATACGACCCGAGACCAGCCGAACCTCATTGGAGCAAAGATGAAGATCGCCCCTACTAGAGTACATCCTATGTTTCCCCAGTCAAGAAATACATGATGTATTGTTCCATTTATCTCGTTGAACGGCTCGATCAAAGATCACAATAAAAAATGAACGTTCAAGAATCGAATTATCATTAAAATAATACTTCCCAAAGGATCAACTCCAGCATGCGTATAATACCTCAAGCCATTTAAACACTCCACAGAGCTATAAAAAACTCCACTTGTCATCTGTAATGATATTTTACTTGTGGGTACAGCTACATACTCGATCTCGGCTTACTAGCAAGCTTCTGCAGTGCCTTTCCCACCTGTTTCGCGTTCTCATCAGTCGCCGGATCGACCACACCGAGTTCCGAGCCCAACTGTCCAAACAGCCACGCCTCTTTTAACGATCTCGTCAAAGACAACAAGTCCTCTGCTGCCCGAATCATAGCTGAGGCGTGACACTCGATTTGATACGTTTCGGCCGCGGTGATTTCGCGACTCTTCCCCTCGACCTAGTTTGACGGATGGATCAGACTCGTGACGTGGGAGTAGTTGTTGGAAGGAGAGTGGGAGTGCTTACAGGCGCTAGTTGTGATATGTTCTCAAACCGCTTGAGGAGAATGTCTAGGTTGTGGTTAACTCGACCTGCGATCTCTCCTGTCAGCTCTTTATACGTACATCGGCCTGTGTTTGGTCCCAAAGACCATACCTTGAAGACCTGAGCGGACGCCTAGTGAAGGATCACTCATGATTACGGATTCAGACCGATTATAGATTTCTAATGGGGGTTGATGGTATTATGTAGCTATGCTGGTTTAGCCCAACTTGTGGTTACTGAGCTTGAGGTGCGTGGGGCCGCCAAGCATTCAACATTGGCTAGTAGTCTTATCAATTTTCTTATCTTCACAATATCTCACTCGAGCAAGTAACACCATAACCCAAGACCAACCAAAAGCACTCTAGACACCACCGAGGATTGGCTTAAGTCTTTAATACTATCTTCTAACGACCTCAGATTTTCTGTTCAACAAGAGACTATCACCATGAGCAATTAGTTGTTGGTGGATCGGAAATTAATGCTTTTAAAGCCGGAACAAAAACACATGCATTTCAATAATAATTATAGTGCTTATGGAAAAATTGTAGAATGCTCCTCATATAACTGAGTAATGCCCTCGTGCTGTGGGATGCCCTTCACCCAATCATTAAGGGCCTCAAAAATCAACATCAACCCCTAAATTGGAAACACCAGGAGCTCCCTAAGGCACAGTAACCATAAACTAAGGCTGTGGATGCGCTGCGGTATTCACATTATTAACGCACTAATATTGTATGTAATTTTATTTTTCTAATGCTGACTTATGGTTAAATTTAGTATCGTTTCGGTAGTGCTATGGTAGGTAGTGATTTAACCTCGCTTTTTGCATTGCAGCCACGGTACATATACAGTCTGGTTCTCCAAACCTTACAGGTGTTTGCATAATATTACGCTCAGGCGAGCGCCGTAACACATAGTGCGAATGTTCAGTCCATTACCTCTCTAGGTAATTCCCATAGCTAGCTTCATTAGGGAATCCGGCCGAAAGTTTAAATTCAAATACCTAAACGGGTATCTCGAGTTTCCTAATGAAGTAATGCTTAACTTTGCAAGACTCGTTCTATATGCTAAGCCATCCAGCTGGGCCTAATATTATGACAACAGCTGTAATATATGGGTTATGTCGTGTATCTCACCCGGGGGGCACTTTGCAACGCGAGGGCGTTTCGGATCGAACACTATTACCTGAAGGGAATTCAGCAACGTTTCCGTTATAATTACTTGATCCATGTAGTATGCTACCGCGTGGCGCACTAGAGGCGATGGTAGGACTGGGAGAAAAGAAACAAACTCTAGATCTCATGCTCACCCCTCCCCCACAACACGCCGAGACGAGACCCGCAGTATACCCCGCGCGTACGCATAGCCTACACTATATATCTAAGGAGCTCCACCATCTGATCTTAACTACATGTAGGCTCTAAACAATAATATATGAGTGGGAGAGTCCCCAACCCCCCGCTGTTTGACAATATGGTCCTAAATACTAACCATCCCCCCCCCCCCCGGGGCGGCTCCAGATAGGGGTCATCATTATCTATTCTAAATTGTTCCGGTAAATAGAACGCTCCACATGGCTACGGTACGGAACTACCTGCTCGTGATTTTTCCGCGGTCGAATATATTATCAGTCTTGGCCAAGCTGTTTAATTAGGTACTCACTCTGGGTAAGCATACAACAGCTACACTACATACTCTTGAAGGCTATATATGGTTATCGAATGACATTCTATGTAGGATTAAATACGTCTCTAAGGGTTGGCCTAGTCTTATGAATCTCAGCCCATACTCGGTATATATGTATACGGGGCCTGGGATTAATGAGGATATGTGGATCTCATACTGAGAGGAATACCCAACTCAAAATAGTGATATTCCACACAGAACAGTAGGCCTGGGCATTTGCCCATCGGGCTTAGCTATGTACTTTCTGACAAGGAGCTTAAGATTGTACACGTGGTTAACAATGTACGCAATCACTCAGTGTACAATACTTTGACCATCGAGTGATAGGTCATGAATAAATACCATTCACCCAAACCAACTCCATAAGAGACAGAAGGAGTGGGGGATAAATGCAATGAGTTTTCTGGGTGTTACATTACGTATAGGTAGCTCCGCAGCGGAAACCAAGGTTGGGAGGCAAAAATCAAAACTGATCATAGGATAGAGTATGGGTACGAGCATGCAATTAATGAATTAAACAAAAAAAAAAAAAGAGTATGGGTACGATATTGGCATTAAGGCATAGTCATAGAAATAAAAAAAAGAACAGAAAAGGTAGAGGAAATCCTACGTAATCAGTAAATGTATCTCTCCCCCCACACTACATTTGGAGTAAATAAAGAAATGATAATATAGAGTGAGGGAAAGATCCGGGGGAAAAAGAGAGAAAAAGCTGCAAAACGCCTATCAATCCAGGTTTCTGACTACATATATCTACTAAACTCTAGCTTTCTTTTTTGGCCTGCCCATATCAATTTCCTCCTCCTCTTCTTCATTTGCCCGTTTCTCGATGCCTTCCTTATCTTCGATAGCCCTTCCGTTTTTCACACTTTCCAACAGCCTCTTGTATTCATCCTCGACATGGAAATATGTTTCTTCCAGCTTATCAATCCTCTCCAACCGATCAAGCTGCGCCAAGGTATCTCTATTCTGCTTATAGATTCTGCCCTTGACCACTAACCTGAACATCTTCCAGTTTCGGTCCTTCCTCTTCCGCTCGTCACTCTTTTTTCCATCCTTCTCCTGTAAATCCTGTAGTAGTGCCATCTCTACACACCTCGCGAATTGTCTCTCCGGCATCTTTGCCGCCTTCCTTACCGCCTCAAGCGGGAAGTCCTTCTTCGACACCGCTGTGAGCGTCAGCCCCTTGAATGCCCCTCCCGTTTGTAACCTGTTTAGATCCCGTAAGTCTCGCAGGTCGGCGAATGACTCGGATGGGTCCTCAACGGTGATTTCGAGTGTTGCGGGGTCTTCAAGATAGTGCGCTATAAGAGCATCATAAAAGCGCGAGCCGTGACCCTGGCGCTGGTAGGGTGGAAGGATCAGGAACTGAGAGAGGCGTGCGCGGGCGAGGTTCTCGACTGAAGGCGAGAAATAGTAGTACCGGTAGACGGTAGAGTAGCCGATGAAGGAGTATTCGTTTGAGGGAGACTTGGCATATAGGAAGAAGATGTCCCAGCGCTTCTGAGACCACTCATCGTCGTCTAGAGTTATAAAGGTGCCGCCTTCAATGAAGAGGAGAATAAGAATCTGGATCCGAGAGAGAAGATCTTGGCAGTGGGGATCCGACAGATTGGCATGCCAGATTTCGTAAGTGGTGTCGAGATGCGTGGAGGTATTGAGGAGGGATCCGGGAGGGGTGAAGGAGACGTAAAAGTTTGCGAGGGTGTTTTGGAAAGATTTGAGGTCACTTTTGAAGGCTTCTATAGCATTTGTTAGTAAGTATCCTTTTGTTTAACAAACTATGAATGGGCGCGTAAACCTTCAGGAAGGTATTCCTGCAGTATGGCCTCTACATCCTCTGCGACGACTTCGCCAACGGGCTTCTTCTTTTTGTCCCAGCTCACGTCGAGGCAGGGAGACATGTTGTCCGCTGCAAACGCAAGGCGGACATTGAGGTTGCGGTATCCAAAGATGGTCTCCGATTCGCCAAAAATGGGGTATGTGAACTTTGGGTGAAAAGTCGAGAGCTCTTCCCCGGAGGACGGGGAGTGGAGGGAGAGTGTTAAGGCCTCATTGGCGTCAACAGACCATTCGTCGATTGGTTCCATTCTGAGGTCACTTGGGTACGTTCTTTCGGGTGATCTGGTGCTGATTGTGAGATATGTGACAGAGTGTTGGTATTTGTGTTTGATGATAGTCGTTGGACTAAAGGACGTCGCGAGGGTTATTATTCGGGGGAGTCGCGTCGCGCGCGCAGATCACGATCGGATACTACAGCAACCAACTAAATCGGAGTTATGCAGATGTGTGTTTGATATCAGAAGATTTGTCTTAACATAAATCTATATGAATCACGTGGTCATGTAAACTATCCTGCAGTTCTTTGCTTTAGCTAGTTATTATTATTAACGGTTACTATTCCTTTTTAGTGCCATAAAAATTTGAAGTATTCAGAAATAGAAGGCTGAGGAGGACGGTCTCTAGCCATCACAAGGTAAATTATCACTTGTACGGAGTGCATGTCCATTTGAATATGCATGGCCCATCCTGTATTAGATTACTCTAGCGCACTGATACTCGAAGAGGAGGAGTGAGTGATCATCTCAACAACAAAACTACAACAAAAACGGTTGTCACCGTTCTTTCCAACTCCATACCTACCTGTTCCACCAAGGTACCCCCTCTAATTCTGTGCCGGGTCTCCGCAATAACGCCCTCTTTCACGAATTAATGACATCCACCTAATCCTAACTGCCCTTATATTCTATTCCATTGTGCGAATCAGTCAATACTTGTTCAACTCAAACGCCGAAAAGTCTCCCCCGTCAACGTTGCACAACAGATACCGCAAAGCTAATCACTCCCGACTACCACCACTCCCACCTCTTCCAACATGGCAGATGGTTTAGGAACGCTGCTACTTTTCAGCATCGCTATGGCATTGGCGTACGTTTCATTCATGCACCCCAATGGTCTATCCGTCCAAAACTCACACCCCTATCTAGCTCCCTGGGTGCCGGTTTCCTGCCTCTTGTAGTGTCCCTTTCGCCGTCTCAGATTCGCCTAATATCGACTATCGGAATGGGGGTTCTAGTCGGCACCAGCATGATCGTCATCATCCCCGAAGGAATCGACACAATCTATAGCGCAAAGCCCTCCATCCCAGCCGTCCGAACCTCATCCGAGCCCGCCGCGAGAAGCATCTGGGTCCCTGATCACCAGGTCACACGGAGGGACATACCAATCCTGTACCCCCGCGAGAATGATGCCGAAGAGCATGGACACACACACACCGACCCTAACACCGGCGGCGTCATCGATGCGCCGCCAGCAGAGGAAGGAGAAGACCACGACCACGACCATGACCACGAGTCAGATGCGGGCGCCCATAAGTGGGTCGGTCTCTCCCTAGTATCCGGGTTCATCCTAATGTACCTTATCGATGTCATTCCAACGCACGCGCATACTACCACCGCTCCATACCATATTGCGTTGGATTCTCTTCACTCGCTCAGCAGTCCGCCAGATACGCCCCTCCATCCGCACTCCTCACGCCCGGCTTCTACAACTCTCGGCCTTGTGATACACGCCGCTGCAGACGGCATCGCCTTGGGTGCTTCCTCGACTTCCTCCAATGTTGCGCTGGAGGCCATCATTTTCGTCGCTATCATGCTGCATAAGGCGCCAGCAGCATTCGGACTATCGGCGGTCTTGCTGAGAGCTGGCCTGGGAAAGCGCCAGGCGAAGATGCATCTAGTTGTGTTTAGTATGGCGGCGCCTCTGGGAGCGGTGGTGACATGGGTGCTGGTCAACATGCTGGGCGGAGAAGAAGTGGGCGGCGCGGGTATGCAGTGGTGGACGGGTGTGCTGCTGCTGTTTAGTGGGGGGACATTTCTGTATGTAGCCATGCATACAATGATGGAGCAGGCGGCGATGGTAGAGAAGCCAGGTGTTAAGGATACGTGTGCGGCTGTGTTTGGGATGCTATTGCCGCTATTGACGCAGATCGGGCACCATCACCATTAGTTCATTGGTGTCGCGGATGGCATTTTTGTATGTTTATATTTATATCAATTTCCCTTTTTGTACCGCTTGGTAGGTATGTATTTTGATGATTGTACTGTGGTGTGATGCAATGTGATTCCCTAGTCCTAGCTCCTTTACGCGTTTTTCTTGTTTTCGTTGCTTTGTCCGTCTAGTTGTTTTACATGGCATGGGATGTCGATGTAAATACCACCTTCTACATGTATTTGGTATTAGAGGGAGATTTTCTTTGATTGATAGTTGCTGGTTGGGTGAGACGTGTGGGGGTAGGATTCTAGAATCGAGTGAGAAATTATGATTAATGTTATTGATAGTACAGTCAGCCACGAAGCAGCCTGAGTCGGATTCTGTACAAGATATTAGAGTGCTTGCGTACGCCTTTATGTCTGGGTTTGTAGGGAATGATGATCCCCAACATTAAAGTCACTCATCTTGTAAAGTATTCATGTCCGGGCCCTCTAGTTGAGCTTGAAAGACGAGAACTACTATCGTGTGCATCAAGGGAGGCGAGGTGCATTTAAATCTAGATCTGTATCGCTATTATAGTACATAATAGCTCCTCCGACCAATATTATTGACCTAGCTCACACTTTCGATAGACACGCAGTTACATAATTCTGCTCTTCCAAAGTTATAAATTTAGGCTTCAAGTCACAGTCTGTGAGCTCTTCTTCAACAGATCATCTCTACTTTGCATGGGGACTACCCACTATACTATCTATTGAAGTTATGTTAATATTGAGTATCACTATGCCAATTTTCGTGTAATTACATAACTATGAAGCTCAATCCAAAACAGAGCCCTGAGTTTTCTGGGTTTATATATACATGTATATATGTGTGTACTTTTCTTTAGATATCCACAAACTGGCATTTGATTTTATATGCGGCCGCCGCTTCTCACTAGTAATATAATACATATAGCGAGAGGTAGAATTAATATTGTAGAAAAAGGCCGGTCTGAGAACAGGGTTTGTATGACTGATTGGCCAATAGGACTCCTCCCATATTTCCGCCACTCACTGTAGGTATAGTAGCTTCTCCCGCCATGCAGCTGTGGTTTAGTAATAAATGTTACACTAGACTAGGTAGCATGCGCAGTCCGCGTCCTAAGTCGACTGCGGGGGCTGTCTTCAGGGTAGATTAATTCAATTCTCCACGTCGATAACGAGCTAATTTCGCCCTTCTTAGACACCTCTGACTAAATGGCCGAAGCAGTGGGACTGGCAGCGAGTATTCTCGGGATTATCCACATCACAACAAAGGTAGCTTCTCTTAGTTACTCGTATATTACTGGTGTAAAGCGAGCACCAGACGAACTTCGAAAGCTTGCGGATGAGCTCAAGTCATTAACCACAGTTCTCACGACTTTGAGCATCTGCGCGAACGACCATGGCCCAGCGTTACTACAAATCCAAGGACCTTTACAAAGCTGTGTTTCTGAGCTGCTTAGCATCCAGATCAAATTAGAGAGTAGCAGTATCAAAGAAAAAGGGCGCTGGTGGGGTATGAGCTTGTGAAGAGCAGGAAACTTTGAACTATATTTCGAAGATCGAGAGATTCAAGAATCTTGTCACACTTGCCATGAATGCTGATCAGGTGTATGTGATTTTTCTTCTTTTTTCTTTTTTCTTTTTTTTTAGAAACGCGTCATTGCTGAAATTTGCAAAGAATTCGATCGAAAGTCATCGAGACAGGTATAAAAGAAATATGCGCAATTAAATCAAAGGATGAAGTACTCCGGATCGGTAGGGTCATCTTCCAAAGTTTTAGCGTTTGCTTGGAATCAAGCTCACATAAGATATCTTTATCCCCAGAAAAGCGACGTATGGAGGTGCTGAACTGGTTGTACCCTAGTGATTTTGACAAGAGGCACATTGAAATTAGCAGTAGAAGACAGAAGGATACTGGACAGTGGGTGTTGAGGGAACCAGTGGTCCAGGAATGGTGCGGGGGGAATCCGCGAAATCGGCTCCTTTGGGCCTACGGTATTCGTACGTATTATATTACCTACTAATTCCACATATATAATCTAAACACTAATTAGACGAATTCGATTTGGTTAGCTGGCGCTGGAAAAACATTTATCAGGTGCGTTTATCTGTCACAGTTGATTGATGTGTATACATACATAGTTTAACTATGCCTTTTTACCATGATTATGATAGAGGGTGAACATGACTTTATCCTAAAGTATCCGGCTAACTTCTGCACGCTTTCAGCTCTCTTTTGATTGATTATCTTCAAGACCAGGCAACAAAGGTAAACCCCAACCACGGGATAGCCTATATTTATTTCAATTATCAGGAACAAGAGCAGCAAGAACCAAGAGCTTTCCTTGCAAGCCTTGCAAAGCAGCTTGCCTGCCGGTTGGAGAGTCTACCCAAGGAAATCGAAGAATTGTACGAAAGACTGGAAAAGTGGCATGGAAAACCAACCATCGAAGACCTATCCGTAATTCTCTTTAAGTTGTCAAAATCCTTTACACGGACCTTTATTATATGCGACGCCTTGGACGAATGCGACCCGGAGAAGCAGCGCAAAGGGCTCTTGCCATTATTCCACCAAATGGCAAAGAATGGTATATACGTCTTTCTTACCAGTCGAGAATACCCTGAAGATATCCAGGTATCACTTCAAGGTTCTGCTAGTGCAAAGATCAGGCTCTGGGCAAAGGACGAAGACATCACCTTCTATATCAAACAAACAATAGCAGATAACCCTAGAGCGAAACGTCTTGTTGAACAAGGTAGCTGCCAAGATGAAATCATCTTGCAGCTCCAGAAGTGTGCCAATGGGATGTAAGTATATATATATTATATGAAGGCATGCCCGAACATATTCGCCACATTATATTGCCTAATTTATCATTATTATAAACAAATAACTGATCCATGAGTCTAGGTTTTTACTTGTGCATTTTCACATCGAATATTTATGCCGGCAGACCACCGTCAAACAAATATTAGAAGAGCTTTACATGCTCGAAAACTCTGCTAGAGAAGATCACCCTATGGACTCCACGTACAATAAAGCTCTTGATGCTCTCCGGGCACAACCCAAGAGCTGTAGAGAACTAGCCTTCCAGGTCCTCACATGGCTTGTCTGGGCTCGACGAATCCTCACAGTCCGCGAACTCCAGCTGGCTGTATCTGTATCAATGAGCGGGGATTGTACAACCTTTGACAATTCCGCTTTACCAGATAGAAACACATTGCTTGATGTTTGTGCCAGTCTAGTGATGGTTGATGAGAAGGAGGATACAATTCGGCTTGTCCATTACACTGTTCAAGAATACATTCTCAGAAACGCGATAATACCCAATGACATTGACTCAAATTCCATGATCACGACTGCCTGTATTACGTTCCTCTCACTTGACATATTTCTTCAGGGCGCCTGTACCTCAGATGGGTCTCTTCAGGATCGATGGAACTTATACCCGTTTTTAGACTACGCCGCAAAACAGTTATCCTCTCACCTGGGAGGATGCAATGAGACATTATCAACTGACGCTGTTTTGCGGTTTCTCGGCGATCAAGGCAATATAGAATCCTATGTTCAAGCACTTTATGTTCAAAGAGGGCCCGGAAGGGAGAGAGCTTATGGTATTTATCCCAAAGGACAGAGGGCATTACATGTAGCTGCAACCCTTGGACATATATCAGCTACTCGAATACTTCTTGAGAGAGGTGCCGATGTCTCGGTAAAAGACGGTTACGGACGGACACCACTGCCCTGGGCAGCCTTCGGGGGACACGAACAAATTATTAAATTGTTGATTGAGAAAGGTGCAGACGTCTCCGCCAAAGACGACGGTGGAATCACGGCATTTGAAAGGGCAGAAAAGAAAGGGCATATATCAGTAACTAGGCTGCTAGAAAATCCAAAGGGGTCTCCGGGCCTGATGGAGCGCTTAAGGAAGACTGTGGAATTAGGGTGTTTAGAAGAGACAGAATTACTCCTTGAAACCGAAGGACACATCGACAGATGGTGTATGCGCAAGATGCTTCACATTGCGGTAGAATTTGGACATGAGCCAGTGGTCCGGCTACTACTCGAAAAAGGCGCCGATATCTCCTCTACAGATAGTTCTGGATGGAATGCACTCCACCATGCAGTATCAAAAGGACATGAACCAGTGGTACAGCTACTGCTCGAAAAAGGCGCCGATATCTCCTCTACAGATAGTTCTGGATGGAATGCACTCCACCATGCAGTATCAAAAGGACATGAACTAGTGGTACAGCTACTGCTCGAGAAAGGCGCCGATATCTCCTCTACAAATAATTCTGGATGGAATGCACTCCACCGTGCAGCATCAGATGGACATGAGCCAGTGGTCCGGCTACTGCTCGAGAAAGGCGCTGATATCTCTTCTAAAACTCTTGGGCAACATACGGCAGCCGGACTAGCAGAATGGGAGGAGTTTAACTCGCTAGCTCAGCTAATACGCGATTGGGGGGGAGTAGAACGGGCGTCACAACGGGGGCGAGATATCACCCATACGGCGTAGGGAGCGTAGGTCTGGTGAGTAATAACATCTAGCTACTCAGTTGAATCGTCTCTCACTGGTGGCTTATCTCTTATAGAAGTATTGGAGCTTAGATACACAAGTGCGTTGATTTCGAAGTCGGTTACGGCGTATATCGGATTCCCGATTTTCTCTTCCAGGGGGGGCCTTATTACAACATGTAGTGGTGGTCAATGAAGGACAGCAACGACAGACGATGGATTGAAGGGGCGGGTACTTGGGTAGTTGATCAGATCAGGGAGAGGGGATGTGGTCGGGTAATACTTGTCTTTAAATTATGGATGTCTTAAATATTTAACTACATGTGTATATAGAAGCTCTATTCTTTGTAATGAATTATGTCTTACCAGTTTATCTATACTTGATTAATACTTTGTAACATAAAGCCAACCAACATGTGACACTAGACCAAGACGAGATCTGGAGCCGTGTAGACACATGCATGCGTGGTGTTGCTCGCGGATGCCAGGGCCGGGTGATCACGCATGATTATCTCTCCTTGTTGGCGAGCTCTAGCTACATGTATCTAGAGTAGGCACATTCTTGACACAGGTACACACGCTCTATGTGTGGGTTTGACTTGACTGCACTACGCGTAGTACGCTGGGCAAGTGTTGACTGAGTAGATCTAGTTATCATTATGGATAAGGATATTCGTGCAATAGCAGCTAGTAACAGTAATAATGCCTGGCCCCTCCCTGTCTATCTAAAGAAAGAAAGAAAGAAATAAAGAAATAAAGGGTGGTGGGGGGGGGGGGGGGGGAACTAAGAGGAAGAAGAAGAAGAAGAAGAAGAAGAAAGATATAAAACGAAATAGTAACGGAAAAATAGTAGCACTAGCAAAAAAAAAAAATAATAGTAAAAAAATAGTACTAAAAGAATTTACTAAACCCCTCCCCCCCTCCCCCGCCAACTACCTACCCACCTACCCACCTAACCACCAAACACACAAAAACAAACACTAGACCCCCTCCCCCCTCCACACCCCCACCCCCCTCGCCCACGCCACAACCTCCGCCGCACTCCCCACCTCCCCGCCGCCAAACCTCTTCTTCCTTGGATCAATCCCCGCCACGATCCTCTCCACGGCCTCAAACGCCTCGCGCTCGGCGTCGCCGGCGATTCTGCGCCCGCGCGGCAGCCCCTTGCGCCGCAGCAGCACGCACGCGAGGTAGTGCAGCCAGAACACGTTGGTGCGCGGCGCGTACACGTCCCAGTCGATGGCCTCCTCGTCGGGGGGGACGAGGCCCGAGGAGAGGTGCGTGCGCATGAAGCGGTAGATGTCGAATTGGTAGTCGCCCTTGCCGCTGAAGAGGGCGGGGTCGTCGAGGGGGCGAAGTGGGCTTTGGGTTTTTGGGTGGTGGTGGTGGGGAGGGGCGGGCAGAGGGCCCGGGAGAGGGTGTAGTCGATTAGGGAGACTTTGAGACCCGTGGGGTTGCGCTGGATCACTATGTTTCCGTAGTGGAGGTCGCGGTGCTATTATCCGTCAGTCAGTTGTCAGTTTACTTCACTCCACGCAGCAGCGTCACTCCAGGGCAATATCTATAGCTAGGGATAGCAAGCAACACACCTCAAACTCACACCCCTCCCCCCCCGCCAGCGCCTCCGCCACCTGCCAAAACACATCCACCGCCTCCCCCCATCCCTTCAACTCAAAATGCTCCAGATCCACACCGCCCATCTCCAGCCCGACCACGGCCCACCACTGGCCCGCGCCGTAGAACTCGGGCCGCTCGTTCTCGCTGCCCCGCAGCTCCTCGTACTCGTCCCAGCAGCGCATCAGCGCGTCGGGGAAGTAGCCGCGGCACACGTGCGCGCCGTGGAAGCCGATGAAGCCCTTGTGCACGGCCATGGTGCGCGTGATGCTGACTTCTTGTAGGATGGAGGTGAGGGTGCATTGCTCGGGGGCGGCGAAGGGGATGATTTTTAGGACGGTGGTGCGGGGGGTAGTGGTCGTGGGTGGGGAGGTGGTGGTGGTGGTGGTGGGGGTGGGGTGCGGAGTGGAGAGGAAGACTTCGCTGTAGGAGGCTTCGCCGAGTTTGGTGACTGTGTGTGTGGCCTGCAGGGCGGTGATGTACTCTGTAAAGTCCAGGACCGTGGGTGTCGTGCAGAGGCCGAGTAGCTCTTCGATCGCCGCGTCGTCGACGTAGTACTCGCACTCGTCCTCTTCATACTCTGCCTCCCCCTCTTCTAGTTCTTCCACTTCCTCCTCCGCATCGAGCTCCGTCAGCTCCGACGTATCACTCCCCGCATACTCCCCCTTCGCATACCCGTCATACCCCGCCTGCACCTCCCCCACCCCCTTCACCTCCACCTCCACCGCCTCCCTCTCCACCCTCCTCCTCCCCCCAAGCTCCAAAACCTCCTCAAGCCCAATCGTAACCCTCCGCATCTTCTCCACCATCTCCCTCTCCTCCCTGCCCTCCCCCCTCTCCCGTTCCCGCTCCCGCCCATCCTCCCACACCTTGATATCCACCCCCTCCCTCCCCCCCGCCGCACGCACAAGCGGACTCACAACCGACGCCCGCTTCTTCCGCACGCCGTTCTTCCGCGCCGGCGACTCCACCGGCGTGATGGCGCGCTCTTTCAGCGCCTCCCGCGGCGACCCGGGCACGCCTGTCGGCGTGCGCGGGCGTGGGCGGCGGTGCGGGCTGGAAGGGGAGGAGGTGGAGGAGGTGGAGGAGGCGGGGAGGTCGTTCTCTTTGTCGGATGTGGTGGTGGTGGTGGGGGTGAGCGTGGGGGAGGGGGCGAGCAGCGCGAGGATGTTGGCTTCGAGTTCTTCGTGCTCGGGCGTGCCGGGGAGGTCGAGGGAGTCTTCGGAGTCGGAGGCTTCGGGGGAGGAGTGGGCGAGGGTGGGGTTGGGGCGGCGGCGGTGCGGGGGGGGGCTGTAGGGGGAGGTGATGGTGACGAAGGGGGCGTGGGCGGAGTGGGTGTCGGAGTCGGAGTCGGGGTCGGAGAAGGCGGCGGTGGTGGTGCCGTTGGTGGTGGTTGTTCGGTTTCTGGCGGCGGGGGCTAGGGCTTTCCCGTTGCTGGTGCCATTGCTGTTGATATTCTTCCCGCCGCTTCCACTGTCTTTTGATTCTTCGTCTTCTGAGTCCTCGTCTTTGCCTCTGGCCCCCACTTGCTTCCCCTCTCCATCTGAATCTGAATCTGAATCTGAATCCAACCCCGGCGGCCTTCCCCTCCTCCCACTACCATTCCCCCCATTCCCCCCATTCATACTCCCACTCCTCCCATTGCTACTCCCACCACTACCACTACTGCTCTTCGCACCAGCAGTAGCTGTGGAGGTAGCAGAAGCAGAAGCAGCAGGAACAGCAGCGTTCCACAGATCCCTCGCGAACCATCCCGAGACGTGCGCAGTGACTTTTTTGCCGTATGTTTTCTTTGGCTTGCCTGACATTGCTTTCTGCTTGGTTTGTTTCTGTCGGTTGTTCTCTGTTGATTGTAGTCGCAGTGTAGTGTAGGGGTGTAGTGTAGGGGTGTAGGTAGGAGTGTAGTGTAGGAGTGTAGGAGTGTAGTGGAGGAGTGTAGGAGTGTAGTGGAGGAGTGTAGTGGAGTGTAGTGGGGTGAGGATCGAGGGTTTGGCTGTGTGAGTGAGAAGCGTGGGGTAAACAGACTGACAGACAGGGGTTTGTTTTGCTGCTGGGACAGGGGTGGTTGCCGGGGTGACGGTGGGTTAGGGTTTCTGTGCGGGACAGGAGAGATGAGACATGGGTGTGGTGTGTGGCGGATGGGTGTTTTCCAGAAGCCTTCTCCTTCTGGATCGTGCTGTAGCTATTGTGTTTATCTCTGTCTACTCCCCAGACAAGCCAGCGGCTAAACTCCATCCGAGCCCTCAGCTCCATCCACACACACACAGAGGTAGAGTAGAGTAGAGTATATATACTAGATAGCCCCCACAACCACATCCCCCACATAGCTACATCTTAGCTACATACCCCCTACAGGCCGATACAGCACAGCTCCACCCGCCATGGACCGCATCAGAAAGTGGTTTTCGCAGCAAGAGACACAGGCCTACACGGCGCTGGCGTCGGACCCGGACTCGGAGGCCTCCACGCTCACCCCCGCCGACGTCGACATCGACATCGACACGGACGACAGCCTCCCCGGCGGGCCCATCTCAAAATTCCAATACTTTGTCTTTTGCCTCCTCGGATGCGCCATGTACGCCCCCTCCCCCAAAAACAAAGACCAAAAAAACTAACACAGCCACCCCCCCCCCCCTTACAGGTTGTGGAGCTGGAACATGTTCATGGCCTGCGCAACCTACTTCCAACGGCGCTTCGACGGCAGCGACTTCCTGCTGACAAACTTCCAGTCGCTGATCCTCGTCTCCTCGACCGTGACCAACCTGGCCGGGTCCTACTGGCTGTCCAAGCGCCAGGCAACGGCCGACTACCCGCGCCGCATCTGGCTGTCGCTCGTGCTCAACTGCGTGCTCACGGCGGTGCTGGCCGCGAGCACGGTCGTGTGGATCGTGGGCCCCGCGGCCTATATCCTGGTGGTGCTGCTGTGCGTGGTGGTGGCCGCGTGGAGCACGGCGCTGTCGCAGAATGGCGTGTTTGCGTTTGTGAATACGTTTGGCGGCGTGTATATGCAGGCTGTCATGACGTGCGTGTCCCCCTCTCTCTATGCTCTCTATATGTAGTTTAGGGGTGGGTTTAAAGATTGGCCAGTACTGACTGGATGATATGCTACAACAGCGGCCAAGCCATCGCCGGCGTCCTCCCCGCAATCGCACAAATCATCACCGTCGTCCTAGTCCCCACAACCGACACCGACTCGCAAGCGGCCTCCCCCAAATCCGCCTTCCTCTACTTCCTCACCGCCACCTCTGTCTCGGCCCTCTCCCTCCTCCTCTTCTTCACCCTCCTCGCCCGCCACTCCTCCTCCACCTCCACCAACAAACTCCCCACCGACACCACCCCCGCCACCACCACCGCACCCCTCGAGACCCCCGCCACCCCACACAGAAAAGAAGTCCCCCTCTGGACCCTCTTCAAAAAGCTCCGCTACCTCGCCACCGCCCTGTGGCTGACCTTCTTCGTCACAATGGCCTTCCCAGTGTACACACAGCTCATCGTCTCCGTCCGCCCCCTCACGCCCGACACCCCGCGCCTGTTCACACCCGACGTCTTCATCCCGCTCTCCTTCCTGATCTGGAACCTCGGGGACCTAGGCGGCCGGCTGCTGTGCGGCGTGTACCAGTGGCGCGGGCGCCCCGAGGCGCTCACGCTCATGGCGCTCGCGCGAGTAGTGTTTGTGCCGGCGCTGGCGGCGTGTAATGTGCGCGGCGAGGGCGCGCTGGTGGGGGTGATGTGTGGTACTGGAGCGTGCAGTTTGCGTTTGGGGTGTCGAGTGGGTGGGTCGGGAGCTGTGCGATGATTAGGGCGCCGGAGGTGGTGGGGAGGGGGGAGAGGGAGGCGGTGGGAGGGTTTATGGGGTTGTGTTTGGTGGTGGGGTTGGCGGCGGGGAGTGCGGCGAGCTTTTTGGTGGGGGCGTAGTGGGTGTGTGGGTGCTGTGGGGGCCACGGGGGGAGGGGATGGGTTTTGGAGTGGGGGGTTGGGGTGTGGGTGTAGGGGTGTAGGGGTGTAGGAGTACTTTTCTTTTATGTGTGTTTTGCGTCTGTGATTTTTGGTTCTGGTTCTGGTAGCATTGCTGTGTTGTGTGGTGGTATTCTTGCTCTTATTCTTATTCTTATCCTTAGACCCGGTCCTTTTTTTGTTATAGCCTAGCTAGCTTCAGTAGTATAGAGATAAATGGGAAACGTATGCATACATAGCTACTTGTATTGTATTGGCTGGCCCCTTCTGGGGTCTGGGAGAAGCAGCCAGATCGGGACTTTACCTAGTACTTTCTAATCCGATGATGTCCGCTCTCTATCGATTCACGCACCGTCGGTCACTTGGTCCCTCGGCATCTCACCCACCAACCAGTTACCATATCTGTAGAAGAATCCGCGCACGCTCACGACTACCTCAAGTACTTGTGGTGCCTCTTGACCTGTTACTACGTAGGGCCCCGTTGTTTATAGGTGTGTAGTTTGCTGGTTGGTTACATGGCCTGGCCTTATAATTAACCGACGTCGACCTTCATGAGCTTCACGTGTCTAGATCTGCTTGGGGTCTCTGTAGCGTGTTTGAACACATAAACTGATAACATGTCCCGTGGTGGCCGTGGACGTGTGCGGGGGTTGCATGTGTCTCGTCGCTGCATAGCATGTGCTGGCGGGATCACTCCGGTTGTGGGTGTGGTTGTGGTCGTGGGCGGGCAAGGGATCTAGAGGTGTTGTACTATGTAGCTAGGTGCGTCATAGGGTGTCACTCGTGGGATGAGTTGGCGTGATGGGTCATGGGGTGTCACTCGGTGCTGTTTTTTCGTAGAGATATAAGTAAGGCCCGCGGGGTGAGAGGGTGCGGGGGGGGGGGGGTGCTTGTTGGGTGTTTTGGCTACTAGCGGGTGTATTTCTGGTACCGGTGCTGTGGTTAAGGCAAAGGTCCAACGTATGCCCCTGAGATTTACTAGAATAACCAAATTAGGCACTGGGTTGGATAGCCAAGTGCTATCGAGTCATTGCCTCGGTCCTCGCTGAGTCTTAGTTGCGCGCGTTCAGCCCCATGTCCGGACGGGGATAAAGATTACCAGCCTGAAACCTCGCCGCAGGGGATGAACCTTTTTTTCTTCTTTTTTTCCACCACACCGAGGCTTGTGTCTGCTTCGTCTTCGGTAGTTTGTTGTCCCCTCTTCATCTGTCAATCAGCTTGTTCGTCTATTATGTAACTCCCACTGACATTTACTTATGGTCTATCCTTTCACCCCCAGGTTCCCTCTTGACGTTGGATCAGGTAAAAAGCATCGCAATATTCGACTTTTTTCATTGCACGTGGTTAAGAAGCTTTAGAATCTACTCGTGACTCAGCTGAAGTTACATAAATCAGTCATTTATGGATGACCATTACCATCTTCCAGCAGGCCGTTAGTTTGGAATTTTGATCATGATATCTCACTCGGTCATATTACTCGTGTATCCTCGATCATTGACCCTATCAACTTAGAACCTCGGTTCCCGATGAGGCGGGGAGAGGACTAGGAAAAAAGAGCGGACAGAATGAATAATTGGGGAAGGAGACGCAAGGAAAGAAAGTGTTACTATTCTCTTGTTCTGCTGGAACTCAGAGGCGGTCGAATGACTGTGTGGTTGGTTACCCTTACCCCAGCGCCGCACTATCCACGCCCAGCCCCCGGCCCTTAAACGTCACCCCCATCTCGGCTCCCCCGCTTACTATAAAGCCACCTCTCTCTCTCATCCCCCCACCTCCAATCACCTCCTCCCCCCCCCCCAACGTACTCTCTTCCTACCCGCTGCGCAATTCCTACCGCAATGCATCCCAACAACGAATCTACACATATAACCGCCACCAACCGACAACACCGCGCGCAGATATCTTAGCGAGCATGTTCTAGCCGTTTTTTTTTCTCGGTATATTCCGTACTCACGCAGCTGCTACAGGGACGTATTCTCGTTGTGGTGACGTCGCCGCCGATAACTGGTCTTTTAGTATCTATCTGGTGCTCCGCTCCGGTCGGTGAGTCGGTCGGATCTATAACGCCACCATCGCTGGGAGATATATTGACGCATAGCGTCCATAACGGAACCTCCCCCTGATGGCTGGGAGATGGAAAAAAACATATCTAGCTAGATCTAGACCAGTCTGCCTGCCTGCCTGCCTGCCTGCCTGCCGCCGCCGCAAGAGTTCGGCGGACCGCCCGACTCGACGGACCATCTATGCAACTTCACGAATCACAACCCGGGAACAAATGAATGAACACCGCACTTCAGCCGCCAACATATAAAGAACAGCCGGCAAACAAAAAAACAGCCGAGGATAAGCTAAACACCGCCATTTGGGAAAAACATGCCAAAATATCATTACCCCTTGACATAGTGGGGGCGGAAAAAAAAGCCTTGAGAATTCACGGAGAATCTCTAGTGTCCGCCACATGATGCGAGCCCTCCAAACAGTTTCAGGTCTCTGGATAGAATAGAAGAACCCCCCGATATTGGCCATGGCGCTTGGGTTCTTGTTGAATAGGGCCCGCGAGTTAGGACCTATAGGCAAAGTTGGATGGACAGACTCGAAGAACCTAAGCCCAAAGACGGTCCTGCTTCATGTATGGGTGGGCGTATACAAGCAAATAAACTATTGGGTCGAAAACTAGATGGATGGCTACCGGTCTGCTGGTACGATCACGGAGGGTGGTTAATAAATACCCTAACGGCCGGCAGTGCCCACAGACAGCAATATTGCCAAGCGTGTGAATTGGCGGCCTGGCATAGAGTAAACCACCGGCACCACTTCGTCGATCGATCGCCGGCATGTTCAACTGAATAACTATAGACGCTCATGACTATCTCCAAGCAAATTAATATCTATTGCCACTTCCCCTACCCACACCCACCATCTATAAAATGCAGCCTCTCCTCCGGATCCCCCCCGCCAGCCATGGCCTCAACACATCACATTTCAGGCGCCAAACAAATTTTTTCCCCACAGTCTCCAGGTTCAAAGCAGAGACTCCTTTATCACAGACAGACATTACATTGTAAAAGAAAAAAACGGAACGCCCTAGGAAAATAGAAAGAAGAAAAAAAAGGAATATAAGATGATAGTAGATAAGACAGGAATAGATGAGAGGAAACAACATGAGGAAAATGCATTAACTACTAACCGGACAATACATACTACTACGGGGAGGGGTGGGGGATCTCCGCTCTGCTCTGCTATGTTAGCTGGAGCTCCCGGTGCCCCCGCCCCCCGGAGTTTGAACTAGAAACTTACAATACCCTACACCAGACCAGACCGTACCGAAAGAAAAGAGAAAAGAGAAAAGGGAAAGAAAGAATAACTAATAATAAGACTAGCCAAAAAAGCGGTAGTTTGTCAGAAAAAATGAAAGTTTAGAAAAAAAACAGAAAAACATAATCCGGATAACCCCCTATAAACATCCCTATAGCCAGTCCCCCCTCCCTACACATGCATTCCCTTAATTTAAAAAAACCTATGATGACCGGCCCTCTAACTAGTGTTTGCTCCCGATCCCTTTCCTTCTTTCTCTTCCTCGTTCTCCGTTCTCCCCTTACCGTTTGATAGGTGCCAAGGAATGATTAACTCCATTTATGAAAGCACACCGTAACACCCAGGCACCTCAAAATGTCCCATCCCATGTCTTTTTTTGCTTTTCACTATTTAAAAGTGTAGTGTAGTGTAGCCCTGTATTGTTCTAAAAAAAACCCCGTTGATGGTTTTTTTTTCTTGATGTTATTACTGCCACGGCTACTAACCCAAACAGAAAGCGGACAAAAATGAAAATAAAAAAACGCCCAGTAGCTGCTGCTATACAACTTTCCTGATTTCTCTTCCGGCGCTGCAGGAGCTAGCTGTTGTCTGTCTACATCTATGCCGACACCTTTGACTGCTTCTTTGCGGTGCCGATGGAGGTGTTGTTGACCTTTGTTGCAAACTTGAGCGACGTAAGGGTCTCTGCCAAATGGGCCTGCATTGGCGAAACCATCACGAACATGAGACATTTGCTGTTACCGCCAAGTGAGTATTGGAGCAAGTATGTAAGCTATAATTTATAATAGGTCAGTCGGCCTATTATCCAATTGACAATTTACTTCCGGGGGAGGCCTACCTTGGAGTTCCTATATGGAATATGGGCTCCTTCCTTTCCATTCCCGAGCGCTGCAATGACATCGCCGAGACAGCTCAGACTCTTGTTGATGCTCTGTGTCTCCTTCAGCCTGTCACCGGTGGCCTGACTGTGTGCCAGCCTTTCACTTCCTGCCAGATCCACCAAGTTCAATGTTCCCTCACTTCTCTCTCCCGTGACCGAGTTGACGCCCCGGAGCTTCAGAATAAACACGCTGTGTGATCGCGAGGAACGCTCGTTCGCCTGGGTTGCTGCCACTGACCGGGTCTTTGAGGCGCGGTTGAGAATCTGCTCCACTTTGGCCGGGTTGTCCAACACTACGGTATTGATATCTGTGATGGTCGTCTTGCACTCCTTCGGGTCGTGCCGGATCTCGTGCTTCTTCTTGTCAAAATCGTCGGCCTGTCCGAGAAGATCGTTGATGTTCTCGTTGTAAACTTCCACAAATTGACCCTCCATGGTGTACGTCCAACCCTTCTCCTCGAGCTGCTTGGCAGTCTCGTAGATCTGGTGAACTGCTTTGGGAATCATACCGTCCGAAGAGGACATGGTATATCTGCATGCATGTAAGCACAATTGGCCCAAAAGATCCCATCTGGAGAGGGGGGGAATTGCTCACGTCTTTCCGGAACCAGTTTGACCATAACAGAAAATGCACACATTATATCCATCCAAGGCGCTCTGTACCAACTGTGAAATTTCCTCAAAAACCTCCGGGTTCTGTGCAGTGGGTCCAAACACTTTGTCGAACGAGAATGGATACGCCTTTGTAACAACGTTTCCCAGAGCGCTCTTCTCCGCCGCACCGATGATCTGGATCTCCTTGCCCTCCTTATCCGTGTCCGGGAACTGCATTTCGGCACCACCGCCGGCCTCGGCTGGGAGCGTTGGTCGCACACGGCAGAACACCCTGATGTTTCCCTTGAGCTCCTGAACCTGGTTGTGCAGCTTTCTCCGCAAGGTTTCCTCAACCCTAAGCTTCTCCTTCGCTATCGCGGTCTCCTCCAGGGCCTGTCTAAGCCTCTGTTCCAATTCCGCAAAACTCTGGGCCTGCGACTGTCCGGCGCTCTCAAGCATCTCAATCCGGGTCCGAAGAGCACGTGCCGATGATTCTAGCTGGAGCGTGGTTGAAGACGACTCGGACAGAGTGGACTTCAAATTGGCCGTCATGGCCTTTTCCCGCTCAAGCTCGGTGATTGTTGCCTCAAGCTCTGTCTTCAGTCCCCGGATTTCCCGTGCACTTCCGCCCATTTCCATTTCCAGCTTCTGCCTTTCCATTGCTGCCCTTGTCGAGATCTCCTGCACCTCCCTCTGCCTTGCAGCGCGCTCATCCTCAATTTCCATTCGGGCCCTTCGCTCCAAATTCTCCATTGCCTCCCTGTTTGATTTGATTAGCGCCTCGACCTCGTCACGTAACTTTCGTCGAATGTCGTCAGTTTCATCGCGTAGTCTCCTTGCTGCATCGTCCCGTTCCTGCCGGCGGTCTCTTCGCTCGTCGTCGAGGAGTCTCTCGAGCTCCGAGGCCTTCTTCATGGTGTTCTCGAGTTCGAGCTGCACCTGGGTGTTCTTCGTTTCGAGGGTTACCCGCATCGTCTCGAGTTGGTAGGCTACAAAGTCACTGTGTGAGGATACAGAACTTTCCAAATCGCCCACAGGGGGGTTGTCTTCTTTACCTTTCAACTTGTGATCCTCAAGTTGCTCCTTAATATTGTTTGACTCTGTACGTTCCTGCATCATCATGCTCTTCATCATCTCGATCGCACTCTCGGTGTCCTCGAGTCTTCCCTTTAGGTCCCATGCTAGAAAGTTGTTATTGTCAACGCACCGAAATCTAGGAGAAAACGAAGGGGGTGCCCAATGCTTCTTACCCTTCCGCCTCGGCATAGCAGCAGTGGGATCAATCCCGCCGCTGCCGCCGCTCTCCGGACGATCACTCAACGAGCTCGTCGGCCTTGGTCCGGGGGCCGAAATTCCAGTCCTGGGAGCGGGGGCGGGCACCCCCCCTCGTATTCCGAGCGATGAATTGGGCCTGCTGCCGACGCTCTTTGAGAAGCCCGATGACGAGTTTGACCTCCCCATCTGGCCGCTCGCGCTCCGTCCATGGGATGCCGTGCTGCTGCCGCCCGCAGCGCGGGTGGTGGTGCCGGAGGAAAATTTTGTGCTGGCGGGCTGCCCGGCGCGGTCCGTGAGGGTGATGCGTTTCTGGCCAAAACCGCTGGATCCTGAGACTGTGGTTACCTTCCTTTTAGCACTTTTCCATGAGAGATCTCGCTTATTGTTATTATTATTATTATTGAAGACGGGAATTGAACTGGGGGAGGTGGGAGCAACGCTGTTGTCCCGGGAGGAGGATGAGGATGAGGATGAGGATGAGGTAGGAGACCGACTTGAAGATTTTTGCTTGAGGGATGCTGTGACGGCTTGGGAGGGTGGGGGCATCATTGCAGAATCGTTGTTCATGCTTGAGATACTATTGCTACGGCTATTGGGCTGGCGGATTGCAGAAGTAGAGTTAGTGAAAGTAGAGTTAGGAATTCCCGTAGAGAAGGCGTTGTTGATTGTAGCAGGAGGGTTGTTGTGGTTTGTTGTTGTGGTAGTGGTGTTGTGGGTTGTGTTGTAGGACGGTAGCCGTGTAGTGGTATTTGGAGGCGGCATTTCATATAAGACTTTTGTCGAGGGCGTTGGCGGGGGGATCCTACTACTGCCTGGTCGGGGAAGAGATGAGGGCTGGTACATGAACTATGTGAGGGGTCAGCTCCTGATTGGTGGGGCACAGAGAAACGACGGCACGGCCTACACTTCTCTCGGAGTGATCCATTATGGGCGTGTGTGTGTGTGTGTGTGTGAACCACTTTGTGGCAAAGCGGGAAGGCGAAAGGTAGAAGCGCAGTCCGGAGAAGGATGGAGCGGGGGACAGCGGCAGTAGCAGCAGCAGCAGCGAACGGACAAACAGGCGCGGGGTGTGGGTTGAGTTTGGTTGGGTTAGGTGGGTGTGATTGACTGGACGGACGAGTGAGAGGTGAAATGAAGAGAGGAAGGATATAAAGATATATATCTTTTTGGTACGTGGGGCGGTGAAGAAGATGAACTTAAGCTCCAGCAATAAGAACTCTCCCCTGTTATGTAGGTACTTATGGTATGGCAGGTAGGGCAGGCTTCTAAGAATACAATGGAGGGGGAGGTGTGGAGGGGATCGAGGGGAACGGTTCAAGTTTCAGAGATTCAGTTGGGCGTTGTCGTTGTCCTGATCGAGTGGATAGATTCAAGTCAAGAGAAGTCGCGAGGGCAAGAGAGACAGGCAGGCAGACAGGCTTCAGAACGGTATATCACTTTTTTTAAAGTCACAGGCAGGCAGCCGACGTAGACTCGCAGAGTACGGAGATGGTGTAAGTGTAAACACAGGAACAGCAGCGGGGAGACGTGTGTAAACAAAGCACCCTCGAGCTGGGTACCTCACTAAGCCTAAACAAGGCTGGAACCACAGGTTCGCTGGACTCTTTCAGAACCGATCGAAGGAAGTTGTGGATGTGGATACAGCACTTTGTGCAGAGCACGTGTCAACAACAACCACAGCTTTCGATTCTTCCTGCTCATCATCTTCTTCTCTCCGCAACCAGCATCATCATCATATCAGCTAAAACTCAAGGATTCACAGGATGAAGAGAAACCCTGGTTTAGAGTAAGGAGGGAGGGGCATGGCATGTTCTGGAAATATGTCAAGGCGTACGCTTTGGGAGCGCTTTTTTTCTTTCGGGTTGCCGTTGCTAGCTCAGGTACTCTACTACGGTAGCTTTCATGCCCTACATTAGTCTATCCGTGCGGTGGGTGCGCTGCGCTGTTTAGTACATGTAGTTAGACTCAACTCAATATGGAGAGTTTTGACCAGCACTGTCCAGGACAGAGCAAACGTGCCCATTCCAAATTACAATCCCGGCACGATGATTCGGAATTTTCTACTGTTGTCAACTGCTTCTTCTTCTTGCTCGCGCCTATTTATCGATAGTTGCATGATTCTACTGCATATCTTACCTAAATGTAGTATGACTGTTTTACTATTTATGTTTACTAGATGCCCGGTTCGTTCATTGGCGAACTTAGCGCTCAACCTCCTCGACGATCAACTATAAAACAGCAACCTAGGGCAAAAGTATCATGTAGGAACAAAAGTTTCACCCTATCCTAACGATCAATCTTCGCTCACCTATCCTCTGACGTCACCGGCATCGATGAGGCTCAGCGGAATTTCCCGTAACTAGTGTGCATTTTCTTATACGGCACGAAGGAGTGATATCTTTAAGCTTATAATCATTCTTTCCGAGAATTTTTTGGATATGGATCAAGTCATTGTGTCTCACGACTCATACATACTCGTTCTCGAATAGAGTCAACTAGCTATTATTGATGAAACATTTTTTTATCAAACCCATGATTGACTTTGAAGATGAGTTTCAACTCTTCATGTGGATTATATTGACGCCTTAGTTTCTAGTTTAAACAAGTGCTCTAAGTTTGAGCCTGGTGGTACTAGGCTACAGCAAGCTGTGTTGTCGTTATTTCACTTTTCCTATTATAACACCGAAAGTACTACTCCATCTAAAGTATCACGTAGTAGGTGACTTGACCGTTACTTCTATTGATGATTCTCTAGAGGAGGTTGACAAGCTTTCCCTTCTTATTCTACTATCATGACACCGTGGCCTCATACATCGCGAAAAACAGAACCGCAATCAGCGTGTCGCCGCCATCAAAGTCATACACCTGCGGAACCGGAATACTCGGTATATATATTCTTGCGAATATACCTGAGGGTGGTAACCTCATTCACAAGATTAACCTCGACTCCCAGGCACCCACTTGGCCTGTCTATCGGGACGCGAAAAACTATGTGTTTTGGCTGGTCCTGTGGAGGAGGAGGTTAGCTTATCCAACATTCTGCGGGAGTGCGGAATATATATATAAAGCTCTATACCTACGCCCGCCCCATTTATAGTTAGAAGCCATACCCATACCGTGTTGGGGCGGCCCAATAACAGTATCAGTGATAATGGATGGATGGCCAACTATCGATAAGTACGATGATCGGGAGAACCGAGCGTGAGTCCACCTTTGTCGGAATTTGAGGTTGGGATACTACTCTACACCAGTATACCCCGGCCAACAACTCATCTTCTCCCCACAGTAGAGTAAAGCGAGGCCCAAATCTCTGTATATCTTGGGAGATCTGCAAAGTCGAGGTTCGCTGCATAGAACCACTCCATTCGGTGACAATTTCGCATCCATATCCTCGAGACCAGTACAGTCGCCCTAGGAGAGTATAGCAGACGATAAACTCTGACCTACGCACAGATTTCCTGATTCAAAACCACCATTAGTTTCCAGTCTTTCCTTGGAATCCGAAGAATAAACACCTACTTCGTCTGGAAATCCTTTGCCTTCACCCCCCCCCCCCCCCCCCTTTGGCAAAACTGTATATCATTTATCACGGATCAACCAAGCTGAGAGGAACCGGAACTGATAAATATGTAGCTCTCCCATTTTGAGAAGCCAATCACCGGCGGAGGCAAGATTCGGATATTGTGAAATCAAACTCATGAGTATGAAGATGAGGAGGAGGAGAGGGAAGAGGGCAGAAAACTCTCGTTTTATACTACGTCTTGGCAGATCATCGCTGGCCTCATGAATTAGAGACGTAGTAACTGCTACTGTATGGTACAGTATTACATATAGTGGCGTGCTGAAACCTGAAACTGTCAGTCATTGTTTATGAGTAAGTGCCGTGTTGTCATCAGCTGGGACTGCCGTGGCTGCAGTACATACGTAATTGACGACAAATAACATGAATTTATAAACACGAGTCACGGAAAATACGCAATCACAGATGATACACGTAGCAGTATCAAAGTACTGCGTGCATGTTCTCGGCACTCTTTGTGTTTTTCATAGCGAGTCACTCGAGCGAGTCTTACCCGACAAGTGATATCTCATGATCCATGTCTGTCCCTGTCCCTGTCCGTCCACCTTCACGTCCCAACCGCCTGAATCAACGCGAGAAAAAGCGTGCTCACGTGACCTGCCAAGCAAGGTCCCAGTCCTCAACTCCATGCAGTACCATCCACACGATACCAGCTCTCAACCAAACGCCCACAGAAACCCCCAAAGCCACTCCAATTCCCCCGCAAGATGTCGCACTCAAAACGGAACACTTCGCTCGCATTCTTCACGTAGCTCTCCCCTCTCCGCCCCTACTGAAGGCCCATAAACTAACACCGTACCCCCCTCGCCCTGCAGCTCCTACGAACGCTCCCTTCTCAAAGGCGACTACGGCAAGCAGCGAACCCGCCTCACCCGCGACTCCTTCAAGCCGCTCGACGCCTGCAACCTGTGTCTGCAGCGGTGCCGCGACCCCGTCTCGTGCGACCACGGCGACCTCTTCTGCCGCGAGTGCGCCGTCGAGAACCTGCTCAGCCAGCACAAGGAGATTAAGCGCATGCAGGCCGAGCTCGACCGGCGCATCAAGGAGGAGGAGGAGGAGCGGGAGCGTGGTGATGAGGAGGCAAAGGAGCGCGCGGTGAAGGACTTTGAGCTGCTGCAGATGGGGCTCGAGATCCGGACACGCAGTGAGCGCGAGCTGAATCCAAGGGCGATCTTTGGGATGGGGCCGCCGAAGGTTGTGGGGAGGGAGGGCGGGAAGATCATTCTGGAGGAGCATGAAGGTGATGAGGAGGCCGCTGAGGCGGGGGCGGAGGAGGAGGGGAAAAGGGGGAAGAAGAGGAAGTTTGAGCTCGATGAAGAGGAGCTCATGCGGCTTGCCAGGGAAGAAAGGCAGAAGGCCAAGATCCATATCAATAATGAGAAGGTACCTTCCAATTCCCCTCTCTACCCCACAGCTTTCGTTATATACATCTATACTAACATCCACCCAGTCAGTAGCCTCAATTCAAAAACTCCCATCATTCTGGGTCCCCAGTCTCACGCCCTCCGTCGCCGCCTCCGACGTGCCCAAAAAGCCACTAAAGCTCAACCCCGTCTGCCCCGCCTCCGAAAAGAACAAGATCCACAACTACAATCTCAAAACGCTGATCACTGTCCAATTCGCCGAAGAGAAGGACGAGCGGACCAAGCACGGAGACCCCCAACGGGTCTGTCCCAGCTGCAAGAAGGGTCTCAACAACGCCACAAAGGCCATGCGTAAGTTTCATCATCCCTGCTTGCCCTTCCAATACCAATGATATTGACGACATATAACAGTTGCCAAACCCTGCGGCCACGTCCTCTGCAAACCCTGCGCCGACAAGTTCCTCTGCCCGCAGAACGACGACCCGCATGACACCTCTGCAAAGGTTGTGACCTGCTATGTCTGTGACGAAGTGCTGTCAGAGGTGGTAGGGAAGAAGGCGAAAAAATCAAAGAAGAGCGGGGTGAAGCCCGGGCTGGTGCTCATACAGAGCGACGGGACAGGCTTCTCGGCGGGTGGAGGTAATGTCACGACGGAGAAGGAGGGCATTGCGTTTCAATGTTAGCGGTGTTTTTCTGTTTTTCTTTTTTCTTTTCTGTAAAGTAATTTCTCTTTATATAGCGGCGAACGGACAAATGCTGGATTTGGCTTTAGAGTACGTGTACAACAGCTTTTTTATTAAATGGTGTTGTGCCCACGCGGTAGAGTCACAACTTGGCTCAAGTGAGTGCGTATATTTCTACCGGCGGTCATCTAATATGTTCCTGAAAGCATTCCTATCCAACTCTCCATCATGACGCAAGCCCTAACCCTTACGTGCACTATCGAGGACCGCATACTGCAAGAAGATACATGTATCTATCTATCCACGCACCACACCACACCAAGCTGACTTTTGTGTTTTTCACAACAGTCTCGTTGAAGCCGGCCAGGCATCATAGCCATATTGCCATTACCATATGACCTGTAAAGTATCTGGCCCTAGGTTACAGTCACAGATGTGTCCAGTGTTGGTCACATATGTGTCCTATTGTATGCTTGCTCAGAGTACCAAACCTTTCCGCACCCCCGGTTGTCGAACCTACATTAGATGGAGGTACTCTACTCTCATAGGCCCACCAGTACTTCCCACCGGTACCTAAGTGGGAATGGAAACGAAATTATCCCTGGATGTTTTTTGATTTGACGAGAAATCCTACCGCCTACCCCACCAATCACGAGCAGCTAAACAGAGGGCGCTCGACGTCCGCAGATCCTTCTGGCCTGGTCAACTGCGATATCGACATCATACTCTAGAACTAACTACAAGGGTGGCTTAAGCTCTAATAATCTCGCCACATCCGCACATGCTAGTTTTTTCTTATTCGTCTTTTCCTATCTCCTGTGGTGTACAAGGCTCTGGGATTAAGTGAGTGAACGGATCCTCACCAGTCAACACCCCATTTAGTTCATTCACTTAATGCCAGAGCCTTGTATATCGATAGGTGTGTTGCAAAAGGATATTATTCCTTTTTTTTTCAACAATACTATCTTGAGAACAACTCACTTCTTTACTGTTCGATCTACAGGATCGATATCATAGATCGAGGTCTGTGACCTCGGCTGAAGAGGCTGAATCCTCATTTCTTGTCTTGGGGAGCTACATGCCTACATGAAAGATGGCAATTACACTTGTCCTCCATCGAGCCTGAAGCGTGATCTGGATTCCGAGCTATCTACAACCCAATGCACAACTACACTCCACAGCCAGCATGACGCGTAAAAAACACAAGTGCTTCCAGGACAGAACAGAACAGAAGACGAACACCACGCGAAGACTCATTACCGCGTAAAAACACTAATTTAAAGATCAACAGAATTATTTATTTATTTACTTTTATGTCAGATTAGATCAAGTAATTTTTAAAGTCCGTCACCGGACAGACCATCTAGAGGCTCTCCCCCCCCTTCCTTCGTTCACTCCACGCTCGTAGCCTAGCTTCAACCACACACAACGAGGGTTAAACACAGGGGGCACAAGCATGGAGGACTATCGGAAATCGTGAAGAGCCTCCAGGACAGTCCATCCTCGGGGCTCTTGCTATCATCATCCAAAACTGTTGTTGGAAGAAGAAGAGGAAGAAGGAGAAGAGGAGAAAGAAGATCAAGAGGAGAGGTCGGTCATAGTGGGATTATATGGGGTATGCACGGCCGACCCATCAAAGCTCGCATGATGCAAGGATCGCTTTCTTTGCTAGGGCTAGGGGAAGGAAACAAACGAGCGCCCATGACTGGGCGGGCACCGAATTTTTTTTTTTTTTCTTTTCTCTTTCCCTCTGGTACTTTTTTTCTCTTTGGTTCCTCCCCCCCAGTAGCGATTTAATAGGTCTTGGCAGCTGGTTGGGGACACTCCCGTGGCAGGCCCACCAGGGAAAATAATATAAGGACGCAACAGTTGCCCCCTCAGCCAGCAGCTCGTCCATCAGAAAGGGAGAGACGCACTGCTTCGGTATTTTTTTTTGAACCTCGCTTGCCTACTTGCTTACTACATTCTCCTTGGGCTGTCATCCGCATTACGCCTTCTTTTCCTCATTTTCCAGCCAATCACAAAAATATAAACGATCCCCCCCCCCCCCCCAAACACAGCAAATTAAATCGCCCATTTTTTTTTTTTTTTTTTTTATTTATCACGATTTACATAAACCCCCCCCCCCTTCTCCCATTTACTTTTTCTCGCCCGGCAAATTCCGCTCGTCAGAAATAATATTTCTGTTCAGACCCTCCCCCCCCCCCCCGGTACTGTACCGTACGTTGCCACTAAATTCGGTTTTCCACATCCCAAAACCAACAAACGACCCCTGCAGCTATCCAGCCACTCTTTACCTCTCTCTCCTGTCTGTCCTGAGGCTGCTACTACCTAGCACCAGCCAGCCAGTTATCAATCCATCAATCAATCAATAGTGTGCGCAGAGAGAAGAAGGTGTCCCGCCACCACCGGCTGACTGTCACTTGCTGCTCTTCTTCACACACGCCCCCATCCATTCGTTCCTTAACGTGGAGTGGAATCTTTAATAGTTGGATCTCTCATAAAGAGTGCCTCCCATTAAGTAAATTGCCTAGGCCTTAGAAAAGAGCCAAGTCCCCCTGCAAAGTACCTTACACACAATTACGCTACCCCTACCATCCATACTACGCTACTACTGTTACCTCCTCTGCCTAGCTGCCTCTTTTACCGTGGATCCACAAGCACTATTTTACCTGAGCTCTTCTTTCACACATCCACACACACGCACACTCACACACGCTATACTCGAACAACACAGTTTAGTTGCATCTTCACATCCACCGCAACCACTCACAAACAATTCCACCACTGCCCCACCAGCCAATCCCCCAACTCCAAATATCACCATACCGCCAAGCCTCTTTCTCTCCCATCCTCCATAAATAAATAACCCCAAATAACCCAACCAAACCCTACGTCATCCATCATGGATATGTTCCTCCCCTACGACCCCGTCCACGGCGCCATGCAGCAGCACCACACCGCGCAGCCACCCCCACCCCCGCCCCCACCGCAGCCCATGGATCTCGCCTCCTCGCCGATCCAAGAGAAGGCCAAACCCGGCCGCCCTCGCCGTAGCCGCACCAACAACGTCAACGTCAACAACATCAACAACGGACCCCCACCAGCCACTGCCGAGTCCAGCAGCACCACAACAACGACCACATCAGCCACCGGCTTCAGCACAGCCGACGGCCGCGTCGTCGAGATCAAGACAAAATTCCCTGTCGCGCGGATCAAGCGCATCATGCAGGCCGACGAGGACGTCGGCAAAGTCGCCCAGGTAAGCTCCAGCTCTCTCTCTCCCCCCCACCCTATCCCATCCCTTGTCCCCATCACATCCCATCACTCGGCCCCACCTACCAGAACACCCTCACTAACACCCCGCCCCCACCTAGGTCACCCCCGTCGTCGTCTCCAAAGCACTCGAGTTATTTATGATCGCGCTCTGCGAAAAGGCATCCGCGCAAGCGCGTCAGCGCAACTCTAAACGCATCACCGCCGGCCACCTCAAGCAGGCGGTCCTTCACGAGGAGCAGTTCGACTTCCTGGCGGAGATCATCGCCAAGGTTCCCGACATCCCTTTGCCGAGTGTGGACAGCAGCAACAACAACAATGGCGGCAACTGCTCGTCGGGCGGCGGCGGGCTCGAGTCGGAGGATGCGCAGGCGCCGCCGAGCGTCAAGAAGCCGAGGAAGCCGAGGACGAGGAAGGTGAAGAGTGACGATTGTTGAATGGGGAGGGGGAATTTGTTTTTGCTTTTCTTTGTAGGGTGTTGGGGGCGTGGTGGATATCTTTTTTCTCTCTTTTTTTCTTCTTTCTGTTTTGCAGGTTCTCCGGGCTTTTTTTATTTTTATTTTTCTTCTACTTGCTCTTAGAGATGGGTGGGATGATGGAAGGAATTATTAACAACAAGAAGTGAAGCTGAAACGACTACCTATATTCTCTCATTCCGAGGAATCCCTCTCCCTCCATCCCCCCATCCATCCACAGCAAAGGTCCAAAATCTCGCCCATGGGGCACCCGGGAAACCACTCACCCCTTCTTGTATTATTACTTTTATTCTCTTTTTTCCTCTTCTACTATTAGTTTTCTGGGTTGGTTTGGTTGGCTGGTCGGCTGGTTGGGTTTGCATTTCTCCTTTTCTCTCTCTTTTTTCCATTCCACTTTACTTTCACGTCTCCACGACGCTACCACACCACTCTCCCCACTATCGTACCGGGCCACCAAAAAAATTCAATCAAACCCTCTCTCTCTTTCTTTTCTGTATGTTCTTCTTCTCGGGCCTCGGTGGGGGATAGTAGGGTAGGGTGGCATACAAACACGATCACGATTCAAAAAAAAATTCTCACTGGCGTTGCTGGGGGGGGGGGGGGTGTTAGGGTTGGTTAGGCTTTTTTTTTTAATCCGGGTTCGGGAGTTTGGGGCCGGGGGGCGGGGTGTTTTTTTGTCTTTTGTTTTTCTCTTCGGGTTCTCCTTTGGTGGAGGTGTCAATGATTGCGGGTTAGTTAGTTGAGTTACTTGTAGCTACATACGCATAAAGAGGGGGAACAAAACTGTTTTTCTTGTAAATCCTTTTTTTATTGCCGCCTTGAATTGAAATTGATAGGTGTTCGATTCTGTAATAATATTGTTCTCCCGGGACTCTCTCTATCCAATCTCCGTATTGCTATGATGATAACTTGGACGCATTAAACGGGCCTGCATGTCTGATATCTGAACTTGAACTGTACATTTTTTCCCCCTTCCCCGCTCTCAACTCAACTACGTATAAGCACCTATGAACACTCCCCTACGCACCGTCCTTCCCGGCCTCGACGGGCTCTAATGAGCCTGCTTGCTTCCTATATAACACGAACAACTTTTTTTTCCACCACGCCCACCCCGTCCCATCCCATCCCATCCCATCCGTTCACCAGCTCTATACAATCCCAATAGTACCACCGACAAAAGAAAGAAGACAAAGGAGAAAAGAAAAGGAAAGAAATATGTATGTATAGCGTAGCCGGGGAAGAAGGGGT